TTCCGAGTAACGTAATTAAAATCAAATGAGATATATAAGAAAATTATGAATTTGTTTTAGCAACTAAAATTTTCACAATAATTAATAATATCGATTCAGAATAATTATTCTAATAATACAAATTACAGAAAAAAATTTATTCCAAAATCGCAATATTATTGCAACATAAAAAACGTATATTTTTGATTGACAGAAAAATTATTTATTCGAATTAAATATCTGATCTTTCTCTAACTTAATTAATAAACAACTTATACATTCGACATACTTGATATTTATTACTTTCATACATTTCATCATAGGGATAAATAATTATATAGGGATCTTGTTAGAGAGAAGAATGTGTTCAATTAAAGCAAGCAAAATAGATGACGGAAATGTGGCACATTCTTATAAAAGATTCGTGTATTACTCTCTCTCTTTCCATTCTTCAACAAATATAAAAAAATATAAGGTAATATCATCCATGTGACAATCGAAGCAATGATAGTCGTTTCGTGCGCGACTAATAATAATAGTCCTGGATAGATGCTCGGTGGCGTTTCTTCACACACAGTCGCTTAATCTAACAAAAACAACTATGAAAAGAGCGCAACGGTAAACGAACCGTTGGGTTCTTTTCCACTAAGGTTAATAATTGTATTGTAAGAATCTCTCGGAAACGCGCGGCATCCGCGACGATTCGTCACGACGAATCTCGCGATATCCGAGACTTACAACCGCAGAAATTAGACTTGTCGGATAACGACCGTCTAATTCTTAAATGGATGATGCTTCAATTACGAACATCGCGAGTTACACACAATCTTATACCTCGAGACATATTTGCAAGCCTAATTCTAGCCAGATTTCTCGACACTTTTGCGGTAACAATCTCGTTGAGAATCTGTTTCAACATAATGCAACATGCAGATAATATAGAATTGGAGTATTAGAAATATATAATTTTTTTTAATTTTATTCATTGATTTACTTAATTTTCCATTTGTACAAATTTTATTAAAAATTGTTTTTAAATATAAACAAAAATAATTTGTATTAATAAGTGTCAAATCAAAACTTGTATACTTCACCTAACGCGTTCATTGTTTTGTATATACGCAACAATTTATAATTTTCTTAGAGGAATTTAATAATTTTAAATTTCAACAATATTATAGTTTTGTTTTAATATTGTAATTGTCACCTCAAAAATATATACTTATTTAATTCTACTTTAAGAAAATTATAATCTTTGATTTAAAAATGTTATTTTCTATTCAACATTGTTTTTTTTCCATTCAAGAAAATTAAATCTTAAATCATACGAATATATTTTTCTTGATTGAACTGTATAAAATGGCTTCATTCAAGCAAGCAATTATTCAAGCAGTTATATTTTTCTTTAATTAACAATATAATTTCATTACAAGATTTCCATGTTAAAACTAAATATATACTCCTGGACAAAATTAACGCATATTTTTTTCACTTTTTCTTTAAAATTTAAATATCAGCTTTTAAAGAAAAAGTGAAAAAAATTACGCGTTAATTTCGTCCAGGAGTATATTTTCAAAACAAGAATGTCTTTTTTTCTGTGCATAATTCTTCTTTATTCTTTTCGCGCAAAAATGAAAGATTAAATTATGACGCGAATTCATGAATCGATCCTAAATCATTCCTCGCACTATATATAATATCGATCGTTTCAACCAATTATTTTTGCTCGGAAAATCGATTTCCTTCACGTTCGCCGAGACAAGCATGTCCGAAAGATATTACGAGGATTGCCGATGCACCTTGCACCTTGAGATGTATTGGCTCGACGAATGTACAAACGGCGAAAGGAGGGCGAGCGTTCACGGTCGTGACGCAAACGGATCAGCCGGTGCTAATATCGGTAGTGGAACGTGACGATGTCGAGACGAAAAGAAAATGCGAAGGAAAATAAAAGAAAATGAGAGACGTGCGGTGAGGAGGAAAAAGAAAAAAAGGACGAGGGGCGATGAGAGGATGGAGGCCGGTATTTCTACGGATAATTTACCACGACCTAATCGCCGAGCTTTAATCGATTCACTCTGTGCTACTTTTGTGTTATATATTTGTCCATGGATAGTAATTCGCGAACGAGTCTACTTCTTACATACTCTGTATTTAGGCGGAATAAAGACGGCAAATCAATTAGCGGTTCCGTTTTAATCGGATACTTACCGCGATTCGTCGACAAAGCTTTACTTACGTCTACTACGATAATAGAAGCGAACCAATAAAATACAAAGGATGAAAGAAAAATATGCATATTATTGGAATATTATTTTAACGGCGTGATTATTTTCTATTATTATTACCGGAAGTTTTTCGTCAGTTTAAACATGTTTATTATGTTTTCATATTTGCATTTTCCTTTTTCGCATCATTAATTTATAGACAACTATCTTGAATATAGCTATAACGCCATCGGTAAATTATGAAAGGAAATGTTCTTTTGTTCATTACCGCAATTTTAATCATATCATCTATCTTCGCTGTTATTTCACCTGGCTTTGCTACTCAGACTTATCTTCCTCATCTCATTGCTTATCAAAACCGTTATGTTTTCAAACGCAAATGAACTTTTCTACAAGTAAATACCAAAGTGCGAAGAGCAAAGGAGCGAGATGATGAAAAGAAAGAAATCGCAAAATTCCAAAGAAATCGCGCGGAGCAAACCTGGCGTAAAGAGTGACCCCGGAGAACTCGAGGGAATGCGATCGCGTTTCGGTCAACGACCGCTTTATAAACGAGCGTTTTGTAGCCCGAGATACGTGTGGTGTATTATATAGCACGCGATGACATTATTTTTGAAGTCGGGCGGTTTTACGCCTCTCTGAGGTCAAGTCAACTCGACACCGGCCAACGGGAGATGGTCTGGAAAATATAAAGTCGGAGGCCGATTGCGATCCGCGCGGCTGACAGGATCGGAAACGAAAGAGACATAGGCAAAGATCACGAAGTGAACCGAGGATTCCTTATTCAAACGAATTTCTTCGCGATTATTGAATGCGAAACTCGAAATGCGCGATGCATCTTTCGGATATCCTTCTCTGAAAAGTCAGAATCTTGTCAACAGGTTTCTGCCGCGAATCGTTTCTTCCTCATTTTTGTCTTCATTCAACCGATCACTTATCGCAGAACAAGATCGAGATTCCCAGGAGTACCTGATTCTTTCTTCGTAAAAATTTCTGAAATCACGCCAATTGACAGTTCCTTGCGATTTCACTCTCTCGCGAGCGCAAACTTCTTTACATATTTTTAAAATATGCAAGAGGCAGTTAAACGCTCTCTCTAAATTTCAAACCTGCAATTTTAATTTCAACCTAAATGAATAATTTTTTAGAATAATATTAATATTAGCTCTTAAAGAGAAAGCCTTAAGTAGTAAAACCCATGATACTCGAGCAAAACTATTTGTATCGTCGTTTTCTCCTGGACCTGAAGCTTTTTTAAGGCAAGATCTAGGGAGATGATTGCGACTCGAGTGCGGTAAATGAGATAAACGATATCCCGTAGAGAAAAAGCGGGACCAGGCGAAGGCGAGGAAGGCTATCGCTTCTCCAAGCATAGTCTCACGTTCCAGGAAGTTGACCGACGATGGATATCCGTACGAACCATCCTGTACCCCCTTCGATTTGCCAAGCGTTTTGCCTGTCTTCTGCTCCGGCTTTATTGCCTCTCTTTTCTCTCACTCCGAGCATTCCGCCCGTTTTCTTTTTTGCCCCGTCTTATTCCTCTCCCTAACTTGCTTCCTTTCTCCGCTAACAATTTCCATCACGCGATCGATACCTGCAGCATCCTCCCGAAATAGATATCGAACATCTATATCACGAGAAACTGATTTGCCACTTTGTAAGTTATTTTACATTTTGTGCTTGGCAATATTTCTCTCATTATTTCTTTTAAAGATCTTTACGATGTATCGAATATTGACGTTTAGTTCTTTGACAATACACGTGCTTTCGTTGAATAATTTTTGACATTTCACGAAATTGGAATCGATATTAGAATGGAAGTTAAAGTCCCGTCTCTTTTAATTTATATATTTCTCAATTCGCTCGTGGAGCAGTAAAAGGAAAGTGTGAATTACAAAAGTGAAAAGATGCCGCATAATCGCCTATGTAACATGGAAACATTGCTAATGAGGTATACAACGTAATCTCGTTTACCGCAGAATCATGCTACAGTAACTGGTTTCATTCGAATGACATCATCGAAATGAGAGCATTTTTATAATCAGACTAAATCTTCCTTGAATGGCTTCAAAATCACGAGAGATATCCTTTTAATAACAGCTTCTGATCAACTTAAAGTTGATTTCTTTTATAAAAATATCAAAAAAGGTCATCATATTTTTGCAAGTTTTCAATTCCATCAACTTATCTAAACCTCAAACATTAAAATTCTATTTAAGAAAGTTTGAAATTAATTGAAGAATATTTTAATTTTTCGAACAAATTTGTGAAAAGCCTGTCTTTTCAATGATTTATAACTCGAAAGTTATCAATAACTTTCGAGTTATAAATCATTGAAAAGACAGGCTTTTCACAAATTTGTTCGAAAAATTAAAATATTCTTCAATTAATTTCAAACTTTCTTAAATAGAATTTTAATGTATATAAATCATCGAAAAGAAAGGCTTTTCACAAATTTAAAGGCGTCGATCGATGCCTTTTGAGAAAAAAAATTCATCTCCAAATTGATCGGAGAGAATCTATTATTAAAAGGAAATTATTTTTAGAAAGTATCTCGAGAGATCGAATTTATTCTTTATTCAAACTTATAAATAAGAACGGGTTAAACGAACGCAAAGATAACGGTCGTGTCAATCGACGAAAGAACGCGATACCTTTTAAAGAGAAGGGGCCCTGTAATCTGCTGTAGCTCCGAAAAATCGGATCTGGACATGCTTAATCGCGCGACGTGTTATTACGACGTGATTGCATGACGCTGCCAAAGTACGCGATCCTTTTTTTTATTTTTTACAGACGGGGGTACGACTGCCGGAGGGGGCCAGCGCGGCGCTCGCGAAACCGACCAAATATCACTATTACCCGCACAATCAGCACATCTATTTGTTGCCGGAGTGCGCCGTCCAACAAGTGTGCAATGCCGTTTACGTCAGATTAAACTTCACGCAACCGCTGTGCGCCTGTCCCGGAAGATACCGGGATCCGTGCAGCGCGTCTTTGGACAGCGACGACCTGCACACCACCGAGCTGGTGACCGATCCTCGAACCAAGGTAAGTAAAAATTTTCAAACGACTCTCGGACGACTGAGAAAATCGGAAAAAAATATCCTTCTCAGCTGTCTATAATTTCGCCCATTTTTTATTACGAGCAGCAGATACGATATCACTTGCGATGATAAATAATTTTATAAAATAAATTAATATATAAATTAATATATTAATATAATATATAAATTAATATATAATATAATTAATATTAATAATATAATATTATTCATATTTATTATAATATTAATATTATTATATTAATATTAATATTAATTATTATAATATTAATAATATTAATATTATAATAATATAAATTATATAAATTATATATAATAATATAATAATTAATATATTTAGAAATAATTTTATAAAATGTCAATATTATTAATAACTTCTCCGTGTTTTAAATAAATGATGAAACGACATTAGCGAATTGCTGTCAAATTTCTATGCTTTGGAAGTAAAATCGTGAAATCGTGCGAGGAAAACGCGATGGTTTCCGTCAGAGCTATAAAAGTTGCCGCGTTTGTAATGTTTTATTCTAGTACTTAAGACATCGAGCTGTCACGGAAACGGTACCTGTCCAAGGTATGGCGCCATTCCCGGTGTGACCGACTCGGCTGGGATGATCTTAAACGCGAGTTTCTCGCCGCGAGAAAAACTCGTTCACTTTCGTTCGTGTATTAACCGTGACTTGCACACCGACGAATCCCCGCTCGAAAAGACAGTCATCGCGGAAGTCATCCGAGAAAAGAGTTTAAATATTTGACACGATAGTCCCGTACTTTCGAGCTTGCTTTCACGTACATGACTTTTATCCGCGCAATTTCAATATCATTGCAATTTTATTACTACAACATACCGTAAAATCTAACATATGTCAACCTTGAAATAAAGAAAGATCTTGGCGATATTTTTATGAGAAATAATCGGTATTTAATGATTGTCCTCAAAGTCCTCACGTTGATTTTTCAGAGCGATTCTTGGCTGCTTTGTTCGTTATAACGTTACATAATGCATATTTATTTTCTAACGGGATTATATGTATATGTGTAACGCAATCGCGGTACATCTGATTAAGAAAAACTCGTAAAACGACGACGCTTATTGCGTTCGTACTCTTTTCAGGCCTTGACCTTGGTAAAAACGTGCGAGCCGGTTGCCGAGATGCGAGAGTGCAGAGCGTCGCGGGACTGGTCTCTACTGGCGCTACAGAACGTGCGTACGGGAAAGTCTCATTATCTCGTGATATGCCGATGTCCCGATACAAACATACTCGGTAAGTGAGAAACGTTCCTTGATTAATTTAAAATTTAAATATCAAAGAAAGTTCAATCGAGTCTCACAATTAAAATTGATCGATTCAAATGTAATATAAATAAATAAATAAATTTATTAATAATTATTTGTTTTAATCATTAATATATATATATATATATATATATATATATATATATATATATTAATATATATTAATAAGTATTTAATTAATAATAATTAATTATATAATATATTAAATTAATTATAACATTTTAATTAAATTTGTTATTATTAATTTATATTTTTCTGAATTTGTTTAAGTTTTAATTAATTTATTTGAATATTAATAATTTATTTTATTAATAATTAATAATAAGATTATATTAATGTAAATATTAAATATTTAATAATTAATTTATAATAAATAATATTTATTAATAATTAAATGATTATATATTAATAATATTTATAGATAAATTTCATTAATTTTTATTTTTTCCTTATTTTTTCCTATTTATATATTTTATTTTTAAAAAATTATAATTTAAAATTATATAAAGAATAAGAGAGAGAAAGTCTTTCTTAAATGTTCGCAAATTATTACAAAAATTATTACAAAAATTTCAATAAAATATATGATTGCATTATAATGGAAATGAGAAATGGAAATAGCTATAAAATTTTTTTTATAATGAAAATGGAAGTCGTGGGCAAACTTTTTTAAAAATGAAGAAGTGGAAAAGCTGCTAGAATCATTTTTTATCCTTTTATATTTTACATTTCTTTATAGAAGGACCTATGAGTCACGATCAACCGACATATGCTAGTGTCCCGGGTATTCGAGTATACGGGATGATGTGCGTGCAGGGGAACAGAAGAGGACGACCGCTGCGATATTCGCGCAGCCTCTCAAGTATGCGTTCTAAACGTTACATATTATACTTTAAAGTCTAGAGATATGAATTTTGCGATTGATAAAATTTCGATCTGTCATTAGATCACGTACAAGACGAAGAGAAACCACGTTTTCCTTGGCACAAGGTGCGACAGCTGATGGCAACGTCGTCTCTATGGGAGTAGCAAGCGCGACGCAACGATCCGTCCCATATTCTGCCATCGACGAATTTACACGTTAATTATTAATAACGCTATATTTATAATTCCTCGAGCCATCTTTCGCTCGAATTCCCTTTCTAATTCCCTCTTAGTACTCTCACGCTCCCTTAAGTCTTGAACGGGCGCAAAAAATAACGCAAGCAATTCATACTAATTATTTATTAATCCCATTATGTGTATTTTGTAATTTCTCGTTAAATATTTGTTAATTATAATTACCTCTGCGCCTTTGTAGACAAAATTTGATGATAACAGGAGGTAAAATATAAAAAAATCAATTTTATAGATTAATTAAATTAAAAATTTTACAAATACACATAATCACCAGTGCGCCCGCGCAAGGATTAGTAGATAAGATAAGATGAATATGTATTTGTATTATCATCTTCACTTAATTATTCATTGTATTTATTACTCATGATTACTATGTTCATAAGAAATTCGTAATATGAGAATGGTCACGATTAATTATACACGATATACAACTCCGATAAACTGATTAACGATACGATAAAGAAGACGAATGGCTTTGCTTCTTGTAACAATGTAAAGAACTATCTAATGGCGCATAATATTAAAAAAAAATAGGAATATATGGAATATATGGTACCTGAATTTCTGACATGCAAAATTTATATGCATTTTTTCTTTCTCTCTCATTACCAAGTAAAACATTCACATATCTTGACTTACTATGAAAAAATTATCTGCCTCTCACAAATAAGAGAAAAACTGATTAGTATGAACTGATTTGAAATCCGTTTGTTATAATCTGCATGATTTAAAAAAGAATTGGAAATATGTGCTTTCAATGGTATGAGATTATACGAATATGGTAAAACCATACACGAGAGCAATTTTCCATTTTTCATTTTCATGTATTGCATAATATTGCATATTTTTACTCACCGAGAACGTCGGAGTTGACTAAAACGCTGCAACTGTACACTGCCGTCATCAATCGAGGATGTCGCAGGCTAAAAATGCGTCGACAGGCTTCTTTACATGCTGACATTAATTGGCCGGCTAGATGTCCTTGGCTTTGACCACTGGAATCGCTGTAACATTATGCAAATTTTACCTATGCTAATATAACGTCCATTATAAATCCTCAAACGATGCAATCAAATATGAATTCTTTACTTCGTTAATTTTAATAATACTATTTTCATCATACCATTTAAAGCGCAACATAAAATGCATTAACAAAAACATATATAATAGCTGCATATCTTCCAGAATGAATGCAATCGCAATATCTGCATTTTATGATGTATTTATTTTAGTTGCAGATATCAATTCAAGGCATTTACTTTTATATAAAATGATATCACTAGTACGATAATTTTAAAATATTGACGCATATTTACCTTTGTGAAGTATCAAAAATTTCCCACTTCTTTAAAAAAAAGCAAACACCCATCATAGGCTCCTCGCACAAGGGACCAGCTAAAGTAGCGAGCTGAAATCCATTGACTATGCTGCTCTCATATCTGAAATAATTGTATAGCAAACAATACGTTATTATCATTTGAAACAAATTTTAGTAAAGTAAAGAAAGTACTTTAAACATGCTTATCTAAAAAGAATATTTTCTCATGCATTATAGCATCAAAATATCATTTATTATATAAATTACTTTTTTATTATATCGATTTTAAAGATTCACACATTTCAATGAAAATAAAAAAATCTTTGCATTAATTTTTAAAGAATACCTACATCGTTCGAGAATCGACGTTTGTGTTTTGCTGCTCCCAGTATTTTTTTTGTTTATAATCGGTTTCGTTCAACAGGATATTGAGTCCACATTTCCGAGGCCCAAACGACCATATTTTGTCTAATATATTATCCTTCCATCCTGCCTCGAGAAAAGCTGCCTCTAATTCGTTCTTGAAGATTTTCGCTTCCTTCTGCTTTTTATCGGACATAAATCTCTCACTAGGTTGACTCTCACCAGAAATATTCCCGTGTTCTCCATTTTTCTCTACACCTCTATCGCAGTAACTATCCAACAGTTTTATCAAATTAATATTTTTCTCTAACAATTTCGTTACGTTTTCTGGAAGAGGTTTCGCGTCTATCTCGAAGTAACACTGCCGATTCGATGTCCAAATTTCGAGTCTACCTTCTTCCATCTTCTTCTCGATCGCTTCGTTCACCATGTCGAGTTTCGGAGGCGGTACTATAGTTTCGCGGAATGGCACGATTGGATCCGACACGTTAATGTCGACTTTTGCGTATCGCAATTTGAGATCTTCCAGACATCTCTCCAAGTGAACCTCACCGGCAGTGCTCAGGACAATCTCACCAGTCTCTTGCATGTGAACGATGGCGCAGGCATCTGCCTGATTCAATAATTTTAAGCCGTTGATAAGCTTGGGCAAGTCATTCGGATGCTTCGGCTCAAGAGCTACTCGTAAAATTGGAACCGCGAGAGAAGTTAATTCCGTAAAGGAAGGACAAGCGATCGTCGTGGAAAGTGTCGCGGTCTTTAGTACATGCTCTTCGAGGCCGCCGATTCCGAAGACATTACCTGCCGGAATTTTGCTCACAGCTTCGAGCTCTCTTCCCATGAGAATGTACAATTTACTTACAGTCACCTTTGTGATATGTCTCCCAGGTTTCAAATCCTTGAGCACAAGCGACGAATCCACTTGCTCGCCCGCCTTCTCGCGTTCCAGAGCAACACTGGGATTGTGTTTCGGTCCTAAGACAAACACCTCGTCCCCAATCTTGATGGATCCCGAATATACTCGAGCGAAAGCTACTAATGCGCCGTCCGACTTATCATCAGTGACATTCTCCTCTTTTATAGAGACCTCCTCATTCTTAGATGCAACCGAATTGTACGTACTTTCTTCATGATTCTCGCTAACAGTTTTTCGCTCCAATTGCTCGGCATGCTTCTGTCGAACAATCTCTCTTCTTTGTGCCAATTCTTCTGATGTTAAAGATTTCGGCCTATTTTCAGGTAACATGTCTCTTTCCACTAGAAACATTTTCGATACAAATACAATAACTGGTACATCCGGAGATGGATCGCACAATAAGAATGCTGTTTTGAGTCGCTGTGTTTCAAGAGGTAAAGTAGAGAAGTCGTTGTTTCCACTTATCAATCGTTCAATTTTCTCGTCGGTTAATTTACTTGGTGCTGGCACCTTCTCGCATACCATATCGAGACAAGTCTGTGCCAGAGGAAGCCACTGCGAGCAAACGGCTTGTAATTGTGCTTTCGGATCTGTATGTCTCAAGTCTCGCGTTGTCAATTTGATATTTAATTTCTGAGCCATAGTCGACAATTTATCTTTGTCTTTTCGTATCACTATGTTCTCGTATAGTACCCAGATATTATCCAATATAAGTTGTACGAAAAGCGGCTTCTTCGCCTTCTCTTGAGCTCCTTTCATGATACGTTTTGTTTTGTTATTTATATAAAAATCTCCCCACAGAGTTTTACGCAAAATTTTCTCGCTGAATCCCAACTTGTTAGAATAAATTTTAGCAAATTCCTTTATACCAAATCCCCAGCCATCAATTGCACTAGCAAAAAGGACATTTCCTTGTTCTGGAGAAAAATATAAATTTGAATCATCAATCTCTTCTAGCACCGATTGCCAATCAGCCAAATCTCTTTCGTTTACCCTGTTTGACGCAACTGTAACTGTTTCCTCTCGTTCTTCGCGTTCCATAACATCGCTCGCAAATAATTCACCCATAATGGCGTTTACTTGCTCTAAAACTTGCGTCAAACGAACATAGGCATCTAATGGCGTCAATTTCATTTCTATAATCAATCTGTCGATTTTATTAAGTACTAAAATAGGCTTTAAACCCTCGACATAGGATATAGATAAGGCGCTACGTGTCTGAGGGCATACACCTTCGACTACGTCAACCACGATAAAAGCTCCATCGGAAAGTCGAACCGCCGTTGAAACTTCAAAGGAAAAATCTACGTGTCCCGGAGAGTCGATTAGATTTATTACATGATCCGTTTCATTGTGTACATGACACAGCGTTATGGAGCTGGATTTCATCGTGATTCCACGTATCTGCTCATCCGGTCTACTGTCCAAATATCGGAGCTTGCCAGCCAATTTGTTGGAGATGATGCCGTTACTTGCGACGAGAGAATCTGCCAGGGTTGTTTTTCCATGATCCACATGTGCCAGTATACATATATTCCTGATGCGTGTAGCGTCATTCTGAATTTCGCTCAGCTTCTCAACACTGATAAGGCGCATCGTTAAGCTAGATAGAATAATAGAAAATGCGAAATGCTGAGTAGTAGTATATATACAAATATATATATATATATATATATATATATATGCTTTTATATTATGTGCGGTGTTGAGTAGCAGCAGATTGTGATAACAATGAACAGTGAGCGAGTGTCGCACACGTGTAATATAAATACAATAGGGGATAAACTATATCTATAAAAAATAAGTTAATCGAACCGCGATCGCACATTCACGTATGCAGCTGCAGTAAACACTATTTCACTCTATTCTGTCTCCAACAAAGTGCGTAAGGTTCGTTGAACGCGAGGATGTATCGCAGGTTGAATGGCCTCGCTGTCGTCGTGCGGAACATGCCAGCGGACATCGGTTATCGGCGCGATGGAACACACAGGGGGAACAATGACGTGCGTAGGAGCACGTGCGGGATCTCTTCTGCTCGCCGACGTGCAAGCGCGACACGCTCGAGCAGCGGGTCGCTGGAACGGGAACTGACTGTGACTGACACTTGAGAGGTTAGGAGCGCGTCAACGTGACTACGCCGCTTCTCCCGCTCGTTTCGCGCGCTTCCTCGATGGTTGACTCCCCACGAGATAACGCCGACTCGCGATCGCAATGATCCGCGTTGACTCGACTCGATCAGGAACAACCTTACACTCGCACCTCACGCGAATTTCCTCAGCGACAAGTTATCCGCTAAACGCAGCTGGGCACGGCCATATTGCTCTCGAATGCGCCTGCGCGCAGAAAATATGCACTTCAAATTGCGCACGTGCGAAAAATACAAATGAGGTAGAAAGAAAAAATCTGTTGTAAATTTAAATTGTTAATTTATTTCTAATTCTTAATTTGTCTACAGTTGTTAATTTATCTGTAATTATTAATTTATCTGTAATTGTTAATTTATCTTATAATTATTTATTCGTCTGTCGGAAATTTAAATTAATTTAAAATTTTGAATTCAAATTTAAAAATTTTTAAATTTAAATTTTAAATCTCTTTCTATGGGTATGTTCCAAAACGTACTCTCCGAGGAAAATTTTACTCGATAGCCGTTCCGAAACTCTTTTAAGCGTTTCCGATTGGTTCGAATCAGCCATCGAGTGAAATTTTCCTCGGTTAGTTGCGTTTTGGAACGTAACCTATATATACATATATATATATATATATATATATATATATATATATATATATATATATATACGTATATATTATGCGCATATATGTGTGCGTATAAATTACAATAATTAAATACAATTACGGATAATTATGTTTTATTATTACAATCATTATATAATATATATATAACATACAAAATCTATTAAAGCGTTCTTTCAAAAACACAGTAATAAATTTAACATAAAGATATAATTATCTTTGATCTAAATTATATATAAAGAATATATAAAGAATATTTTTTTAAAAAATTGACATATAAATGACATTGTAAATATATATATATATATATTTACAATAATTTAAAAAAATTATCTTATGTTATATAATGCTTGCAATAAATTTTTACTTTTATTTCCTCATTCAAGAGTTATAAATACGAAGAGTTAGAAATTTACCTTATCACAATATGAGAAACAAGCCAGCGTGTTTTAAAAAAAAATAATTTAAATAAGTTGTCAATATAACTTAACGCAAAGCAACAAAAGAATAATCGAAAACATTTCAAAAATAATTAACAAAATAATGTACTGTATTATCTCATCAGCGAATCAACTCTTAGTGAGAATATCTTCTTGCGTTTCTTTTTGGCTTTTCATCTTTTTGCGATAAACGCGTCCCCTTATATTAAGCATCGTTTTCGCCACTAACCACACCGCGCCCGTCTCGCATATATAACGCAAAACGTTCATGACTCCGATGATTAAAGAATGTGGTAGATATCCAGTCGTACGTGCTTCAATACCAACCGTTTTTAATGCCGCTTCTACAAACTTTTCTGGAGAAGGCGCCATCCAAGTTGCTCTCCTGCAAAGAAGAGAAGAAAAGATAGGATAAAATAAATATATATTAGGTATTGCGAGAGCAAATGCAAACTAAAGCTTTTTTTCACGATTCTTACTTGATCTTTGACATCTTCGTGGCAACCGCGCCCGGAAGAACGCACTGGACAGTGACGCCTCTCGGTGCCGCTTCCGTAGCTAAGTCGGCGCTGAGTTTATCAATATACGCTTTGCTGGCGGCGTAAACGGTCAAATAAGGACTTGGTATAGCCGCGGTTAACGAACTGACATTAATAACAACTCCTTTTCGACGTTCCATCATTCCAGGCAACACAGCTCTCGCAACCCCGGTCACGCCAGCTACATTCAGTTGCAATATTTTCGCAAGCATTTCCTCCGAGACATTTGTAAAGAACTCAGGATGATCGTAGCTCGCACCGGCATTATTAACGAGAACACCCACCTGTAGATTAAAATATTTTCTGTAATTATTCTCTTTCATATTATGTTATTTTTATTATACTATAAGAGGAAGTATCTTTTTTTTATTTTTTTCTTTAAAAGGCAAAATATCCTTCTTTGCCTTTTTACATTTAAAAAGAATCAATTCCTCAAGCTTTTTTTTATCTTTCCTCACCTACATTTTTTTTGTTAAACACTCCTTTTTTTTTAAGAATGTAAAATATTTATAAAATTATATTAAATCTATTACCTCCAAGTCTTGCGTCGCTTTGGCAATCTCTGCGTAGACCACCTGACCCTCCGTTAAATCGGCCTCTATTACGCGGGTTTCCACCCCATATTCCTGCTCGATCTCAGCGGCTACATCTTTGAGTTTCGACATAGATCGCGAGATGAGGACGATATCCAAACCCTTTTTAGCAAATGCCTTGGCGTACGCTTTTCCGAGTCCATCTGTTGCACCGGTGACCACTGCCCATTTTCCTTGCGTTCGTATGTCGATTTCAAGTCCAAGACTCGGGGCAATTAACTTCTTCCATGCCAGAATTCCGATCTTTATAAAGATCCTCAAACTGACGACCGCTATTATCACCAGAAATATCTTCTTCCACCAGAACGTCATTCTATAATATAAGCAACAATATTAGTAGATTTAATTAATTTTATTTATTTATTTAATATATTTATTTAATTAAATTGATAATAAAATAATTAGTATAATAAACAATAACAATATGTGGATCTCTAATAATTAAATTTTTTAAATAATGGCTGGATTGAATTGAAATTTTCACGAACATTAACATATAAAAATTGTGAATGAAATAGTCTCCTCTCACTACGATTGCCGCTTGTCGACTAGAAGCTTGCCAGCCATTGTCAGTTCGACTTATGAATATCATGACCTAAGGTCATATTATCAGCCGACATAATTCGTTATCCTATTGGCGCATTTCAAGGTTTCACCTTATCATTAATTTTTTTTTACTTACGCGAATATTCACAAATTGATTTAATTTCGACATGTATCTAATTTTCAATATGAATTCTTCAAATAAATCATTTTTGCGAATATACTTTTATGCAAACATATTTATTTGTGCGCATGTATTTTACATTGTATTAGGCGTTTATAATAGAAAAAAATTTCATTGATTTTATGAAAATTAAATATAACTGCAGAGCTGAGTATAATAATATCCCTTAAGTATAACAGTACCTCGTAGGGACACACAATTAATAATTTCCAAGATTATTTTTAAACGACTAATTATGTATAAAATATTTATAAATATTTAAATAATTAATTACAAATTATTCTAACAATAAGCTTCTTGTTGCTATATTTCGTTATCATAAATTATATATTTCCGAAATATTTATGATAAAAATAAACACGATTATATATACAACATTTCATCCTTTATGAAGAAATATTATACATTTGTACCAGAAATATACTTATTTTTTTTCATATATTTGCATTCGAGAAACTACACGATAAACATTGACAAATATTTGGCGTTACTCTTTATTATTAATTGGCTTTTGTTATTTTTTAAAATAAATGTTTCTTAACACATGAAACTTAACAGCAACTCATCATTCACATATCATGATAAGCACAAATGCAAAATTGACTTTTATTATCGTACAATATATATAGTGATTATCATACAATAGTATAATTTTATTCCGTTGACTTTGTTAAAATAAAAATTGAGGCGAATTCTCTGTTGAAACTTTTATATTAAAATACTTTCACAATATAGTTGTAAATAAAATACTGACAAATAAGTTTAATAAATATTTCAAATCAATTTTGTTTACATTTAGTAAATACAATGATGAAAAGTTAAATAAACGCTACAATTGGATTTAATTTTCTTATTTATTTAAATCGTTGATTTAAAAAAATCTAATCTTTAATATCTAAAATTTAATCTAATTAATTCAATGAACAATCGTTTGACACTATGATAAAAATCCCATAAATTTCATCGCGATGCAACTTTCTCCGGCAGTTTTATACTCCAATACGCGAAACGATAGCTCTCACAATACTTTCTCACTTTCTTACCTGTATCTCACTGATGGTCTCTTTCAATTCCGATTGTCCCGTCGATGTTTCATAAATAAACTTCCTTTACCGAAATAACTTCCTTCCTTTCTCTCTTTCACCCTTGATATCCAAAGTCAACAAACAATCTCGAAGGCGAAAAGCCGACTCTGAAGATCGAAGGACAAGGTCGAGAGGAGAGAGTCCAATGAAAGTGCGCGGGAAGACAAAGGTCGATCCAGAGGACAGGCGCCGCAGAAAAGTGAAATCGGAAGAGAGTCGGGATGGTCTGGGTTGATGCCCCGGTGATCGTCGATGCGACACTGCTATGCTTGACGAAAACAGGCGCGATCGATACCAGGATAGGGAGCGGGCGCGCGCAATGTCAGGGCTGTCCGTTTCACCTGACCGCTGAATACTATGTCCCCTCCAAGAGAAGAAACGGTGTAGCGATAGTCCTCGTCCACGTGGTCGAGCAATAGGCCTTCGTCGTGCGAAGGCGGAAACGGGGTGGGAAGGTGAAATGAAAAGAGAGAAGACGATTCTTTCTTTGACACACTTCGGCCCCTCGTCGATCTCTCGGCCTCCTTTGTAAATTCGTACTTCTTTAATCACAATATTCTCGTGCGAAAACTGAAATGTATATTTGCGAATTTAATGCGCGCGAATACCTTTATATACGCGACAGCTACGTGCTACTTAAGTATATGATAATTCATGATATTTTCATATCTTATCTATATTAAATTCGCTTAAAATAGCACGAATGTGGGGATATCCATTTAATTCTGATTCTTTTGTGCAGTTGTAAAAATTTCTTTAATCTGGGAAATTTATTAGTAACATTTACATTAAATATGTTTTAGGTTTTTAATAAAATAATCAGTCAAAAAATTTGCCGATGTTTTATATTCAGTTTAATTCGTAGCAACATTGATTTTACTGTTTTTTGTTAATTTCTTAATAAAAACACGTAATAAAAAAATCATTACAAATTAAAATAACATTTAAATTCTTATCTTCTTATCTTCACACAATTAGAAATTAAATTAAAGTTTCAGGAATCGATAGTTCCCAGTATTTTATTAATCGTGAAAAAATATCATGAAATACGCATCGTCAGTGTCATTCATATTTATTTGTCTATTTGATTTGTTAAAAATCGATTATTTTTTGCACTTTGTTTAAATTTTTAATCTGTAATATATTTTATTGCATATATTTTAATAATATTAAATATATTAATATATTTATATATAATATATTAATATATATTTTATTTGCACATATTTTAATTAATTTGTAAGAAACTTTGAATTCTGATTGTAAATATAAGTACTATTCCAAATAAGACAATTCTTTGAATAATTGAATTGTACACCAATAAAATTTTTACGAGAAAAAAATAAAATAGTATACATATATAATAGTATGTATATATATATATATATATATATATATATATAATAGTAATAAAATAGTATATAATAAAATAGTAATAAAATAATATATAATAAAATAGTAATAAAATAGTATATATATAAAATAGTATATATATATATTATATAATATTATCTTGACTTGATTAACATCACAAATTTCTTTAAGAATAAAATTATTCATACATTTATCAACCCATTGTCTTAAAATTTATTCATAAATCGTACAAAAGATATATATTATATAACACATGTAATCGCGCACGCTTAATAGATATAAGCTATCTTACAACTCTCTCAAACATGAGACAATATATTTCATTCCACAAACACGCACACATATATCAAACTATGAACGTGTGATAAGATTAAAAACTGTGGTGGGAAATATCGTGACATTTTCATTATATTATATATGTATAAAGATGCATTATTATTATCTTTATATATAAGATATTATATATAAAGATATATATACAAACGATGTAGGAAGACAATTCAGATAAAAACACAATATCAGATACATATATGTATTTACTACTTTTCTACCGTACTATCTGATTTAGTTTTAAGAGCACCATATAGCAAAATTATATGGCATATGTGCAATGCTGCGCTACTGAACACTGTACTTGGATATGTGTTCCAACACAACTCGATCATACCTAAGATAGTCAATTTAAAAACAGTCTTATACTCAGTACACCATGCAATATATGGTAATGTATGATAGTACCATACGTAGAATTGATAATGTAGTGATCTGCTAAACATGATGCCGATGAAATTTGCAAGGAAGAGGGGATAGACAAACAGTTGGCTTACGATGGACATGTCTAGCTTCTCTTTTTTAGGAACCTGGGACTTCAAGCTTTTCTCCACATCTTTTAATTTTGTGTATGATTCCATGTAAACAATCCAAATGCGCAGACAGTAGAGCAACATTAACACATGCAGAAATAATAAAGAGTGATGAAAGTATGGATGAACAAATACCTCCTCTGATAAAAATCTCCAGTTTACAGTCCACTTAAATTCAAAGATCCTACCCAAATTGAAAGCACCCTTTATGTACGCGATTGGATTCTCCAGTAGGAACGGAAGACCAAAAATCAACTGTATAAATGCGCAGATGCTTAATTGAATCAGCGTTTTGGACAATCCTAGGATGCACAGATAAGCGACAAGAAGCGCTGGAGCAAATAGCAGTATATTCATCTTGACAGATACAGCGAGACTGTACAGTACACTACCCAGGTACCAGCGATTGTCCAGGAACGCGTTGACACTCGCGTACAGCAGCAGCATCGCTATCGGATCGTTAAAGAGTCTCAAAACAAATATCGAGTGTATTCTGTAAGAAGTGCAGCACATCAGAATCAATACGTAAGGCGGCACTTTTTTAGTCCTGGCGTAAATTTTAAACACCAACGTCAACGTGAGCGCATATATGGCCACGTAGATGTACTGTGCTGTCTTTATATGGACACCATGAGAAGTTACGTAATAGAAGCCGGAGAAGATGTAGACGAACCCGGCAGGATAAACCAACGGTCCGGTATCACCTCGCAGTTTCGAGTAATCCATGGTGCCGTTCAGGAAGCCTGCCACCTCCTGCATGTAGGCCCTCCAGTCGATCTCGGTGTACGACACCTTCTCGATGATCAATATGTTCACGACTATTTCGGCGAGGATGAAGAGCGTCGTTATCGACGACAGTTTCCTCGGATCTGTCAGCAACAAAAGGAGTAGTCGCCATAATTCCCAGCAATTTTCTATACAACTCTTGTTGCTTCTCTTCGAGGACTTCTCGGGATTGAGGTTATACCTGGCTTCTCTGCGTACCGCCATATTGTCTGAAACTAGAGAATCATCTGAGAGCGGTCACTTCCACTCCGATAATCTTATGCTGCGTACATATCAAGTTCGTACATACTGGAACATCAGGAGGCCACTTTTGATTGGTCCGCCATTTTTAGGCAACTACCGCTCATATTCAAATTTTAATTACCCCATTTTGAATATAAATGATATTTATTAATGATAAATATTATAGATAAATAATGAAATTTTAATAATGATATATATAATATTAATTATATATATATTAATATAATATTAATATATAATGATAATTATTATGAAATTTTAATTATTATAATAGTGAATATTATATATACACATAATATAAGAGAGAGAAATATTAAATATATAAATAATACTAAATTTAAATATTAATAATATTAATATTATAAATAATAATAATTAAATTATAATGATACATATTATTAAATTATAATGATACATTTTATTTCAAATATTAAATATGGAAAAATTATTTTGACATATATTATTTAGGAAAATTTTTTAAATTAGTATTTTTTGGCATTTTCTACAGTAATATAAATATTATAGAAATACTAAAAACTAATTTAAAAAAATTTTTTCTTTAGTTCTAGTACTAATGCGTATGCGTTTAAGGGCAGATTTCTATGTTGTTTTCTTTCTCTTTCTGTCCTTTATTTTACAAAGAACTTTTTTCTTACAAATTATACATGTTCTACATAAAAATTAGACGCGTTTGAAAATCTTATCTATTGCATAAATTTATTCGATCAATCAGGATAAAGAAATATTTGCTCCTTTTGTCCTGATTGGCCAATCGAACGCTATTCTTGACCGAGTAGATTTTTGAACGCATGTATGGTTGAGTGTTTATGACTCATCGCTACGTCACAGCCAATGAACGTGCGCCAGCTGGGATTCCGGGTTTTTGACAGAAGCCAACGTGTATAAAGTCGTGTGCGGAATAAACAGCCGTTGAGATTCGAAGGACGTTTGTTAAAAAGTCAAGTGGATGAATTAAAATCATCGCGCGTTGCTAATTTATCGAACGACAAATACTTTGCATCGACGATACGTTGATTATTACATCGATTGTAACGGTATGTAACACGCTTATTTCAAATAACCTAATGCTTCTAAGATATTAGATGCTTCTAAGATATTAGAGAGTTTACATTTTTTCCGCGATCCTGTGATTCTTTCTTATTTTATGCGCTTTTGTTCTCGTATCAATAATACCTCACGTAAAGTTCTTATGAGTTGAGTAAATTTCTTATGTCTTGTATCTGAAATAAAAAAAGGATGAATAAAAAACGTCGATAAATGAATGAACAACGAAAATTTTCAATATTCCAAAGAATGATCTAACTGATCTTCTCGTGTCTTTTTTTACGAAGAATAAATATTTCAGAATACATTTTGTTAGAGCACTTATTTATGTAGATTTTATATACAATTAATTGATATACTAAAGTCGAAAATGTATTTATTTTTTTTTAATTTTAATGACTTGACAATATTATCTTTAATAGAAAATCAAAAGAAACGAAAAATGAACACTTCGGTATCGCTGATATTTTCCATATTTCTTGGAATTGTGTGTACTGTTACAGCATTGAAAGAAGGTGATTGCGAAGGTAAATATTACTTGGCCTTTACACTAAAATTTATGCAAATTCTTTTATAGTTTTCCTTAATTATGCACTATTTTATAGTATGTGTCGCTGTCGTCGACAAATTTAGTCAGACATTGTCAGCAGACATTAAGAGTGATCCCAAGAAGATTGAAACAAAGTTTCGAGAATATTGTAAAGGCACCAAATCAAAAGAAAATAGATTTGTAAGTAAAATTAATTTTTATAGATGAAATAATAGCAAATATTTCTTTAGCTAATTAAATCATTCAAGTTAAAATTATATCTATTATGTCTTTTCAGTGTTATTATTTAGGTGGATTGGAAGAATCTGCCACTGGTATTTTAGGCGAACTGAGCAAACCGTTATCGTGGTCTATGCCTGCTGATAAAATATGCGAGAAATTGAAAAAGAAAGATGCTCAAATATGCGACCTCAGATTCGGTATATATAATTTTCAAGTTCTTGTAATTTTTATCACAAATGCAAGATGTAAGATATGTGTGTAACATAGATATTTTTATTTTAGAAAAACAAATTGATCTCAACACTGTGAATTTGAAGAAGCTTAAGGTGCGCGACTTGAAAAAGATTCTGAATGATTGGGAAGAGGTGTGTGATGGTTGTATAGAAAAGACAGACTTTATTAAACGAATTGAAGAGCTCAAACCTAAATACTCCAGCAATAACTCAAAGAACGAGCTCTGAAGAATTATGGTCTTCGATTTAGACAAGCAATTAAGTTAGTATGGCTAAAATTTATTGTTTTAATTTGCAGAGGAATTGTTTACAGCATTTAGAACATGTATTTATTCATGTAGACATCCTCTACATGATACACAATTTGTATAGCCTTGTTCTGTCAAAGTTGTCTTTGATTGTCAAAGTGACAATCTTTTAAGCTAAAATATTTAAGTTCCATTAAATAATATAGTAGTTGTCATAAAACAAAAATTAGAATGAAACAAAGAATAATAGATAATGAACATTTTGTCAAATGGTACGTTTACATCTTACAATAATTTTGAGCGATGTATTATATCAGAAGCCTGACTTTTCTTTCTCTGATGTAGCCATGCTAATAATGTACCTATTTTAATGAAGGTGCTTCATTTATATGACATCAACTCGTTAGGCGTAAATTAATAGACACAACATTTATACAAAAAATTATTTTCACATATATTTATTGTTCTTCCTCAGATAGTGATATGCAGATATGTTTGTATGATATGTCCAAATGATATTTATAACGCAATTTATCATGTATTTATGTGTAAGAGATATTTTATTCAATTGCTATATGTTATTATAGTCTTGTTCTTTAATTATCTATTTGAAGCGTGAAACACGAACAAAATGTACAATTGAACTCGTGTAATATTTGTCGTGGCCAGTATTGATGAATCTATCGTACACGAATATGCGAGTTCAACACAATGCCAATTTTTGAGATGAGAATTATTTGTATCGATATACACCAACTTTTACAGTTAAACATGAAAAAAATATATGTATTCTCAAAAGAGGAGTACGATATATTGAAATTAACCATTACAATACGAAAAAATTGTGCATAAATAATATTTAGATCAAATATTACCGCATATCTGTACGTACTATTCTGTAAATCTCAAACTAAGTTATTTATTTCGTGATAAGACTGCGTGATTACGTTTTCTATATCACATTCGTAAATCTTGATACGAGAAACTCAGAAAGAAATAAAAACATGTGTGTTGTTATTAAAAACGAAAATGTCATTTTACTGAATTGTGCGCGAGAAAATTCAATCATCGTGTGAGAGTTACGTATTTTTATTTCCGTTACATTTCAGGGATTCGTTCCATTTCCCGTCGGCTTGACATGTAATCACTCCCCGCTTTTTACCATCGGAACACACATAAGTCAATTGATCTTGAAATAGATAAGAACGGCCATGAAGCATGATTCCAGGCTGAATCTGCGGTTTGCCGCATGATATTTCTGAAAATAGTAACGTAAATTTAGATGGTTTGAAGTTGACTTTGATAGTAAGATGGATAGATTTAAAATTATTATTTTTTTATACGCACTCGAACATCTGCCGTTCATTCTCGACCACTTTCCGCTTCCCAAACATCTTAAAGTCATTTGTCCAAATACACGATAGCCCGGAATACACTGATAAGAAATCATGTTACCGAAAATAAAATTCTGAGTTTTTTCGTCAACATCTCGCTTTAGTATCGCATTCGCGAAGATCGGCGGCTCTCCGCATGCTACAGCTAAAAATATATAATATATAGGGATTTAGAGATGTCTAATATTTTCAATTTTAAAAGAAGAAAATATATACGTTACTTACGTTTGCAAGAGGGTAAAGCGGACCATGTGACGTTCGGTAGACAAACAGACCGTTCATCACCTTCCAAAACATATCCGTGACGGCACTTGAAGATCACGACGTTGTTGATCGCCTTACGATTGTTTATATCATCGGTGTTATTAATATTATCAATGTACCCATATTTTGGTATCTAAAATTCAAATTCAAAATTAATATAATTCAAAATTAAATATTCGAGACTTTTGTACATAATATTCGTTTATTTTCAAACCTAAATCTTTTATTTTATGGCATATTTTTTTCATTAATATTTATAATATTGATATTTCGAGAAGTGTGTGCCGCAATTACCTCCGGGGGTGCACACGAACTGTCGCAGACGTATGTCGAGTCGTTCAACAGCTGTTCCAATACAGATTCATTCAACGATAAATTTGAAACTATCCATTTTCCAATCTCGTTACACATCCACGTTATATTCGAGATTGTTTCGTTGATAATCAGCTTGTCCAGGTTCATCTGTGTGCCATTCCGACACGTTAGGATTATATGTTGCCCGTAAGCCTTTCCCTCGGCAACGATCTCGAATTGTTTATAGGTGCTCGTGACATTCTCCATGCTATGCCATTTTTCGTTATCGAATTCAAGCGATATCACATCGTTTTCGTTCTCCAACTTTTTTATAATCTTAAAAAGCGGATGATCCTCAACGGAACAATTGCGGGGCGCGCAAGAGGCGAAAGTCGAGGACCAAGTTTCGTTGGTGCACGTTCTGACATTGTCTCCGATCAATTCGTATCTCGGATCACAGACGATGACGATTTCCGCGCCGGAAACGAACATTTCCGGAGAGATTTCTTTCTCGTCTGTTGCTATACCATCAACAGATTCGGACATCGCGTCTCCCTCCTCGGGAATTTCGATCGTGCTATTGTCTTGTTTCCTGAGGAAGATTCTTCCATTTTTCATACGATCCGGCCAAGGACATACGCGCGGAACACAATCGGGGACGAATCCAATCCAGCTGCCGTTGGCCAAACACTGTAGCTTGAATTCCGTCAATAGACTGTGATTTCCGTGAAATTTGTACCCGTGATGGCAAAGGAATCCAACGATATCATCGTAATGATACGTTCTTTTGGAGAGATCGTCGATTGTATTCTCCTCGGGACCGTAAACGAAAGTCTGGTTTGATTTATTGGAATTCGCGAAGGCGACGTAGCCGTGTTTTATTCTACATATCCGGAGAATGTAAAATAGTTTTACATGTTCTATTAAATGAAATTTTTTATCATGCACAATACTTTTTCTTTGAATAAATTTTTGACCTAATTTAAAAAAGACGAATCGTGCGATACATGCTTAAAACGCACTTTTTCGGCGGAGGACATCCGTAAAGTATACAGGACGGTCTCTCGTAATCCCAAATACCGGTCTCTAAACAAGTCAAATATTTTTCCCCATGTAGACGATATCCGGGACTGCATTTGAATTCCAATTGTTGGCCAGCCTAAAATAATTAATAATTTACTCGAAAGCGCGATACATATTTTTTGCAAAGATAAGCCATATACACACCTGTAATATCGTGATATCATCTCTTTCATTCTCTTCCAATATGTATTCTATATCTCCGTGTTCGGGGGCTAGCAAGTTTTTGCATGTCATTCCTATCGGGAAATAAGTTTGGCAATTAATATTTGAAATTATGAAATATTGAACTATATTCATTTTTATAACAATTATTATTGTATAGTATATATTATATACTAGTATAATATTATTTATTTTTACATTTTCCCCTTTTTTACAATAACCACAGTATATTAATATTATAATTATGCAGTTAGTCTTCTATTTTATAAGCTCTTATATGTATAGAAAAAAATATTCAATATTCGAAAATTTCAATAAATTAATCACATTCTAGTTTTGTCTTGTATCAAAAAAGATGATCAAAGGGATGATGTTTCTACGACTGAGTTAAAGTTTTCAATTTTAAGGTATTTGTTCTTTTATTTTGCTATGGTAGGAAAAGTTAGGCAAGGATATAATTTACACTTAATAGAGATATTTTATTTCGTAATCGTGTTACCTATGCAGATCGGAGGCAGGCCGGTCCACTTTCCATCGGAATTGCAAATTCGATGAGGATTCCCTCGAAGTTCGTAGTCCTCGGCGCAAGAATAATATATCTCATCCCCGAATGAATACGATTTGCCATAAATATATCCTCGCGGAAAGTATCCCGGAAAGCCGCATTTTATTTCTTGAACGTGAATCAGAATCTTGAATTTCTTCATATTAATTGAATTATCATCAAAATTGGTCATTATCATTAAATTAAATGAATAGTAATTAATTTAATAATAATTAATCTCCTTTATTAAAAGGATCCGATGGTCTTACTTGTACAGATTGGCGTATCGTGTCCTTCCCATTGGCCATGCTTGAGACATTTTCTAGCGAGGGACCGGTGTTCCTCACCAGCGAACCGAATCACGTATCCGTTGTCGCAATAATACGTTACCTCCGACAGGTCCTCGCTCACATTAATATTACTTTTGAACGGTACTACGGGTAAGGGGCAGCCGTGACAAAACGGGCTAGCTAAGATCTAAGGATATTATGAGATGATTATCGCTTATGATCCTTCTAAAATCGAACGCGAACTTTGTACAATTTAACGCGCTTGTAATTACCACAATATCGCCGTGAATATATTGTTGCATCTGCGCCCAAGCTACGACGTTCCCATGATATTTTTCACAATTGTTCCATCGTGCTGTAATGTTCTTCTCATCCAGAACGATGTCCCATATATCTAGTAGGCCGAGTTTTCCCAAAAACGCTTCCGATTCCGAAAAGCCACCCCCCAGATAATCTTGTTCTTGTCCGATAACGAGGGATCCATTGGCTAAATAGAATAATTGCGCAATCGTATAATTAGTTGTTTTACATATATCATAGAGATGATTTTTAATAATACAATTCAATAAAATATTTTTCCAAAAAAAGATAACCATTCCGTAAATTTTTATAAACTCGAGCTCTAAAATATTTTATCATAATTTTAAAAAATTTCAAGTTAAAGTTATGATATGAAAATTATTACTATATAGTTAACATTCTGTACATTGCTTTACCTTGTATGACAACTCCCTGAGATAAACGAGTGCCGCTGTCTTTGAGGACTCCGTCGACAAATACGCGCCAGGAGCCGTATCCGTTTTCCCAAGTAACGCACAGGAAATGCCAATAACCATCGTTGACTTTAATATCGGTCACGACTCTTTCCCCGTTAATATACAAGACGAATCTGCGCAAGGATATTAAATCGTGGAAAATTTGTTCGAATAGATTGTGTCAGATATTTTATTTTTATTTTATAAAAAGATATAGAGAGATATTTGTTTATTTTTCAAAACTTTGATAAAATATATATATTGAATTTCCGTGAACATATAATTACCCGTTATAATCTGTCAATGTAAAAGCGTTGTCGTGAAACATTGTCGCGTACGACAACACCGTACCATAATTGAAAGTGTCCATCGACTGTAGCCACAGACAAACGGACAACTGCAATCAGTAAATTTAACGATTCTCAGTCGGTTCAATTTCCTGTTCTTTTTCAATCTACCTGAGATAGATCCTTCGCGAGTTCTTTCACGATGACGTAGTCCGTCGTGCTGGACTTTGTAAAGTGCATCACATAATCAGATGACAATTCTGCGGCCATTAAAAAAATGTAATCTTCTTAATTGATATAAAAAAATAATAGATATTTATTATTGAATTGCTCGGAAAATTTTCTAATCTCTTTTCTCTGTGAAAGAGATATAAGAAAAAAATATATAAACTACAAGATTAAATTTTCCAAATAATTCAATATAAATTATAATAATACGTATAACAAGATATATTATTGTCACAAAATAAAACTTCTTAACAAAGTATCTTTATGACATTAACTCTTGCGATATTCAAGTTTTAACTTGCCAGTTTCGCAGTTGCGTCCTGTGAAAAGCATTGGGCAACTACAAGTGTAATTGCGCATCTGATTGATGCAATTCCCATTATTTAAGCAAGGCGACCTCTCGCAGTAATTGATTCTCGTCGCGCAATCCTCTCCAGTATATCCGTCGGGACATTCGCACCTAATCGATTGCGCACATTATAAATGTATAATTATAACTTTTTATATTCGCACAATTACCGTCAGATGTACCTGTAACTCTCTCGCGTTGCATTTTCCTCCTTGACATTTACGCAAATCGCGTTCGCGTGACATGGTAGCCAGTCGCAGGGCAATAGGTTGCAATGACGGCCTAGGAATCCGGGTTTGCAGAAGCATCGCCAGGTTCCGTTGATGGTGCGACATACGGATTCCTCCTCGCAGGGCATAAGCTCGCAATGATCCATCCGAATTTCGCAAAACTGACCTAAACGATACAACGAAACAGGAAAATGCTCGTTGTCAATGTATTAGCGAGGACGGATGTACCTTCGAATCCGTCCTTGCACTCGCAGGTGAAATCACTCTCGGTGCTCGTGCATTTTCCGCCGTTTTGACAAGGATTGGTGGAACATTCGTCTATATAAATCTGCAAGAAAAAGTACACATTTTTTTGTATACTGTATTTATTCAGGACTTGTTATTTTTTATTGCGAATCTATCCATTTCGAGATGAATTCTCGTTTACCTCACAATTGACGCCTGTATAACTGCTTTTGCACGTGCACTCGTATGTCACAGAATTATCAGGATACCGTTGTACTTTACACATTCCCTCGTTTAAGCACGGCGAAGAATTGCATGGATCCTTGAACTCTTCGCATTTCGATCCTGAACAAATAGATACACGTGTAATCAATCTTATTGGTATAACAGCAAAATAAAAAATAAAAATTAAGATTTAGAAAAAGAGATGAAAAATACTTTTGACGCTAATATATCATTATCTTATAATTTTGCGATTAAACAATCACATCTTACCCACGTAATATTCTTGACATTCGCAGGCGAAATCGCCTTCATCTTGAACCACGCATCGCCCACCGTTTAAACACGGATCCGTCCGACAATCGTCGATCTTATCGTGTATCGGCAAGCAGTCATGAATATTTGCGGAGCCACGCTTTTCCGTCGTCGTATTGAACGGACACGGTGAACATTGAGTTTGTCCGTAGCTCGGCTGATAGAAACCGATGTCGCATGCGAAACAAGGCTGCGTAGCTAAACGCGATCCGTGATAGCGTTTATGCTGAGAATAATATCCTGGTCGGCACATAGCTGTACAAAGAAACTGAGGACATACATATACAATATATAAAAAAATATAAGAAATTGATATGACTAAAGTCTTACGAATGCAATCTTTCAGCGATTTCACGTGCATCCTCTTCGTGAAAGTATGCTCCGGACAAGGTATGCACTTTAATGAAGCAGTTGCATTCTGATATTGTCCGAAAGGACACGGTTGGCAAATTTTTATCGAGGCATTATAAAAAGTACCCGCGGGACATTTTACTGAAAAATGTAAAAATATATTCATAAAAAACGCATAGCACGCACAAGATATATACACGTAAACAAATTGTTACATAGAATTGTGTAAGTTTTTTTGTATAAATTATTATATTAATGAAAAAGAATTAACTGAATTATATTAAATTAATATATTAATTATTATATGAGAAATTAATATATAAAATAATGTATATACATATATTTTACTTACCGCAACTGTATTTCTTCAGCACACTTCCGGAATCGCAGAGATCTTGAGGCTCCTTGAACACGAGATGTAGATTCAAAGCTAACTTCGCAATTTCCTGGTTTGTTCTGTTATTCAATAAATCTAATTTTCCCAAATTCTTCAACGTGTCGATTTTTTCTCTCAACTTTTGCACTCCTTGTTTAGGATTTTCAAAGTTTTCTTCGATTATTCTGCCTGTAATAATAGAAATAATTGCTTTTCGTTATCCGAATAATGGATAGAGCTCGATTAAAATTTAATTTGTACCTATAAACTTAAATTTAATCTCTATCCTCTCTTTCTTTTGTCTGGGTCTGGTTTTATTTTTATTGGTATTGGAATTCAATCTAGCTACGCGTTTCAATCTTTCAAGTATCTTATTTTTTTTGAATATAATTATAGATCCATGATTAAATCTTCGTCTTCTTATCAAATTGTCCTCGAAACTTTTTGATGTCAAAAGATCCTCTTCGCACTCAGGATTAAAATTAACCAGAGAACATTCGAGATCGTTGTCGCAAATATCCAACACTTTTGATTTTAAATCATCAATAATATTATCACTTAACTAGAAATAATATATTGTACAAAAATTATGTCTTTCTATGTTTGTAAATTAATTAATTATTATATATATATATATATATATATATATATATATATTATATTAGATAGAAATAGAAAAACTTACTTCATGGAAAACCGTTTCATTGTCGCATATTGTACTTCCATTGCTTTGCAATAGCACATTTCCCTCCTGAGATATCGTCTTTAATATTTGCGCTTCTATTAAAATAAACGAAATCACATAATTTCATATCAATTAGAATAATAGCTAATCAATTATCCTTGGTAAATATAATGTAAGTACCTGAACATTCCGGTAGATAATTATCCTCCCATATATGATCGCTAGAATTACATTTTAACAACAACTCATCATCGACAACATTGAAATTTGTTGGTTCGAGTGCAAAATCATAGCCTTTTTCGCAAGTTAGAGTGCATTGCATTTTGCGATCGTCTGTCGAAGAACAATTTAACCGCCCATTGGTAGGTTCTGTCAAATTTTTGCATATATCTGTGACAAAAATTATACTATAATGAATCAACAGTTTTCGAGTTACAAACAATTAAAAAAGAAAGAACTTCTCGCAACAATATTTTAGTTGAAGTTAAAATATAAACAAAATTATATTTATTAGTAATTTGAGATAAAATTAATGACATTTTAATTTGAAACTTAATTTTAAGAACATATAGTAAAAAATGGAAACTTGCAAAATAATGTTTTAATAAATCTTTTTTGACATTTTCGTTAAAGAAAATCGATTTCAAACTGATTAGAGAAACTATTATTAAAACAGAGATTTCTACATTATTCAAAATTCTTATTATGGCAAATATAATCATCAACCCCTCAAACAAGTTTACCTTCTACTATAATATTCAATATGCAACTCGCTCGATTGCCATACTTGTCGGTAGCATTATAGAAAACTCTCGTTCGCCCGATCGGAAAAGTATTCTCGCCAGATTGATGGCTCTGATTAACTCGCACCGAGGTCCTCGAATTATCATAGAAGACAGGCTCATCCCATGTCACATTATTAAGACCATTATCAAGATCGGTATAGAAAGTTGGCGGATCGATGCAATTTTCGATGGTGGGCGGTTCTCGATCTACAATCATTTAAAAATATCTGTTATCTTACACATATTTTTATCCAATTTTGTTGATCAATTTACTTTCTCTCTTGCAAATATATTTCTCAAGAGAGTAATTATATATTTAAATAAATATAAATATATATTTGAATATATATTTAAATAAATATAACTTACCAAGAACTTTGACTTTAAATTTACATCTGGCCTTGTTGCCGTTTGCATCTTGCGCTATGTATACCACGATGCGTGTACCGATTTTTACCTTCCATGGCAAGACGATGTGCGGTTTCGTCCACAAAATAGGCGACTCGTTCGCATTATCTATCACCTCGGGTACCGTCCAATTCACATACGCATAATTTCGACCTTTCACGGTTTCCACAACAATGTCGGCCGGACATTTGATCAAGGGTGGTATTTTGTCTATATCACGTTTGAAATTTAATTCATTACAAAACCAAGAACGAAACATTGATATTTAAATATGATTGATATTTAATCTCTAGATAATTTGTAATTGTACAACGAAAAGAAAATAGATAAAAAATTTGTTTTACGATGAAACCATTTTTAATCTTGATTTGTAATTGACTGACCAATGCATCGATTAACGTTGTGACGATGGGACCAGATTCCTATACGTCCGCTGCACGATCTACTAGAGGGTCCTTCCAGGGTGAAACCCCCGTCGCAAATAATTGTGCAATTGATGGCGAAGGACACTTTTGCTGGACCGGTACAAATTTCCGGGATAATGTTTCCATTCGCGATTCGCGGCAGAGGTTCACACTTCACAGCTACCAAAGAGACAATACTTTCATTAATATCAATGCATCTTCTATTACAAACTAATGTCGAAGTTCCGTCATTTTTACCTTTGCACGTGACTTTCAGACCGTCCCACCGAGACAAGGGTAGACAGTTACGCACTTTGCTGCCGCGAAGCTGATAACCAACATCACATTTGAATTGACAACGCGTGTCGATCGGATAAACAGTAGAGTCTTCCTCAAATTGTTGTTGATAATCCTCGTCATGTTCGCACTTCATATGGCCATGTGCAGGTGCGCGTAGAGCCGGACACGTTTTTACTGCAAAAAAATGTATTAATTATAATATAATTATTATACAAAAGTTTTTTTATAATATAATTTTATAATATAATTTTATAATATAATTTTATAATATAATTATTATACAGAAGTTTTTTTATCTCCCATTCTTAATATGTAACACAATAATTATATTATAATTAATAATTACATTATTACATGAATTATAATATAATGAATTAATATTAATAATTGGATTAATTAAATAATTAATATTAATGTTAATTATTTATACTATAATTCATGCAAATAAGAATTTATGAGAAATTGTTCATAAGAGCCAATTTTGGAAGAATTTTTCTATTTATTCAACATTATCGAACTTGGTGTTAAAATGTTAAAGTCCTTCACCCCTTTTTTTATATTTTTTACGTAAACGAAAAATTTACATAAACACTGCGGTTCGTTGCCGGACCAAGAGCCATCCTTTCCGCAAAGTCGAATGCTGTCTCCCGTGAGATGGAAGCCGATTCTACATCTTATGCCACACGCCGCATGCACCACGTTGCTACAAGCGCTCGCCTTCACTAGGTATCCGTTTTCAGGAACTCTTAGTTTCGGGCACGTTATAGCTGAAAAATACATCTACTGTATATATTACATTCTATAAAATGTTTGCGAATAATTTCACATTGTATTTGCGTTGACAACCTCAAAAAGTCTCCCTTTTTAATCGGATCTATTTATCAACCGCAAAATTTAATATTCCTTATTTTTTATTATCATATTTATTAAACATTTTATGGATATACGTGGTCAGAAGGTTCGCGATTTCGTCGCGGTATTTCGAGATTTGTCCGAGGATTTAAAGAGAGCGCGATCGATACAGATAAAATGGTTTTCGAAGTACGAGCCTTTATTGAAAGAATACGAGTGAGTGCGCGTTTATTAAAAATGTAAATATACAATTTTATATTATATAATGTTAATATTAAATGATACCGAATTATTTTGAAGAAAGCTACAACAGGAACTGAATAAATTATATAAAGAGAGAATCAAGGATGCCATAATCAAGGATGATGCGGTTATCGAAAAAGAAAGAACGTGTTTGCCGATACCGATTACAACTAGCGGCGAAGTACATTGAATTAATTAATAATTATATTGATACAAATATTCTAAATTAATAATTTTTATTTTTTAATTTAATTTTCTCTTACTTATTCTACTAAGGTCCGATTGCACCAACGTTATTCTAGCTTTAAGCGAAACTAAAATATATATCTATCTTTATCTTTCTTTCTTTCTAAATAAAGACAGACATATATTTAAGTTTCGCTTAAAGCTAAAAACATTTACATTTCTATATGTAATTCAATATACTGTGAATTAATATATATCGCGTAGTACGGATGGCTTGCGTCGAAACCCGAGTTTCGCCTGGAGAAATACGGCTCGGACATTGTAAATTATCCTACCCCTTTCAAAGATATAACTCTTATTTCGGGAAATATACCGACACTCGCGGTAGGCAAGGGTCTCATTTGAAATCAAAAGAAAAAATTTCAACTTTGTCATTACAGAGCAATTAATTTGAAAGTACGTTGAATTCAGCGATTTCTTTTTGTGTCTCATAAAATTATTAATTGTAAATCTAATTGGTGATTTGAACGATAATTAGATTTATCGAATGCACACGATTTATTATTTATTACCCTCGCATTTGTAATCGTTCGTGGTAAATCCAAAGGCGCACACGCAGTCGAATATCGAGGTCGCAGGAATCTTGATTGTAACGTGATTCGCATCCGGGCAAGGTATGCATACAGCGATGAAATCCCCGGAAGCGTTTCCAGAAGCATACGTTCCGTTCGGGCAAGCTATCACAAGGACACAAAAGAGAAAATTTCGAAAACTTTATAATTAAGAATCGAAACTGATACATTAATTGTATAGAAAAGTAATTAAATATATATAATAATAATCAGAAAAAATTAAATATATTGAATAAGTCACAAAAATAAATTTGAAACGCATCTTCTCTTTTTCACCTACGTTGGCAGAAACCTTTAAGACCGGAACCGTAGTAACCGGACGGGCAGATACAGGCGTAACGTCCGGTTGCGGTACCGCAGGTACAAATCGCCATATCGTCGCAGCAGGTTCGATTAGCATCTGAGCAAAGGCTGTTGCAATCGGTTGATACAGTCACGGGCACGTACTGTCCGGTTTTTAAATCTAATCACATTTTAATTTAGATATATATTATATTTGATAAATTTTTAATATAAATATATTTAGAGTTATTTTAAGTAAATTATAAACATTTTAATTTTTAAGTATACTTTCCTATTTTAAAATTGATCTTTATCTTTTATATATATCAAGTATTTATATAATAAAATATTTTATACATAAAAATATGTGTAATTTTCAAAGGATGTTCAGTTACAAGATGCGCACCCCGATGCAGGGCGCGTCGCGCCAAAGCCTCGAACTCGGCGAAACTGTCGAGGAGATAGCTATGCGTGTACCCGGGTGGACTGGCGATGTCGTGCAGCTCCTCTACGTTTCCCGTACGGATGCCGAACGTGAACACGGTCGCGCCCGTATTCTTCAAGAGATCGGCAGCGGGTCGCGGATCGCCGCCGTTGCTGAAGCCGTCGGTTATCAGAAATACCACCTTGTTCGCCTTTTCGCGACTCTTCTCGAGGATCGTCTTGAAATAAAAAAAAAAAAACAGCTAATAATCTTCGGATTCGAGCGAATTTTTTTTCTATAATTTTAATAAATAGCAGTAATTAAGTATTATGTTTTCGTCCTATTTTCAATGGCGGCAATTTTTCCCGGAAATACAAAACACTTACCAGCGCCTCGAGAAGAGCGCCACGTGTATAAGTTCCCCCGCCGCTGTAAGTGATATTGCCGAACTGCTTGTTCAGCAAGTAACACTTGTGATCGTTCGGTCCATGTCGCGAGATCTGATCGATGTTACGATATACGTTGCCTCTGCCGCCGAAGGTGACCACCGCGACCCGGGTGGTCGTCTCATCCACCGTAAAGTCCGACAGGAGCTTCGTCACGAAATTCAACTCGCTGCGGAAGTTCTTGGAGCCGATCGAGTCGGACGCGTCCACCAGAAACACCAGTTCCACCTGGACGACATGCGATTCGGGCAAAATCGTTCGATCGGACGATCCCGTTCAAGGAAATCAAATCAATAGACAATCAATCTCTGCTCGCATCTTTTTTTCAATGCGTTTTATTTAAAGAAAAAAGGAGAGAGAGAGAGGTATTATTCTATCTTTGGATCTACCTGATTGGTCTCGTTGCGCAATCGATCTATGTGCATCTTCAAGAGATGAGACAGGATATCGGTCTTACTTTTCAGCATCCTATCGGCATCATTCAGATTCTCGTACCAATAACGTCGATCCCCGTTGGCCTTTCGACCGAAATTTAGGAACGTCGATGTTACATTGTCTGTACCAATCTCATTGTTCGATTGCCCTCCATTGAGGACATCATCGGCGCACTTTGCGAGATTTAATAATAGAGAAAGTACTCCGATTATCAATGTCAAAATTTTAAAAAATCCCATTGCTGCGGGCTCCATAAATCGTTATCGTCTTAATAATAATTTTTCATGAATACGTTGAATCCAAACAAGATATTTTGCTGAAGCGAAACAAGATATTTCGAGACTATTTTATTATTACAATTTTTCTAAACATACAAGTTAAAAAATCGTACATTTTTGCTCTTCTTCTCGTGTATCTAACAGAGATGATCTTTAGCGATTTGTTTCGGGGATCAAACACGACACTTTTACGACCACAAGCGGAAAGAAAATTCAGATGTAGCGAGAACGTGAAGTCGAGAGTTTATCGTTAATTACGTTAATTATTCGCGTGTGCACTTGATTACGAAAGCCGGTCGCACATAAGAGAGACGAGGCTCTACTGAGAAAGTGGCAGAAAATCGCGTTAAAAGAGCACGACGCGAATGAAGACAAGAGAGAACAAGGGAGCCTCTGTTCGGTCGAGTTTCTTGAGTTGGCGAGCGCGTATTTGTGCCTGCAGTCAGCAATTTGTCTCGTCGAATACAATTTCATTAGCGCAAATAAATTCAGCGTCGATTTTTATTATGATATATCGGCATTATATAAAATTATCCCAGCTTCAATCCTTTGCGTCTGAAAAAAATACGCATAATGTATTCAATATTTATCCATGCATTCGCGTTATCGCGCTGAGATAGCGCATTTTTTGTGTTCGACGTAATATGTGTATCTATAAATAAAATGGATCAACAAAAAATAGTTCGTAGCCGACTGATTTATACAAAAAAACCGAAACTGGTCAACTTTGTTTTCGAGAAAAACATGTGATTATGATAAATTCAGTCGAGTTACCTCTTCGTCTTAACTTTGAAAATTGTAATAAAGCCAAGTGATATCGTTTTAAGAATTTTTTTTATTTTTTCTAATTGTATCTATTTATTTATTTATTAAATTTGAATACTGTATCATCATTAGTCTTTTTTGAAAACAAAATTGACCTTTTCGTACACATCAATCAATTATAAAATAATGTTTTATTGTCACCGAATATCAATATAATGCGGAGGGTATGCGAAGTAAAAACAAAACAAAAATTCGCCCTGTGAGATAATTAACTATTTTGTTAACTACTAGACTCTGTTACGCGATGTTTCCATCGTAAGAGTCATGTTTATGTCGCTCGTGGAAGGGATGAGTATAACATATATGACATGAGAGGATTGCTAGATAGTTTCCACTTGACCCTCATACGTGTCACATGAATGTGACATGTCGAACAATTTTTGTGCTTTATTAACGTGGGATATCGTTCACTTATACATATACCGTCTAAACGAAATTTATTATCTCATTATATATTGCCTACTGCATATTATAAAATCTCTTCATCACAGCCAGAGAAAGATATATCACCTTGATTTGATTCAATTATGATCTCCAAAGTTAAAATCAAATAATGACTAATTAAAATTAAAATTACTATGCGTGCAAGAGCCAGTCAGTGTATCAGTCATGTTAGTCGCGAAGATATTCTTAGTGATCGTAGTCCTCGTCATGAGTTTCGCATCGGAAGAGACAAACTACTCGCGTCTTTTGCGCGTACTTCGACTAAGTGATCATCGATCATCCGACACGAGGAAACGGCGAGGAGACGAAATCAATTACTTCGAGCAATGCAGTTTCGTGAGCATGTGGAAAGGACAACTTGGCCACGTGAGCGTGTTGGCTTTCTTGGATCCTGCCTGGCAGTACAGCTTCAGACAGGCCGTCATGTGAGTTGTAAGACTTCGTAAACGAGAGAAACCTCAACGCAATTTTTCCCTACCCTAATCCATCAATTTAGGCTGGAGCTATTGAGCTTACGCTTGCGGAAATCCGGTTTCCCGGATGTCCGGCTTTTCGTGATAGCACCGCCGCCCAATTTGACGGAAGACAAGATCGAGGACGATTACGAGAGCGAAGTGTGGCGGAAAATAACAGCGACGTACGAGATAGAGGAGTTCGTAAACACCAATCTCTTCTTCGAGGATAGCGAGTCGGAAATAATCTTTCTTCAAGATGATCCACAATTTCGAATATGGGAGAGATTTCGGGCGTCAAAGGACCAAGTGGTCGTCATCGATCGGTGAGTGAGATTCGAAGACCAATGGCTGGTTTCATTATGTTTATTATACATAACGTTTTTACTAATTTGAGAATAAAAGCGCTATATTTCGAGAAATTATATAATTATCTCGATTTTAACTGATTTTAAACAAATTTTAAATACACGACTAAGAGATCCAGACACGCATTACCAAAATGATTTTAGATGCGGGCAATTAACGTATCAGATAATGGTGCCGTGGAGTATCTTATATTTTCCTTATGTGAAAGCAGCTATTCTGTCCACCCATCAAGAGGACCCGTGCGGTGGATGCGATGTGAGTGCATTTTTTAAACACATTTATCACAATCTTCCATGATAATTTAGAATGTTACACACTTATTCGCATATACCACGAGTTACTATGAATCGTTTTGGAATATAATTATTAAATATAATTAATGAAATATAATTAATTTAGCCCACCATGTATCAAGACCCAGATTACGAAGACTATTTCCCAAATTCAAGAAGCACCACTAAAGGAACGGATCAATATGAAACCGATAAGATTAACGCCGAGCTAATCTGGACCACCGAACAATGGTCTTCGGGAAACGGCAGCGTACATCTCGAGGAGTCACTAAAAGAGGAGCACGAGACAAATATTGTACCTCCTGTTATCTCCGACAAAATAACACACGATAGCGATGACCTTTCGAATTTTTCTAACATGACGGAATCCTCGGTGATGTCTGAAACTACTTACGATAATGGTACGACTGCGTTTTCTCCTAATCCGAATGAGACGCGGAGACGAGAAGATTTGAAAAATGCCACAGCCTCCGATGTAACAGAAGAGTTACAGCAGGACGTTCCTCCGAGACGAGATGAATCTACGCCGATGAGCGATAATTCTATCAGTTGGAATGCGAGCCATCGTGCCTTATCGTCGAATGAATCAACAACTAGCGAAATAAAAAACGAATTTATTTCCACGACAAGCATTTCAGAGACTGCCAGAGATGACGACGAAGATGCGGATAGTCTGATCGATGAAAACGAGGAAAATGAATCAATCGGTAATAATAATGTTCTCGATATGTTCAGCCATAAGTTGATGATCGTTATTTAATTCGACAAATTATTTCACAGGACATATCGGAGAAACGGAGGAAAGCACGTTAGCGTTACACGTAATTATGCGTGCGCCGCACGTGCACAGAAACGGAAGAAATACAGAAAAGCACACGCATTTAATACTGAAGATCGGCAATCCTGATTTTCACGGGCATCTGGACAATTTTAAGGACATGGATCTTCAAGTCGCAAGCTCCGAAAAAAATGGTTCGAAAGCCATCGAAGTGAATCAAGAAAACGCCAATCGGACTTATGTATTCGATCAGGATGAAAGCCCGGGATTGTACGGGGAAATAGCGGACTATTGGAGAGAAGATAACGATGACGCTAATAAAAATGAGTCTCCTAACAGTGCTGCTTATAGTGATTCTACGGTAATGATCCCTGCAAAAGATTGTATTTATAGTACACATACATGCAATAGAATTGGGATACTTTTGCATTATGGAGGAAAAATGAAGAATTTCTAAATATAGTAGATTCTCCTGTAATTTTGCTATTTTTAACTTTGATATTTCTTTTGTACTCTTGGAGATAACACGACATTATTGTACACAAAAATGCATATGAAATATCGCCAAAATTCCGAAGATCTACATTGAATATTTATTTATATATTTTATTATAAATCATTTTAGTGCAACATATCATTAATAGTCATGTTTGACAGTACATTTGTTAATTTAACATCGATTTTATATTTAATTTGCAGATAAGTTATAACGAAAAACATCATATTAATATCAGCGGCGATGCAACGACTCCTTCAAAGTCATCAGAGATAAACGAAAATTATTCAACGGCAAGTATTACAATAAACACGTATATTAATAACTCTACTAATTCACAAAATACAGTTAGATTAGACAAAATTGATTCTTCAATTAATACAAGTAATGAGATCAATAAGAAAGAAGAGATGCAAAGTAATGTAATTAAACATTACAATAAACTTTTAAATTGGATTGATTACAGATTAAAACGATAAATCTTTGTATTCATTTAAAAATATCATTAATGAAGATGTATTCATTATATCACTTTTACGTTAGTCGATGTATCACATATCACATTTAAATATAAAATATAAATGTATATATAAATTTATATACCTTTGTTAGTAAATAGTTTGAAAAATAATTTCTATGGGAATTATATATATAATTATATATATGATAGGTTGGGCAAGTACATCAAATGAAATAATTGATACATAGAAAATAAAAAAAATTTCACATTTAACAATTTCTGTTAATGTATATTTTAAATTTAATTACTAAATTAAATATTTTTGCAAAAAAGTTTAAATGTTTAATTCGTAAAATCGATTTACCTTATATTACAAACGAAAAATGTAGACTACTCCTCAAAAAGGATTAGTTTTGTCACTTTATTCAAGATTCATCTAAATCATCAGAATCCAGACTGCTACTACTGCTAGTAGTACTGCTACTTGATGTAGTACTGCTTTCAGAATCTGTTTCAGAATCTGTATCGCTGCTATTCGTTGAACTTGTATTGTTCAATAACCTGCATTCAAATATATAATGATTAAAGAAATAAGAACTGTTAGAATAATTAATATTATTAAAAATCTTATTTTTTAATCATATGCATATATAATTGGATTTAAATTTAAAAAATATCTAGAATTTTATTTTTATGGATACTGGAGCAATGATTATTTCATGTTAAGCATTAGTTATTTAGTTATTATATATAATCAAAGAAATTGCACATTATATACATCATGGAGCTAATGTAAATTAAATGTGAATATGACATATATATGTGTGTGTATATACAGATGAATATTAAAAATATATGAAGAATAATACAAATGTTAGGCACACATATATGTTAAAAAACAGTTGTATTAATGATTAAATCAAATATATAAAATACTTACAAATGCTTAAAAAATTGTTTGTTATCATGATATATATTCTTTGGCCTTTAAAATAAAATTATAGACTATATAAAATACGAAGATAAAATTCAAAACATTTTATAAAACTCTCTACTCACTTTTCTTTCTCAGAATCATTATTCAAACATAATTCATCGATTTGTCCAACCATCTCATGAACAGCATTTTCTATAACTAATCCTTCTTCTTGAACAGAATAAGCTGCCACTTCCAGTTCTACTAAATCTAATCCCATACTTGCTTTACTTGGATGAATCTTTATAATAAAAAATTTACATATAAATAAATAAAAATTTACATATAAAGAAAAAATAGAAAAGTGCTCTCTAAATAAATATATTTTGCAAATATATATTTTTTTTTAAACTTACATCCTTTAACATAGACTGAAGCGATTCTATCAAGGATTCTGGAGATGCTTGTAACCAAATTAAAAAATCTTTTATATATAATTGATTTAATATGTATCTTGGTTCATATGAATTGTTGAATAGGCTATGTATCTCGCAGAAGATTTTGATAATGTATTTTTTTCCTGCACACAAAAATATTTAAAATAGTAAAAACTCATCAAAAAAAATTCATATTTCAATTTATACTGACCTAATGTTATGACTTTTTTAACATCCTCAAAAACTTTCATAGAAAGGTTCCAATTTCTGTAAAGTGGGTAACAAAGTGATCTTCGAAAGCAAGCAATAATAATTTCATCCACAGAAGTAAAATTCTGAAAAGAAATTTTTATAAATTAGTCTTTTACATATCTTTTTACAATAGAAACATATTTACCGATTAATAAACATACTCGGAACCAACATAATGTAGAGCTTAGTTTATTAATGGTCCAACTGCTTTCTACAGTATTTTCTCCTAATGTTGTTCGATGGTTGTAACAACTGGCATATAAAATATCAATAAGATTTAAAGATAATTTTTTAATATCTTCAGCATCTAATAAATATTCCTTATTTGGAAGTTCTTTTAATAAATCAATCTCAGCTTCACTAAATGTGACTTTATCTTTCTCTAGCCCCATTATGTCCCAATCTGCCGTATATGTTATATATGATTCGATGCATTCTGGCTCCATAAGATCTGCCATATAATGTTCTTCATTGAAATCTGTCAATTCGCGTTTTTCTTGCAAACTTTTTCTTTCTGTTTCAGGAGTTGTATCAGGGTTAGGAAGATCTATTATTTCCTTAATCCATGCTGTCTTTAAATTTACAGGAAAATATATATTATTATTATAATCATATATAATATAATCAATTTATATATATATCTATATCAATAAAAAAATGTTTGGAAAATTGATATCTTATATGCTTATAATGAAAGGATTAACAATAAATTTTTTACAAGAGATAAAATATTATAGTAATATACCTCGAAAGCAGTTAAAGCTCCGGATATTTTGTTTGCAAAACCATACTTTGGAGAGTTTATAAGAATTGTGACATTTTCTGATGGATTATTCTGAGGTATAAACCAGTTATCTTCAGAATCATCGTTATTTGTAACATCATTATCATTTAAACTGTCGTCAATGTTTGCTGAATTTGCAGATGGATTACCTAAAATTAAGTAAGAAAAAGATACATCACTAATGCTAAATATGTTATATATGCCATATTACATATACATATATAAAATACAACAAAAATATAATTTTTATATCATGTTTATACAACTTACCAATTACTTCAATATTAGGAATAACAGTACTTTTCTTTTTTGGTGGCGCTAAAAGAACAGTTATCATATCCAAGTTTTCAAAGTGTTCTCCTTTATTCACTTTAGAGAAGTGTAAAATAAAATCACCCTTTTCATAATCATAAGAACCAGAAGACGAATTATCCTCCTCTATTTCACCTGGTAACTGTAATCTACAAAAATCATTCGGTATAATTCTGTAGTGTATAGAAATCAAGAAACACGTACGTGTTCTAATTCGCGTAATTACCTCAAGTAATACGGAGTGGCATAAAACCTGACATCTGTTTCCTCAACGTATACCTCTGCATCTTTTATATTGGCGTACGGAGCGTGTATTGTTATCACGACTTCTGCGTCAGTTTGCGTAATTTCAAAGCGCGGAGTCAACATTTTGCTCTCATGAATACAATTTTCTAACAATGCTTACACGAAGGAACTCTCAGCATGTATTTTTTCCGACTGATAACCCAACCTAGTCTAACCTAACCTTTTCTATTACTATGCAAGGATGCATTTAGAAATCCTACCCATGGGATAGAGTAGCGTGTAATTGGCCAATCAGGAGAAAAGGAGTAGAGATTTCTTTGTCTCGATTGAACGCCACTGGTGGCACCCGATTGACCACGTCGCCAATTGGCCAATTCAAAATAGAACTCTCTGATTGGTCAATCGTTGCTGGTTACCCTAGGCACAGATCGATATAATTGGCTGTGGCTAATCGCAATGTGGTCAAACGTGATGCTCCCTCCAACATAACCTATTCAGGTTCTTCGTTTTCTTTCTCTCCAACGTTCTAGCGCATCATCTGGATTTTTTTTCTCTAGCCATAACAGCGCGAAAAGATAGTTATTAGAAGTAAACGAAAATTTGGCCGACGAAAAAAGAAGCGAAATAAAACAAAGTGACGCAGTGACATTTATTATCAATTATATAATTTTTCTTTTTATTTCTTTTCAATAAAATGCCGGCTATTTCACATTTGCATAAGTGGGCTCTAGGGTTAGGCGCAGTAAGCGGCGCAATATTTTATTATTATAATTCACACGATAGTACGGATTCCTGGCGAGTGCACAACTCGTGGACGACGAATTACACACCCTCGGTGAAGTGGGATCACAATTGGGATAGGTGAATATATTTTTTTATTAATTTTATTGTATTGTTAAGAGAAAGCGAATTATGTATTTCTAATTTGTTTTTTATTACATTTGCAGGAGAGATCCAAAGAGCTTGGTGAAGCCAATACAAATAAACAGTGAAAACGATGAGAATAAGTACAATGAAAAGTATGAGGCGAAGAAAGCAAAGGCTGTGCGACATATACTTTTGATTCGGCATGGGCAATATCATATGGATGGAAAGACAGATGCTGAAAAAGTGCTAACCGAACTTGGTATGCTGTAGCAAGCTTTTGTATGATCAATAGTGAAAAAGTTTGAATAACACATTAAGGTAGCATAAAGGTGTTTCAATTTGGAAGTGAGTTATTTTAATTCTTGATTCACAGAGTTATATGTCATTGTCTTTGTTAATATTATTATTGAATTCTATTTTTAATATGCTATGTATATTGAAATCTTTAATTTGAAGCATGTAAAATGTTTTTCTTAATTCTTTAATGTTGCTTATTTGATAGATTAAATATATTTATTTTATACCGATGGAACTTTACTACTTAGATTAAATCTCCAATTCTTTAAGAACTTACAATAATTTGTTATCATAACCAAAATTATACGATTTGTGTGTGTGAAAAATATATTTTATATAAATTCTGCTATTATATATTCTTTAGATGTACTACTAGGATATAACACACATGCGCTTCTTCTATAATTTATATCTTCCGTGATGTCATATTAGAAGATGGCTAATAAGTTATTTTGCAAAAAGTATGTAATAATTTGCAATACAGCATGTTTTGTTCCATCATCATATATCAATAATTCACATTTTACATTTTACAACTAACATTAAAAAAGGAGAGAAATAATCTTAACATTAAAAAAAAAGAGATATTTTTAACACTCATATTTTTGCTAGTATGTTTGTTGTTTTTTAAAGAGGTTTGCAACTTCTGACACAAATTCTATATCTGGGACATTCTATTTAAATTCCTGGTTTATTTCCTCTAATTTTTTACACTTACAAATATAAAATATATAATTATAATATATGTATAAATATATACTAGATACACACACATATTAAATTCTATTCTAATTAAAATGAATGCAATTGTTTTTGGGTTATATGATTTCAATTTCAAAGTTAAAAAGGAATTCAATAAGAAAAATGAATCATTTATAAGAAATTGCATCTGTTTTATTATTAAAGGCAGAAAACAAGCTGAAGCAACAGGAAAAAGGCTAGCAGAATTAAATCTACCTTACTCATTGATAGTGAGATCTACAATGACACGTGCTCTAGAAACATCTAAAATTATAGAAAAGAATCTTATAGATGTGCCAGTTGAAGATGATGGCATGTTAATGGAAGGTGCGCCTATACCTCCAGAACCGCCTATTGGTCAATGGAGATCAGAAAAACATGTGAGCAAAATATAATTAATTATTTGTATTATTGAATATGTTAAAAGATTAAAGTAAAATTTAGGGCACTATAGCTATGTTCCAGTTCTTTCAGGATGGGCCCAGAATAGAAGCAGCATTTAGAAAGTATTTTCACCGTGCAGATTCCAGTCAAGAGCATGATTCTTATACTATTCTTGTATGCCATGCAAATGTTATCAGATATTTTGTATGTCGGTAAGATTTTTTAAACTTTTAATTTAATAATATCAATTCAATAATTCTTTCTTGTATTCAAAATATTTTTTCTTTCTTTTTAAAGAGCATTGCAATTTCCACCAGAAGCATGGCTACGAATATCCTTGAAACATGGAAGCATTACTTGGCTCTGCATTCTTCCCAGTGGTAGAGTTACACTTTTTTGTCTGGGTGATACAGGACACATGTTACCACAAAATGTAACATCTTCTTAAAGGTATGACATATATAGATGTCATATGTAAATCATATCATATATAAACAAATAATAAACATCAAGACTATTGATAAGCATGTATATATACATATGTGCATCAAGACTGCATTTTACAATACGTACAATTTTATGTATTTATCTATAATTTTTTCTTATCAGAAATAACTCATTCTTTGTTATAATTCTATTACATTAAATAGCTGTTTTCTCACTGTGATCATATTGAATTATAATTTATAGTATATTTTTATTAATTTATACTTCAGTATATGCAAAAATGTTTTTGTTAAGTGCATTTAACACTAAAAAATCATTTTAATATATTATGTAAGAAAAAGTTCACATGAACTTTTAGTTATCAATTCAATATGACTGCAGTGAAGAAATCGGAAGCCATAATGTAATTGTATGCAATTGTATGGACATAAACATTGAATTTTACTCCAAAAAGAATATTTTAAAATATTACAAGAAATGTAGATTTGTACAGATGTAAATACTAAATTTCACCAGAAATAATATTTCAAAGTTTAAAACAAATACATAGAAGTAAATAATAAAATAATACAGAGAATAAAGAAAATGTTAAAATAAATATTATCTCGTTATTTAAATATAATATTTTCTTCCAATAAGAAAATTTGAATATATTATCATCTCAGCGAATAATGTGAAATTTAATTAAAAATATAGAAGGGTTAATCACAAATCTAATATATGAATTAGCTATTTAGACATTTCAATTATGTATAATATAATTGCAATTATCTAATGTTATAATTTTCATTCATAGGTTTTATTGTACATATTTTTACAATACAAACTTGCATTTATCTTTTTATACATCTTTGTCATATAATAAGATGAACAGTATTCATTTATTTACATTTATATTTTAATTAATATAAAAAAGAAATTACATATTATTATAATGATTAAAATAATTATAAATTAATTAGTTTAATTCACAACAGTCAGTCTCTTTGCTTTCCGTGCATAATATCTTTGTAATGCTTCTTCAAATAGTGGACCTACTGTTCTTTTTATCCAGATGGAAGATCTATCCTTTTTTTCAACAGGTTTCTTTTCAACTTCATCTTCTGAATCAATTTTCTTGCTATCTTGAGGTATTTTTAGATCCTTTATATTTGAATCTTTATTTTTAACATCCATGATATTTTCATCTGTGTTTACATTATTTTTATCTAATTTTTGTTTCTTTTCTTTCGGTTCATGTATCTCTAATTTATCAGTGTCTTTATTCATTGATGAAACAATATTCTGATCTTTTGATTCTTCTTTACTTGTTTCAGTTTCAGAATCAGATTCATATGTTTCTATTGCCCTTTGTCTATATTGCCTTGATTTTTTAGATTTTACAATTGTTTTTGATATTTCATCTGTTGCATTTACTATCTTATCCGATGTAGTATTTTCTCTTTTTTCATTTGTGCTATTTGTTGAATTTTTTTCTTCCTTTTGCTCAGTATTCCTTTCCTCGATCTTATTGTTTTTATCTTCATTAGTCTCACTTTTATAATCAACAGTTTGCTCATATAGATGACGATAAAAACCTGATATATCTTGCTGTTTTGTCACATCTCCAATAGCTTCCAATCTACTCATTCTGGCTTCCTCTTCCTCCATTTTTTTAAATTCTTCTAACTTTGCTTTATACGCTGACGTGACGAAGCTCTCCTTATCCGCGTACATCTCACCTTCTGCTTCGCGTTCCTTTTGTACCATTCTCTCTATTCTATGCTCCTGTTCCTTCTTTCTTCGTTCAGCCGTTTTTAGGAGCTTCTGTATATACCTAGGTTTTTTCTCCTTTTCCTTGCTGACATCCGATTGACTTTTACTCCGCTCCATGTTGTCATAAACTTCATCATATTGATAAATTGTCGGATCCTCATTTAGAGCTCTTTGTATATCAAGTTTCGTCTGCTTTTTTATTTTATTCTTTTCACTTTCCGCCCTGAGAGCTTTCCTGACCCAATCGGTGCCATCCTCCTCATCAGAGACATTGTCATCTCCAAAAACATTACCGAGCTTCGGTGTCGTCTTCTGTTGCTGCTTCTTCGGCAAAAGTAGACCGTAACTACAGGAATGTAAAGAAAAAAAATCAATTAATTATACAAGAATGTTTTCATCGACATAAATTATTTTCCAGATTTTATTCACTTACTGTTTATTAACAGCCATTGCGCCCGATTGTTTATTAATTCCCAAAATGCAGTGAGAAACCTAACCTATTCTCTCTAACCTTATCTATTCGATTTTTAACATTGGACGTAGAATCCTGTGCGCATGTGCGTTTTTTTTTTTTTTTTTCACTTACGTGATAAACTTTCGACAAATTTTACAATCTGTCTCGTTCAAGAGGTATTTCCATTACGCGATTTCGCGCATGAACCGCGGAACGAGAAAGATACGTATGCGTGTGTGTGTGTGTACATACACACATACAACCCTTTGCTACGACCACGGTGGGGCATAGTGACATTTGCTTCAATTTGATACCCTTCCTCCTCCCCTCCCCGGTCGCCCTTCGCCCACCTTGTCATAATCGCCCACTCATTTGACGCGTGAACGTCAGCAGTGCACACACATATATATAGAAGAATGAAGAATCCTGTGATATGAGTCTCTGACAGCCGTTGACAGCTGTTGACTTCCTCCGAGGGAATAGCGACATTTTAAACGCGGGGTCCCTTGTAAAAAAAATGGGAAGCCAACATCGTTTCGTATCGTTCGTCTGCCTCGTCGTGTTCGTCGCTCTCGTGAACAGTCATTCGTTGAATAGATACGAGCAGGACGATGACTACGTCACCACATCGTACACGCATTACGACGAGCTGCAACGGCTCTTGCGCTCCCTGGAACAAAGGTACCCGCGTTTGGCCCGGGTGATTTCCATCGGCAAGTCGGTAGAGGGTCGGGATCTCCTGGTGCTGGAAATTTCGGAAAATGTCGGTCAACGCAGTCTCGGCGAGCCCATGGTCAAATACGTCGCCAACATGCACGGCGACGAGGCTGTGGGAAGGGAGCTGCTCATCATCCTCGGCCAGTATCTCCTGGACCGATACGGCAAAGACGACCGCATCAGTCGGCTGGTGAATCAGACGGACATTTACCTGATGCCATCCATGAACCCGGATGGTTTTGAAAATTCATTGGTAGGATTGAAATTTTTCTTTTAACTCGATTTTTATGCAAAACGAATATATAATACACAAGGATCGATGATGGAAAAATCTTGTGCTTCAGGAAGGAAAATGCGAGTCCAAGGAGGACTTTTCAGGCAGGGAAAATGCCAATCGCGTCGACTTAAATCGGGATTTCCCCGATCAATTCGATAGAAGATTGAGTCAAATTAAGAAGGGCGTCTCTATACTAAATGGTCGTCAGAATGAGACGGTGGCTATGATGACATGGATCTCCAATGAACCTTTTGTACTCTCTGGGAATCTTCATGGTGGTGCTGTAGTTGCCAGTTATCCATATGATTCTGGGTAAATATATTGTAGAATTATCATGATAATAATTGTATTTTAGTATTAAAATGTTATAGTAGCTTATATTACTAAAAATTTCTTATTTATCTGACAAAAGAAATATTTTTTTAGTATTCCAAAAACATGCTGTATAGAAAGTAAAAGCCCGGATGACAAATTATTTAAATATCTTGCCCATGTTTATGCGGACAATCATCCAGATATGCATAGAGGTGATGCTTGTCCACCAGAAAGATTTCCAGGTGGTGTTACAAATGGGGCATATTGGTAAGCGTAATTTTATTATAGTTTCTAATATTGCTCAATATTAATTTTTGTAGTAACCTTATTTACTAAAAATTTGGACATTTATTATTTTAAAAAAATATGCATATTATTTATTTATTTATTCTACAAAATTAAATTAATTAAATCAAATTGTGACTTAAATTTTTTTAATAGGTATGAAGTAATTGGTGGAATGCAAGATTACAATTATGCCCGTTCTAATGCATTTGAGATAACATTTGAATTGAGTTGTTGCAAGTATCCACCTGGTTCAACAATACCAGATCAATGGCAATTAAATAAAGAATCTTTGATTAAATATTTGGAGCAAGCACATATCGGAATCAAAGGTAAAGTTCATCACACATCATTTCAATATATTAGATTAATTGAAAGAAATTTTATAATATATTTGTTTCTTATTTTGTTTACAGGTTTTGTACGCAGTACAGACAATGATAATCCAATTGAAAGAGCAAACATTGTCATAAAGGGAATAAATCATAATATAACAACCACAACTGATGGCGAGTATTGGCGTTTACTACTCCCAGGAAATTATTCAGTTTATGCTACTGCATGGGGGTATGTACTTACCATAATCTTTTGAGATTAATGTATTGTAAAATTTTTATCAATTAATATTATACCAAATTGGATAATATTTCTAACAAGCTTATTTTTCTTTTACCTATTGTTTGTTTAGATATGAATCCAGTGAACCAGTAAATGTGACTGTATTAGAAGGAAATCCAACAATTCTTAATTTCACATTAAATCGCAGAGAAATATTTGATGAACAAGGTAACACAGACATAGATTATCCACAAATATCATTCTTTAATAATCTTCTTGCACCTTATGGGATGATAATAGATTATGATAAACAGACTTATAAATAATTCATATTTGAAAATATTTAAATTATTGTGCATTTATAACTATTATTTATTTAATATTTAATATATTTATTTATTATTTTTTATTTAAAATGTTATGATATTAAATGTTACAAATGTTATTATTAATTAATATAATCATTCATTTGTGTTTTAACAATTGATATATTTGAAAAATTTTTATCGTGAAAAATTTTTATTTTCTATTTATATGTGTATCTTTTTATTATTTCTTTCTATTTTATTTTACAGACAATTAAAGATTCAGTTGTGACATTTGGATGTACACATCTTTAAATATTTATGATTACGGAATCTTTTTCTCGCATTTTTTATCTGATTATCATATGCTTTTATTTTATAAGATTTAAGTAACGAAAGAGATTTAGACAATTATACATATATCACACAAGGTATAGAGAAAAGAAACTTCTGAACTACATATGAAAAAAAGAGGAATAAGAATTTTAAATCTATTTTTGTCATGATTTGTATATAAATTAACAGAAAAATATTGCAACTATATTCCAGTTTGGAGGCATATACATTGGTTCTATTATTATTCATTGTTTATAATTTAAATATTAATTCTGTCTTATAACATTTATTTGTTCATAGATATGTTTATGAATAAATATTATATTAGCTAATATTTAAATTATACGAGTAATTAAATATATGTACATCACAAATATATGTACATATGTACAGACAAGTAATGGTCCCATCTTCAAATTGGAAAATAGTATCTTATAATACCAGTGTAAACATTAAATGATCAATGTTATATAGATATAATGCTTGTGATTATTTCTATATAACATTGTATTATAGATTACTTATATTTCAAATTAGACTTTTTTTTATATTTTTTGACTTTTTTTGATATTTATGTACTTATGAGCATATATGAACAAATTATTGAAATATGCTCTCTTTTTTAATAACGGCTAGCTAAAGTGCTTTTATCTTCCAATGCCAAAATATTATTGAACAAATTATTTATATTTACTAGAACACATATCAATGTTGTCAATATATCGTTTTGTTATAAATATGTGTAAACTGAGCTATTTTGAACAATTATTTTACTTAAAACGCGATAATACTTAGTCTAGTTATTTAGACTTTAATTTTTATTATTTGACAGGGAATTATTTAAAAAGATAAATTTCGAATGTATGAAAAAAAGATTATATTTAAATTTTAAGATTATTTAAAAGTAAGATCCATATACACAGGACAATATATGTAAAACGTTTTATCTTATTCTTAACGTCTTATCTTTCTTACGAAACCATTTTAAGTACATAAAATGAGAACAAAAAAGATAAATGTACTGTGTTTTGCATACAACTCATGTAAAATTCGTACTGCCAATATTCAGTTTATTGTACATGGAAAATTATCTGTATTAGTAAATGTAGATCTCTGTGAAAATACGTCGAACAATGGCGATAGTGTTCGTGAAACTGTATAGCGATATATATATTCCAATATTTTCCCTACATATATGTATTGTTCAAAGCTAGAAATAAAAAAAATTGTCTGGACGATGAGTAACTTTTTCAACGCACATATCCTTTTCCTCTAAACCTACGTACAATGTTCTTGTATATATTTGATTTATTTCTTATCAGTTTTCTCGTTTTCTCTGTACCTTGTGTTTCGTGACATTACTTATCTCTAATTTTTTATATGATATTGTTTTGCATTTATCTCTAATTTCTTAAATCATTATGATTATCTATTCAAATTATTGGGACAGTTATTTTTATGAATTTCTTTATTTCATTTTGATGGATAACAATGATTCGTACAATGCAGGAGAAGAAAGTACCATTGATGAAGTAGTAAGACCCATCGACAAATATGGCTTTTATCACACCGTGGAATTCAAACACCACAACTACTCTATGATGGAGAGATTCTTGAAGGAGCTGAATGCGAATTATCCAAATATCACCAGGCTCTACAGCATAGGCTCTTCCGTGCAGGGTCGCGAGCTCTACGTTATGGAAATCACGAAAAACCCCGGCAAGCACAGTTCCGAGAAACCTGAAGTGAAGTATGTCGGAAATATGCATGGAAACGAGGTGGTAGGTCGAGAGATGCTGCTGCTGTTACTGAGGTATCTTTGCGAAAATTACGGCACCGATGAGAGAGTCACGCGACTAGTAGAAACTGTTAGACTGCATGTATTACCGAGCATGAATCCCGATGGATACGAAATTTCCAAGGAGGGTGACGTTTACGGAATCAAGGGCAGAGCGAACGCGAAGGACGTGGATCTCAATAGAAACTTTCCCGATCACTACGAAATTAACGATGTACGTTCTCTTCGCTTTAATGAATCGTGTACACACTCAATGTATCCGCTTAACTCTTAGATTACGTCTTAACGATCTATTTATGCATATTCGAATCAGGTCTTATGCTGATGCTTATGTATCTTTTATAGTTTAATCGGCATCAGGAGCCCGAGACTGAGGCGATGATGAAGTGGATAGCGAGGATTCCATTTGTACTCTCCGCTAATCTTCATGGAGGAGCGTTGGTTGCGAATTATCCTTACGACAGCGGTTCGCAGGAATACGTCGCGAATCCAAGCCCGGATAATGATGTCTTCAAGATGTTGGCGCTGACGTACTCCAAAGCTCATCCGCACATGCATCTCGGAGAACCATGTCCGCCGTTGGTGAAAGGCAGGAAATCGCTTCTTGAGGAACGCTTCCCTGACGGAATAACAAACGGCGCCGCCTGGTATCCCGTATCCGGTGGCATGCAGGATTACAATTACTTGCACAGCAATGATTTCGAGATCACTCTGGAAATTGGATGCACAAAGTTTCCGAACGCCAGTGACTTGCCGGAATACTGGCTGGAGAACAGGGAGCCCCTTCTACGTTTCATCGAAATGGTATGGCCATTTCGATATTGAAGAAATGAGTTAAACTTGATTATAATAATTCTCTTAATTTTCTATATCCACATATGTAGAAGATTAAGCGGATTATTATAATCAAGTTTCATTTAAATTGAATATCTTTTAAACTATTGATGATATCAAAAAATGTTTCAAATAAAAATTGAATAGTTTTTTAAGGAAGACAATCTGTCAATAGCTTCTTTATAAATGAAGATATAAATGTTTATATAATAATATAATTTTCTTATAGTCTCGCAAAGGCATACATGGTATAGTGAGCTCATCTATTGGTACTCCTATACCCCATGCGAGGATCTCGGTGGAAGGTATAAAGCATGACATTTACACCACCGAGGCAGGTGATTATTGGCGATTGTTGGTACCGGGACGCTATAACGTGACTGTCAGCGCGGTAGGATATGAAAGCCTCACACAGGATGTCAACGTATCTCCATACGGTGAAAAAATTGGAGACGGAGAGGCGACTTTGTACTTTACGTTAATGCGCGATGATCCTCTACACTGGTACAATTATATTTATTTAAAATATACACTTTTCGAAATTTAACTCGCGATATGAAAGATCGATCTATGTCTTTAATAAGGTGGAAAACTCAACTAGTATATAACTTTGTACATGAATCTCTCAAATAACTTTTCTAAAAATGTTTTTCTTCCTCGGATTGGGATCTTTCTTGAGGAAATAATTCAAGCAAACTTTGACAGAAGATAAAAAACACTGCATAACTTTCTTTAAGTTGTTATATTAGTATATATATACATCTTATATATTATTTATAAACAAAAAATATATCTCTAGAAATTCGAAAAATATCAAAAAAAATCTGAAAAAAATCGATATATTTAAATAGAAATATATCTCTTACAGGTCATCCGCATATGATTTTGGTTTGAGAGCAAATTTGCAGAGTGGTTACTTGACAAATTCTGACTTGAGTGCCAGATTCAGTCAATTAGAAAATCATCAACCTAATGTTGCGGAATTTATAGCCGGTGACTCATTGATTAGCATGGCTATTCATTCGCTGAAGATCACGCATAATGTAAATTTAATTTCGATCAACCGTATATTGCTTATTTAATTGCGTATTGTTCGTTCAGTTTACGACTTTGCATTTTTCAGATGGGATCACCTGACGAGAATAAATTTCATATCGCGTTGGTGGGAGGATTGTTCGCCTCCCAGCCAGCTGGTAGGGAGATCCTATTACGTTTGGCCACGCATATCCTCATGGGAAATAGAATTGAGGATCCGCCAATCCAAAGGATACTAGATAATGCTTTACTGCATTTTATTCCCGGTATCGATCCGGCATTCGATAATATAGAACAAAGTAAGAATTGCAATCCTGTGGTCAGAAACGAAGTGGGAAATAAGTTGTTATCAGAGAACACTAAACAAACGGATATAATTACGAATGCGTTTGAGAAAATGTTACAGACCGAAGATTACGACGTCGTCGTAATATTAGGAGGCGGGGCATCGCAAATCAGGTAACATAATGTGTAACGTAATTATAAATACACATCTTTCGAAAAAAAATTTAATTCTCTGTGATCAATTGTTGTCTTTCAAGTTATTCCAATGACGACCTAAATATATTTAAAACACTTGCCGAGAATTACGAGCATTCAAGACACAAAGAAATATGCAGTTATCCGAACAACAGTACACAACGCATGACGAATTTCATACAGCGTGTATACGGTATACCTACGGTAAATTAATATATAATTAATACAAAAATTGTCGAATATTTAACTATTTCTGTCTTGTCATCATCAAATATTTATACTTATTAAATTAAATTAAATTTCTTTGTGTAGATGAGCATAAGTTTGTCGTGTTGCAACTATCCGCCCGCAGACTCGATCTCTATCATCTGGCGTGAGAATCTAGGACCACTTATGGAACTTGTGCAGAATCTTGCGAGCGGAATTCGCGCGATGGTAATGAATGAAAGTGGCGCGCCACTTCGTGAGGCCAGCATTAAGCTAGGAGAAAGAAGTTACAACGTGTCGCGTAACATGGCTTATTTCAAGATGATATTGGTACCTGGCGAGTATACATTAATTGTTTCCTGCAAGGGATACGACACACAAATGTTAAAGGTTTCTGTGCAACAGCAAAATGTAACGGACATCGATATTAGAATGAACGCGACGCAGCTTGATGCAGCAAATCGCAACGAAGCGTTTGAGAAACTGAGTTTCGTAAATCAAGCCTTGAGCGATTTGAATACCAAGTATCCGCACAAAACGACTTTGCATTCTATCGGTAGAACCACGAAGGGCAGCGAGATAATGTGCCTTGAGATCAGTTCGGACAACGATCGGATAGAACGATCGTCCATCGTATTCTCGGCCGGGATACTACGAGCGGAACCGGTCACGTCGGGAGTACTCTTGCATCTCGCTTCGTATCTCCTGGACAACTATGAAAGGAATGCCACGATCGCAAGTTATATCGATGACTTTTCTATATACATAGCTCCGGATTTTTCGCCCGATTTTCACACGAACCTCACCTGCGCACCACCGCCATCGGATGGTCCACGACAGTTTCCGATTCACAATAAACTTGATAACGAAGCGGCTATGATCGCGAATTGGTTCAAAGACATTAATGCTGTGTTGGCCGTTAATCTGAATAGTGGATCGCGGCACATAGAAATTCCGTTCGGTCGCGAGTATGGAACGATGGACGAACGAAGATACGAAAGCGCCGACGAGGATATACTGCGACATTTAGCATCATTGTATGCTGATACGAGAATAGATAAGTTGTCCGAAAGCTCGAAATGCGAGCAAGACTCGAATATCGGCGACAATAGCGTGATACACGCAGGGATCGGAATCGGTAAAAATCATCCTTTGATGGATTACATATATTTTAATACAAGTACCTTAATGATAGACGTATATGTTACCTGCTGCACTACCGACCATTCGAGCGCCGTATGGCAGATGAATAAAGCAAGTTTACTGGCTTGCATACAAGAGTTGGACAAAAGCGTAAGAGGATACGTCACCAATGAAGACGACGAGCCGTTAAACAAGAACGTCGTTTTGTCTTACGACAGATCGCCTCACATGGTTAAAAGCGGCAAATCGGGCTTCTATTCCATTCTACTACCGGCTGGAAAACACAATATAACAGCTACGGCGCCTGAATATTACGAGGAAACCAAACTCATCTCTACGTATTTGTCTGAAAGAATGAAATATTCGAGATTAATGTTCAAGCTTATCCATGACGACAATATTATAGGGATACCAAGATTAGTATTCATTATGATAACGGGTAAATATTAGAGTTACGAGATATTTAACTTAATGAGAATAATTAGAGATGTGAAATGAGGAAGACATCATTGATATCTAATTCGATTGCAGGTACAATATGCTTCAGCATCGTCTTGTGCTGCGTAAGTATTTGTACGAGATATCAATCTTCAAAAGACGAGATAAACAAAAAAGGATATGCATTCAGTTTATTGAAAGACGGTGGTAGCTTTTTCGATGATGACGAGAAGGAAATTGTGATATTTCGAAGACCAATAGATGGTAATAATTATTTTAGTGCATATATTAAGATAATCTTGAATCTCAACATATACATATAAAAATGCTAATTTTTATTTTTTGTCATAATGTAGAGAATTCACCGAATAATAATGAAATTACAAGGCCATATTTTGACGATGACAATAGCTCCGAAGATGAAATCAATTTTATGCGAAATTATTCGGCCTGAACAAGAGCGATAAAATACCAAGGTAAACGTGATAGCAAATTTTTGTACAAGAAATTTTTCACATTGATAAATTTAGCAGCTCCGAAATAAGGATTAAATGCAATTAAACAAATATAAATAATTGTTTAACTTGTAAAAATAAGCACTGGGGTCCAAATATGCAATATGTACTTATATATGTATTTATGTATTAGATCTGTGCTGAATTTTTTAAATAACGCGAGAAAACATTATTGATATACAAACGTTTTGATCATGTTTTTAATTTTGATGATATTTTTATAAATATTTATAGATATATTATATAAAAATTCGAAAAAGATTAATTTTATAGAGAAACATTAAAAATTGTATAAGAAAAATATGTAAATATCAAAAAATTTTATATTAAAATTTTAAATATATGATTAGAAAAGAGCAGAAAGATAAAGTTTTTTAAAATTGTCAATAACTTTTAATTTTTAAAAATAAATATAAAATAAGAGGATAACATCATGTGCGTCAATATTATGTATAATAGTAGGCTATACGTAATCATTAGGATTAAAGAACACATATTTAAATATTCTAGATATGAAAAAAATTCAATATTTTATTCTTAAATATTTTAATATTGAGTTTTATATAAGATTTATTTTTACTACAAGTGTGATAAAGGATCCCGCACATTTTATGAAAAAAGTGGCTTCTTTTATACTTTTGATTTTCAGACTTTTGGTCCTAGGAAATTTTTGATCAATATCATATAAACTACAACATATTTCAATTTCAGCCAATTTGACTGAAGCCACTTTTTTCAATGTGCGGAGTTCTTTTTCTTATTATATTACTTATTATATTTCTTATTATATTACTATTTATATTACATATCGCATTTTAGCAGTTTTAATTTAATCGTCTAATGTTTTCGAAATCTAGAAGTGTTTTTTCTTTTTTTCTATTTCTATTTTACTCCTATTATTCTCGGGTATTTTTCCTGAAATGTCTTCCTAAATAATAATTTTCTAAGTTACACATATACTTAGATTATAAGCAGACCTAATTATCATAGTAACATACAAACAATTTAATATTACAATCATTACATATGTGTGATGATAGAATTTAAAGCTGACTAAGCTGTATAATATAATAGAAATATTGCAATTTATCAAATTGTTTAATAAATTTGTTAGAGAATTCATCTAATGCAATACGTAATGTTACCATGATTTTATTCTGCATCAAACAAGAATTATTCAATTTATTTACATTTATGTAAATGCATTTTATGTACAAAGTTTTGTAGATTAAAATGTTTAACAACGAATTATAAATCTCATCCACACAAAACCTCAATCATGTAGATATAAAAATACAATATTGTTTTTTATCTCTTAATTTTGAACTTTTTTTTATATAGTATTTTAAGTACAAACATTCTTATTTATATCTTATTTATATAATTTATGTAATTAAAGAAATTTACTAAATACTTTGAGATAAAATAAAAATATATTGCTACTAAAAAATTAAAGTCATGTCGAGATTAAAATTGAAATTAATTTCAGATGGATTGACTTTGAAAAAACAAATTGAAATCAATTAAAATTGAAACCAAATCATGCAAAAATCGAAATTGACTTAACACTAAATCTAACAAAGAGAGTACACGACATCCGGGTCATCGATTTTAAAGAAACTTTGTGTGAGTGTGTAGTACTTAATACATAACTAATTTAAGGTAGTAAGACGCACTACTCAATCGTTTTCAAGAAAAAAGTATTTAAAGTTTCGCGAGCATCTTATAAAGCTATGGAATAACAAAAATATAAAGTTATGCGTAGGTGAATAAAGCGGTAGCAATATGAGGAACCATGGTTCTCGACATATCTTTTTTTTCAATTTATTTTTATTAACTCATTATTTCAAATATTTTAAACTAAATAGGAGTAGGCAAACATTACATGTGACAAAATTGAATTTTAAATTATTTATTACCATAACTAATAAAATATAAAGGAGCTGTGCATTTTATGCCCAAAAAAGGGATACTATATTAGAAAAAGAAAAAAAAACAGAGAAAATAAATAATTTAAGATTCAATTTTATGTGTTACATGTAATTTTTGCCTGTTAATAAATATATATTTATTATAATAAATATTATATTGCTATTTATTAGATATTTTTTCTTTTAATATAGCAAATAAAAAAAGAAATTTTATAGTATAAATTTTTATTCAGTTAGTATAACTTTTTAATATTATTATTTTTATAAAAAATTAATACAATTATTTTGTATAACTTTTTTCTGGTTAAAATATTTTTGTAGATTTTTATTTTTAATTGACATAATTTTTTGATATTTTTGTAATAAAATAATATGTAAGATTTTATTTTCAGTTGCGCAATTTTTTGATATCATTAATTTTTGTAGGATATATTAAAACAAATGTGGAAAATTAAAATAAATTTTTTGTATAACAATTTGGCTAATATTTTCCATTTGCACGCGTGAACTTGACGCCTTTTTTTATCTTTTTTTGAAAAGATTAGTTTTTTTAGGAATATAGTTATAATATTAATAATATAAATAGTTATAATATTATAGTTATAATATTAATAACATAAATTAATAATATAATTGTAATTACTATATATAATAGTAATTATAATTATAGCCATTTTGTTCATATATGATAAAATATAATTTAACAAATTGTTAATTTTGTTGAAAAATTATTTTTGTTAAGATTGTTAATAATTGTTTTTGTTAAAAAGATATTTTTATTAATGCGATATGTAATGCAATATATTATCATGATTTTATATTCTGTATCAGGACGATGAGACGAGAATTATATATATCAGCGCACTTTATATAATTAACTCGTATATAATTATAGTATCCACACTTTTTTTATAATATAAAAATAAAACTAAATATCTTTTCTTCTTTCTTAATGCACGTGCTTTTTTAACACACGTGATCGCATAAAACTACATTGCGTTCGCGCTAAATGAATGTAAGGGTGCATTCATACCTTGGAAATGCGTGCTGGAAGTAAACAGTGTGTGACAGTACACTAGAAGGGCAAAAAGTAAAAAATGTTATTACCAATGCGAATTCTGATTGGCTTCTGCTTTTCTGCCAAGGTGTAAATGCGCCCTAGAGGCACAAATTCGGAGGGTACCCGATTGACCACGTCGCCAATTGGCCAATTCAAAATAGGACTCTCTGATTGGTTAATTGTTGCTGGTTACCCTAAGCACAGGTCGATATAATTGGCTGTGATCAATCGCAACTCTCCACAGATTCACCAATCAATGGCTGCATTGTAGCTATTTGATTGGTTGAATGAGTTCTTAAGATGTTCTTAAGACCGGACTATGAATACCGGCCTATGAATACCGGCTATTGGGTCTGTTCTTTTCAGCTGTACTGCTGCATTAGTGCAATAAGTTAGAAAGAGACAAATATACTTTCTTTCACTCTAAAGCGGCCTTTTCATTGACGCTAAAAAGTAGCGTCAACCATTGGTTAAACAATGAAGCAACTACTTACTTCTTTGTTCAACCAATGATTGACGCTACTTTTTAGCGTCAATGAAATTGTATCTTAACTAATTGCACTAGTGCAGCAGTGCAGCTGAAAAGAACAAACCCATTGGCAACACTGTACAAATGTAATTTTTTGAAGTGCGTTTGGAGTGGGGGAAAAATCATAATGGCCGCCCCCGAGTTATTAGCTCGATTAGCCGTTGTGAGCGGAGTTTTGTGATGTAAACGGAGGAAGATATTCGCAAATGTTTAGTAAGACAAGTTTATCGGCTCGTTTTCTGTAAAAAGAATGGCGGGTTTAGAGGGCTACGAGAGTGTATATCGAGGTCGGACCGCTAGATCGTGGGAAATGAATCCGCCCTACTCACAAAAGTATCACGGTCGAGAGGTTATCCATCCTTTAGATATACCTGTTATGCATCCTCTGGCAGAAGACAGTCCGCCGATCATCGACGATGGTGAGTTTTCTTTTTTTTTTTTTTTTTTTTTTTTTCTATCAACTGTTCTTTTTAAAATATGCTTACTGATGGGAGCTGTTTGTATTTTATAAATAAATATCGCTTTATATAATGATATTCACTCATTGTCAGTTAAATACGACTAAACTTGTTAAGTAAATTTCTATAGATTTCGCATTTTTTCGTTTTTCATGTTATTGTATGACAGATTTCCTAATCTTCACGAATGTTACTTTTATGCAATTCTCTGTATCTGAATACTCCGTATCTGAAATTTATTTATTTGCCAGAATCCACCAATGTGAGCAAGTACGTGGGATTAGGTTGTGGATTGGCGAGCTTGATTACAGGAAATCTCTTGATACATCCTTTTGTGGTATTGCGAAGGCAATGTCAGGTTAATCCAGGAGCGACAAAATATCATTTAATGCCCATAACTTTAATTCCGGTAATAGTACGCTTACATCAGACTCAAGGTATAAATACACTGTGGAAAGGAATCGGTTCGGTGTTACTTGTGAGAGGCATGACGTTGGCAGTCGAGGATTTGATTTCAAAGATTACACCGTGGCCAAAGTAAGGTGATCGCTGAATAATACTCAGTGTTTTGCAAGAAGATTTCTATAAAATAATCTTTTTCTTAAAACTTGATATTTAATTACAGGAAGATTACTTGCAATAGTTCTATGAAAGCATTTGGCCAACATATCCTTCTTAAATGGTAATTGTAAGAATATATATTGATGTAAATACAATACTTATTAGTTAATTCATCAATATACTTATTAATATATATAATATTACAATTTATAGTGTCTCCATAGGTATAGTGACTCCTTTCTATTCTGCGTCGCTTGTGGAGACAGTTCAGTCTGAGATTGCTTCTGAGTGTCCTGGAATCCTCGATGTTTTTCGTGACGGTGCAATCCGCTTATTGGATGTATGTAATAAGGGTAGACTTATTCCTATTTATGCCCTTGTGCCGCCTACTATAGTTTATGAAGTATCAAAATATCTTTTTGCCTTAATTGTGAGAGGGGTATCTAGTCGAATTATGCATATTAGGCATAAACATTCGCAAGAGGCAAGAGTATGTATCTAATTTTTTTTTTTAATGTTTATGCTTTTGAATAATAATATATCTGCAGCGCTATTCTATTTCAGGGCGCGTATAGTAAAGATTTACTGTCTGAAAGTGTTGTCCAAGATATAGAAATGCAATCTATTCTTGTATCGACATGTGCTGCGGATGTTGTGTTTTATCCTCTTGAAACTGTTATTCATCGATTACATCTTCAAGGTACACGCACTATTATTGATAATTTAGACACTGGAAGAAGTGTTACACCATTATTAACTGGCTATAGCAGTGCGGCCGATTGTTATCGTACAATAATCTCGACTGAAGGACCACTTGGTTTGTATAAAGGATTCGGTGCTCTTATTATGCAATTTGCGGTACATTTCATTGTATTGCGCGCGACGAAATGGCTGTTGACAGAATTAGGCACGATGTTGATGCCGAAACCTAAGTCAATAAAGCCACAGAAATCTCCGTATTATAATGAAATGTAAAAAAAAAAGAAAAATAACATCTATAACAAAATATTGTAAAATATATGATTATTTATTAATTTCTAACAAAGATATAATCATAGTCTTTAATGATTCTGATTTTGTTTCCACAATTCTTTTTTATATTGTTAATAACAATATTCGAAAGTGTAAATTGTGTGCAAGTTTTCTATCTCTATTATACATTTTACATGCACAATGCAAATTAAATAAGATATTAAATAAATCCATACAAAAAAATTTTAAGTACTGAAAGTAAAATTGGATTGTGGACAATACTTGTAAATATAGTCATTTTCACATGACAGTCATTATTTTCATCAAATCAATTTCTATTTACCATGAAATGTAATTATGTGATATGATTTTATTACAACATTATGTTAATATATAAATGTTATAGGTCATTTATGAGGTAAATAAATCACAAAATATATTACAATTACATATTACAGATTTATTACAAATACAGAATTATTCTATATATTAAAGGATGTCAGATCATATGAAATAAAGATATAAGAAAAAACCCATTCAATTTTTATCATTTCCTACTATTTTTTATACAATTTATTTTTCTTTGTTTTTTTGTTCTTTCTTTTATACAATGAAAATGATAAGTAAATTATAATTGCGAGGATGAGATCGCACGAACGACGATCTATAAATAGATTAGCAATTACATACAAGTCGTACATTATTCACATTTCCCTTTTCGCTAATCTCTATAATAATATTTACAATATATTACAGACATTTTTGTCTATATTATATTTCGACATAAAATAAAGTATTTCATTGCTTCCTTCAATTTTTCTTGTCTTCTCATAATTAATATTCTTCCAGTAAACAGGTGTTTCATAATTTATTATTATCATTGAGTTATAAGACCTTTTTTTAAATTTGTTTAAACAATGCGCACAATATTAGTATCCTCTTTACAAACAATCCTGACATGACAATTTACTTTGAATAGTTGCATCATAACTTTCTTTATTTGTTATTTGTTCTTTAATTTTTTTACAATATTTTTAATCATATTTAATTGATAATATTTCTTTAGTTCATATATTCTCATATATTAATCCATTTAAATTACGATTAGAATTTATTTCTCTATACCTGATTTATATATATATATATGATATTTGTCAAATCGATTTTGATGACATTATTTTTTGAATATACATATTAAAATATTATTTTTTAAATAATATATTATTAAATTTATGGCAAATTTATGACCTTTTTGTTTTCAATTTATCACCAATAAATGCATACATGATGCAAAGCTTGATTGGATGTGGAATGCTAGTATGTGTGGTTTTTCGATCTTGCCTGCAATATGAATGAATAATACGATACAAAATATACTTATATTTTTACATTGTTAAATTTACATATTCTCTTTACTCTATTCATTTTCTATTTATGCGACACTTTTTAAAGAAAGCATTTATTATAAAAAATGCTTATTCCAAATGTAAACAAAAATACAAAATAAATATGATTTTTAATAACTTTTCTTACATTAAATAATCATTTTAAATGATATCAGCATTCGTGTCTATTTTTAATATTGGTGTGGTTCCATAACAGCTGTATTTTTGTCATAAAATGATTGCCAATAAATATGCATATATAATATGTGCATAGATAATATATATGTAATATACATATGCATATAATATATAAAATTTTATATACATATGTATATAATTATTTGCAGGAAATATGTTCAACATTATAACAAATATAATGTCCAAAATCGATAGAAATTCACTAGCAAAGAAATAATTAAAACTTTGCACAATAAAATCTTATATAAATATACAGGATAGTTTGAAAGATTTTTATGAACTGTTTGTATTGTTTGGATAATAGAGTCTATATATTTTTTAAAATAAAATTAAAATAAACCAACTTATCAAATGTCAAAACATTCTTCTAACTAAATATTTTTCTATTAGAAAAAAATAATTATACCAAAGTGTCGCATTCTTTAATTATTTGTTAATTATGTACATGCTGTGCTTGCTGAACATCATCCTCATTGCTATCGTCTCGTCTCACATATTGCGGCTTTTCGCAGCCTTTCACGCACTGTTCTGTGATATGAACGGACACTATACCACTTCCCGGTACTTCAAACATAGGTTCCAAAAGTAAAGATTCCATTATCGCTCGTAAACCTCGCGCACCTGTTTTTCTCTCCATTGCCAAAGATGCGATTGCATTTAATGCATCCACATCAAACGTTAACTCCACCTATGTGTTGTACAGGATAAGAAATTAAATATATAATTTATAATTACTAATCTGTAATTTAAAGACATATTTAATTGGACAAATATGATTATTCAAATATACCTTGTCCATTGAGAACAACATCTGATATTGAGGAACAATAGCATTCTTCGGTTCGGTGAGAATTCTCGCTAGCATGTCTCTGTCGAGGGTATGAAAAGGCACGAGTACGGGAAATCTACCAACAAATTCAGGTATCATGCCGAAATCAATGAGATCTCTAGCTTCGACCTGTTGCAGCAACATGTCCTTCTCTTTATTGTCCCTCTCGGTAGAAGGTGACATATTCGCAACATCAGCCAAAGTCGCCGCTCTCCTGCCCGGGCTCTCGGCCGCAGGCGTAGCGCCAAATCCGAGATATTTTTCTGATTTGCGTCGTGCGATCAGCCTGTCCAAGCCGCTGTAAGCACCCGATGCGACGAAAAGAATATTCGTCGTGTCCACTTGCAACATTTCTCCGCGCAGTTTTCTCGAGCTATTCCTTTCTGGTACATTTACTATTGTTCCTTCCAACATCTTCAGCATTCCCTGCTGCACACCCTCGCCGCCCACATCTCGCAACTGATGGATTCCAGGTATGGCTCCGATCTTGTCAACCTCGTCTAAGAAGACGATACCCATTTGAGCACGATCTACTACATAATTAGCATCCTGAAGAAGCTTAGCTATAACGCTTTCAATGTCCTCGCCAACATAGCCTGCTTGCGTGAGAGTGGTACAATCACAGATGGCGAATGGAACATCCAAACATTGCGCTATTGTCTGCGCGAGTAACGTTTTACCAGAGCCCGTAGGACCAAGCAACAATATGTTACTTTTTTCCAATTTTAGTTGATGCTGCTTGCTATCTAATATAGCCGATCCAGGTGCAGATTGACTGCTCGTTTTCTGTTCGCCTCCGGGAGTGACTGTGTGTTGAAATCCAACTCCCGGAAATGGATTTCCAATACCCGATATATGTAGCAAATCTAAAGACACAAATAAAAATTTATGATAATCATACATTATATTATGGTTGTATTGTAATATATTATTTTTTAATCACAGAGCACAAGTTGGGAGAATAATACCGTTTCAAATAAGAATCTATCTCAAGCTTTACAAGAAGTTATTAGTGAATCAAAATAATTTTTTAAATTATTTCGATTTCTCAAAATAATAAGAAATAAATTCTAATTATAATACAAGTTAATATAATATATAATATAATATAAGTATGGAAAACTTTATAGGATTATCAGGGACATTGCTATTTACGTGGCTTAGGACCTCTATGAGTGAAGGGATGATTCGTTTCTTGCGTGCTGATTGGATTAATGTTGGCTTGCGTTTGCGAAGTTTGTACTGGCAGATTGTTGTAGATTCGTTTGTAGTGATTATAAACGGCAACACTTAGCACTTTTTTAGCATATTCTTGACCCACAACATGTCTGTTCAGATATTCGAATATCTGAAAATATATATTTTACATCACTGAAAATATTCTTTCTTGACTAGCTAAATATATTTAAAATATGCCAAATGCTTTGTCTTATCTTTAAAATATAATTTTAAATTAAGTAATCAGTATTATAATCAATTACCTTTTTTGGAGGTGGAGGTGGTTTTCTGTAAAATCCTTGCTTACCATCTTCCGGTCTTAGTGCTTCTTTCAAACTTCTTTTCGAGTCAATCTCTGACAGCACAACGAAGAAATGATGACACTTCTCGCATTTGACAAATCTTGTAGATGCTGTATTATTCGCAAAAATGGTTTAACGCTGTGTTAGAACATAATATTAATATTGCAAAAGTAAGTGTACAAACCTTAATATATAAACTAAGATATAAGAATTTACAACTTTGATAATCTGATCACTATACTATAATTATCTCTTTCATCCATCATTGTGGCAATATTTTACTTACATACAAATGTTTCTACATGTGTGCAAGGATCACCACATTTTGGACAGGTCAGCGTGTTCTTCTTTCCACCACCAGTGCCGTTACTGGTAGATCCACTGGACGTGGTAGTATCTTTGGAGGGTGGCGTAGGATCGGTTGGAGCTTTTGCTAAGCTGCCGCTAACTGTCAAAGCTCTACTGGCCACGACGATTCTCACAATTTTATGTACTGTGCAGCAAATAATCCCACATTAGGTCACTTTTGTAAATAATAGCGTTCACCATTTATCTATAGTCTAAGATATACATATGTAGAAACTATTTACAGCGATACTCACCATGATGATTGTTGACATGGTTAGAAGATATTAAACGACCTGCATTAATCAAGCAACAACGTACGCTACTCATGATCGGCGAAATTCAGTGCGAACGAAAGACAGAGATATGAGAAGCTTCACTATCTTGGATGTTTCGAGCACGTGAATCTAAAATCAGAGAGATATTTTTTTGCGTATCGTTGAGTCGATGCAACATACGATGGCTGCGCTTGCGTTTGCGAAACAATACGAGTTGCGATATGTGATAACTGCTGTTTACTCTATGTCAAAATACGAGATCTTCGCGCAACATTTTTATCCCTATTGGTTATCCCAGTCGTTCTCAACGTTTTCTCGCGCTCGATTCATATTCGATGCAATTTTGCGGGACGATCGAAACATCCGCGAGACTCCAAACGAGACGAAATTTTTATGCGACAGCCAAAATCCCGCAATGTCGTCAAAGATTGCACAAGGACGCGATAACCCGACGAGAAAAACACAGAGGAATATCGGTGACGCGAGATCAGAGGGAGATAGAAAGGAAGAAAGAAAGAGGGAGAGATGGACGCGAAAATAACATTCACGCGACTGTCGGTCGACAAATCGATTTACACTCGCCTGTATCCTACCTAAATTTTTAATATAAAGTGCGACCAAAATGTTAATGCCGCGGACGGCACACACAGCTCAAAATATACACATATGTACGGATAACTCGCGATTTTTTTCGATCGAATATCGAAGCGCCCTCTCACGCGATTTCGCCGATTCACTCACGTCACGATTTCGCGAACGCAACGGATTTCCTGTCAATGTCACATTGTGTCAGTTGTGTGTTTACATGTACATGTATGTATGGTTATTTATATATATATATATATATATATATATATATAAATATATAAAATATATTTTATATATATTTTCTATATATATATTTTTTTCTATATATATATTTTCTATATATATATATATATATATATATATATATATATATATATATGTGAAAGGAATACTTGAGATTATGTTTGATGTGTACATAATTCCCTGCATAGCGAATAAATAAATTCAATTAATTTTTAAATATAATGTATTTTATAAATAAAACGTTAATTATTTAGTAATAAATACATTAAAACATTAATTTATCCGTAAAAATAATAAAAATATATAATAAAATAATTTGCTTTAAAATGTAAAAAAAATTCAAAAACTTGAACCAACGATACACAGCGCATCAATTATGCGCCTCAATCGCTGCGCTACGCTGCCAGCGCATTTATGATTAACGCACATAATTTTAATTCTTTGTAATTTTGCTGTTTTATTAATAGCAGAAAATACAAAATTACAAATACACGCGGCCGCATCGCTCGCAGCGATTACAGTTATCGATATCGTGAAAAGCTGTGGATGATACTGTTATCGTAACCTGCATCGTATAATCGCAATTTATAAGTGTACTATATATCTTTTACGTTATTTTTATTGATACAAGATTTTATATCAATTTTATGAAGATTAGTGATAGATAACGAGAAATGGTAAGATAGAGATTGAAAATGTTCGCTAGTGAAAGTCGTTTTTTCACATGTACTTCTATTGTATCGCGCATACGAGAGTAATTATCAGTGATTACACAATTGTTTTAATCTTAAATGACATTCTCTATTACGTATTCTATTACAGAATATTTGGAAGAAACAGGGAGGCCTCTATTGAAAAGTGATTGAGATATTATCCATTTATCAAAGAAAAGTTATGTTCATTGACTGAACAAATTTAATTTATCAAAGAAAATCTAATTGTTAATTAAATTGTGTTTGATATATTCAATATTATGGCTCTCCAATATTCAGTAAATACAGGCGATAGCAATTTAGATACTAAGATTATTGAATGGCTACAATGGAATAAGGTATGATATTTATACTAATAAACTTGATAGATATATTTTATTTAAAAATATAATCACATTTGTTACACACTAATGATTATGTTTAAATTATACAAATCTTTGTACTTGACATTACAGGATCCAAAAGCAAAAGATGAGATCATTGAATACTTAAATAATGGACATATTAAAATATTATCAAAATTGTTTCTCAAAAGACTTGAATTTGGGACTGCAGGTCTTAGAGGTCGTATGGGACCTGGTTATAGCCAAATGAATGACTTAGTCATTGTGCAGACTGGTCAAGGATTAACAAAATATTTAATTGATACCATATTTGATGTATCACAGAAAGGTATCGTTATAGGATATGATGGACGTTATAATAGTAAAAGGTAAGCTATTCATATAAAATATTTGTATTAAAATTCAACTCACTTCACTTCTATGTATGATACTGAGAATTAATTTAACTTTTAGATTTGCTGAATTAACTGCTGCAATTTTCATAGCCAATGGTATTAAAGTTTATTTGTTTTCCAAAATCTGCCCTACACCATTTATACCTTATACCATATTGAAGTACAAATGTGCAGCTGGAATCATGGTCACTGCGTCTCATAATCCAAAAGATGACAATGGATATAAAGTCTATTGGCAAAATGGAGCGCAGATTATTTCACCTCATGATAAAAAGATACAAAGTTATATTCTTAACAATCTTGAACCACTTGAATCCTCATGGAATGTGGATGAAATCTATAGTAGCTCTTATTATGAAGATCCAAGAGAGGATATTATGCAGCTTTATTACCAAGATCTAAAGGAAACGGTTCTATATCCTGAAGTTAACAGAGATACCACGTTGAAGTTTACATACACTGCCATGCATGGTGTTGGATATGAGTATATGAGTGCTGCATTTGAGGCAGCAAATTTGAAGGTAATATTCTCATATTCTAATTCTCAAGATATTTATTTAGTCATTTCTCCTAATTTAATAATTTTGTTTCATTTATTTCAGCCATTTATAACAGTAGAGGAACAGAAATTGCCAGATCCAGAATTTCCAACAGTGAAGTTCCCAAATCCGGAAGAAGGAAAAAGCGCTCTCAATCTTAGTATAAAATTAGCAAATGAAAGCAATTCGTCTATAATACTTGCTAATGATCCAGATGCTGACAGACTTGCATGCGCGATGAAAACAAAAAGGTTTGCAAATATATAATTCATAATCTAAATTTATAAGCAAAATATACATTTGACAATCTTTTTAGTGGAGACTGGCATGTCTTTTCTGGAAATGAACTCGGTGCATTATTAGGTTGGTGGATGATCCACACTTATCAAGTTTTGCATCCTGATGTTGATATGAGTGATGCATATATGTTAGCATCGACTGTTTCCAGCAAAATCCTAGCTTCAATGGCCAAGAAAAAAGGTTTCAATTTTGAGGTTTGTGCATTTGATGTATATAATAAAAATAAAAGAGAAAATATTAGTTTATCTTAAATTTAGTGAAAAATATTTCATTTTCTTCGACAGGAAACTTTAACTGGCTTTAAATGGATGGGAAACAAAGCTATTGAATTGATGGAGGAAAATAAGGATATCTTATTTGCATATGAAGAAGCTATAGGTTTTATGTGTGGTTCCAAAGTCTTAGATAAAGATGGTATTAGTGCTGGTGTACGCGTGGCTGAATTAGCAGCTTATCTTGAAACAATAAACTTGACCTTATTAGAAAAATTACAGGAAATATATCAAGAGTATGTTAGATTTTGCATTTATCAAAATATAAATATTTTAATATACTATAATTTAATATACTATAAATTTATAATTTTGATATTATATAGATATGGTCATCATGTTAGTGACAATTCTTATTGGATATGTCATGATTCAGACGTTATTAAGGCGATATTTGAACGACTGAGGAATTATTCTAGCAAACCAGATACAGTAAGTATCATTTTAACTTTTATATTTTAAAAGTTTATTTAATTTAAATATTTAGAAAAAAACAAACAATACATTCTTTAATTTATACTAATTTATCTATATCAGTAATTTATGCTAATTTATTCACATCATTTTAAATTATACTAATTTATCTATATCACTTTTGCTTTAACCAAATTTATATGGAAATAGAATGATATTATATCTGTAGGAATAAGCTTTTGCTACAATTACAAAATTTAATAAATAATTTAAATAATTTTATATATATATATTTACATACACAATATAAAATTATTCATTAAATAAGTAATGTAAATGTAAAATAAGTTGGAAATTATATACAGGGTGACCCATTTTAACTTAGGCAGCCAAATAACTCGAAAAATAAGCACACTACGAAAAAATGGTTAGAATCAAAATTTCGTCATTTCGAGGGGGACGTACAATGACGTTAAAATCAGCCCCCCCACCCCTCCCCCTGGGCGGTGAGGGGGGGCAAGTTTGAAATCTTAAATGGGAACCCCTATTTTTCATTGCATATTCTTGTAGCTTATCTCGAGAGCTTTCCAAAACACTATAATTAAGTACCTTTTTATTAAGTACTTTTTGAGTTATAAGGCTTGAAATAATTTCTTAATTTTACATAAACCATAAAATATCTAGTAAACCATTCATTTTTCGATTATCTTACCTTCATACTTTTATGTACAAAATAATGATAGGAATCAATTGGTGTAAAGAAAACACATAGTTGTTTCTAAGAAAAAATATGTAATTTGCAATTAACAATTCCATATTTTTTCTTAAAAACAACTGTATGTTTTCTTTACACCAATTGATTCCTCTCATTATTTTGTACATAAAAGTATGAAGGTAAGATAATCGAAAAATGAATGGTTTACTAGATATTTTATGGTTTATGTAAAATTAAGAAATTATTTCAAGCCTTATAACTCAAAAAGTACTTAATAAAAAGGTACTTAATTATAGTGTTTTGGAAAGCTCTCGAGATAAGCTACAAGAATATGCAATAAAAAATAGGGGTTCCCATTTAAGATTTCAAACTTGCCCCCCCTCACCGCCCAGGGGGAAGGGTAGGGGGGCTGATTTTAACGTCATTGTACATCCCCCTCGAAATGACGAAATTTTGATTCTAACCATTTTTTCGTAGTGTGCTTATTTTTCGAGTTATTTGGCTGCCTAAGTTAAAATGGGTCACCCTGTATATATATATATATATATATATATATATATATATATATATATATAAAATTTCTAACTTGTTTTACATTTATAAAAATCATGTTCATAATTACATTTAATTGAAAAATATTTTTATCAAAAAAAAGTATATTTTTTTCTTTATATATATATATTATATATATATATATATATATATATATATATATATATAATATCACATATGAAAAATTATATAAAGTCGAAGTTTCTATATCAGTTTTCTATATTTTATAATATTTTTATCACTATGATATAGTAAGCATTGTTTAATGCAGTTAATGTATAGCATTGTTTAATGCAGTTAATGTATAGTAATTTGCATCTAATGATATATGCTTACAAGGTCGACAAGTATATGTGATGCATGAGATAGCATTATAAACTGACTAACCACTTTAAAAGTATAATAAAGCCCAAGCGCCGATCGAGGTATTAGTGCATGTATCAGCCTAGTTGACTGATGTGTAGTTTGTTATTATGGTAAAATATCAACAAACATAAAATGTAAACATAGATGTATGATGTGTATGTGATATATGTAGAATTAGTAGTGCTACTTATTGTTAGTAGAAAACATCTTTTGTTGAAATGTATACATTTTTATCTTTTGCACATATAATTATTAATGAATTTGTGCTGCAATGATATGTGATATTTAACAATATCAAACAAAAGTGTTTTTAACAAAATTTAGTAAAAATTGTTCTTTTTTTTTTCTTTGTCTTTTCTATAATGTTTGCTAAGATGACACAAAATAATGTCCACAATAAGTATGTAAATATGGCTGCTGTAACAATGACACTTTTGCCTTCTGTGCTTCTTGCCATTTTGTTTATTCCGTTAGTACAATCATTATATCATCTAACACCATTTTTTATGGAAGAAACCAATATAAATGAAGTGTAAGTATATTTCATAATTATATTTGTTTATATAAGTTATTTTACTATAATTATAGTACTATTATATATTAATTATTTGTATGAGTGTATTGTATTATATGCATTTTAAAGATGAAAAATTATAAACAAAAAAGTTATTATTGCATATGAGAAGACTTCTTTTTATATAGATGTTTGTGTATGTGTGTGTGTATCTCAATTAAAATTATATTACATGATTAAGTTCTAAACTTTTTTACTGTTTCTCATAAAAATCTTAATATAATTTTTTAAATTATAGTATCCAACCGGAATTCTGGAACGAAAATATATAATAACTGGTGTTCGGGATTTGACAACAGGATACGACAATACAAAACCTGACAATAAAGCAACTCTTCCTATATCAAAATCTAGCCAAATGATTACATTTACATTTAAAAATGGATTAGTCACTACTTTAAGAACTAGCGGTACGGAGCCTAAAATAAAATACTATAATGAATTATGCGGAGCACCTGGAGAGTAAGTTCTTTGCAAATATTTAAGATAATTTATCTTTATCACTATCTTTTATTTAATGCTAATAATATTTTAATATATCTTAACATAGATATATTTTAACACAGATGTGTGATATGTGAAGTATTCGAAAATCATTGATTATTTTTTTAATAACAGATCCTTTATTTTGGATGTGATTATTTTAGATTTTTCCTAAGAAAAAGTTTTCAAAAAATATTTTTTGCAAATTTCCAATTCTTTTAGTCAAATATTTGTGTAGGCTTTAAATTAAAATTCTATTAAATTAAATTCCATCTAAAATTAAGTGAAAAAAAAATTTGTTAAATGTTCTAATTTCACAAAAATTAATTTGCAAAAATCTTTTTTAATCGCTTATTCACAATTCAAAAATAAATTTTAATAGTTTTAGTTAAGAAAGATTATCTTTAAAGTATCTAAAGAATCGCTATTATAATAATATCTAATAGCTTTATAACTTGTATATTAAAAATTGTGTGATGTATATCTAAAAATGTTCTATCGCATCATATTTAAAATATAATATAATTTTATTTTAGAGACTTAACTAAATTGAAGAGCACTCTCAAGGAAATGGTATCAGCTATTGTAACAGAATTCCTTCAACCTGAAATTAATGGACTTATTGCGCGTGAAGAATAAATTATGATAATAACTATCACATTATGTATATGTTATAATAAGGATTTTAATTTGAATGTTTAAAATGCAATGTCATAAGTAGGTTATATAAGCTAATTCTATGAATGCTGTAAAATTGCTTCAAATATGTTCAACACATAATTTTACTGAAATCTTGTATGTTATTATTGCATTATGAGTTTATAACATATTTGAGATGCAATAATTTAATTCCACTAAGAAATAGAGGTTTTGTCATAATTTTCAAAATGGCTGTGTACTATTTTATATTATTGTTAAAATTGTTAAAAAAAAGTTGATCAAATTGTGTTCATGTATTTTTTCTACTTTTATCATTAATATATCAATTTTAAAACATAATATACAGAAAAATATTCAAAATACTTTTTCTATATTTATATTTAATTTTACAATTAAGAAAACTTAAAATCTATTAAAATCTATTAAATAAAAAACAAGTAAATAAATAATTCAATAATTATAATTTCAACAATTCAATGTAATACTCCAATTATTAGTCTAATTCTAATAAATAACAAACCAATTATTTATTGAAAAAATTTTGTGCATATAACAATAATTTTCTTCTGCACAACTATTGATATATTATGATATTGAAATTTTATGAATTATTAAAGTCTAAAAAATTATTTTTTAAAACAGCTAATGCATTGTATACATCAACAATAACATAATATAAAATACAACATAATATAAACAATAATATAGTACAGTATTATTGTGATAATGTAAGATAGTTTAGTCTAGAATATTATATAAACCAAAAAATTTTTACTGAAAATAATCTGTATTGCAAAATATATATCTGATGCTCATACATATATTGTAAGTTTCATATATATATTATATATTATATTTATATATTGTTTTTCTCTAAATATATATATTAGATATGAATCTTTATTTTCGGCGCAATTTATTTAATTTTTTATATAAAAAACAGATTACAATACCAAGTGGAATAATAGTTCTCTGAAACAAATGGAGTAATACGTTTCCGATGAGTACTTCAATTGTCCTTTTTATTAAAGATAAAATTTTGATAAAAATAATTACGTGTAACAGGAGAAATTTATTTGACACTGTTTTTTGTTAGATGGGCAGTTCACTTGAGTCCTAAATTTCATCAAGGGTGCGTTCGGAAATCGTATTCGTAGTAGAACATCATTTAATTGACCAATCAGGATAAGGAAATTTTTATTCCCTTTTTATCCGATTGGTCAATTAAACGCTACACTACTTTGGGATAAGATTTCCGAACGCACCCCATTACGGCTTTCCGGTGCAAATATGCATATGTATGCATGCATATTCGTGCGGTATTTGTTATCGCGGTCCTCGCGAGTTATCTGTCACTCTTGGTGTTGATTGTCGATCGAATTATTCGTACATCAACCGAAAAGTATCGTCGTGGTCTAAACGTCATACGGGATAAATCGCATCGCGACATCCCATCACCCATCGCCTCATCATTCCGCGTAGATCCGCTTCACGCAAAAAGCGTATCAACACTCCACCCACGAGTGGAGTCGCAGTTATTCGTGGAATAATGCATTCCCAATTGTCAGGACGCTTGTAAGACACCGCGTGAATCCAGGGTGACATTTCACGCGCGCGTAATTCGTTTGAACATGTCTTCGCGACGGAATCACGAGCAAAAAGTGACTGGTTCGAACTCGGAGTTTACGTACATATTCCAGAGACTTCAGGTATGTATGTTGCTCTCTCTTGTAAGGTCAAGCGACTGAAGTCTCGCTCTCTTGAAGAGATTTGTACACTTCCAAATATATATTCATTTTTTTTGTATATCTGTAAACAATACAATGTAAACAATTAATTTTCTTTTCGAATATTAATCAAGAATTATAATTTTTAATTTACAGCTTTGCAGATAATATATACATTCAGCTGTATATAAAAGTTTACAGTTTACATCTGTTGGAAATGATACAAGCTGATCTATAAATTAATCTATAAATAGTAATTTTCATCATTTAATGCAAATTATTTTGTATCTTCCCTTTTGGTGAACTTATTATGCCATCATCATGACCACAATACCACTGACTGATAAGCAGCTTCATCAACTGGTGAGTTTAGAGATTATGTTACATATATGTATATTGGGGATACAACAATTATCTTATTTCCTGAATGAATTGAAAGTCGTGTAGATGATATATTAAGAGTCCCCATTTTAAAAACCATACATCAAAATCTTGCTTTAAATAAATTATGTTAAAATTTATATGATTTATATTGAAAAATTTAATTTAATTTCCTAAATTATTAAATCTTATCATAGATGTATATTTATTGTTTGTAGAGTATTAGTATTGGGAAAGCTGTAAATTCGACGGAAACCCCTGTGAAGGAAAAACATGTGCGAAGTATCCTTTTTTATTTTAGAAAATGGACCAGTAACTATTCTCATAGGATGAAATTCTCGTTGGATAAATTTTTTTTATTTTATTTGTTAATAATATAAAAATAAATATAGAATCTTTCAAAAAATAAAATTAAAGAATGAGAAGAAAGTTATATGCATAAAAAATATTAAATATAATATTATAAATTGCAATTGAGAAATGTATCTTGTATCTTTTAATTCAAAGAACTATTTTCATTAATTTTATAAGATTTAAATATCTAAACAAATTAAGATTAAAACAAAGAAATAAGAAATTAATAAAAGAATGTTTTAAATAGTTGATAAAACTGTAATTTTGAAAATGTTAAAAAAAGAGGAAATGGCTTGTTGGTTAAAGATAAAGAATTTTATATATTAATGATAAAAAAATCATTTCTAGAAAATATCAAATGTTCAAAAAGATAATTTATGATATCTTAATATGCAAAGATAAGAAATAAAAAAAGAGTTTATAATAGAAATAAAAAGAGAAAAAAATTTTGATATTTTCTTTTTTTTAAATATAACAGAAAAAAGAAGTAGACTTTGCAAATTATATAGTTTTATATAAAGAGAGTAAAATATATTGTAAATAAAAAAATTATATAATTCAATAAAAAGATATAATTAGAAAATAATTTTGGAGAAACTATATAATATTGAAAAGCTTGTAATTCAAGAAATAGTGAAATAGTTCTTAGAAAAGTTCTTAATTTGTTTTATCAGAACACAATTGTAACTAACTGAGATATTATTTCTCTATTTAGAATAAAGTATATTTTAGTATTATTAGTATATAATATATTTATTAATAAAATCGAAATAAATGTAAGAAAAAAAGGAAGAATTCCTTATAAATAAATAGGTGCAATTATTGGTACATATCGAGAAAAAAGTGGTTCGATTTTCTGGACATATATGTTGAGACAACCATTACAAGAAAATCAAATTGTTGCATGGAAATTCTGTCATGTTTTGCACAAAGTATTACGCGAGGGACATCCTCGGGTTATCGTCGATTCTCAGCGATATCGTGGCAAGTTGGAGGATATTGGGAAACTGTGGCAACATCTTAGAGAGGGCTATGGTCGTCTCATACAATTATATACAAGACTATTAATCACTAAATTAGATTATCACAAACGGAATCCGCGCTTACCTGGAAATTTACAAGTAACGTCTGAAGAACTAGAGGCGATTGGAGAAAATGATATTAATGTATAGTAAGTTATATTTTTCTTCAACTCGATTGATACGACGATTTCAATATATATATGTCTAATTTATCTTTCTAGCTTCCAGATGTCTGTCGAGATGTTCGATTACATGGATGACATCTTAAATTTACAACATGCAGGTAATGGATTGCTATCAAATTTAAGATATGTTTCATGCTATTATATCTCACATATTCTGTCCTTTTTGAGATAAAAATCTTCCATGTACTGTACCGCACATTTATTGAGCTCTAATAAAATTACAGTCTTCGGCTCATTGGACATGTCGCGATCTAATTCGATGACACCCTGCGGACAGTGTCGACTCGCACCTTTGATCCCATGTATTCAGGATGCGTCACAGCTTTACGATTGTTGTGTGAAGATCTTATTTAAGCTACACGGTGCGCTCCCAGCGGACACGTTAGCCGGACATCGCGATAGGTTTTCGAAACAGTTTCATGAGTTGAAGAGCTTTTATAATACCATCAAACATATGCAGTATTTTAAACATTTAATAACAATTCCGTCGTTACCCGAGGTAATGCATCTTTCAATTACTGGTATAACTGATATAATTAACAATACGAGAGTTTGTCATATCACATGATATGAAATTATACTTAAATATTTTAGAACCCACCTAATTTTTTGATACAAGCCGAATTGAGAACGTATGTTACGCCGATAGTGGTACTTCCACCCGAAGAATCGATAGACCACGAGACTGCCATAGAGAATCTTATTGATACGTCTGATACGGGATCATTCACGGGCGATCAGTTGGATTCCACAAATACAAGAAACGGCTCGATATCACCTGATGCTCTTGCGGAAAGGTAAAGAATTTATATGTCTATTTTCCTCTTATTTATCTCTCCTTTTTTCTCTTTTTAACAAGTTGGAAAGCGGATAAGATTATATATATACACATATATGTACATATATACATATATATACATTTTTTTAATTGAATAAAATGTTACATCTAAGATATAATATTTTTTTAAAGATAAACTGTATACATAAAATAGCACACGTATAAGATACCACATTTTATACCATAAATTGGATAACAAAGCTCTCAAGTAATAGTATAGAATTGCCCTCCTTTAGTATAGAGTTTTCCTTTTTTCTAGATTCTACAAGTCCAAACTTAATATTTACAGTGAATTGGGTTAATTTTAAATAAGGTTTGAAATAAGACTTGAATCAAGATGAGAATGTGTGTGTGAAAACAAAAGTATCAATTATTTGAAATACTTTTGAAACATATTTAGTAGTGGAAATGTATAAGTTATTCTTTAAAAAGATGCTCTTCAGCTTTTTTTCTGTTTAAATAATTCTTCAAAATGTTTCTTTGTGATTTGCATAATGATATATAAAATGTTTTATGTCTCAGAAATTATAATGCATTTTGGAATAAGTAATTTAAAACCTTTTTTTACATATAAATATATGTATTTTTTCAGAGATAGTCTTATTGATCATCTATATCAAGTAAATGGTCGCCAAAGACAAGAAATAAATCGGTTTTTAATAGAACATCAACAAATAATCTCAGATCTTAGAAGTCGCGTTCTAGAATTGGAATCGACATTGTCTTCGAAGGTAAGTTTATTGCACACAGCTTTAATAGTTGCATTCTGTTTTATTAACTTATTGTACAATATTTTAGAGCAATGAAATTGTGGCAGAAAAACAAACTTGTCAAAAACTAATGAAGGAAAATGTCATTATATTAGAAAGATTTCAAGAAATAGAAGGTTGGTAAAATTTTAATTTAGTTCTTTATAATTATTATTATTATTTGTTTTTGCTTATTAACAATTATATACTATATTTCTATTTATAAATATCAAACTTTTCAAGGAAAAAATGAAGTAATAGAGGAAAAATTTAAAAAGCTAAAGGATGTTTATTCAAAATTGAGAGAAGAACATATTAGTTTGATCCGAAAGGTATGTATTTAATACATTAATGACAATAAAAAATTATCTATCTTATTGATGACATAATTTATTATATAAAAAGAAAGCTGAATTGGATAAAGAATTGGGAGGACTGAAGATATTACGAGAACAATCTGAACGCCAGACATTGAAGGCTGAAGAACGATTGCAGGAATTACTTCAAGGACAAGGATCGGCAGAACAGGAAGCACAAAAAGTGACGCAAGCACGCAAAGATTTAGAGGATGTTAGAAAGAGGCTGGACGCTGCCCAAACTGAAAATTTGGTAAGTAAAAATTTTTAATTGACATTTCAACTCATATTTATTATATGTGCACTGATGGGAAAATTCATCATATTGTTACAGGCATTAATAGCGAAAATAGATTTTATTACATCCGAGAAAACAGCTTTGGAAGGGGATCTTCATGATTTATTGGTGCAAAAAGAGGAGTTGGATTTACGAATAGTAAATTTAGAAACTGATACCGAACGATACCGCAATCAAATAAAAACGGATGCCAATACAGCTTTATTTGATTTATTACGTGAGTATTATAAAGTGTATAATATTATAAGTAGTGTATAATATTATAAGTGTATAAGTGTATAATATTGAAAATTCACGGTAATTTTATTAAGTTTTATTTTATTAGTTAAATGAGATTATGTAAACAAAATCATTATATTTATATTAGTGAATGCTATATCGGAAGCGGAATCGATTTTACATCATGCGATGCATGCGATCGATAATCCAGCCATATCGGCACTGACTTGTACGCCCGACTATCTCGGAAGTTTATTGGAACCGACAGAGAAATCATTAAATGATTTAGAAGAGGCATACAACAATTATATATCTGATACAACGAAAGGAAAAGCTCTAATTCGCACCGCTATACACGGCGCATATTTCTTGGCTCTCTATTTGATATATGCAAAGTCCACTTCGAATACATCGACAGATATCGGTTTAGCCGATCGTAAGTTTTCCGTAATCATAAAACAATTTAGATATTGGTAGACTCTGAAAATGTCTAAGAAAAATTAATAATAAAATAATAATACTATTTATCTAGTTGATTTAAAATAAATTACGAGATATTCTAGAATATGTGAAAAATTTTTAATAATTTAACACTTTATAAGATTTACACATTTTTATAGGATTTGCTGACGAGTGCAAACAATTGGGTTCGCAAGGTTTAATTATATTGAGTTATATTAAAGAAAAGTCCTCAATGACTGTAGTACAAATTGCAAATGTCAAAAGTCAATTACAAAAGATTTCGTCTCTCATAAATGCATTATCGACTACTCAAAACAATGTGGAGATTGTTGGAAGCTTAGTGGAAAATGAGTTGCAGAGTATGGATAAAGCTATAGAAGAAACTGTTGCAAGAATACAGGTACTTATTATAAGCATATTTGTGCGAGATAAGCAAAATAAAAGCACGAAGAGAAATGAGTGGTTTATTTTTACGCGATTTATCTTTAATAGGATATGTTGGATAAATCACGTGCGGCGGATTCGGGTTTAAAGTTGAAAGTGAACGAACAAATCTTGGATTCTTGCACGGAGTTAATGAAGTATATAAGGAAATTAGTGCAGAGGTCTCGCTTACTACAGAAAGAGATCGTGGAACAGGGAAGGGTATGGCAACTTTAGTGTTTCAGTGTTTATTTATGTCGATGCTCTGATATTACTAGATAATAACACTCTCTATTTCCATTGAAAAAATTACGATGGGGAATGTTAACGATACTTTATTCAGGGAACCGCTTCGGCCACCGAATTTTACAAACGCAATCATCAGTGGTCTGAGGGTCTTATTTCAGCAGCGAAGGCGATTGCTATGGGTGCAAATTTTTTGCTGTAAGTGTAGTTGCCTAGCAATTACTTTTAACGTTGTTATTTATGTAAATATATACATATATTACATGTGGAAATATATGTATTTATGTATTGTATTATAGAGAAGCAGCAGACAAAGTTGTATCAGGCAATGGTAAATTTGAACAATTGGTTGTTGCCTCGCAAGGAATTGCAGCATCTACCGCGCAATTGGTGGTTGCTAGCAGAGTCAAAGCTGATAGAAACAGTACTAATTTAACTGAACTCTCCAAGGCTTCGAGAGAAGTGACTCAGGCTACAGCAAATGTTGTTGCAACTGCTAAAAGCTGCAATCATCTTGTTGAGGAAAATGGTAATTGATTTGAAAAAATATTTAACTATGTATTATATATTTTGAATCATATAACATTATTTGTTAATATTATTTGTTAATATTATTTTATTCTGAATTACGTAGAAGATTTAGATATGTCTAGTCTCAGTTTACATCAAGCTAAAAGACTGGAAATGGAGGCGCAAGTTCGAATCTTGGAATTGGAACAGGCTCTGGAAACCGAGAGATTACGTTTAGCCGCTCTTCGACGTTATCATTATCAACTCGACGGCGATAATGAGGCATAAACGAGCGATAATGGATTTGAGTTTAGATTAAAAATATTCAACGATTCACAAAAATTGTATGTAGATAAAGAATTATAGCAGTTGTGTAAATTAGTTTACAAAACTAACTCATGTCGTGAAGAAAATTGTTTCTTCTTAGGTACATAACTTATTATTCATTTAGTTTCAGCATTTATATATCATGCATGTTATGCGTGTCTCGAATCAATAATTTTCTATCCTATTATGGAAATCGATAGTGAATGTACTTTATTGAATGACGCTCAAATATATTTGTATTTATCAGCTACATATCGAAATAATTTATATTATGTCAATTTTAATGTAAAGTTTGATATAACTTTTTTCATGTCATCTCTTGCTGAATTATATTATCGAGCATTTATGAGATAAAGTACATTTTGCAAAGGAAATAATGTAACGAGCAATGAAATTCAAAATGTCCAAGTTTTTTATTACATTTGGAGTAATTTTGTAAGAAAATTATGTTTTTCTCTAAAAAAAATAATGAGTATAAACATTTAAGAAGAGTCAATATCTAAAATTTATAAAGATATTAACTGTTTAGTGCATAAAATGCCCTTTTGTTCTCTCTTAATAGATATTTATATGTCGTATTATAATTAATTAATTAATTAATTATATATATGTATGTATGTATGTGTGTGTGTGTATATATATATATGTGTATATATATATATATATATATATATATATATATACATATATATATATAAAATTTAGATTTTAAAGCACAAATTTTTTATTTTCTGGTGAGAGATTCCAAAATGCCGAATGTATAAGATGTATACACTCGGCGAAACTCAGCGTAAAATTCCTCTAAGTCTTACCAAAGTTATTTTATGAGCAGTTTTCTCAATAAATCATTGAGAATTATCTGTGTTGTTAATTTTTGTATAAGTCAGTATACATGCGATTAATTTAAGTATGTATGTATATGTATATATATATGTATTTTTTATTTATATTATTTCATATAACGATCATAGAAATCACACAAACATATTTTGTCGCGAGGATTTTGAAGAAATCAAAGCGCAAAGTAGTCTCCCGTCTCTCTTTCTTTTTGTATAATCTCAAAATAATTTCTATCAGTTCTGTTTTATCATCAGTACGTTATGTAATTATCTACTATGCCGAAGGTATCTTATCCTAAATTATCACCCTCGCAATATTAACAAATATAGGATGTAAGATTCGTAGAAATCTCGCATTTCCAAATCCCTCTCGGATCGACGAGGACTCGGAGCGTTTGCCTCTCGAGTGGAGAAACAAAGGAGAGAGAGAGATCACGTACCGACACACGGTTTTCGATACCGGAGGAGCCGGTTCGACAAACATGGCGTCGGTGGAGACGTGCATCGTCCACCTGGAACGCAGCGGACGTAAAAGCGCAGTAACGCGCTTGTAGCTCTCGCGTTTCCGAAGGGACCCGCATATGTTTGCGCATTAAATGAGAACCTCCCTACGTGAGAGCGCGAGGACAGGTGAGCAGGCGACAGGTGGTAGAAAGGGAGAGAAGGAAAATCGTGGACGTCCTTGTCGGCCGGGATTCAGCCCGCGAGGCGGGCGATCGTCGTCGACGAGGAATGCGGATGTAGCTATTCGGGGAAGAGCATCGAGGCGTCCGGATCGGCGCGTTGATCGATGAGAGCTGAGAGCGTCCGGCCGGCGCGCATACGGGACACGGTGCACGGTGCGTGTGCCGCCTTTCGAGGCACAGTGGCGACTTGTCATGGCGGCGAGACTTTTTTAGCTGCTACGGGAGAGAGAGTCGCGGGGTGTCTCTCGGCGCCCTCCCCCTCGCATACGTAGGAGGAATTCGCGCGAGACGTTGACGCACGTCGGGCCGCGTCGCGGGACGTGTCTCGGTCTCGGCCCGTAAGCCTAAGCCTGCCCGCGCGCGCTCCTCGTCCGCGGGAGAGAGTCTCCCTCCGGACACACTCGGCTCTCGGCGCGATATCTCCGATAATAACGGCGCAACGACGGTTCGACGAATAAGAGCTTCGTGTTTAGTTCAAGAACCCTTTTTATGCACATACGCGCACACACGTATGCGGCTGTATATGTGTGCGCATACGTACATTTGTTTACAAAATTGCGATAGTCTCGCTCCGCAAAGTAGCCTGTTTTTCGCGTTCCGTTTTACACGCGTTGGATCGGATTGGGTGTAATGGATCTCTGTTGTAGATTTGTCGCTACAAGGATTCCTATTCATTTGTATCTTGTGTAACTTTTTAAGAGACGCCAGGATGAACAAACGTCGTAGAACATCGTCGGTAGCGAGCCGCGGTACCGAGGACGACGGCGACGATATTCCACCTGAGCCAACGAAAAGGAGGAAAAAATTAGATCCTGTGAGTGTGGGTGCTTGTAACATGTGTCTCGACATTCGCAATGTCTCTTATGTTTATGCTTATTATTTATGCTGTTTCTTTGGTGTAGAGTGACTTGTGCCAACAATTGTACGATGTACTTCGTAATCAGAAGAAGGAGGATGGATCCTTGCTGTGCGACGCGTTTATACGTGTGCCTAAACGCAGGCAAGAGCCAGGATATTACGAAGTTGTTTCCAATCCTATTGATCTTTTGAAAGTGCAACAGAAGCTGAAAACCGACGAATATCGCGACATGGATGATCTTGCCGCCGATATTCAGCTTATGGTGAACAATGCAAAAGCTTTTTACATGGTAAGATATATATTATGTAATCTATGCAAAGATTGTGATATTGTGCACATATAAGATATTTGTTGCCATATTTATTTCATCACAATTGAAATATATGTATAATTTTTGTAGCGTACATCTCCCGAATATAAAGATGCAACTGAATTGTGGGAATTATGTATAAATACTAAAAATCGTATCACAGAAGAATACGAAGATCCAGAACCTAAAGGAAAACTTATCTTAAAAGTTGGGAGACTGGTAAGTTTAGAAATTTGCTAAAATCCTTCATTTTCTCAGATATATATCAACATACATTAATACATTAATGTATATTTAAGGCTCGTAGAGCAGCAACAAGACAAGATGATGCGGAAGATACTTCTGAAAGTTCTGCAAATCTTGATGAAGAAACTATGCAGCTCTTTGAAGATTTATTTGCAGCAGTTATGACAGCGACCGATCCTACTGACAATAATAGACCTCTTCATATAATGTTTCAACTGAAACCATCTAAAAAGGTTTGTAGAGTGCTTTTGAAATTACATTATCAGTCAAAAATATATCATCTTTTTGAAGATAATTTAATTCAAAGTGTATATATTTAATTAATATTTCTTAAGTTACTGTATCCATTATTGAATGAAAAGTCTATTGTTCAGTAATCTATATACCTACTATTAAAACATATGACTAGATAGAAATATATACACTTTGAATTGTTATTCACTTTGAGATAAGTTATTCTCAAAAAACATAAAGGTGATATATTTTTGGCCAATACTGTATATGTATATGAATCTAGATTTACTTATCATATTTATTAATAAAATGTGTGTCTAATATTGCAGCTTTATCCTGAATATTACGATGTTATTGAGACACCTATTGATTTGAAAACTATTGCTAGAAAGATTCAAGAAGGTGCATATAGTTCAGTCGGTGATATGGAGAAAGATTTAATGCTTATGTGCCGCAATGCCTGTCAATTTAATGAGCCTGGTTCGCAAATTTATAAAGATGCCAAACTCTTGAAGAAAATAATTACTGCGGCCGCGAGGAGGCAAGATGGTGGATTAGGTAGTAACACTCCCAAAATTGCCACAACTGCTCCATCGACGAGAAGCAAAAGAGGCAGTCGTACTATGGCGCAATCATTAATAGCGCAAACTGCGTCGTTACTCGATGAAGATGACGAAAGTGATGATGAGGAGGAAGAACCTGCTGAGACTGAAGAAGCTGATAATCCACAATGGCAACTATTTCAAACCATTCGGACAGCTCCTAATAATCAAGGTATAATAATAATATTAGATCTTGTTGAAAAAAATAGAAAACTTACTTATTATACTTGTAATAACAATATTACAAATATTACAGAAAAATTAGTAGTATTAGACAAGTATTATTTTTTACAATCCACTATACATGTGTGTATTATATTTGTAGGTGTAAGAATGAGCGAATATTTTTGGAAGCTTCCATCAAAGAGATTATATCCTGATTACTATAAGATGATTAAAAATCCTATATCTTTATTACAAATACGTACAAAAATAAAGGTATGTCTTATTCTAAAATATAATAATAATAATATGGAATAGTTTTTACAAAAAGCATGTTTCAGTAAAATATTTTTACTATGTTTTTATATATTATATATTAAATAATGTTTTTCAGAAAGGAGAATATGGTACTGTTAGTGAAGTAGCTGGAGATATGAATATCATGTTTGAAAATGCTAAGAAATATAATATACATACTTCTCGACTATATAAGGTAATACAATTATGTAATTAACAGTTCACTTTTTTTAATTTATAATTATTTTTAATTATATATACATATAATTAAAATATTAATTTTATTATATAAAAATATAATGTGCACACGCGAGTAATCTTTTTTTAAATTTTATATTGTATTGAGAAATTTGTATTATATTAAGAAAAATAATAATTGATATAATTATGTATATATCTTTTTGATTCCAGTGCGCTGTTAAACTGCAAAAAATAATGCAGGAGAAAGTACAAGAGCTTCTAGAATTTGATCAGGTAATATATTGTGATATTGAATTAAGCAAAATGTTTTTATATATTTCTTTGAAAAATATAAATATATTTAATTTTCCATAGGATTCCGATTCCGATAGCGAATCCGAGAATAGCTCCTATCAACCTAAATTAATTAAACGCGCTTCAAATTTATTGACGCGAGGAAAATACAAAGACAATATACCGTTGAAGAAAAGATTGTACACATTAGTCAAGTGTGTCATAGAATACGTTGTAAGTAATTCCAAAATACATCATAATCGACATGATCAGTTAACATGTAACATGCTGTAATGTTTTACAGTGCGAGGATGGTCGGCAACCTATGTTAATGTTTATGGAGAAGCCTTCTAAAAAATTATATCCAGATTATTATCAAGTAATAGCTGAACCTATAGACATGCTAGCAATTGAAGCTAATATTAAAGCAGAAAAATATCAAAGCGAAAACGAATTAATACAGGACTTTAAGGTACTATCATCGTAATTTGATCAATTTTGAGAGTACGATGATAAATATTTCACATTGGATATGTTTCCATTGTTTTAGTTGATGTTTAATAATTGCCGTCAATATAATGAAGAAGGTTCATTGATATATGAAGATGCTAATACATTAGAGAGAGTTTTGATGGATAAGGTAAAGGAATTAGGACCTTTGCCAGATACATCCAAATCCAAATCTACCGCATCAACTCCAACTAGAAATGTCGGGTATGTCAGGTTATATAAAAAAGTGAAGAAGGTACATTCTTTTTCTTTTCTCTAAATTTTATATTTTCTATTTATATTTAGGAGACCGAAAAAAATAGTACCGCTTCATTTACAAAAATTACGAACTCTATACGATACGATAAAAGATTACCATGATGCAAAAGGAAGACAATTATCTTTAATTTTCATGAAATTACCAAATAAAAATGAATATCCAGATTATTATGAAGTGATTAAGCAGCCTATACACATGGAGAAAATAGCTTCAATTTTAAAGAATAATGGATATGAAAATTTGGATGAGCTAGTATCCGATTTTATATTAATGTTCGACAATGCGTGCAAGTATAATGAGCCGGACTCACAAATATACAAGGTTTGTATAGTTAAAAGTTTTTATTTTATAAGCATTTATACATTTCCATTTCTCATAATTTTTTTTTAATCACAGATTCTTTGATCAATTTACAAATTGATTTTTCAATGAAATAGTCATTTATTATAAATTTTTATATTTTAACATCAAAAATATTGATAATTAAGCTTAAAAAATTTTGTTAAATTTCATTTAAAATTATTTTAAAACTGTAATTGTGTAATTCAATTATAGCATGTAATTAGTTTTTAAAACATAGTTTATAAAAAGACTTTTGTTCTTCATTCATTGTAATTCAAAAATTAATGATACTATTAATGATGGGGTTATTTTTACTAAGAAAATATTAATATAAATTGATAAATCTGTTATTAAAAAAATACTTCATAGAAATAATGCAGAATGTTCTGTGTTAAGAGTATATACACATATTAAAAATTTACATGTAAAGATAATTTAAGTTACTAATGTTACTAAAATAATACAAATACCTCAAGAGTTTAATGAAAAAAACCAAGTAGCTTGAAATAACAAAATTATTATGAAAAAGATTGACAACACCCAATTGCTTGATCTTTTATTGATTTTCAATTGCAAAGTCTAAATTGTTTGAATCTCCATAGAAGTAAATATTAATATACAATAAGTGGTTTAAAAAGATTCTTCATTATCCATGTAAAAAGTAGAAGTATGTCTCATGTCTTTTTTTAGTAACATACATTTCAATTAAAACTTAACTATAACTTTTGATATTGAATATTTTTCAAATGTTATAGAAAAATACATCATTTAAAAGACACTTAGAGTCCACATATCTTATAAATATTTAATTCATATAGAAATTATTTCTAAATTTATCTACAAAATCATTTTCTTTTATTATAATAACATATATAATTATAATTCCTATTAAAATAGGAAAGATAAAGGGATGATAATATATTTATCATCAATATTAACTTGGCAGATTCGATGAAAATCAATTTAAAATTTAATTTCTAGAAATACAGTCAAATTTCCAAATAAAATTCTCTGCATAGAACTGAAATATATTCTCGAATCGATATGTGCAATAGAGAAACTTGAAATTTCGCGGTAAAAGATGGCAAGCCCATTCATGGCCCAATCTGTTTACACGGTCGGAATTTTTGGAGGTTACACGAGGCTTCTTCTCCTCGGTCCCTTGCTCCAAAACCCGTCGAGATTTTCGCCGCAAAATGCCTCGTGCACGCTCGTGAAATATGTGGCTCGTGACATTATATAAGTTAAAAAAAAATTATCGATAATGTGTATATATATTGATCTCTATGATATTTGCACGTTTTAACCTTAGTAGAGCAATTAAGTCATTTTTATCGCGATTTAGACAAGTTTACCCGATGTAGACAAGTTTTACCATAATTCCGAGCTTTCTTTCTACGAGGGGCTCTTTTATCACACGTACGTGTTCAGAATCTGAAAAAAATGTTCGTACAAAACAAGCCGATTGCATTAAACACAGCACAAAATCCATTAAAAGTCCGACCATGTTTCATACGCTTGTTGAGAGACAAAGAGTTAGACAGACATATACGAAAGAGATATAAGAAGAACGAAACAGAAGTAAATAACAAAATATTATTTACATGTGTTTTTCATACCGCGCTTGTCAAAATCTCTATCTAAGATAGAGAAAGGCGCGATTTTTATTATTGCCGTAAATTGATAATATAACTAATATATTTTAGGACGCTTTAATACTTCAAAGATTAGTGTTGCAAAGTAAACTACAATTGAGTGAGGACGAAGAAAGTGTACCTGATGTGTCTGCTGCTGTTCAAGAGATATTAGCGACTATATTCACCGCACTTTATAATCATCAGGATGAGGAGGGAAGATGTTACTCTGATTCTATGGCAGAACTTCCAGAGCATGATATTGTTGATGGAAAAAAGTACGAATGCACGTTCCATTCTTTTTATGTTAAAACAATTTATTTAATTTTTCTAACAAATGTCTTTATATGTAAAAAAAACAACAGGATACGAGGGCTATCATTAGATCTGATTAAGAGAAGATTGGATCGAGGGGTTTACAAGAGATTAGATCGATTCCAAGAAGACGTTTTTACATGCCTGGAGAGAGCACGAAGGTTGTCGCGAACGGACTCGCAACCGTTCGAGGATAGTGTCGAGCTTCAGGCATTCTTTCTACGTACTCGTGACGAAGCAACCCGTTCAGGAGATCTGTTACATTCACCGGCGTTAAATTACACACTCCTTGATCTGTCTTCTCAAGTAGCAGAACTCAAGAGGGTAAAGCAACAACAGGAATTAAATTTACCTAATGAAGATGAGAGCTGTGATGGAAATGAGACAAAAGTAAGTTAAACCTTCTTGCTTTATACAAGACATAAATTATTGTTTTAAAAGATATTATTAATTGAATTGTGACTTAAAATATTTGTCATTATAGGACTCTGAGACGAATACAAATACGGATACAAACAATAGCGACAATGGAGGCTCTATGAGTTTCAATCAAGAAGTATACAGGGCTGGTGACTTTGCATATGTTGAACCTTCTGAAAGAGGCATGGAATATAGCGTGGTTCTGATAGAAAGACTTTGGACCAATGCAGAGGGTCAACAAATGTTATATGGAAATCTCTTTTATAGACCGAGCGAAACGTATCATGTAGCATCGCGAAAATTCTTGGACAAAGAATTATTTAAAAGTGACGCTCATGTGGCTGTACCCTTAGCTAAAGTAGCAGGCAGATGTTGCGTTTTGAGCGTAAAGGATTACTTTCGAATGCAACCAGAAGGTTTCTTGGAGAAAGACGTTTATGTATGCGAATCGCGTTACTCCACAAAGGCCAGAGCTTTCAAGAAAATCAAGGTCTGGAATTTTGATCCAGATCATTTAAAATTAATTCCTAGAGAGAAGCCATTGGAACCAAAACGAGTAATTTCCGTGTATAAGGAACGATTGGAGAAGCACAAGGAAGAAATTGCTGAATTGGAAGAGGGAGAAAAGTTAATGGAAAAGGAGAAACCTGTGAGTAACAATTCCATGTATCTTTCTCATTTGTTCCTGATGTGTCGATTATTCATTTACTGGCATAATTATTTTAATTTTGCTCTTTAATACATTTTAATATATTTTGTGTTTAGAATGTGATATTATATAATGCGGAAGATACCGAAAATACATACTACGAGCAGTACAATACGTGCGCAGGGTCTGTGAAAACGGGCGACTTCGTTTACGTAGCGACAGACGGAGGCAGGCAACAAATAGCACAAGTTGACGCTATATGGTCAACTAAAGAGTAAGTAATTAATTCACGCTCACAAATATGCTTGTCACGATATATTTTCATCATTTTTCAATCAAAATAGTTTCAATCTTTATCCTTATCTATTTTTATGGTTTTGTGTTTTTAGTGGGAAGTGCTATTTCAAAGGTCCATGGTTATTAATGCCTACAGAAGTGCCACATACCCCTACGAAATTATTTTATAAGCAAGAATTGTTTCTATCCACTGTAGACGGCACCCATCCTATTGTAGCCATTGTTGGCAAATGTGCCGTTCTCGATTACGGAGAGTACATATGTAGTGAGTACTCCCACTATTTGATATTCACGAACGAGATTCATAAGAGGAATGAGATTACTGTATATGTTATCACTCTTCTACAGGTAGACCGACGGAAATTCCAGAGGATGATGTATATATCTGCGAATCATTATACGACGAAAGCAAAAGCTTAATGAGAAAGCTCAGTCAGGAGGGTTTAAAGAAATTTAATCATCAATCAGCGGTGACCGAGGATGAAATCTACTTTTTCCGGAGGCCTATCAATCCTGCCAAAGTATGCTATAAGAGAATTAGATTTATATATATATATATATATATATATATATATATATATATATCTTAACTAACAAATGTGCATAAATATCTCTATTCGGTTCTATAGCAAAATTAGTAGAATACATTCTATCAAATTATTCTATGCAACTAACTGAAATGAACTTATCGCTTTGCATGTTCTGTGTGTGTTATAGGTTTCGAGCGATGTGGCTCAGACGCAAAATCAAGTCAAGTCCGTCACGCCCAGCTCGGCACAGTTTGAAATGGTAATTGCTATAATCCAGAAATCTTATATCTCTTATTTTCAATATCGAACAATATATATGCAGCCGCACGTTCCTTCAAGATCACACGCAAGCTAATTAAAGTATTTAATTTTGCTAATATTTTATTATTATATACAAGAAAAAAAGGGAGAAACATATTACATGTCTTTTCCTTTGATTTGCCAATTGGTTGCGTGTGATACGAATATTTTGTTACATCAACAAGAATGCATTTACACGCATGCATTTTCGATCTATGCCGGCATATTCATTTTTCCTTTCGTTTCGTTTATATGTGCAACTATGTGTTAGTGTTTGTGTGATCAAGCGATTTTATGTATTCGACAATTGAATCAGAGCACCTGTTGGGTTTTATATATCGCTAATATGTTACGAAAAGCATAAAGCACCACCGAAAGATTTTGCTTCCATGTCATTCTAACCCAACTAATGTAAGAATGAAGAATTCGCTTTAGAATATATATATATATATATATATATCGACTAATCTGTTTATATACAGAAAAAATTCGAATGTATCTACATATGCATATATGCGATATATGTATATCGGTATTGAATTCAAAAATGAATATTAATTCACATATTCGATAATTAGAAATTAGATATTACAGAGTATAAGAAAAATTATTAAGAACTGGGAGAACATTACGTGATAGCTTTTCTTGGAGATGACCGCGAGAAAGGATGACGTTACTTTTATTATTAAATTAACTTCTATCTTTGAAGAAAAAATAAAGTCACGAAAATGTATCTTGCAATCGGTAATAACGGATGAAAAACGAAGGTAACATAAGCCTAAATGGTGTAGGAAGCGTCACCATTGTTACCGAAGCTGGAACCCGATGTACTAAGCATGGGGGTAGGATTAGGAGTGGGAGTGGGAGTAGGAGTTGGGGAAGACAGCATGGATGCTGGTGGTCCACCATCCGTTGGATCTACGGAAGCTCAACCGGTGCTCTCCAATACTCAAACACCTGTGTCGACTAAGAAGGTAGGCTTTACCGTGACCACTTATTTTTTTTCTTTTTTTTATCTCACTTTTATCAACTATCGTCACACGTCATTCTATTTATTTATTTCACTTTCTTTTTATTTAAAGAAATATGCCAGCATATACATACCTCTCCTTTCATTTTTTTTTTTTGCACCGTTTGAGATATCACTTGCCTTGACACTAGATCGACAATTTGATGTGACTACTCTAAAGAGAAAGATATTAAAGACAAATATGTTTGTTCACACATACACACGGTATATACACACATACACGACAACGGTAGCATTATAATTTGTGTTTCTTCTTCTGTTTAGAAAACAGCGGGTAAGAAATTAGTTACGGGCTATATTTTATATTCGAGTAAAATGCGAACGCAGATTACACAAAACAATCCTGAATCATCCTTTGGAGAGATTAGCAGAATTGTTGGCAACGAGGTATTTATTTCTTTTTTACTCTTGATTTTTTACTGTTTATTATAAGTGGATTTTTGATGAAGGAATGTATGCGGAATAAATTTTCTACATTCTTTACATACAATCATATGTCTTCGATTTGGGCATCAAATTTGTGTACAAATTTTTGCTTAATAAAACGAAAAGAAATTGTAAGAATTCTATGATTGATTGTGTAAAAAATTTTTTTCGCTTTGTATACGTGTTGCTTATTAAACATTATTCAGCATACTTGGTCCTTTATCCAAAATGAAATTACATTACATGTGTGTACAATGAGATTACATTACTATTCTATTCATATAAATATAGCTGTCTTGTGTATAATAAAATGCATAATAACGCACATTTTCTATATTCTTTCATAAGTAATATAAATATACATTAGTGTACATATATACATAAATTCTATATATTGTGTGACTTATATCATTTGTATTTGTAATAATCATTATTCTCGATGTAAACTTTATCTGTATTATATTTCTGTGAATAGAAAAGAGTAGCCGTGATCTGACACAGTTTGTCGAACCATTTTTAAAATATTAAAAAATGATTTTGCCGATTGTATCCTCACAAACAATGTGACAGAACTGGTCACGCGTAAAACATGTAATACAATTCTCGTTCCAGTGGAGGAAGCTGCCGGCAGGGGAAAAGCAAGCCTGGGAGGAACGAGCGATTAAGATGAACGAGGATGGCGGTCAGCTAAAGGGAACGACCACGATAAGCACGAATGCTACGCAGGACGTAGTGTACGAATGTTGTTGGGATAATTGCGATTGGCAGTTCGAAGACATGACTGATTGCATCGATCATTGCATTGCAGAACAGAATGGTCATGTACAATCATCGTTCGTGAACGCTCCTAGCGGTGAGTCGAGAGGGATTGCAATTGCGGCCACACTTATGAATAGAAAATTGAAACTATTAACGCGAATATTGTAGACGTGGAATATCAATGCCAATGGCGCGGTTGTGGCCGAACAAAGAAATCCGTTCCGCCGTTCCCAAGTGTACAGAGACTCGCGAGACATGTCAAGGAAGTTCACATCCTCAAATCGCACGGCCGCATAATACCACCTTCCGAAAGAAGCAGGTATAGAAATGATTTCTGCCTTTTTCTTCATATTTTGATACATTACATTATGTGAACCACGTTAATCGTGTACTCTTGCAGAAATTACATGCCTTCGAAAGGACCCACGGTATTACCACCAATGGAAACAGGTAAAATGTCATATATTACAATAAAATTATATATGAATATGAATATATTACAATAAAATTATATGAATATAAATATATTACAATAAAATTATATATGAATATGAATAAAAATTAAAAAAAAATGTTTCCTAGAAACTTCAGCGGCCGCGACTCAGACGAATAGCTTACCTGCCGCTAAGCAACCAGAACCAATGTTTGTTGCAGTACCACCGAGGCCGAGTCGTGTATTACATTCGGATGCTTATTTGAGGTAAACTTTAAAAAGCATTAAATATATATTTTATAATATCTTTAAATATCAAAAATATATATTTAATAATATCTTTAAATATAAAAAAAAATATTTTTTATTTTTCACTCACGTATAGGTATATTGAGGGATTAAATGTGGAGAATCGTTACATATCAAATTGGGATAAGCAGATGAACGCTAATTCGGATAACACGCAGATACCCGATGTGACGAAACTTCCCGCTGAATGGTTAGGCAATGGCGTTGGCAATCACGGAAATGTAGTGAACGCCTTGTGGACACTCAGAAACATGATGATGCGGGATGTGTTAGCCATCAATAAAACTTTATAGTTTATAAATTGTTAAGATTTATAATTTTTGAAGCGCAATGCAACCTACACTATACAGATCCGTTGACGCAAGACGAAAGACTGACGATATTCAATCATTTGAATGTTACAATATTTATATTTAGAAAATTTGTTTTTCTGCTACAATAATATCTAATTTTTCTTAATTTTATATATATATAAGATAAATTTATTTGAAACTAGACAAAGATATATATCCTAGACAAGATATATATCCTGGAAATCTCAAGAACTCTACATATTTTATATATTTAATTCGAAATTCTTATAATTAGAGCAATTTTTTTTTTCTTTTTTTTTTTCTTCAACTTTCTATTTCATTTTCGTTAAAAATTTTTGTTTTCGAAGAACTTTTAACCGTATATTGCTTAAATCTACGATGTATGTACATACATAAAAAACAAAAGATATTATGTAGAAAACAATCATTATGTAAATACGTCTGTGCTAATTTTCATTTTCACTTTTCGAACAAAATTTTATATTTTCTGTATAGCGCAAATAATACATATTCTTGTATCAAGAAATACAAAAAGAAATGAAAACTTCATCGCGCGCACGCGAAAATGCCTATATAGTGTGGGAAGTTGTATATGTACATAGAAACTACAATAATTTCTGCGAAACATTGAAGTATATGTGTCGCTCTTTTATTAGTATTAATTGCTTTAATATTCTCGAAGAATATTGAGAAAGAACTTAGTGAAATTAATCAAATGATTTACTTACTATTATCTATGTATAATAGTAAAAAAAAGAACAGAATCTCCTCTTTATCTTATATGCAACAATATAATACCTCATAGTAGATTATTTTTTAGGAAAAATTTTTCTCGATACGATTGGAAGAGAATTTTCAAGACGTATATGCTGGGGCAAATACGAAAACGAGATTTTTACTACAGTATTCTGTACATATGTTTCTTGATACGATATTATATTTGTAGGATTAACTATGCTCTCTCTTTTTCTACACACGAACGGCTTAATATTGAAGTCCTAAACTTATTATATGTCTTGGCTAAATAAATTTTCGCTGCTATTGACATTGGAATACATTTTACTAACAAAAACATAAAAATTACTTTTAACTTTGACTATAAAATTTACTGAATCTTACATTTATTACTCATTAATTCATTACCAGTCAGAAATTTAATTAATTTAATGTACGAAATGTGTTTCTCTTAAGTATATACTTAATATTTGAGAAAAAGCATCATATTTTAGTACACATAGCATACCGATAATCAGCATAATTATTCCCTACTTCTCTCTAAAGAAAAGTAAATTAAATTATAGTGCCAGAGACTTTTTATGAGAAAATGATTTGAAATTAATAATGTATCTAATATAGAATACCATTGCCAACGAATTCACAATGATTTTTGTAAACTTATTTAATCTAGCAAAAAAATACTTTCGTGTAATGTTATTTATTACCATGTTGATAAAATTTTCTTTATTTTACTTTCTTATATGCGCAGAACATACGTTTTCAATTTTAAGTTTTCTTACATTGAGAAACAATTTATGTTGCTTTACTTGCTTGGCTACCAAAAAATTGAATCTGATTTATCTTTTATAAAGTAATTGCAAAGATAAATTGATCATATTATATATAATAAGAGAATTCCTTTTTCCAGTCCTTCGAATATATATCGTTATATATTTCAAAAATCGCTGACTCTGCCACCGTGCTGCCAATCTCCCCATTTAGTAGGATTCTTCTCGCTATTTGTTATTAATTCTCCAGTTCTGGGATCAGTTTCCACTAATACTAAATCGACAAATCGTTCCCGCTGTTTTATTTCTACATGTTAAATCAAAAAAGAGCTATGTTACAAATCTGAACACATGATTATTTTTATATAAAAAAGGTTTTACGTTTTATAAAAAGAATTTGTACCGATATATTTGCAAAAACTAATTATTTTATTAATTATTAGATATATATACTTGGTATTGGTTGTAATTTGAGTTTTTCATGAAATTGCTTAATTCGCGGCGACTCTTGAACATTTCCCGAGATCTCGTCACTTAAATCCTTTATTTTTAATAATAAAGTATCTAACCGAATTACATTTATATTTAATTTTTATATATTTCTGTGTAAAAGAATTTTTTTTGATAAACAATAAGTGAAAAAATATAAAGTTTAAAAAATTATATTTATAAAAATGTAAAATAATCTAAAGAGCAAACTTGATTCATACTTGTGACAAATCGCCTGCAATTTTTTATTATTTGTAAATTCGATCGATTTATGCGAATCATTGCATTAATGTTTTACGAATAATCGCACGACTATATCCAACGCATCAAAATGACTTTTAATTTTATTAATAAAACACTGTCGCCAAGATTTGCGAAGCAAATACAGTATAGACTACTTTTAGGGAGTCAATACGTTAGATATTAATTTTCTAGATGTATATTGTGATGCTTTTCTTATTATCCGTTAGATCAAGGATCGATATGGCTCGGAAGAACTGATCGAGAATGAAAATGATAAAATCTTACGATTAATTAATCTACATAAGGCTTGATAAAATTGTGCGTTAAATTATCGTGGTTCATGTTTCAACAAATTTCATATATTTTGATAAATTAAACAATATCTAAATTATCCTAACTTTGTTTAGACGAATTAGCACTAGATAGCGATCGCGATAGAGACATTTCGCAATACAAATTTATATATTTATATATTTACAATTTTTATTCTATAAAATAGAGATCTTTTTTTTACGATGCATCGATAATTAATTCGTTAACGTAATTTCTAACTATTAACAAATAATTTATATTTTTTTCTAAGATGACAGAGGGTTTAAAAGTCCGTCACACGACCCTTTCTCTCCCAGTCGCCATAACGAGTCGGTTCTGGTCCGCGAGGACCTCCGATCTCTCCTGTTTCCGGATTCGTATTGTTCGGAAACGGTTTCAAGGGTTCTTTCTCCTGATAAGGGTGCTTGTTTTCTTCCAACTCCTCTAGTTTCTCTGTTATATTTAAAGTGTAATCTCTTTAGTTCTTAATATATAAATAAATATTGGGCATTCAAGCATTTTATAATTTTTATACTAACATATAACTACGTACGATAATCTTACCTATGGGGGTGCGTTCGCGCAATTTTTTTCGAAATTCACGTAATCTCGGACTCTCGCCGACCTCGTCCACGCTTTTGGATGAGAATAAACGTGCGAGACCTTTCAAAAAATCATACAAAGATATGTGTAATAATATCGTTCGTTAATTTCGATGGATACAGAAACGATTGATGCTTTCGTTTGTACCTTTTAAATGCAATCGCGAGCTTGAAATCGATGCACGAATAATTCCCGCCATTCTTTGCTCGCGAATGCGAATTCTTTTTCTATATTTTTTTTTCCTTGAAAATACAAGATCCAATTCAACTGATATGTCTCTATCTCTTCATCGATTTCACAAGATGAAATGTGGGAAAATTTTTGCGAAATACAAGTTGAATTCGTCTCAAGGATATCGACTCGTGCGCACGTGTCCTGAGTTATTTCTCTCTCATAACCTAGAAAATTTATTTATTTAAAGTAGCAAACTACTTTTACATAAAACTGAACTTTTATTATCTAAATAATACGGTATATATTCCGTACACTTTTAAATTATTATTAATTTTATAAATTCATATATAACTTGTATGTAAAATCAGGCGTTATATTCGTGTATCATCGTCGATAAAAATGCTTTTGATAGAAGAAAATCCAAGATTACGTCTGTCTCTCATTGATTCATTTAATATTATATAATTCTCACGTATTTATTCTTAACATTCAACGCACTGTTCCTTGAAATCGCATCGCAGTTACAGTCGCGTAAATAAACAAAAAATGTAAACGGAGCTGTCATCTGAGGCTGAGGCTCTCCGGCCACTTGGAGTGTGCTCAAAAATACTCCTATACGTGGAATTAGAGAACCTCTAGGAGAGAGAATGGACAACTGATCAAGCTTTTTCATGATTGGCTGGCAGAAAATGTATCAATTTTAGCTATTGCGACGCCAATGCAAAATATGATGACACACAAATAGGACACACATGACACACATATATTAACCTATTTGTGTGTCATCATATTTTGCATTGGCGTCGCAATAGCTAAAATTGATACATTTTCTGCCAGCCAATCATGAAAAAGCTTGATCACATGTCACATGATCAGTTGTCCATTCTCTCTCCTAGAGGTTCTCTACGTGGAATAAACTATCGTTATTGACCAATCAAGAGCAAAGATTTCTCTCCTGATTGATCAACTGAATGCTCGTAAGACGTTCGAACGCATCCCATAAAGATCAGTCTGAAAATTAAAAAAAAAGAAAATTAATAAAAAAACAAAATAATATAAAATAATATAATAAAAAAACAAAACAATATTAACACAATGCACACCCACAATACAAATTATTTATGCTAAAAATGCGTATACATATAAATTTTTCTTCTCTTTCGCGCGGTTTTCAGTTGCCGAGCGACAATTCTGACAAAACAATAGGGTTTTTGCATTTCTTGCCACGTTCATCGTTATTTAATTCCCTGAACATTTTTGGCAAGAAAAGGAAAACTGTTGAGAAAAAAATTCACTCGAGCGACCCAGAAGATTTTCGCCATCATTCGGAAACTCCGGGCGAAAATTGGAGACGTGGCATCCTTGACATGGATGACGTCAACTGACAATACGTTATCGACGCGCGTCATCAATCCAGATCAGCTGATCATCTCTGGTCGACGTTTGCTCGCTCGTAACGCGGGCTATTTTCCTATGGCCGGTTGGAACGGACTAGATTTGACAACCGAAGGGAATTAAGTGCACGAAAAACTGTTAGGTTATGAGATCGGAGCAAAATGAAGATCGCCTAAATCGATGACAATTCACGTATCATCGCGAGTCTCCTCGACAGAAAATTCTGCAAGGCGATAAAGAGTCTAAACAGGAGTATCACAACACACACGTATAACATGGATTCGTTTAATTCCAAATCACTTAAATCTGTCGCAGCATGAGATCTTAAAGTACTAAAACGCGCGTTATTCGCGAACGATATCGATTAGGGGGAGAGGATGGGACAGACGCTCAGCGAGCCGGTGACGAAGAAGAAGTCGGCCTGCTGCCGAGACAGTAACTATCGTGTCGGTAGCTCCTGCATGCAAGGATGGCGTATCAAGATGGAAGATTCGCACGTGCACATACTCTCCTTGCCAGGTGACCCAGGCACTGCGTTCTTCGCCGTCTATGATGGGCATGGAGGTACGTAAACGTAAATATTTCCCTCTGTACAGAATAAACAGGTTTATTGCTCAACAGAGTAATTCAATTTTTTGTTAAACAACCGCTACGTATCCATAAATCTGATATTTACATGAAAATATCTGTATACTTTTACAGGTGCAACCATGGCCCAACATGCTGGGAAACATCTTCATGAATATATAATTAAAAGAAGCGAGTACAAAGCTGGCAATATTGTGGAAGGTATGCAGCAAGGTTTCTTAGAGCTGGACAAAGCCATGCAGAATAACGTGACCCTCAGGGATGAACATGCTGGGACCACTGTCATCGCATTGCTTATCAAGGATAACATTTTGTATAGCGTAAGTCGTTCGTTATTTTGAAGGCGATTCGTACATTCGAATACCTGATCTGATTGGAAAAGCTTTCTAGGCTAATGCGGGCGACAGCAGAGCGGTGGCGTGTATCGGTGGCAGGACCGTGCCCCTTAGTCGAGATCACAAACCCACATTGAAGGACGAGCGCAAGCGAATTGAAGCAGCGGGCGGTTTTGTCGAGTATAAGAGGGTGAATGGCAATCTGGCGTTGTCCCGCGCGCTGGGGGATTTCATATTCAAGCGAAACGATCATAAGTCAGCACAGGAACAAATTGTGACTGGTAATAGTAACAGGCTCGATATAGTGAGCTAGAAAAGCTTCGATGCAACTTTCAATATATGCTCGCGCATATTGTATGTTAACAAATTACAAATTTCTCGTGCACAGCCTTCCCCGAGGTACAGCAATTTCCTATAAGCGAGGAATGGGAGTTCGTTGTTTTGGCGTGCGATGGTATCTGGGACGTGATGACTAGCGAAGAGGTCGTCGATTTCGTGAGGACGCGGCTAGCTCAGACGAAACTCGGCGACGCAGAGTCATATCGCAACGTTACGGTACGTCCTGAAGAGATCTGCGAAGAGCTTCTCAACTGTTGTTTGGCACCGGACGCTCTTATGGGCACCGGTTGTGACAATATGACAGTGATACTTGTGTGCTTTCTTCATGGCAAACCATGTTCGCAATTAGTTTTGCGTTGCCAGGACTTGCCACCGAGTATAGATCTATAACTATTTTAGATTTTAGAGAAAGATATAATATTTGACCTAAATTATTGTTAAGTATATTTTACTTTCGTCGGTGTACCTTGACTTTTGATATAGTGATATTTGTTATGCAATGTATTACACAATACACTGGCTCTGTTGATAAAGATGAGCGGATGTATATTTATAAAACTCTTCTTATATTTATATTTTCGTCCTCGAATCTGCGTAACTCTTGTATCGCGCTCGATTTATGATCGTGTCGCGCAAGAATACGTGCGCAATACACAGAATAAGTTATGCAAAAGCTCAATTATAAGCTTTTATTTACAATTCTGAACAATGGACAAGACTGGGTCCGGATAATAGATATTATAACAATTTTCGTGAGACGCAAAAAAATTTCGTTTAAAGTCCATAACGATCTTGTATAGAAGAAACAGCCGCATTTGCAAGCGAGCTGAGTCTTCCGGCAACTTTGTTTACACCTTGACGCACACTCTCTCGGACATCGTCAAGATCTACGACACCGGCTCTTCCCGCAGCTAGACGCATAGACAACGAAGGTGTGGGCGAAGTCAACGTCGAATTTTCGGTACCGAAATAATCAGCCGACGAAATGCTAGATGAGCCCTCGAAGCGACGTAAATTATTCTTACGTTCCCACTAAAAATTTAAAAGGTACGTGCATATTAAAGAATTATTAAAAAGAAACATATTCCAAACAAAATCCTAGTAAAACATAATTAACAAGAAAGTTAGATAAGTTGAAACATAATAAAATATTATATAAACTCACTACATTGTCGGAAGTACTATCTTGAAAATATTGTTCCGAGCTAATGGCCTTGGCGCTACCAAACTTTTTTTGAGCTTCTCCCTCGATAGTAGACGAAGGTTTCGCGTCACTCTTAGCGTTTATGATACGACTCGTGGGGACCAGTCGTTTAGGCGGTTCCGGTTCCGCCACTACCACAACTTCATCACTGCGCGAAGACGATTTGTTGTTAGCGTAAGCTGAGTAAAATTCATCTAAGGCAAAAAAAAAGTCCGTATCCCCTGACACCACTTCCGGTGTTGACGCTATAATTTTGGACTCTTGTGTTATTGTCTTCATGTCACCAAGAGCAGAGTGACTGGCACCACTAACAAGAAAGAGAGGACTTTTGCATAACATGGATAAAGTCATGTTAAATAAATTTCACAGGAGGGGGAGCGCAAAGTTCGTACCTCCGTGCATTAAATCCCATTCCAAGCCGTTCTGCCTGTGTAGCTTTTAACGGATCTAATTGCTTCGTTCTCTCTTCCACTTTCTTGGCTTGTTGAGTTAAATTTTGCTCGTACCGCTGTGCTAAACGCGTGGCGAGCTCCTCTTGCTCTTCTTTCGTAACTTCCTTATCTTTTTCTTGTGCTTGTTTACGTGCTTCTGCAACGCTCTTTTCTAATTCATCAAAATTGGTCTTCACTCTTTGAGCTCCTAAACTGCCAGTTTTTTTTCCCAACTATAATTAAGTTAAAGAAGCGATAATAATTGCGATTTATCATTATATTATTGTTTCACCATAAATGCACTTACACCACCAGGACGTTTGGCTTGTGCAGTCCTGCAGCCTATAGTAGGTTTCCTTGCAGTTTGTACATTTGAGATAGGATCGAAAGGCTTTATGGAAGGTCCCAAAGAATTGGAAATAATTTCTGATTCTGCTTTTTTTTCTGCATTATCAATGTTTGGCACAGTATTAGATGTGAGGAATGCCTTTTCTTCTATTGAAATTACTGTTTTGTTTTCGTGCAAATCTAAATTTTCATGTTGTTTAAAGAAATCTGGCTCGTTTGTTTCTTCTGGCACTATCTCTGTGCTTTCATCTAAATGCAGCTGTAAAAGAAATTATTATATTTATAGGATATTCCCGAAATATTTGGCCAAACATCACTAGTGTGTCATGGCACTATTTATTTCTTTCTTTTACTTAATATCTAATAATTATTTATTTACATTCCTTTATCTGAATAAATAAATATTGTTATATCTTAAATATTTGACAATTTATTCAGATAATTGAATGTTTTTATTAATTTATAATTAGATTCTAACATAAGAAGCTTATATTTATATTTGCATAGTGATTATATTTTTATGATATTTTCTTTTTTATGATTAGTAAACTTCTCTGACAAAATATAATCAAATATTTACCTTATACATAACATACCCATATACACACACACACATTATTAGATATAAGCAAAAAGAACAAATATATTATCATATTGAAATGCATCATATCATAAAAATGTACATGTGTATATACGATCTTCATGGTGAATTTGTTATAATGATGTAAAAGTGAAAACAACACTTTTGCAAACATCAAAATTACACACATTTGAACAATTTGATGAATGATTACATATACTAATAATTGCACACCGACATTGAATAAAAAAAATTACATATGTATGTATCTATCTGAGAAGTAAAAACGTGATTTTTAGAATGCCATAAGCAGATGTTAGTAAAATCCCGAGAAAAAATATGAATTGTAGAAGAACATTTATTCAGCTCACCATTGTTTTATTTTTTGACGTAGAAAGGAAAACCTATAATTATCATGTTTATAGTTATGTCGGATCTCTAATAATGTCTCTATTGTGAATACAATATTAAATCCGTCTGATAATCTCATACCTTTGTACCGTAACGATGCATTGCTTTAGCAGATGCTTGATTTAATGTTTCCCTGTACATCATAGCCGCACGCGAATTATATTTCTGCTGAGCATCAGTTGTGGTACAATTATGTTGTGTAAAGAATTTTCTCTAAAAATTAATAATATATGAGACAGAGTTAGGCAAGACACATATTGATTGAATTACAAATCATAATTTAAACAAAAAAGGGGTATAAATTGCGGAAACTAACAGCATTGGCATTACCACCCAGTTGCATATTTCTGAGATGCAACCATGTCCAATTTGTGTCAAGTTGGGTAGATTTGACAAAGGTGAGATGCACGCCCAGGCCACGATGCACCGCCGAACAGTCGATGCACAAGAAGACTCCATACGTCACGCTGGCCCATGCTGGATTCTTCGCGTTACAATCAAAACATGTCTGAAAGAATGAAAGGAATTATTGACACATATTCTGAAATTATTAAAACACCAATCATTGATGTGGAAACATGTTTGTATTAATTGTACATATTTTCACAAAATATATATTCATATATGAATAATACAGCTGTTCTACAGTTCGGATGTCATCGGGATGATCCGCTTTCTGTGTATGTGTGTGTGTCATATGATTAAAGGAGAAATCCTCGAGAGAAATTGCAATCGTATCGTTCAATCCCATGATTTCCCGTACATTTACTGCCGCTTTAAATCGGAGACAAACCTTATTGGTTGGAATGGCCCGTAGTCTCTTGAAAATTTCCTCGATTTCTGCCTTACTGGGCGTAGAATCTGCCATTTTTGACATGTTGTCAACGTACGTCACGATAAAATTGTAGGACGCGTGGCGAAAGCTGGTTGCTCGGCGCTGAGGTCACTCGAGCAACGATGCGATTCTTCGAGAAAAAGGAGAGAACACAGGATGCGTAATTAATGCAATAAAAAGCATACGAGGAAATTACAGTGTATCGTCGATAGCGGTGGACAGGCATGCAACTATTTGCAGGCACAAATTTGTGACGCTAGACTATCCTACATTATCGAACTTAAGCTCGCCATCTACTTTATTATCAATCGCACCAATGCATTTTACTTTATCGACTTATCTAAAATGTAAACAAATCAACGATTGCACTCCTTTATCGAGATCTTTTATTTTAAAGTGATAAAATATAAATATATACACGCGTCATACACGAACGAATAAAATGATACTTCTTTATGTATGTATCTTACAATACTTCAACATCTTTTTTTATCTATGGACCCATCCATAGATCGTTGCCCCATATTCGGTGAATCGCTCACGTTCACTTCCTCTTCTTCCACTTCCATACTGTTCAATCTAAAAGTATCAGAATTATCGCTGTATTCTGCGAAAAGCGTGTATGTTCCATAAAAAAAACCCTACTCGTCCTGTTCAAGACTGTAGAGCATTTGAAAACCGGCGTCCAGACTGGGCGGAAATCCCTTTTCGGGATCGAGCAACTGTAAAGTCGGAACTTCTCTATATACATTTCCGAACTCGTCTTCCTCGAATTGTAGCTTGCTAGTTGCTTCGTCTAGAACCATCCTGAAAAATATCAATTAATGTCATTTTGATGTAAGCAACATTTACTTTGTTTAGAAAATTGTCTACAACTTAATATATGCATTCTAATACATAATATTAGTAAGTTGCCTCTGTTTTTCCATCGTTTCTTCGACCTGCTTCCTCATATTCTCTTCAAACTTGATGATGTATTCTTGATAATAGTCATGTAACGCAGCTACTCCTCCCATACCTGTTTCAAGCAGTACTCTCTCCACAGCATCCTAGTGAATATAAGTTTACCATGTAAATATTGCATAAATATTTTTAAAAATTATACATTTTTTTCGTCTTACAGGAAACCCATGATCCTTCTGTTCAATCGCTGCTTTTAACAACAAAGTCATTCGTCTCAGAAAGTGATCTGCGACATCGGTGAGTGTTTCTATAGCAATGTCCGACGAGTTTTCGAATCCAATGTGAGCCAATAAAACAGTCACAGCATATCTCAATAAATTCCGTGCAGTTTGTGGCATCAAATGATGTATAGTGGAATAATTTTCAAGTATATTTCTGAAATGATACAATTAATGATTATATAATTATATGTGTGTGACATAATTTAAATTGAAAATACAACAAAAATACCCTTTTGGCTGATAAGGTAGAAAATGAAATAAATTTTTTAAAAGTATATTCTCTTTTGAATCTTGCGACTCTCTTTCTATAACAGTCATGTTTCCAAGCATAGTTCCTTCTTCCTATAAAAAGAAAATTATTATTTTTAAGCAATATTATTACTTTTGATAAATATTTGAATCAAAAGATATTTCAATCCTATACCATTGTTCGTAATTGTTGATGAAAATTTATGGTATTTAATACATGTAAGTTTCCCATTGGTAATCTACAATGAAATAACATTGACAGTTTTCAACATTAGTTTAACTCATTATTTCGATACATTAGTATTGTATAAATATCACGCTCACTGTAGATATTCAGGTTGCCTGTCAATCCGATAGTCGCAATCAGTATTATTTGAATCATCCATAGCTTGTCGCCAGACATTTTCTATAAGATCTGGTGTTATTATTTCCTGTTTGAGCATCTCCCGTGGTAATTCTCCCCATAAACCACTCGAGCTTTTGCTAGACTTCATTGTAACTTGAAAAATATACAAGAAAATATTATTCATTTAGCATTTATATTTGATATTAATTATATATATTTGATATATATTAATTTATACAGATGAATTTATAAGTTAATATAAAAATTACTTCTCCTTAATTGTTAAATTTAAATAAATCCCATATCTAAAAATTTATAACAAGCCAATAGATGTTTGATAATTCCTTAAAATAATGAGAACATTTTTGATTCACCAAACAACAAAAAACAGATGTGGAAAATACATTTCTGTGTCAGCGGAGCACTTTATTCGAAATGCATTTAATGACAATCCATCAAATGACATCCTTTGGAAATTCCCGCCTAGTGATAACCGTCAGTCACGTGCTATCGCGTCAGCGAAACGCAGTCTTTCGTGTCAGTTAAAAAACACGCGATAAACAGCGAATGCTGGGATTTTTCCAAGGCCGTAGACTCCGTAGTCAGCAGTTCCCCCTTACCTTGCGCGAAGGTGACGTATAAGGTTCTTTCCCCAGCAGTATTCTCGCGCGTCGAGCGGTCGCAGGACGATTTCACACTTCGTCGACGAGCATTACACTCTCGTGATTCCCGATTATCTAGCTAGGTTAAAATCCCTCGCATTCCATATATATCATGCGACGCCATGTTCGGACAGTACTATTCCCCGAGCAATCGCGGGCAACTTCTCGATACATTTGAAATTTGTACGCGAGGAGAAGGAGGAGAGACGCGCGCGAAACGAGATAAAGGTGCCAAAGGCGCGCGGAGCTGTCATTAATCGTCAGGTGCCTATATTCGCTCGCCTCGAGAATCGTAACAAAGAAGGTATCGCTCCACGCAACATATATATTCATTCGTGTTATTGTACGCATAAAGATAGTAATCAGTAGAGATTAGATAAACAACAGATTAAGCGTCGTGGGAAACGGTTTAGAAGTCTTTTAGAAGATTACCTGACAGAGGAATGATGGAATCCGCGGCGGTCTCGGTCTTGAAGCGAGCGGTGGAGATGGATACGAAGGAACAATACACAATGGCGTTGGTTTTATATCAGGAAGGCGTACAGATACTTCTCGACGCTGTAAAAGGTGTGGTGTATACGATATTTTTGCCCAGATAATCAAGTGATTATGTAATCATGTTGTTGCCAACAATTGTATTATGGTCAACAATTTTTGGCGGTAATACAAATTATTGACAATCCCACAAACAGTTGTTATCTGGTTATCTGGGTATGTTTCTCTATTTCTTTCTCTCTCGCGCAAAATCTCTTACGTTAAAAATGCTATTAGCGTTAATATTAGTATCCTTCATTAAGAAGTTCAAGAATCGATAATAAAACGATGCAGAGTCAAAGGAAGCCTACAAGACTGAGTACCTCACAACCAAAGCCAAAGAATATCTGGACAGAGCTGAGACAGTGAAAAAACTAATTACTGCGAGGAAATCAGCTGGGATATACAGGGAATTGACTAAGATCGAAAATGGATCAACAGGGCATGGCTATGCGAGTGTTTTTGGCAGATTCCTGGATGGTACTGTCACTCATATCAACATTGAGGATCCGTATATACGAGCCTTTCATCAGGTATGCTTATGCTCTGTATTTCTTGCATCCTGTTTGTATTATAAAATATTTTAAGATAGTTTGCAAGTTCATAGCTTTTGCTGAATTACATTTAAAAATATATGTTTAATCAATATAGTTTTGCAAATTAATTCTGTCAAAATAAACAGCAAATTTGATAAGTTGTCTATTTATACAGCTGTCATTTAAACTTTAATTACAAGTTTCTTTAAAAGAAATTATTCAAGATCCAATAAAAAAACAAAAATTTTTTAAATAGAGTGCCAAAAATGTATGTTTAGTAAAATAAAAATACAATTTTTTTTTACATGTCTGAATTTTTTTATTAATTTTTGACTAAACATTTTATTCAATTTAGCAAGCCTGCAAAATTTTGTATCTTTTCCTAACATCCTATAGATTAATTTAAGAATTTATTGTACTAATTGTAGTCTTTCATCTACAGTGTCAGAACCTGGTTAGATTATGCGAACTGGCTATTCAAAAGTGCTGTGCATTGTCAAGGATATCCTTGCTTACTACTTACGAGGCAGAGGAATCTAATCAAATTGCTAGATTAGCAGAGTTGAAGGAAAGTTTAGCTTCTCGTAAGGTCTCTTTTGATTTCTCTTTTTCTGAAACATTGCACGACAGACAAATTACGTAAGTCTGACAATATAATTATTACATTGAAAAAATTTTGCTCTTATGTTTTTTTTATCAATAATCCTTTATTCAATAATCCTTTATTTTATTTCACAGATTGAGTAATGGATGGGTAATAAAAATCGGACGTGGATTAGACTATTTTAAAGCGCCAGAGGGCAAATTTGTTCTCGGTTCGTGTGATTTAGAATTAAGACCATGCTTGGAGACTACTGTAGACATTTTTCATAAGAATCAGCTTCAAAATGAAAGAATATAACATCAATGACAATAAAATATGGTTAATATTTTTTTATACAGTTTTCATTAATATATTTCGTACATGTATATACATATATTATGGCACATTTATTGTGTGTTAATGATAAAAAAAATCTATATTTTTACAATGTCCTTATCCTTGCGATATACGAATTGCATAGAATAAAATATATTTGTACATATTTAACAAAAATACTTGCTTCCTGCATATTATTCTTATAATATAAAATATAACTACATAGAGATCGCGATTATAAAATGTGTGAAATATATGTACAGACTTCTTTTTTATGTTATGTTATATCTCGCAATTATTTTCAATTGCATGAATCCTTTTGTTATAATAAGTGTTCCTTTTTCCAGACCTTTTCCTCAGTCCAGTGTGCTGTGATCCTTTGCCTTCGCGATCCCGATTTGCTTTGCGGCCTTCTTACACGCTCGTCTCAACGACCTGGTGTATTTTAAGAGACCTGTTCCGACCTGTTGCGTCTCCTCCTCTTCTGCTTGGAAATTATTGACCCTGCACTGTCCTGTCAGACAATCTCCGCCACCAACTGCAACAACTTGCCTCGCAATCTCCGGTTCCACACAAAGCCTCGTCAGCGCGGCCGCCGCAGTGATCTCCAGCCTTCGGTATGCGTCTTCCAAACCCGGTGGTCTCATGCGGAGAAAAGAGACCAGAGCCACGGAGGCTCGCACTCCAGCCAAATGCGACCGACCCTCGGGAACGCGCGCCAACTCGCCGATTAGCGCGGCGACTTGCTCCATCAACCAAACGTTATCGCCGACGGATTTCTTCACGCTTCGCAAGAGTTTCCTCACACTATCCTGTTGCAATATGATCCCCGTACACAGTTTCGATTTTGACAAGTGATTTAATGCCGCGGCAGCCAGCAGCAATGTTTGAGCGCAATCGGTACTCTCAATTAGTCGATTTAGAGCCGGAATTAAGAAATTCGCGAAAGGCTCGAGGCATGGCAAACCCTGCGCGTCGGTCCACGGTGCCGTGATCTGCACCACTAAGGCAGTAGCTTCAGTCTTCTCCCTCTCGGAAGAGGATTCTAGGTTCAGAAGATCAGTCAGAATTTCAGGACCGCCGTCTCGAGCAAAGTGCTCGATCGCCGTCGTGGAATTGCATATGCTGGCTAGAGCGCGTAATGTGATAGCGACAAAATCGTTTGAAGGTGCTCGACCGGTGCTTATAAGACACGTTAGGAGAGCCTTTATACCAGAACATCGAGCTATGCTGTTTCCCGCGCGAGGATCCGATAATCCTAAAGCCGTCAGGGCCGCTAGAGCTCCTCTAGCCACGCTGTCATCTTGCCGCGGAGTCTCCTCAAGACCACGAACTATTTTCTATAAAAAAATTATTTATATACAATTAATTTACGGCTACATTTTGATAAATATAAGCTACAAAAATATAATACAACCAACCTCGATGTAGAAATCCAAACGCGTGTCAATCATATCATTGACGTACGTCTTCATATTTTGCAACTGCGCTAGTATGCTCTTCAGACTACCCTGCTGAATCCTGCGAGGTGGAGGAGCTCCTAACTGGGAGAGGACCGAGAAAGCGGCCTCCTCTATGCTACGAAGCAGCTCCATTTCGAATTTGCCGCCTTCCAGCTGTATTATCTTCCTGGTAATTATTAACGTAATATAAAATTGATTATTAATTATACTTATACAAAGATTCTATTATTCTTATATAATACGATATGAACGATTTTATTTCTTATTTCTTTATAATGCGTCTAATTTTATATCAGTGCGTCTTCCGATATAATACGAAGAATTAAAGAAACCGCACTCACTCGACGATGCTTCGATAATGTTGCTCGAAACGTTCCGCGGTGACTAGAAGTTTGCTCGCAGCGGCAGTAGCCGCGGAAGACAACATCTTGAGATCTCGCGCGTGAATCCCGCCGGAAAACGCCATCCGACTTCGCGGCAAATTCTTGCTCTGCAGTGTACTGCCGCATTCATTCTCAGTTTCCATAGCGAGATCGGTCAACCACACTCTCAAGGACGACGATTGACGATAACTCCTGGAATTCAACACCTCCCTGCCAGCAGCGATCACATCCGCCGCAGTATCTGTACCAATCGTCCGCGATCTCGTTACTGAAGACAACTGAATACTATCTTCCGGCGGTTCGGACGCATATAGAAAATCGCCCAGACATTCGTCCTCCAATGAAACGGATACCTTTGACGCATCGCTCTGCTCCTCGTTGACTCTGGAAAAAAGGAAATTTATTTTTCGTAAGTTTTTGTAAAAAGAAATATATAGACATTTTATTCTGAAAACATTATTTAAAAGATATCTCTTTTTTTATTTAAAAGATATCTGTTTCGTCGTCCCCAGAATTACGTTACCTCAAACGAGCCATAATGATTCGACATAGGCCTCGATCATCATGTCACGGCTGCTGTCATTCTGCTCTCGCAAAACTCTCGCAAGACTCTCGCATCACAATGCAATATACTTGTCACTAATCGCTTTTTTTTCCGGAAACGATAGCCGGAGGCGATTTAGTGGAATGCGACAGCTGACTAATCGCACCGAGCTCTCCTCGAGAGCGCGACTGCACGCGATGACTAATCTCGCGTTGTTGTATTGTAATGCGTCCACCTGCACCGTATTATAAAGCTGAATTCTTCGTAGATTTGCTGTCGCGCGCCGTCGAAGGAGCCGCACGGCCGACTTCGACCTCGCCGGTTACCCCAGTCAGCCTCTCGCGCGCTCATTCATTTATGTATTCTTCTCGCGCGGCACGTTGTTGCGTTGAGTCACGTACGGCACGAATGGAACACGGTGACTAACGGAAAAATGCGTCTGCACGAGGGTATCGAGTAGTTAGGTTCAGATCCTGATTTCGTAACGCGAGCTCAACACCCGGGGGAACATTAGAAAAATGTCATGTGCTTTTCGCGCTACATGTAATTCGCAATAGAAGTTGACTTCATCTTTTATGGGAGACAGAGATGCAGGATACAGAATATGAAATTATAAATTAATTTTTATCTCAAAAAATTGTAAAGATAAGCGCAGAGGTATAGAAAATATATTTCATGAATTCAATTAGAAAGTCAAGTACTTTTTTTTTCTTTATAATTATCCCCACTTGTATATCGTTATACTCGAGATATTGCAAGTTCAACCTTGTGTGTGCGTTTCCGGCACGATTTACATGATTGCGTTATTAGCATAGCCGGTCGCCAGTGCTCTTTAATCAAATCGCGACAGCGATACGCGATCTGATAAATAATCACTCTGTTTGCAGGAAAGAGAGAAGCCGAGATTGCGCGTGTATTTCATTCATTTATCCATATCGAGAGTCGTACAGCGAGGTTTGAAAACATCTCTTGTTACACCATAAAAGATCAGATATTTCCGTATGAAAGGGCACAACTGCGCATACAATGGCCCAACGATAAGCCGAAGCGTCTTCATAATTCAAGGACTGATAATCACCTGATGCTCTCGAATGATTATCTCAGCCTCTGACGCATCTCTCGGATATCATGATTGGTGAGAAGAAGAGGAGACGATTCTCAAGCGTGTGTCATCGCTTACGAAATGATCTACGTGTGTTATACATTTATATATTTTATTATTTTAGAAACGCAGACAAGAAAATAATAATTGACGTGTCGCATTCCTATCGATTGGTTCACTTCTCCAATCTTATCATCATATTTCTCATAAAAATTCTTCGATTGCAAGGTGTGACACAATTTCGAAGGTAAATATTAACATGGTCATATCGATGGCGCAGCTTTTTCCATGGAATTTCAAACACGCGCTGAATCAGGGTCGATGATTCTTATATTTCTGATTCGGCAACGTGTAAAATTATGAAATGGAATAATTAAATATCGAACTCACGCGATGGACTTTCATTTATTACTTTAAATTTTTAATCAATGAGACATTAATATATTTCTTCTTCATTCACAATTAGATAAATGGTTCATATTCCTTACCTTTGTCTCCGCGATTGCTTGAAACGATTCTTCACGAATGTCCTGGAATGCTTTGGCGTGGACGTGTGCTTTGGCATCGACGGAGATCCATCTTCTAACCATGGCGAAGCAATCCCCATTGATTGCATTTTACGTTGCCTCATTCTTCTTTTTGACTTCCGTCGTGGAGTTATCTTTTCAGATGCTTCCGAGCAGTCTGATCTTTCGGAATCGGAGAATCCAGAATCTTGACTTCTGAGATCTTGGCTCAAAGGACTACATGATCTGTTTCCAGTAGCAATTTTGCGCTCCTCTTGTCCATCCATTTCCGCCATCCTGCAACATTGAAAATTTAAAATATTCATTCTTCATTTAATATAAATATAATATAAGGAGACACAATTTAATATATTTCTCTATTTTATCAATATAATTTTTTTCTCATTTTAGATTGTTTATTTTTATGTATTCTTAAACAGTTAATATTTTTAAAATAACAAAATGTATGTTTCTTTATTTTTAAAGAGAGATATTTTTTAAATTGTTAATTTTTATGACAATTATTATGATAGATTTTTTATTCTACGTACCTGCAATGTACAATACTTTCTTCGCCTGTCAACGAAATTTGACACACGTCTTGTTTTGGATTCTCTTCACTATCATTGCAGACACGTATCGCGGTAATATTCGCACCATCGATCGTGTCACTTTCCGATTTATTGGTAGAATCCTCTTCCTCTTCATTCTCTTTTTCACGATGTTCGTTAAAAGAGCGATGTAAAGGTTCGTTTCGTTCTATAAAACGATCGTCCTCCAGATCATGCGAAGCCATTTGCTCCCAGAACACTTTACTCTGATATCTCTTGAACGCACTCATGTTTTCACTGTTCACTTCATTCAATGAATCACAAAACACTCGCGCAATAAACAAAAACGAAGAAAAAGAGTACAATTTTTTATTTTTCAAAATATTTAATCTCTTGTTTTAAATTTCTTCACTTTATTATACCCGCAGGGCGCGTGGACGAACGAGGAAGTCCGATAAACGTCTGCGGGACCTCAAAGTGATGCGACCCAGGATGCAACGCTATGTTACTCCAACGGGGTGTTTTCACGACTCAGCGGAGCGAAACGACCCTCCCACGGTTGGTGGTCGCGTGGCTGCTTGGAGAACCGTATGGTGTCCGTCGCAACCCCCATAGGTCTGCTGCTTAGTGATGAGCCTCGCATGCGACACGTACTCTTCTTTTTCGGTAGATCCTGATCTTCGACTACAAACTTGACAAAAGTTCTGTTAAGAACGACCAATTCTCTATTCAGGTTTTAATAGATCAAGATAAGTATATTTCGGTTTAATTAAATAGACGAAAATCATGAAAACTCCGAAATTGTTTGGAGTTTTTTCAGTTAGAATTAGCTGCGATTGAGATTTTCACGAGTACAAGTGCACGAGTACGATTAGCGGCACGATTGACCTAAGCGCGTTAATGCTCCACAATTGACTGACTCTCGGGCTCGACTTCCGACTCCGACTTCCTTGTCGCGCGCGCGACTCGGTCTCTCCTCGCGTGCCTCTCCCCGCCCCAAAAGCCAAGTCGTGTGAAAACGCAGCGGAGCTCCTCCTCCCTTTTTGTCTACTCCATGGGGGCAGCTTGCACGGGGGCTGCCTTTCCCCTCATCTCACGCACACACACACATCATGTGCATGTCCATGCGTAACCGTCAAATCGTAACGAGGCACGCGTCCTCTTTCATGGGATGCGACGTAAGACCTTTAATTTAGCTTCATAGAAAAAAGGACATTCTTGTTTTGCAAATATCTTGCAAGTATCTTTAATTTTAACATAGAAATCTTGAAATGAGATTATATTGCGTTAATTAAATAAAAATATAATTGTTTAAATAATTATTTGCTGAATGAAGCTATTTTAAATAGTTCAATCAAGAGAAATATATTCTTATGATTTAAAATTTAATTTTCTTGAGTGGAAAGGAAATAATGTTAAATAGAAAATAACATTTTTAAATCAGAAGATAATTATTATAATTTTCTTAAAGTAGAATTAAATATTCTTATATATCTAATTATATATTCTTGAGATGACAATTACAATATTGACATAAGACTATAATATTGTTGGAATTTAAAATTATTAAATTCTTCTAAGAAAATTATAAATTGTTGCGTATATACGAAATAATGAACGCATTAATTTAAGTATATAAGTTTTGATTTGACACTTATTTTTTTTCTGTGTTAGATAGCTTAATCCATGCTCCGATATACAAAAGGATCTTACATCTGAAGACAATTTTTTTTATGAATGACATCACAGAATGATTGAAATATTTATATAGTTTTAATATTTTCTGATTAATAAAACTAATGTCTTTTATTTCTTTTTATATTATTTCTTTTTATTTTTTTTTATATGACTGTATTATAACTTAATTTTACGTTGATTAAACAATTCGGAAACGAAAAATTCGATAATTAGAAATTATAAAAGAAAAAAGAAAATGATCGAATTTGAGCTGAATGTCAATTAATTAACAAAATCAATTAATAATAATAAATATATATATAAGTAAGCAAGTGTGCATACATAAAATGCAGAAACATTTCTCGATCATACATTTTGATTATTAACTTAAAATATTGGAATTAATAATAAATATCAATATATAAAAATATAAAATAAAAAAAAGAGAAATAGAAGTTTGTGTGATAAATATAAGAATTTAACCAAAGATTTAATCTCTCGACAACTTTCAAAGAAAAAATGTGTGATACTCTCAAGTACAAAGTAAATTTAAAGATAATAAGTTACTTAAAATTCATTTTCAATAACCCATTTGCCGCGCTTTCATGATGACAATAGCTTCTGACAATCAAGCCTAGGCACAATAAGAAACGCAGGAAGACGCTTTTTATTTTACTTGTTAAAGGCGACAAGTCTTGTCTCCTCGAAGACGATCCGACATTGGCGTAACGATCGAAAAAAGGTTCAAAAAAAGGATCGGTCCTTCTTCAACTAGTTTGTAGGTGGAAGAAGATGTCACGAAATCACGCCAATGGTGTTTTTAAGGGCCAGGTGCGTGACTCTATCGTTACCCTGGTGCGCGCGCGATCGAACGGGGGTCCGACCCCCTCGAAAACGACTGTACTACCATTCTTCCCGGGTGCAGTGCGAAGGCACGCGTCATTCGGGACATCTGCGTATAAAACGCCTGTAGTAATGCGTCATGCGTGAGAGTTGATGAATCATTGTTGATGAATTGGACGTATCCGCGCATTAAACTTTAAAGGAATTTAAATAATTTAAAGAAATTTTCATGGAGAGTAATTAAAATTTTTTATGACTTTTTTATTTAGTAAAAAATATTGATGCTGAAATTTAAATCGATCCTTTAGTCGAGGACATTGATTCTGAGATTTAAAAGGCTCTGAAAGAAGAGGGCATTTAAACTTTCATGAGGGAAAGTTTAAATGCCCTTTACTTTGATTTCATTGCGACTTTACCGAAGACAAACAGTGATATTTACGCTACTGGAAAAAGACGTACATACATAAATCGCGAATTGTTATGCGTGATAGATGCACAATACATTGCAACGGTGAACGACCTGCCAAGGAAAAGCCTCGTTTACGAGCTTCGCGTTCTTCGTTAATTGACCAAGATCGAGGCTATCGATAGTAGGAAATACTGAAGTTGCTATGAAGAAGTAGTGGTAGCTAATGAAGAGGTAGTGGTAGTGTAATGGCATAATGGCTCGTCTCTTTATCGTTATTCCAGCAACAAGAGCGTTGGTCATGGCCGGTATTTCTCCTCATTGTCTACGAGCAATACACGTACACATTCGACGACGATGATCCCAGCCGCGCGTCTTGTAGAAGCGCGAAGGGGTCCTTGTACGACCCCTATTGTACCCCGAGTATGGATGGGGGACAGATGCGTACGAACCGTTATTTAAGCGCATGTATACGTCTGTGTACATCTGTGATGTTTGAATTTCGAATTATTTATTTCAAATTACATTTTGAATTTAGGAGGAATTCATCGATGATTGATTTCTGAAACATCAAAAGATATAATTATTCAAGGACATTATTCGAAAAATAAATTATATGATATAAAAAATTATAGAATCATTGAAATAGAATGTCTGAGAATATATATTTTATTATTGGAAATATTATAATGCATTATAAAAGTGTATATATATATATATATATATATATATATATATTTATTTATTTATTAATGTGTAATGTCTTTTAATTAAGATTAATTAAGATTTTCAGTTATATTTATTAATTCACAAAAATTGAAAAAAAAAGTTATTTTAAATCTATTAGCTAAAATCTATTGTATTATCTATTGTAGAAATTTATGAAATCAAAAGAAATGTTTTTGTTTATATGATATTTCCAATAATGTTTCCGTTTTTCCATCCTTAAGATAACTATAGAAGAATATACTTTTAAAATTTAACTATCTTCTTTTTTAAATGTTCTATAATTATTTATAGAGTAATTGAATTCTTTTTTTAATACATACTTTTTGAAATTCTGATAATATTTAACTTACAAGACAAATGTCAGACAAAAAATTAGAAACGCCTGTAGATATGCAATCCTCTTCGCAAACGATATACTTGTAACATGCGTACAGCAACGACGCATTTTACTTATAGCCTTCTAAAAATAATAATTTGATTAGAATGCTATATCTATCATGTATATGTAAATTATACTTTTAGCTATTAATCAGTAATGTTTTTCTTTTTCGAAAAAATACAGCAATCTACCTTTTGTAGTCAAAGACGGCCACTTCGATTGAGCTCCGATTAATTTAATCGTTGATTAACCTGCAGAATGACCAACAATAGAATCTCAAAATTTTTCTTATGTTAGATATGAAAATTATATCATTGAAAATTTTTATGTTGCCCTGTAAGTTAATTAATTAATTAAATAATTAACTCGGTTAATCCAAGTTTAGTCATGTTAGACTTGAGTAAATCAATTCTATGTTGAGCATAATAGAAAATTCATATTGAAATAGTTTGAGATTCAATCTAGAAAATAGATCATAATTAATATAATATTTTTGTCCCTATAAAATGAACTTTTCTATTGGATGTCGTATATTGGACAACGACAGTATGAATTATATAAGTACATATGCAGTTTGATATTACAGGTCGGCCAGTATTATCACTATTTCGTTTGAAGACGTCCAGCTCCTTTGACTACGTTGCGATGCATTTGCAATGAATTGGACAACTCACACTGGATCAACCAATAAAAAGATTCCCTGGTGAATTGGCGACGTGCACAATTGACATTAGCCTATTTGAAGATGCGCTCAACTCCGTTAATTGCTTCGTTTTGAGGGGAAGCCCCTTTTGGCATTAACTATAATTTTTTTCCAGGAAATCCCCTACAACCTCCCACAAGAAGAGGGTATAAATATCGCGACGGACACATATCGCGTTAGAAACCCGCTGCAATTCTGCTGCAAATAGAACGACCTTAGTAGACTGTCGACTATAATTTACTAAAGTCTTTGTGTAACTTTGTGACTTTATCCAGCAAGCAAGTTATTTGCTTATAAAGTAAGTTGGTCATTTGCTTCATTAATATATTTTTAACTTCTACATAAATTGTTTCTATATTTCAAAAAATTAATAATTTTATACTTACAAGTTTAAAAGTAATTAATATAAAAAAGTAATAGTAGCAGAGCAATATATAAAATTATGATAGTATATAAAATAATATTTTATTGTGAAATGTTTGCTAAAAGAATAATTTATTATTTATTACAAATTTATTAGAAAATCTATGATTTAAAAAGTGCGTCATTTCGAATATTAACAATTTGAAATATTATAATGCAATAGTTAAGAATTTAATAAAAAGTGTTAATATAGAGAAAACTATAAAATATTTTTTTATATTAAAATATGCTTAGTTTCGCTCTCTCTTTTTCTGTTAGTTACAGATTATAATTTTATTCATTTTAATTGTGTGTAGTGCAGTATATTTTATTCAATATTAATTTTTTACCCAATATTTGCCATGGAAAAATCTGTGATAATTATAATATATCTCTTAAATAATAAATATTAAATAAAAAATGAGTCCACTTTAAAATAAAACTACGTATAAAGTTTTTACATATTTTTTCTGTGATATTTTAATTAAACATACTTAATCTATTTTTACTTGTTCTCTTTTCTGTAATTTTTTTTCTTTGATATTTTTTTATCTGTAAATTAAAGATTTATATATGTGATTCAATGAAATTTAATTACTTTTGTCTTTTCTAGATGGACCCAAATCAAGCCAACCGCACTAACCAGTGCAATCCAACTCATACTCCAACTGGGCCTGGACATCAGGCAGGCTATAAAGGGTCAGCAACAAAAGCTGATCTTGATAATCATAGCAACCAACTGAATCCAAATCATCCACAATATAAAAAGTAAAAGCATATATATTTCACAGAATATCGATGGCATTGTATTTTACAAGTAATGTACATGCTCAAATTATGATATAAATGAATATGTAATCAGAAATATTTCTTTTCCTTTCTCATATCCTTTATTATCTCTATGTTTTTACATGTTCCTATTCAATATTCCTGTCTCGAAGCTTGACTCAAAAAATAACTCGAAAAGTAATTAATCGTAAAAACTAATTATTGCGATGTAATGTGATAATTTTTTTTTATAAATGTTTTTAACAATTGCTCGTATATGGAGAAAAGAAAATTAAAGTGCCTTGTATTAATTTTTTGACGTATATATATTATACGTATATTTTGACGTATATATCGCTCAAAAAATAGACATAGACAGCGAAGATAGAAACTTTGTTGCTAAATCAATATGGAAAAATAAAAACAATTAACAACAGAAATAAATGATTAAATTATCTGCCGGGCTGTTGAATCCAGTATCCCCATGGAGCGAAGGAATCACCATTTTTTTCTTGCATAGGACCACGGAAAACTTTTATTTTTACTCGTTGTCGGTCGTTATCTGTAAGTGAATAGCAGTTGTTATATATATATTCGTTGAACGTTATCCGTGAGCGAATAGTAATTACATATTCTATTTGCAATAACAGTCTCTTACGTGAAAAATTATTTCGCATTATTCTACGCAAGCACTTTTGTGTTTGAACACATAATATCGCCGCGCTGTCTGTGATATTATATATTGTATATTATTATATATTACCTTCTTTTTCAATCTCATGCCGTATAATTCCTCTTGATTCATCACAATCAACCATCGCAGTAAACATCGCTATTTGAAGCAGACTGAGTATAACAAGAGTACACTGCACACAGAAAATATTAGTTGACTAATTGTTTGATATGAATATTAATATTTCATCGCGTGTACTGAGTATTAATTAAAGTGCAGTTAAAAGAATAGAAAATTAAAAATGTCTTTAATGTAGTCGAGAAGATAATGAAATGCTACATGAAAAAAATAAACTGAAAATATAAAATAAAAATTTGTTTATAAAAGACTTCAATGAATTCGAAAATGTCAATATGTTATTAATTTTCCAAATTTTGGAATTAATTTTCTCAAATAAAGCCTTATACATAAAAAAATTTTATTTTATATTATCGATTTATTTTTGATATTTCTACAAACTTTTCATACAATTATTATCTTTCGTTTTTTAGTTATTAGTTGCGAGAGATGTTATATTTTGCACTCTGACTCACCAATAATCTCATCACGATCGTCATAGAACAGCTGACTGATTCTTCGAATTAAAGAGAGGAAGCTTATATGTCTTTACGAGGTTGTATTTAGAGCATGACCGGTTTTCCATTTCGCGGTTTGAGGGACCGTTTTTCTAAAGAGAAAGTCGTATCGTCCTGCGAGGAAATAATAACGTATTACATGTAAAACAGCAACGAAAACATCAATAATTCTTATTGTTAATAACTTTTCACCTGAGCGATTTGTCTTCGACACTGAGCAAATTCGTCGTAACGTTCCAGGGACATGTTTAATAGGCACAAGTACCTCCAAACAGTCGCGTTACGATTATCAATCTGATTCGCCTCCGATAAAGCTGCCTCGGCTTCCGTAAATTGCTGCAACTAATAATGATTTTTATAAGCGATTTATTTCATGTACGCATAAAAATAATCTTAAATTTTTTTATGTACAATTTAATTTGCGCATATATTTTTTTAAAATTTTGTCTTTATTTAATTTACCTCATAATAAGCAATTCCCACACCAAGCCATGTTTCTGCCGTTGGCAAAATTTCACATGCGTTAAGGAAACTTTTTAACGCGCGCATGTAATCAGCAGTATCTTCGTAATACAGTCCCATTCTAACGATATTACGTAATGGTGTTATAAATAACTCTCTATCTTTTCCTCTTTCAATTATCTTATATAATATCGAGACAAACAAGTCTACCTCGTTTGTACGAGATGCAAATTGTACGGTTGATTATACATCATGTTAGAAAATTCGTAGCAACGAATGGCTTCTACAAAATCGCTCTTTTGAAAGTAACAGTGCCCCATTAAAGCGCTTATCGAGTCATTCTGGAAAAAAATATTTTTGAAATTTAAACATATAATTTATGAGTTATAGCGCTATTATGTAAATATTATATAATATTTACATAATAGCGCTAAATTAATTAATCTATATATTTATTCAAAATTCTCTATCTTGGATCTAAATTTATTTAACTGATTTATAGTTTTTAATTAAATAAATATAATAATTAAATATTAAATATAAAAAATAAATAATATAATAAAATGAAAGCAAAATCTAAATCAACTCAACGTTTAAAAGATATTTTAAAGGAAACAAAATAAATGAAAGAGTGAGAAAGAAAAAAGATGATGAAACAGACCAGTCCATAGATAGATTCAGCTTCTCTTAAACGCGACAAAGCATCCTCGTATTGATTTAACAAATAATGTTGCACAGCCAGATAATATAGTCCATAGATGGATTTATCTGAGCGAGATATTTCTTCCATGAGGGCTATGCTAGCAAACTGCACAGACACAAAGTGTGACAGCAATTTGTATATTTTATATAAATTTTCAAGTAAAAATTTATTACATCGCAAGAATGTAACTTCATCAGAAGCATGATCGTTATCATATACAAGTTATCTCGCGGACAGTGGATCGTTGTCCAAGTAAGAGGATCTTCATCCGAGATTTCTATTTCTAAATCATCATCTTTCATGCATTTTTCCGCTATTCGTAAAGTGAGATCTATTCCTGTAAAAAAATAGAGAAATATTTTATATCTTTCATATATACTTTTTTATATTATTATAGGTATTTGTTATACCTGGATGATAACCCATGCGAATGTAAAGCAAATGTAGGATAACCCAGCCTTCGATGAATCGCGGATAAATATCGGTAACGGTTTTCAGAAAGATTTCGGCTTCTCGATAGTTTTGATCTTTGGCGAGAATTAATCCGTACATCAACAAACTGCTGAGGAGAAATATTTGTTATAGTTCGTTTATATAAAATTATACAAATCTGTCTATTGGTTTCTCTTTTGGAGAAATATTTTTTATATATTTCGTTTATATAAAATTATACAAATCTGTCTACTGGTTTTTCTTTTTATCTGAGAACCTAAAGTATATATTTTCATACGCAATTTTATCGCGTTTATTCAAGAGAATTGCTTCACGACAGCATTCCTTTGCGCGTTCCGTGTCGCCAATTTTTAAGAGAAATATCGCGTATTTTGTCCATGCTCTGGGCTCGTTTCTATTCGCCTCAATCGCCTACGAGAAAGACCATGAATAATAATATTTGATATTAAAAGATCTTGATATTAAAAGATTGAATAGCGTACAGTCAAATGATGTCGTCTTGCATCGTCAACGTGACCCAACTCGTAAGCTTCTTCGGCGTAAAAGTATAATTTTTCAGATATCACAATTTTTGGCGATTCTTCGTCCACGAGACGACTTTCGACGATCTTGTTAATAGCCACATGCATTCGTTCAACAAGATACGTGTATACGGATGCCACAAAATTCTACATATAATTTACGAAAAAATTTATCTTCCTCTGCTAAATAAATTCATGAATGAATTTGCGATTGAAAAGATATTTTTATAGCTGCAAAACTGTTTCCGATAATGGTACACGTTGTAAATTTCAGCATCAATGTCTCATTAAACAAAAATATAAAATTTTTTAAAAATTTTTTATAAATTTAAAATAATAAATAAAATTATTTTACATACAAAATATAATTATTATTTATGAAATATTATTTAAATATTATTTATAAATATTATTTATGAAATAATTATATAATTATTTATAAAATATTTAAATAATAAATTTTTGGACCTGACTATCGGTCGAATGTACTGTGTTCATACTCGTTTTGAATTTCTGATCTAACATGGAAATCACTTTCGCTTTCAAAGTGCTGCGTATACTCAAGTAAGTACCAGTTTTAAATAGATATTGCGTGAAGCAAGTTAACTCATCCTGAAAATTGCATCGAATGTACAATATAATCATTTTTATTTATATTTTCGTTAACAATGATCTCACTTCTTCAGGAACGAAGCAATATTTCATTTTATCTGTCGTTTCAAAATTATTCGAGTCATTTTCTTGTCTTTTCGAATCAGACAATTTTTCTTGCTTTTTCTCTTCGCAAAAATCCTAACGTGAAAATATATTTTACAGTGATATATGTCTGATATAAATGATTATTTTTAAATATATCCTCATAATATGGAAAACTTGATACTCTATAACTCTCTGTAATGATCTCCACTAATTTTCGAATGCAAGTTGCATATTGTTCTTCCGCCATATCGCCGGAATAAACATAATACGGTTTTGTTACCTTCGGCTTCATCATTTCCTCGATTCTATCAAAATTAGTCAAATTGAAATTAAAACATTCGATAAGATTTATTATATTTTGACTAGATACTATGATATATATTTCTCGTTATGATATATTTCTACAAAGCATTCCATAATTGACAACTTACATGTTTGAGAAATCAGATTCGAGTCTACAAGGAATAAGTGGATAATAAAGTTTGACTTCGATTATAACGAAAACCGGTTCACCGGTTTCCAAAATTAACGGAGTATTTTGCGAAATTTCCACATCCGACTGAATCGACTATTTAAAATAAATTAAAGAAAATTTTAGTTATATATATATTTTTTTTATTCTTTCTCTTTAATTTTTTAGGCATCATATATATATATATATATCAGCTAACTTGTTCTGATTCTTTATTCCAAGACTCTAAAATATTTGTTTCTAAACCAGTCTTTTCAATCATATCGGACGTATTGTATGTGTACAACTGCGTCATTACGCGAGTACTTTTTGCTGCGAAAGATATTTTATATCAATATTTAGAGGATGAACTTTTATATTCTTCAGATTTTAAGCTACAATAATATTAATTAAAAATGTGTAGAAAAAAAGATAGTATATTATTTATTATTTAAAATAGATTCACTTGCACTTACTTCCTGGAAAAAGAAGTTCTGATAAGTCAACGTAACACTGATAAAGTTTAATCGATCTCTCTTCCTTTGATCCAATATTATTCTTCTCCATACTTTTCTCGGCCATCATAAATTGAAATGGCCAATACTTATATCTTCAAATATAAAATTTATTCTGATATTCAACAGTGAAGTGTTTTAAAGTTTTTTATATAAAAGATTATAAGAACTATATACTTGACAATATGCTTCTGCATTGTTTCAATTCCTACATCATACATTATGCTACGATTCATAAAATTCCACTCGATTCTAGGCTCGTCCTGGCATACTTTCTTCTGTAAATTGCGTATTAATCTACACTTTATCATTAATTTGGATTAAATTGCTAAATTATATCAAATATTCCAAATCTACCTGTAAGTCCAGTTTCGTGTCGAGCATATTTTTTATATTTGCATAATCGCGACTAAGTTTCCACTTCGACAATCTGGCACGACTCTGTAATTTCGACAAGCTCTGCCATTGTTTGGTTCTTTCCACATCGCGATACTTTGTCCATTTACCGCTTTCGAATATTATATTTTCTGGGATCTATGATCAAAAGTAATTTTTGAAATTTGCCAAAGAAAAAAAATATTTTTGTTGAGAAATATAATATTAATCTGCATGCAATCAAGTGCAGTAAAAAAATGTTGTGCATCGAGATATTTATATATTATTTTTCTGCACATTAACATATAGAATTTAGAACATTTAGAATCTAAAGAGGAATGGGCGGAAGCGAGAATGTGATAACATTGTTTGTTCGGGAATGCGATCTAAGATTAAACTTTGGCTTCCTTGATTTTATTCGTAGAATCGATAATTTGTGCCTATCATCCGCTCATATACTCTCGTATCTTTTCTGTTTACATTTTGATACGCCTCATTGCGTTTGTTCTTTCGTTCCATTGCAATTCTTATGAAACTTTTTTGCACATACATACACTGGTAAAATCATTTATAGTTAAAAAAAAAACGAGAAATCCAGGAACAACATTTTACTAAAATATTGTGTTTTTCTCAATTTAACATAATCGATATAAAAATGAAAAAAATTGACATATTTTTAATACATATATATATTTTTTAAATCAATTAATTTTTAACACATTTTGATTTCTTTTTTTCTTATTATATATGTTTTTAATATTTTTGCGTATTTAATATTTTTGCCAGTAATGTATAATTATTTTTTAATTACCTCATGGTCAATATATACTATCGTGCTCGCTTTATATTCTGTATCTTCAGTGAAGAAGACTGGTGGATTGTAAATACTTTCTATTGTTATACTCAAGAAATTAATTTTTGCTTCCGAAGGAAATATCTCTTCACCATCATACATCATTGCTGCATTAATTATAGGAAGATTTTGCCATGAGACCGCATTACTATCGAGCGAGAAATGCGCTGTTTGCACTATTAATCTTTCAGTGAGCGATTTTTCACCTGTGATGGCACATAAAGTTATAAAATTATAATATTAATATATTTTAATTTTATTTTAATATATTAATATATTTTAATAATATATTTTATAATTAATATATTTTATATTTTATTTTAATTTCTTCTAATTTTAATAGAAATCATTACCTAATAATATCGGCATCACATCAAGATTGCAGAAACCAATTACATTTGACGATGTTGACGTCTCTTTCGGAGTAGTTATTATTGTCTTTCCTCTTAAATCCGCATGTGACTTGACAGAATTGGTTGAGCGCTGATATGGAGTCTCGTACATTACCTTTACTTTTGAAAAAATAAAAAAATATAACAATGTTACGTATTAATCATAATTTTAAAAATTATTATATTTATATTGAAAGAATGTTATAAACTTTATCTATATATTGTATATAGATTACGCAATTCATATAAATAAATACATATAAAAATGCATGTTTTACTTAAGATCGGCGTCGATACGACTGAATTCATGCTATTGCGATCATCAACTATAAATGAAAGTTCAACGGCGTAATTGACATCGTAAACTTGCGGCGGTTCCTTGAAACCCGGATCGATAAAAAGAGGAATACTTTCTCCTAGCACTACGTCTTTATGTATCACGACAAAAGATATGCCAACTTCTTCTTTCATAATCTATAAATTTTCCGTAAAATAATAAGACTCTTTTATAATTATAAAATAATTAGAAACTTACGATATTTTCAATTGATTTTATAATAATTTTGATGGTTTTTTCCTTCGATATTTCAACTGACTCATCTTGAACTGAAGATTGCTCCATTGGAAAATATATTGCTAGTTTGCCAACTTTTAATTAAATATTAATAAAATATTTAAAAAATTAATAAAATAAAAAACTGACTTTTATTTTTTCACAAAAATGTAATAAAATAACTTTTACGTAGTCATAGCCTACTCTTCGATAATGATGAAAACGATATATAATTGCGAGTTTACTTTTAATCATTTGTTATGTTTCGAAAGAGATTTCAAGTCGAAAAAGAAGTAAATTTTCTGAATCATGATATTGAATATCTTCAAAATTTTATTGCGAATTAGTAGACTTATATATATTATATAGACATATTTGACTAGGCAAATTGTCTATTGCAGAGTACACAGATTATTTTATTTTTTACATAGCCTCATTTATTGTTGTGGGGAAATTAAAAATTTCCAAATATTTTTATTGTGTATGGCATCACTAATGTTTCGACCATTTCATTTTCCCTTTCTCGTTGCTGGTTCTTACTCATAACTAAAAAAAAATATAATTGTTGCTTATAGATATATTGAGATTCAAGTTTTGATATTAGATACTGGATTAAAGAAAACGAAAAAGAGTCTAAAAAAAATCCATTATTTATCAATATTTTAGATTCAGGTATTGTTCACCCCACTGATAGAACTTACATATAAGAATTTGTTGCGCGGGTTTAATGAAACTTAATAATAATAATTTGTAAGTAACGATATATTGTTATTGATTTATTGTATAAACTGTAATTACGTAATATTATATATAGATATGATCATATATTTATTTTTCCTGTTAAAGATATCCATCACATGAATTAAAAATTGAATTAGTCAACATTCGTCGATATTCTTTGTAGCGTTTAGAGTATATTATATATTAGAAAGTTACAATTGGATTTACAAACAATTATGGTATCGAACTAACGAATTTAAACTTTCGACACACGTCGAAAGCATCGTCGATTCCGAAACAAATTTATTGCTCTGTAGGCAATGATCTCTTTTCTTCAAATATATCTTATATTTTTTCTTCCTGCAACTCGTTAATGTAGAGTTGGTGAAGACAACAGTGGGACAAAAATGTTTCTTTCTTTTCTTCGACACAATTTACGTCACGAGCGCTAGAATTGAGCTAAAATTGCGATCACGGAATTTCAATAATCACCAATACGAAGGCACTACAGTTCTTCAACGCACTTATGCCAAAGTGCACATTCTTTATACAATCATATAAAAACTAATATACATGCGTATATATTAAAATTACAAGTATCAAAACTTCGCCGAGTTCATTGATGAGAGAAAGGAGACGAAAGTTGTGATACGAGATGAGCTCTCTCCTCTCGAGTTCTCTCTCGTTTTTCCTGACATTACAATCACTAAAAATCACATCACTTTGTTCTATTTAATTTTCAAAAGGAAAATATACAAAGGGGAGCAGGGGAGAAACGGCTGCTTGCTTGTCTCGGTATACGCTGTAAAAAATTCTCGTCTTTGCCTTAAATCGGCTTTCAAAACGGATCATTAAAATGTTTCTGCATAATAAAGCAGTCTTCTGGAATAGTTTGCTCAATGATGAGACAACTGGGCAAAAAAAGCTGAATAATATTATGTAGATTTAGTCGAACGGAACAATTGGGGTTACAGAGTCTTCATGGTTTTGTCGATATGTCTCAATGTCGTTTCGGGCACCGCGTCCTTTAGCGCTTTTCGAAATCCCTCGCAGCGAGTCAGGCATCGAAACATCCTTTTTGCATGATTTCTAAAAATTTATTTATTATTTTGACATTATTAAATATTTATTATTTTGATAAAAATTTTAATTGCTAAGAATACTAATTTTTAGGATTAATAATAATTTTAGATGTGAGAATAAAAGAATGATAAAAGTGATTTACCTGGCGTCTAGATTTCCGTCCATTAACAATTTCGCGCCTGTATTTAACAGCTTATCTCTTACGTCACGTGGTAAGATCATAACGTGATCTGGTCCAATGCGATCGGTGATGTCGGATAACAGTCGAGCGGTTGCTGCGCGTACAATAGCGTTTTGGTGGCTGCGATAGAATAATTAAGAAGCAAAAAATAATTAGAAAATAATTAGAGAATTATATAAAGAATAGAAATATTTTTTAACAATTTAAAATTCTAAATTTACCTTGCCCCGCGAAGTATGATACCGATGGTTTTATGAGGCGGAAGATGTTGCACCATCTGATCTAGGGCTGCATTGCTATCAGCTCGAAGAAATCGGTTCGTATCGGCCGTCCTTTGAAGCAACGGTCCAGCTATATCTTCCAGATCCTGCGAAAAGATGGATCGAAGGTTCGACAAAAGTGATAAATGTTAAATGAGAGACAAAAGCGATATCAGAATTATATATATTTAATCCATGCAACGGATTCGTCGATCGATGGTCAATGATTGATAGATCACGATATCATGTGTTTAGAAATGTAATGGAATTCTTTATCACTAATTAAGACGCTATTATTTATTCTCATGGACGATCACGATATATCCACCTGATCGATGCCCCGAATCTGCGAGCTGAAGACATCGCTGGCAGCGAGACACGCGGCACGTGCCACTTGCGAACGAAGATTCTTTATGTGCCGCCCTAAAAGTCTGCCTATTGTTCCAGCCGCGCACGCGTCCAGACACTCCGGATGCTGTTTCGAGATCTGAGATAGAGTTTTCAAACCCTTCATCGCTATTTCCCTGAAATATACATGTTTATATTATTATAATCCTTACCTTTCGGCTTAGACTTCCTGTTCAATACATCGATCTTTACAATATTTATACTTGTATTTATACACATTTTATCATGCGATTAAAATAAACTCAGTTTTTATTCCTTTCGATCTTTAAATTTTTAAATCTTTAAAATCTTAAAATCTTGAAACTTAAACTTAAACTTTTCTTTAACTTTAACTTTTAAAATTTGAGAACATAAAACTAAAACATAAAAACCTAAAAACTTAAAAATTCAAAATCTCATATATATATTTATATAGAATGTGAGAATATTTATCGCGCATTTTAATAGCCGATATTTAGATTTTATAAGATGCTTACCAGTCCTTATTATCGATTTGCGTGAAACACTGTTGTACCATCCGCTTGGATTTTTCCGAGGGCTTCTCGATTGGAGAAGCTCTTTTAATGGAAGGAGCTCGATATCTACCGATGCCGCGTATCGGTACTTTCGAGGCGATTCTTTTACGCGACTCGACAGCTTCCACAGGCTCAGACTGTGTCCAAAAAATATAACAAACGTTATATTGTGATGACTTGTATCGCTTTTTCGCAAATTGTTATAATACACATCTGTCATTAACAAAGATTTACTTGTTAATAAGAAACATGTATGAATTGTAACAAATTTGCGAAAAATACGAATATTTTATTATATGAAAATATATCTTTTTTTATAAGTTTTTATATGAAAGTATATTTTTTTGATAAGTACCTCGATCTTCAATATTCCCGGTTCGGTGTTCGTTTCACTCGTACTGTCTTTGCTTTGTCTATCTTCCAAGATATCGTTTACGCTGGATTCTTCTTCCGTAGACTGAAATCGTAATTACGTAAATTAGTCGATTAATATCTTCTTAACAAGAAACTATGTGTGTGATTTCTTACCTCCTGTGTGTGAATCTTATTACGCGAGTTCTCGGGATCCTCGACAGTTTCATGAGAATGAGGCCTCGATGCGATGATAATCGCTGGTGAATCACCGGTCATACTGATGTCTATGGGTGGGCGAGCGATGGTATCCAACGATTGAATGGAAGCATCCTCGTCAGGTACTATGGAAGCGACTATTCTTTCCTCGCTGGAATCCCTAGAATTCTCGGCCTGATATCCAAACAATTAAATATTAAATTAACATATGTGTACATATATATATATATTTTTATTCACAAATAAATTAATTATAAAATATATTAAATTTATAATAAAATAAAATTTGATAAATTAATAATTAAAGTAAATTTAATAACTGGTGTGAAATATATTTAATAATTTATAAAAGTAAAGTAAATTTAATAATTTGCAAACGCGCTAATTTTTTAATTGTACTTACAATTATTATTCAAATTCGTGATAAAAATGGGGTGGATAATGATAATCAATTCTTTCATGATTCACTGTCTACTAACCAAATTGCGCGAATTGCAACGAGAATTCCGTTTGGTCGGCGAGTTGGAGATCGGTGAGGTATTGATGCTGCGATTCTCAGGCGACCGGTACAGCGATTCTGATTTTTTAGGACTCCCAGCTTTCGATTGCAGTGATTCCTTGACTATCTTTGAATCCTCGTAGGGTAGAATGCGTTCGTTCGGAATCATGGATACGATGGATCTTCTCCTCGCGCTCGATCTAACATCTTCCGAGTGCGCGTCGCAACTGCTCTCCGTGCTTCCGCTGCGATTCTCGTTTACGCTGATTAGCTCCCCGTGAGTCGAATGTCTCGAAATCGATCCGATTCGATTCATCGGCTTCGCCTCATCTTCGTTGTTCCATTCCTTCGACGTCTCGTCCGGTATGTTTGTCATGTCGATCGGGTATTCCACTTTGTTAGTATCCAACGGCGTCTGAAATTATTCGAGAAGATTATCCGGATTCGCTTTATATAGGAATATTTGAAGAAAAAAAATATTCAGTAAATAATATCATTTGATTCAACAAGCAAAACGTCTAAAAAAATCTTCTCATATTAAATTTTATATATGTTAATATTTAGTGATAGTATTTTTTTCTTTAGATGCTTTTAAAATCTTATAATAAAGAGGGCAATTAGAAAAAAATAAAAAACGAAATTTAAATAAAGAAATGCCTATTAATTAGATATATAAGAATCAGTTAACTTTCAGTCAATTTCTCAAGCAGACTTTCAGCGAAATTCTAATTTAACGTTTAATTACCGTGATATTTAACGTTGGAAAATAAAATGTGGCGTCAAGTGACGAACGCCGATCGTTAAATTTTCGCTGAGGAAGTAACGACTCCAAATATGCGAAAAAATCTATTATCGAATTATTAATCTTCATCGATGATGAGTTAACCTGTATATGTGAAAATTATGTATTTGCTGGCAGCAAATTCGTTATTAGGGATTTATCGACGCGCTGTCAGTCAAAAAAATACTGACAAAGGTAAATAATCTGAAAAGACATTTCTTACGAAAAAGGAGTCGACGTCGTCGCGAACGCTCTGACGATTCGTCGTGATAACGTCGAACGCTGGATCGTCGTCCTGGCTTCGTGGAGTCGACGATCTGCTGTTATCGCTGTTATCGTTGTAATCCCGCAGCGCCGCAGCATCCTGATTCTCGTCGATTTCTCGTCCATTACACCTGGAAACGTCCGACGACGAGCTGCTCGCGCTTTTGGGGCGATCGTGTACACGCTCGCCGACTGAGAAGGAACGCAGAAACTCTGACAATTCAGAGGCATTACGAATTTTTTCACTTGTCGAAGAGATTGATCGAACGTTTCATTCGTTCATAAAGTTGAAGAGAGAAAAAAAATGGGTTAATTTCTGCTTGAAAAATGTGATGCAAATTATACACGTAACATTATACATGTTTTCTGAGTCTCTGAATATGGTAACAATATTTTTATCCTCCTAAAATCATGGAGAAATGATCAAAATTGCTATGCATATAATTTATGTTACACTTTGTTAAGTAGAAAAAATTGCCTTTTTTCCTAAAAAAATTGTACTGTATTCTTTTTTTTTTTTGGAAAGGAAAACTTGACTCTCTCTCTCGTAAGGTATTTTATAAATTCGTATAAATGATAACAAAAGTTAACTTCCAAATATGATAATATCTTCCAAATGATTTGGCGGATAAATGAACTATCGATCTGACTTTTCGTAGGATGCAACGCGCGCGATTCGATCCTACGTTAGACTTGACCAGTGGAATATTGATTACCGGCTAAGTCTAACGAAAGCTCTCTATATGTATGCACGACGAGGTGAAGAACCTCTCGCTCCATTTCCATCGTAATCTCGGCTGCGCGCGTGCCAAAAGCTTCATTCAGCAGTTTATTCGGCATCGCGTTATCGTTTAACATCTCTGTCAAGTCGAAGTCCCCTAATCCATCCTCGAGTAAGATGGACAATCGCAAGTGCAACTTTTAACCGATCCGCCAGTGTATCATATTTTTTATTAAATATCGAAAAAAATCAACATCCAGGAGTTAAAGGTCTCCAAAGAGCAGTGATTATTTTTTTTATCGCAATCAAACATAATAAAAAAAAAGAGTCTAATTTTTAATCGATCCGCCAGTGTATCATATTTTTTATTAAATATCGAAAAAAATCAACATCAAGAAGTTAAAGATCTCCAAAGAGCAGTGATTATTTTTTTATCGCAATCAAATATAACAAAAAGAAGAGAGTCTAATTTTTAATCGATCCGCCAGTGTATCATATTTTTTATTAAATATCGAAAAAAAATCAGCATCCAGGAATTAAAAGTCTCCAAAGAGCAGTTTATTTTTTTTATCGCAATCAAAGTAAAAATCATAATAAAACGAAGAAAGTTCAATTTTGTTTAATTAAAAAATGGAAACAAAAATTAAGTTAAAATAACAGAGTGTTTCGTGATCGCAGTGAATGCTTGGGAAAAATAGAATTACTAATATATACCTTGGTACCGGGATTCCTCCTTGTTTGAACTTTGCACGTGGTAGTTATTCGCTTCGGATAAGTGACGTTTGTTCCGTGCATTGTACTCTTCTTCGTTTACCGCTTTATCGCTGCAAAAAAAATGCATAAATAGAAATCGACTCGAAAGTTTCTACGCAATGGCTTCTACGAACATTTTAATATTTTAGTAGCGGTGCCTCGCGCGCGTTCGCGTAAAGTAGTATTTTTACACAAGCTGCATATATATGTATGCTTGCAAGTTGAATCGCGTCAGTATCGCGGAATTACGAAGCGGTGCGGTAAATAAAATAGCACACGTATCGCGATTGACGAGAAAGGCCAATGTGTGTTCTTTTATACTTGAATGTATTAAATTCTATCGCAAGTTCTCTCCACACCTATTGACCTATGGCGAATTTTTTTAATCGAACTCGAGTCGATATTTTTTAAAAATTATTACGAGACATTACCTTAAGGCTTTTCACATTACTTTTAAGGTTTTTCAATATTAAAAATTATTTTCGCGAATCATGTTATTTCTCTTTCTCTCCCTTTCTTCTTTTAATCGATCTCAAGTTTATCCCTTTCTCAACAAAGATTCTCAAGAAAAGCGTCTCTTCCAAGCGTCTTTTTATCGTTTTTTAATAATAATAATTATTATTTTGTATTTTCTATCAATTACATGTATGTTTTTATTCCCTCTCCCCCATAAATTTATCGAAGAAATATCATCTCAAGTTTATTTCTCTCTTAATAAAAATTCGAAAAGCGTCATCTCTTCCAACAACTCTTTTTCATCGTTTTTTAATAATAATAATTATTATTTTATATTTACTTTTATTTTATTATATTTTTATTTTATATTTTTCGAATTACGCTACATATATGTTTTTATTCTCCCTCCTCCATAAACTATTGAAAAAAACGTCATCTCAACTCGACGAGACAAACGTACACCGTATCGCTGTTTCGGTTCAGCCTCATGGCAATGACCGGCGTGGTCACCGTGGTGATGACAGTCGAGACAGACGCGACACCGTCATCCTCGTCGTTGTTGTCGACGCCGACCGATTTCCGACATCGGAAAATACACGGGCAACAACGGAGAACAGCATCCGCGATCTTGCGCTCCTCCTTCATCTCGCTCGGCCACGCGCAAAACTTGAGGATCATCCTTCTTTCGTCACCGGTTCCGTTCGAAGGTTCTTATCGCAGCCGATCAGCTGATTTCCAGCGAGCGCGGCTTCATGGTTCGGCGACTTGTCGTCCTATCTCCATCGTATTAATTTGTATTCATTCACTTAGGACAATCCATCGTTCGCAGATCATGTCGTGTGAACCCTCGTACGTGAAGAGAGGTCGCTTCTGTTATTAGTTAAATGACTTCTAATGACTTTTATTCGCTCTACCAATTTTCTAATTCGATTTTTTAATCTCCGAGTCATTTTTTTACTTCGTAATTTTATAATATTGTGTAATATAATGATGAGATGGTAGCGCGTTGCACATGCGATGGCAAAACATTAAATATCACGACGCTTTTAAAAACCGTTAAAGGAGAAATAGGCGCGCGAGCTCCGAGGAATCAATCGATACTAATGACAAACACTAGCTCTGTGTCGTGAAATGTGCAAAATAATTTGAACTACAGGACGCAGAAACTCGTGTTAGATCGTGACAGCGATTAATTATCGATTAGATGTCCAAGAAACTCGCATTCCGAGGTTCAAACGACTGACATGCTCTTATCAGTTCTCGCTCCTGTCCATTTCATTATTTGTCCCCCATTATTATTTTTATTAATCATATTTTAATTTCTCTAATGTTCATTGTTACTATTCGTATTTTAATTTCCCTCTCCCATTTTATTCGCGTTTTTCCATCTACTATTTTTTTGCACAGCCTTAACATTTACCGAGTCGTTCGATTAAATCGCGACGTGTATTTTCGCACGATCGAAATTCGCAATTATCCTACGAACTAGCGACGATTCGATCGAGATTGCGATGCTCATCGCGCTACCATCCCTAGAAGAGGCGACTTTTCAAGGGCGAGCCGCTTGCATAATACGCCTCATGAATCCACGTGTACGTCGCGGATATACACACTCGGTGCACTCGGGGATGCGGTTGCAACTCGTCTTAGATGACAGAGGTTGACGACACACGCGCGCGCACATGATCGGGTCTAACAATTTCGCGTGGCGCGTACGAATATTTCGCGAAAGGTGAAAAAAAATATCGAAACCGACGAGCAACGAGAAGGTGGTGTCCGAGGAGGCGTAGCATCGCGTACGAGGGTCACGACACGCTCGACAATCGACGACGTACGCACGACTGTGGCACGTAGTGGAGACGACGAGCGTCCCGACGCTGACCGCCACCCCCACGTCGCCCTCCGGCGCCGTGTCCGCTCGTCTCCCTCTTGCCCCCTCTTGCCCCCAACTCACCCGGTGATGCCTCCCCCTCTAGACAGTCCTGTTTATTTAACCGCGGAGAAAGAGATAACAATGTATGGGCTATGAATTGGAAATGTGTTTTTTTTTTCTTATCAAAGCAAATAAAAAACCCATGTAAAAAATACTTAAATATAGAGAATAAGAGAAGAGCGGTGAAATGTAAATGTGACGTATGGACTCGTATGTAAGTGCAACGTAACTCGTGAAATTAAACGTTCATTTTTTGGGAATTAAAATATATAAAATATGATGACAATAAATATAGTGACATTATTTTTCTCTCTTTTTTTGTTTTGTGCTCGAATACCTTTCTACAAATTGCCCTTTTCCTTCCCTCTTACGAGACTACGAGCTACGCTGACCATAACTTACCCTTTTCCCCTCGCGGTCACGAGAAGAAAGAGCTGTCAGACTGAGTCATGCGATCCGGGTGAAACGCGGTTAAAGGAGATTGAGGCAGGTGTTAACCGCATTTTGACGCTTTTCTTTACAAGTCTTGGAATTTAAATTAAATCTTTTATAATTTCGCAAGGAGGCTTGCCATAGCCTTATTTAGAGTTGTTATTGATACAGTGGGAATATTGTTATTTATTAGAGGGATCTTGAGAGATGTGGGCACTCTATGGCATTGTGCTCATCGATGTTTCTTACGGAAAGTCAGTAGCGAATACTTCTACCAGCACTTATTTGGTCAGCGAGCGACCTTTCAGGGATCCTCCCGCAATCGGCATTGCATCCATCGAGCGAGATGCCAACATCGTTCTAGAGTCGCATATCATTGTGTTAACCCTTTCACTTCTAATTTTGTGTTTTTGGAAATTTATAATTTCATGGATTAGGTATTGAGAAAAAAGGTTCAACAAGTACAAGACAAACAAAATTACTTATGAGATATCACCGGGATATATATGTCCCTACACGAGTGAAAAGATGAAAGCGCTCATTAGGTGTGAGGTGTGAGGTGTGAGATCTGGATAGCTCAGTAATTTAGAGCAGTTGCCTGGAAAGCGAAAGGTTTTCTGTTCGATTCCCGATCCAGCCACTTCATATATATTTCTAGTCCACGAATATTGTCTTCCAACAATTATTCGTTGGGTTGAAAAGTGATTCTCTGTCGCTTGTTGACTAAATAGGCACGTCTGACCTCTTCCCACATACATCTCTATCTTTACTATGTACTTTACGTCATATATTTGAACAAAAAAAGGACTGGAGCTGTTTGATTGGAAATATAAAATGAAAACGAACATGTTAGAAATTTGACAATGAACATCTATTAGATAATAATTAATATGTTCGTTTTCATTGCATATTATCAGCCAAATCATTGATGACCAGTCCTTTTTTTGTTCAAATATATGACGTACCTAAAATATATACAAATAAGTTTAATTCTCATAGTTGCACACAAATTATTTATGAAAAATATAAATTACATAATTATAAATAGAATATAAAAACACATATTAAAAAATATGATCTTAATTTTAAATAATATAAGTATATAAAAATATATATTCTTGGTATCACGTCTTCGATCGGTTCTGTCGTTCCACCTTCTGTGGTGTACGTTTTGCCATATTATAATATATATAGACACGTCTGACCTCCTCCCACATCCTTATCTTTTAATTTAAATTTAAATTTTATCTGAATCTGATAGCGAGATTATTATTCATTCATTTTTCGGTGAAAATAATTTTAATTGCTAGCACACGAAATTTTAGATTGTCTCATACGTCATCGTGCAATTCCTCTTGCCTTATTTTGGAAGAAACAATGATTCACGTGTAGAATCATATTCCAAGAAATTTTCGTATTTTTTAAATAAAATATTTGAGAGTAAATATTTATTGAAATTATATAAATATATTGTAGATGTGATAAAAGTTTAACGAAATTAATATTGGAAAATTTTATAAACTTTATATATATGTGCAAAATTAAAGATAATCTAATTTTAAAAATTTTGATTTTTCACATAAGACGTATAAAATATGATCTTCTCTGTTATTCTGTTGTGTTCGCATTTATGTAAATATCTATGGGGGATAGGCAATATTGAATAGCGATCAGTCGCTGCGTGCTCGCCTAAACATAAAATATTTAACGAGCAGGAGAACGGACGATACCGCTGTAAGGCGTTTTGACAATCTACAACAGTCCCGCATGATGTGTATACATTGCGCATATAACTCGTCGTTAAACCATGTATATTCAGGTACTATAAATTTCCAGTCATATCATTTCTGTGCGAAGAAAAATTTCTCTCTTTCTCGAATTTTTTTTCTATCGTATCACGTTCCTTTGCGCTTGAGTCAGACATTTTTTCCTCTTAATTTTATCCACCGAATGCCAATATAAAATCGAAAGCTAATTTGAATTAAAATTGTTTGCTCATCAAATATTAATTCACGATCTCAAAAGAATGGATTTATTAAATTTAAAAATTTGATCGGGAGTGTTTATCAATTTGAAAGATCGTCAACATGCGGTTTTCGCCGACCTAAAATAATTCACCGTCTATCGGCGATTTGGATCTTACCAGGTGTCGCATTAAGTGTGTTAAGAAATAATGTGTGTCACGTGACGAGATCGAGATTAAGCGAAATACGAGGTCGCGCACCTTGTGCAGAGCCCTTATAGCTTTCCCTATTATCTCGAGCATGTAAGTAATATCTCTGTAATACAATATTCTCTTGTTCCTATCAGGTCAATTTCTTTTATTCGGATACAAAAAATTATCGCAAAGTTGCAAAGTTGTCACGCATGTTAGTCCGTTTTTCTACATGGAATTTGAAACACGAAGGTCTGGAGAGAAACGTTTATTATTACGCATATCATTTCAGCCGGTGATCGATAAACCGGGCATCTTGCTCGCAGTTATTTTAGGACAGAATCGATCCTGTCTGGAATTGTGTGCTCTCGAGAGCTTAAAATAAAAAAAAATCAAGTCGGCCCGTCCGATGGCGTGTTTATTTCGATCGACGAGACTTTATTTCAAGAGAATGTAAACTTTAATTTTGAGACTCACATGTCGTACATCGACGCGGCGTGAAATCTGCTGGAGGCCAGTTTGACAAACTGTCGCGATCGATGGAGTTGCGAAGGTGACAACGATCTTAGTCTCCGGCGATGAGGACTGGCGTTCTCCACAGGAGAATGCTCGTTTTCCTGCGAATCTGACGAGACTAGATCCATCTCGGTTTTTTGCTCCGCCGTCTCCGACGTATCCTTCGTCCTGCAATCTTTTGACTGCAACACGATTCATATAAAAATTAATATTTGTAAAATTTATAATATTTGTTATTAAATGTTTATAATATTATGATATTAAATGTTTAGAATATTATGTTATTAAATGTTTATATTATATAATATTTGTAATAATATTTGTAATAATTGTGTAAATATTAAAAATTTTTTAATCTATAAAATCGAAAAATTTAATTTAAAATTAAATTGTCTAAACCTCGATAGTTCTTAGCGAGAGATTATTATTAGAAAATTAGATTGTCTTTAATTAATAAAGATAAAATAATTTATTTTACCCGATATATCATGTTTCTATCGTTATCCGCGGAGACTTGTGATTCTAGGTGCTCGGATTCCTGATACACGCAAGTCAATGGACTCGGAGCAGTTCGTAATCGTCGATACACGTTTCTGTCCATAAGTGTCCTCTGTTGCTCGTGAATCGAGCTGTACCTGTATAAACGAAAATCAATCATACTGGAAAAATTTCTCGCGGATCAGAGAAGATTGTTGAGTCAAAAACTCACATTTCGACAAGCGTCTGTTGCTGCATGTTTCTAGATAATCGTTTACGTCTTCCTGTGCGATCCGAGTTTTCGTTCTTATCCGTAAAATCGTCGGCCACAAATCTGCCGCAATTATGACTATCATTCGAAAATATCTCTTCCCTGCCTCCCGAAATGCTCTGCAAAGCCATAGAGAGATAAGTATAATTATAGCTTGAATATATTTTTACAAAATACATGCGTTTTTTTTTATTTTTATCATTTAGATCTTTTCATCAAATTTTATATTAAAATTTAATATTTAATTCATGACATTTTTTAAATTTAGTTAAAATTATGTATTTAATAAAAAAGTATCTCGTTTTGTAAATTTTTCATCAGAATTGCAATCTTTTTTACATGGAAAAAAAATTTTAAGTAACTTACGTTATATTCTTTATTTGTTCTTCCCGAAGCTTTCGCATAAGAACGATAACCGCCGCAATGTGAATCGAATGTTTGATTCGAAATCTGACTGCCTTCTTGTTGGAGACGTTTCCGTCGTTGATATGCAGCTGCATACGATCTGCGTGCAGTTAACGTACAAGTGTTAATTTAATTTAAAATGTAAATTCTCTCGCAATGATGCCAATAATGATGCTCACCTAATATTTTCCTGCCGCGAATTTATCCGATTGCTATTGCTATCCAACGCATCCTTCGCTTGCTTTCGAGAATTAGAATTGATGTGTTCCAGATTGATGGATTTTTCACGATTTTGCGAAGTTATTTTAGATCGAGTCGACAATAATATCGGAATCTTAGATTCTCCTCGAAGAGCAGTACTTTCCTATAAACACACATTTTACATAGTTTACGATTAATAAATGTATATTATTATTAATAATATGCACATATTGCATATATTATATTTTCACGAATACAATATAATAAAAAGTAATTTTTATTTTTTTTATATTATGCTGTATATAATTTATTATAAACAAGATACTTTCTAACGGTGATGTAACAGAAAGGTAGTGATTTTACATGAAAATATTAATTGAAAATGAACGAATTTTTTAAAATTTCCTGTGCTTTTTATACTATTATAAGAATCATTTCTTTACCTTTTCTTTAGCAACTTCATTAACGTTTTTACGATTTCGCACTTTCTGTTCAAAATTATTGTCAGAAATCTCCCAGTGATTTTTAGCATCTGTTTCGGCAAAGTCGTACTGATTCAATGGCGTGTAAGATGAACGCAATTGCTCTTCTAATCTCAAAGTGATGTTTGAAAACGTTCCTAAAAAATTAAGTTATCCTTTCATTTCAAAACTCATCTAAAAGTAATCAAATTAATTAATTAAATCATTCTCTCGGGAAAGATTACCTGCATTTATGTTCCGTCCGTTCGAGCCTTTTATCTCATTTTCATTGTCGTCCTGTAATAAAACCGAAAATACTTAAATATAGCATCGATACAGCTTGCGATAAATTGTGGTGATACTCTAACCCTCGACGACATTGCAACAGACACATTTCTACGATCCGATATTTAAACGCAAATTTAATAACATAATTGCGTTATTAAATTTTATATCTTGAAATATGGACTCTTATGTATAAAAAAATTAATAAAAAATTTATATAATAACCTATTATTATATGTGACAATATTTTCCATCTCTTGCCGTGATGTATATACATACCATCGGAATTGGTTCAAGAAACAAACGAACGCACCACCGTAAAATATTAAAAATGCTGAACATTTTATATTTTTATCATAGAATATTTTTTATCAGCGATCTTAGTCCTGATAATCTATATTAAACGTTCGTTGACGACATCAACTGATATGCAAATATAAATAGCGAAGAGATTGTATTATTGAATCACATGCAAAGAGTACAATGTTTCTCTTCCGTGTTTAAAGCTCTTTACTCAATTCACACTCGACGAGGAATAATTATAAAGAGTCGGACGAAGATATGCAAAATGGAACTCTATGAAAAAGACGTATCTCATTTTTCCCCGTTCTTGCTTTATTAAGTACTTGATATTTCAGCATTTGCATTGCAAAGCTTAATATCCCGACGAATAATGATAATGACGAAAAAAATTGGCATATTTATGTAAACACTGTATGTATCGAGAAATCGATAGAACTTTATGAAAGTAATACCGTTAATGCCAAAAGTTGTTAATAATCTATTTTCATCAATCTATTATTATTTATTACTATTAATCTATTATACATATTGTTTAGGAAATACATAAAAAGGTCTGCGCATTGTACAACTCTCTGATATAAAATCACATTAATCGTTTTTATTTAAAGAGTTAGTAAAGTTACGAATATTTTAAAAATGTAATTGCAACATATATCATTTTTCCTTTTTTTCTATTTTATCGGTATTTATCCATCTTTAAATCGCATATGTTATTTTATGAGACCCATAAAATAATGTATGGAAGATGTATAGAGAGGTAGCATAGAAAATGTAGGTCATCTTACGTTAGTTTGCGAAGGCAACATCTGCCAGGCGGTCGATTGTTCGGTCTTAGATTGCAGACCCACACCAAGAGCGACGAGATTGGGCCTTTCTATCCACGAACCTTCGCGTTTGTTCATACTTTCGTTCCTAAAAGAAACAATGCGATATTTTAATGATTTTACACGAATATATACTTTCGCATCAATTGATCTTTATGAATAATCCTCCGAATTATTACCGAGATGCTCTTCCTTGCGCCGATCTTGATGTGGCGATGATCTGACCTCTAGTGCGACCGGTGCCAGGTGAGACCGAGCCGCTTCCCGCCACGATCCAATCAACATCAGGACCTGTTCGTAAGAAAATCGAGGATAAATGCACATTTAAATTGTCAGTTAAGAATTCTGTTATCTCGCCCAAACGTTTACACATTTTTGCATTTCAAATAAAATTAATAAATTATATTCTTACCTCACAGAGAAAAAGAGAGAGAAAGAGAGGGAGAAGATAATTGATACAACACATGTAGTTAAAAAATAAGCTCTACGATAGTGTGCAGATAATCAAGTAATATTAAACTTTGCGTTTTATAACGAAACGTCACGCGACTAAATATGAGACTACAAATTTAATTTTAAAACGTTCATTAAAAATTCAAGTACTACATGGTTCTTTCCATGATTGTAATGTTAGAATCAACATAAAATACTAATTAAAATACATTATTATGTAATTCGCTATAATTTTATTTTGCACGTATTACGCTTTTCTCGTTTGTTCTCGGTTATTACCAGTAGCGGTCTGAACACTCGGTGAAATTTGCAAACCGTACACCACAAGACCATCGGCCGACACCAGGGGTAGCGACTTCCTGGCTAGCCGTGCTCTGATGGCGGCCAGCATTGCCTCGGCATCGGCCTGTCCTTCGGCCGCTCGTCTTCCTGCTTCAAGAACCTCCTACAACATCAATAGAAATCCTATAACATCAATAGAATAGAATCGCTGTCAAATGAAATCGCTCCAAGTTTAATTTCGCGTGCTTGAAACCAAAACTTCGAAAACTACAATTTATATATAAAAATAAAATTTAAATTTAAAACTAAAACTATTGAAATAAATGCAGCACATGATAAGATCATTCGGATCTATCTAGTATATAAGAAAAATAAAGACAAGTAAATATTAATATTATAGGATACAGAGATATTATTTTCTTAAATATAAGCTGGTTCCAAAAGTATTTTTGTGCCGCTAAGTTACAACATTTTAATTTATTTCGCAAGCTTCTTGATTTTTCAAATAATACCTCAGAATCATAGATCTGCCCCAAAACAGCTAAAGCATCGAGAGCAGCTTGGCGTACTCTGCGTCGACGATCCGCGACCATCATGGCCACTCGACTAATCACAGTCTCCAGTTTGAACTCGGTGCTCGGAAATGTCACTAACGAAAAGATCAGCAACTGCAGCGCGTTCTCTCTCGTCTGCAAAAATATAAATGATTTTAACTCGGCAGGAAAGAAGCAATTAATTTATATTTTTTGTTTTCGAAATACATTCGCGAAAAATATAAATATAAATTAAAATATAAATATAAATATAACTATAAATATAAATATAAATTAAAAATATAAATATAAATTAAAATATAAATATAAATTAAAATATACATATAAATTAAAATATAAATATAGATTAAAAATATAAATATAAATTAAAGATAAATGAAAAAAATATATAAATTACGCGAATTACGTTAAATAGATTTACTTTGGCGTTTCTGGCACTTAGACAGTGGGGCTGCAGTAATTGTTCCAAAAGGAGGCTGGGTTTCAGTCTAAGCATCGCAATCCTAGTAAGTTGGGCCGCAGCTGGACCGCCTTGTCTGGCGAGGCCCCAAGCTAGTTGGGGTAATCTCTTTTTTAGCGCGTCTTCCGAGACACCGGCAACTACAATCTGAAATACAAAATGGTCTCTAAGAATGTTGCACGTGCCATAAATATGAAATATAGTTAATGTTTGATGCTATACTGCATCATAAACCTATGACATTACGAAAGAATTATAAAATAGATTCTACTTCTACGCATTAAAAGTGTCTCCTGTACAATATAGATAGAAGAATGTACATGTCACATAGGCGTCCTTGTAACTTTGCTTAGGAATTGTAAATGTTTCTAGGATTGAATATGGATATCGATAATATAAGCTCCAATCAGGAAGTAAAAGAAATGTGCAGTACTGAAATAACCTTTAACTAATTTTAAATTAATTTTAAGAAATTAATTTAAATAATTTAAATAATTTAAACCTTTAACTAATTTTCAAAAATTAATTTAAATAATTTAAACATTTTTGAATTAAAAAATAATTTTAAAAATATCTTAAATATCTAAAATAATTCTAAAAATATTTAAAATAATTTTTAAAATATCCTAAATATCTAAGATAATTTTAAAAATATCTAAAATAATTTTAAAAATATGTTAAATATTCGAAGAAAGCGATATTGAAAAATATCGAAATCCTTACGAGATTCTTCTTTATCGAAGATATATTTCTCCTCTATTACGCGATATATATATTACATAATAACAAGGCTCGCTTATCCGCTGACAATTGCAGTAATAAATTAGCCGAGATCTCGGCGCATTAAGGGTTGATCTTGACGAAAGTTACGAGAACTTACCTTCGCCACCGCGAAGCCGGCGGCGGCCACCCGGCAGCTCCTTTCGCCGCCGAGCACCGCATGCAAGAGCGATCCTAATCGCGACTCTATCGCGATTAGCGCTGAGGACGTCCGCAAAGCAGACGCGACCCTCTCCAGACCTCTCACTCTCGCTCGCCAATCGTCCTGGAAGAATGACAAGGGATAATGAGAGGATATCAAGTGAGAGAAAAGCTCTTAGTTTAGAAATATTTGAGGTTTATCGAAAAAACGCGATTATTTTACATACATAATCAACGTTATATTTTCTATCTGCACTCGTCTCGCACGCAAATCCCCTAATTACTCCTAATAAGAATGTAAATCACATTTGCCTTGCTTGTTATTCTTGGAATTAACTAGTCAAATACTTTTGAATCATTAAAAAGCTAGATGAATTGTACTCGCGTGATTCATCTTTAATCACGAACATATTGATTTCTCTTGATCTTGCTTGCATAATTTCTATCCTGCCCGCAATTTGATTACGTTAAAGAATAAAAATGAAACTACAGTATATGTAAGGAGACTCTTTATTCAAGAAATTCAATTACGCGAGAGCGAATGAGCGGTGTCGCTAGAAATTCACGAGTCGACATTATTGATCGTCAAAGCGAGACCGAATGCAATGCACCGGTTGGTGCATCTGCATTCTCACCGCGTGTTTCTATCAAGCTCTATAACCGCGAAATCGATACCGGACTTGGCATCTTTTTTCTTCCTTTAATATTCCTTCGTCTAGATTTTTTTTTAATAGCCTTAACCGACGCTTCTTTTTTTTTAATAGCCTCAAACGCGTCTCCGACGCGCGTTCTCGACACTCGGAGACACGAGACGCGGAAGGTGAATTAACGTCTGGCGGAATTCGCTAATGATGAATCAGAGAACGGCTTGAAAATTGCATTCGACCGCGATGTGGCAAACGCGGCTGTACAATTGCCGCTGATTTGCATATACACGGGAACGCTTTCCTGGACCGAGCGACGTGGCACGCAATACGTGCCTAATTATTTTCTTGCACTTTTTCTCCCTCTTATATGCGCTCGGCCGCGATATAATTCACGGGGGAGAAATCTCTTCTGTCGTTTCTCACCCTCCCTTTCCCTCGCTCATCGCGGAATATTCATACTTTGCTTTGGCGCGCATAAACTCGACTTTATTCTACATAAGAAGGGCAACGTAATAATTTGTAAAAGCGTTATACATTTTCCTATGAATCTCAGTCTCAGAAAATAAACAAAGTTCTTATACATGTTACGGTTGAGAATTATCGAGATTTTATTCACTTGAAATTTAATTTAAAAAAAAAACAATTATAATATATCAATAATCATGAAGCGATATTTATCCGATTTAATTTTAAAAAAATATTATTTTGACACAAAAAATTGACTATAAACATTTAAATAAGAAAAATTAATATAATGAAATAAAGGTCCGTTAGATAAAATTACTAAAAAAAGAAAAGATAAAAGGCTACAAGGACCAGCGCAAAGGTTAAATAAATGCGAAGAATTAAACGGTAGTTATAATTTAACAAATCGAAAGAAATGTTTATTTAACTTAAACAAGACAAACGCTGCGTTTCGATCCAATTCGGATCCTTTTCAAAATGTCGGAAAACAAAGTAATAAACAAAAATTAAAATTAATGTTAACGGTCATTGATATAATTTAAATAAGATACTCGATGCGGAAAATTAAAACATTCACATCGAACGATAAATAGCGCAATTTCCATTAAACTTTTATCTAGTACAGAGAACTGAGTCTAAAGTAGTACGTTTCCAAGAACCTACAGGTGACATCGTAGATCAATTATGCAGAGCGATATGTGTTGCAAAAAGTCAAAGTTGGGAGATACATACATAATTCGTTTTCAGATACACAAACGATTTACAGAAATCGATCGCGTGGGCGGGGGATAAGAGTATTTATTTTCATAGACCTCTCGCAGACGAGGCCGAGGCCGCGCGTGCATTCATAAAAAGGTCTAGTGCAGTGACCTTGAAGTTACTCGCTGAATGAACATAAAGCGCACCTGTGACAATCGTGACCGTCGTCGGGATGTACGATACTCGTACATATAGATTAGTATCGCGAGCATAATAGAGATTTAATCGAATCTGGTCTACGCTGGCGTTAAAATCGCTCGTTATCGCTCGAAAGAGCGATAGGTATCCATTTTATTTGAATTATTTGATTTTGTTTGAATAGCTGAACTAACGGAATTAATATGCGGAGAACGATCCAGGCGTCTTCGGCCATGACGTTCCCCACTCAAATCTCAGGAGTGGACTTTCGTTCATCGACATCGAACCAATTTATTCATTCTTTGTACCTTGTTAAATCATTTTACGTCAAGAATCATCGTCTCAAAATTAACTCGGTTATTAAAAAGGCATCCGATAGTTTCCAAATATTCTATAAGTGATACTTAATTATAATCGCGATGGTATCAACGATCAGCTCGGGGCCGGTGATACTCTAGATCCATCACAATTGGTGAATACAAAACCGGTCAGTCGACGCGTTGAAGATGCAGAGAATGTATTTGTCTCGCAAACTCTAGAGAGAATCTACCGTTGTGTTCTAACAGTTCTAAGTGATGGATACGCGAGACGATCATATATTTGTGAATTCGGAATAAGTGCAAACCGTGTCTCGATCATGTCGAGGCAACAGAAGCGTGTGCTCTCTCGGTTACTTCGAATCGTCGTCTGTCTCGGTGTTATCTTGTTGACGTTAAAATTGTCTATTATCATTGTCGGAAACGAGGATAAACCTCTTCCCGTTGCCGATGAATTGAGAAAGCTATTGGTGAGTCACGCGTTGCATTCTATTAATGATCGATGAAGAAGAAATAAAACGATTTCTGTTTAAAAAGCGTTAACGCAAGTTATACATGTAATCTTGTAATAATGTTTTTAAAATTTAAATTAAATTTAAAGTTAAATGGAAATATTATAATTTAAAGTTAAATAAAAATATTAGAGTTCATCTTGAAAGTATCAAAAATAAATCTTAAAGACATAAAATTATATGTATAATTTATATTACATTTTTTTTAGATAAAAATTGATCCCTTTTATCTATTATAAAATTCTGTCTTTTAAGAGAAAAATCTGGTGATTTATTTTAGATCGAAGCTGAAGTGGATAACACACGACGATTATTGAACGTCGAAAGAGTATGCAAAAAGTATAATTTAGGCATCTATCGAAAGCTCGCCGAAGATTCATTGTTCAAACATCCGCCCACGCCGCAGTACAGCATCTTCTACATGGACAGGTTCATTAAAAAAAGAGAACACTTTGATATGATGAAAAATCGATTAAATTAATATCAACTTATTGATAACATCAATATGCCACGTAGAGAACACAATATATCGTATTGCCCGGTGTACAAAGCTGGAACTACGACCTGGCTCTACAATCTCTGCCTATTGATGAATGTGTCTATGGAGACGTTGAGTCCTGGCAAGCAACAATTGTCGACCATCGCCAGGAGGGCGATACCGGAACTCGAGTATCCCGAGGCAGAACGAGTCTTAAACGCGAGTAGACGACTTTTAGTCGTTCGACATCCGTTTGAGAGGCTGTTGAGCGCCTATCGCGATAAACTCGAGAACTGTGTTGCTGGCCGGGAACACGGGACACTGCATTTTTATCGCAAGTACGGAGCCAAGATCGTGAGGAAGTATCGCAGTAAGTCACGAGAAAGTAAAAGAGGGAAAAAGTATCGATCATTATATGTTTTTCTTCGCGCATATAAGAATCAAATTCAATAATTTATATTTAACTATACAGAGAAAAATGTATACTGTATTCAAGTAAATATTATTTATTTTAAGTATATCATAAGTTTGTATATCCGCAAATATATCATAAGTTTACCACAAGCATTAAATTTAATTGAATATATTCTGAATTTTAGTAAGTGCAATATTTTAGTCAAGAATATTAAATTAAAACAAAAATTTGGTTTGCTTACTGCAAGAGTTGACGTAAAGTAAGTTCAATTTTTCTTTGATACAACTTTACAATATTCTTGAAGAGAAAAAAAAATTCTTCTTTTGAGTACATGATAATGAGATTTTTTAACGCTTGTGATGAGTATATTTTAAGATTATTATCAAGAATATATTCTTTGTTGAAGAAAACTATTACTTAAAAAAAGAAAAATAAACTGAGTAATCGCTTTTCTTGGTAGAATGATATTTTTCTCTGTGTAGTTCACTGATATACCCGAAATCAACGTTTTGTGCCAAAACTGGTGCCAATAAATAAATTTGTATTTTACATGAAAGTTTATCTATAAAGGGTTTTTTTGCGTCGCTGGTGACGAATCAAAGGTTGAAATTTCAAAATTCAAAATGGCGAATTAAATATGGCGGACTAATTTTATTTCATTATGGAGAAGATCAAATTCGATATGTTCGCGTTTTTCGAGTCTCTTGTGATGAATCTATAGACAAAATTGCAAGATTTAAACTGGCAGATCCAATATGACGGTTTCTTGTGATTAACTTTGATATTCCATTATGGAAATATATCACACTCGATACGTTTTTTGGTCGCAGATAACGGATTAGTTCAAGACATTCAAACTTGAACATATTGAATTTGAATCTTCTCTAATGGAATAACAAATATAATAATAGAATAATAAAATTAATTCACCATATTAAATCCACCATTTTGAATTTTAAAACTTCGATCCCAAATTTGTCATCAGCGACCCAAAAAATGTGGGTGTATCAAGTTTCATGCAAATCCGTTGAAAATTGGCAAAGTTATTCATAGTGGACATATTTGGGCCATTACCAGTTGTGGCATTTATTTTTTGGCCATATTATGGGCCATTACCAGTGAACTGGTTAATATCTCATAATCAATTTCTTTTTTTTGTAATTTTAAGAAACGAAGAAAGTATCCGATTCCTCCAACTTTATAGAAAATACAGAGAGCGATATATAGATTCAATAATTTCTTTTTTTTTATTTAAATCTTCAGGGAAAAATTTCACCGAACCACGACCGGATCAGGTGATCCGACGCGATAACACGCCGTCTCCAGCTGGTGTGGAACCGACCTTCCGAGAGTTTGTCGATTATGTGATCGATACCGATCTCGGAAGTTATGGCGATGATCACTGGATGCCGTATTACCTCTATTGCACGCCATGCCTCGTCAATTACAATATCATTGCAAATGTAAGTAATGTCATAACCTGCACTCGCACCTGAAATTACTATTTGTCATGTGTCGCGCAATCCTCGAATGTCTTATGCATCTTTTAGAAGATTAAATTCGTGATAAATTTTTTCATAAAAAAATGTCTCCCTTCGTATTAAACTTTCCACGAATGTATCGTTAATTCCGCAGGTGGAATCGCTGTGGCGAGATCAAGTGTACGCCATCAATAAGTTAGGATTACAAGACAAGATCAAGCCTAGATGGAGACATAGCAACGGTCACCTCAACGCTTCCAGGATATACTTTCGTCAATTAAATAGAGCGACGGTGCAAAAACTGTACGAGAAGCTGAGACTGGATTTTGAGCTATTTGATTACTCGCCCGATATTTATTACGAGTACGCCACATCCGCGGATTAATTGAAGTTGATCGAATGTAATCGAGGTCTCTGCGTGAAGCTCTGCGTCTAATCTGTCTACGGCTTATCAAGACGCGATTTTATAATAATGACACTATCGTGATGACGTTCGATAGGAAACATCGAACAGAAAATATAAGTACTTCGTGTACATGAGATTGAAGAAAAAAAGGGCAGAAAAAGACATACATTAAGGGCCTGTGTACGCGCGCACACGTAACCCCGATAATTGATGGAGCTTAAATCACGTTACGTCACGCGACGAACTTTTGTCGACGAGAATCGATCGACCTACTTCTCACTGTATACTAATGTATCGGACCGGCGACCTGTCCTAAAGTCAAGGGTCCTCAAATGAGCATGTTAATCCCCGCCCCGAGTTCCAAGCGAAGCGTCACTCTGCCTCGACGGAAATGTCAAATATTTTCGCATAAGAAATTAGTTGGATATATAATGTCTCTAACGAGATATAAATAAATATACAAATATTTTATTTCGACTTTATGTTATATTGAATTATATTCGCATTTGAAATTAGTGCGATTAATTTATAGCTTGATTAAAAATTAATTTACATAAATAAATCACACGAATATAAAATATTTCACCTTCTTCCTCTAATTAAATTAGTTAGATATATATATTTGTGTTATTTGGAAAAATTTTTAAAGATTCAAAAATATAGTTTTTTTTGGCAGTTATAAAAAGATCTCAATAAAAGGTTCATCTCGATATTAAAAAGATTGAACTTTCACAAGCGATAAAAAATATACATTTATACCAAGAATTTTTTACAAAAGAAACTAATATATATTATATAGAGTAAATTTGCAATATATATAAAATATTTGATTGTATTTATTAATTTATCAAATAATATTTTCGAATCCACTCACCTTATTGTGCAGATCGTCCAACACCTCTTGATCAACCAAGCCCAATTCCTCCCAGCTGGGTTCTCGCGGTTTACCCTCGCCTTCGCTGCTGCTGCAGGTGACACTTCCGTTTCCCTCCAACGCGCTCTTCCTGTCGAAGCATTGACTGCGTCTCCTTCGTCCTTCATCGTCGTTCCTGACGGAGATCTCGCCGTCGTCGTATTTCGTCCGATCGTCCGTAATCGAGCCGAAAATACGCACCCCTTCCTCCCGTTCGTCATCATCAATAAAATCACCGCCGACCAGGCGATCTATTCGCGACTCGCATTCACTGTTAATCGGCGATCCGAATGGGAGATTGTTGGAAAAATCGCAATCAGAATTGATTTCCGATGTTTTCCGCACGTCTTCGTTCAAGCGTCCTTTTTCCGCTTCGTCCTTATTCTCTTTAATCGTCTTTTGATCACTCGGATCCGACAGTTTGGTCGGAGATGAATTTTTTTCTCTCCGCGAAGTAGTTTCGGAAACGTTCTCGTCAATCGCGCTCGCATTGTTATCTTCTTGTTCTCCCTTCGAGGACACATTCTTGGATGCTGCTGCAACTTGAGCTACCTTGGATAAGTTATTTTCATTCTTTATTCGATTATTTTCATTGTTCTTTGTCAGTTTCTCTTCTTTATTTGTCGAGCACAAAGTTGTCTGAGCTGATAAAGTGATATCTTCCTTCTTCGGTATCTCGTTAATTTCTTTTGAACTACCATTTACCTTGAAAGAATCTTTATTCTCTGAGACTTCGTCGCTTTTCTTATCTTTTTTTATTCTCTTAGCTTCTTCCGTTACAGGATCGATAATGATGAGAGGACTATCCGTCCGCGTAAGGATACTCTTTTTAGGACTCAATTGCGCATTGTGCGTGTATTCCCTCTTAGGACTGCTGGAGGCCGACCTGGAAACCCTCTTCGATCTCCGCTTTTCACCCGCATGGGGACTGCACGGTTGCGACGAAGGTCGTCTCCGGGTCGTTTCCGGCATCTTGGTGGCCGGCGACACGGGAAGCGGGATCCTCGTCTTAGGCGTTATGTCGATCGATTCTGTCTCGTCGCTGTCAGGTGTCCTCAGCTTGACGATCTCACCGCCAAAGCGGACGCGTCTGGGGGTCTTCCGTTTATCCGGAGACGAATTCTCGCCCTTGCCGGTTCCGCCATCCTCGCTCTCGTCCTCATCCTTCTCCTCCAGAATCGTCATCGTGATGGCCGTCTCTTCATTGAACTTGATCTCGGTTTCCAAAACGACTCTCGCTGGTGGTATGTTCGACGTCTCGTCCTCCTCTTCGGCGATACCGGAAGTGTCGCTGTCGCTATCCCAAGACTTGTTCAAGGTACGTTCCTTCGTGTCGGCTTTTACGATATCCTGCGCGCGATTTCTCTCTCGCTTCCTCTTGCTCGGCTTGATATTATAAATCTTGGAAAGAACATCGATATTCTTCTTCAGCTTGTCGTCGTAATCCGCCAGGTAACTCTCGAATTCCTCATCGCCGACCTCATCGCGAATCTTCATGAGGGATTTGAGAACGGCCTCCTGGTGCGGTACCTGGACCAGCCGTGCGGCGAAGGCGATCGTGGCGTCTTTGAGGATCTGCGTAGTCGGTGGAGGACTATTAGACGATGGAAAGAGTAGCAACGGAGCGCTCAGAATTACGCCCGTCGTCACGTTCGTCTGAAATGGATTGTGAGCATCTGGTCGGTTCAAGCCATCGTGAAGAATCTGTAACAAACACTCCTCGGTATGTAACATATTATTTATAAAAAAAATTCGTGAAAAATCGCGAAAGAGATCTAGAAACTCGCGTGTTTCAAATTTAATTTTTATTCATGAATAGATTATTTTTAAAAATCTACATACTTATAGTGAAAAGATAATATTCATAGAAATTATATGGGCGAGCATTTTCCCTCGATTAACAAAATAAAATTTATAGAATAAAATTTTAAATAAAATTAAAAGAGGTGAGAAATTTAGATTTATAATAATTGGATATATTAATTTAATTGGATATTGAAAAAATGTGAGAAAAACTTCTGTTTTAGCGCATTGCGGATGTTTACATTTTTGACCACGCTGTCCCTGTTGGGGGTGTGAACGAGGTAGACCCGCAGCGCGTCCAAGGCGCCCTTGCGTACCGCCGGCGCTGGATGCCCCAAATTATTGATCAGCTCCGGCACCACCGGTTGCATGACCTTGTCAACGGCATCGGTATTCAACGTCGGTAGAACGTCCATTAATACCCGCAGAGCGTGCTGGCGCACCTCCCATTCCGGGTCTCGAAGTCTCTCGGAGATCTCAACGAAGGTGGCCTGCGTGTCAACCTCGGATGGAAACCTACGCGTACGCACCTGGCAGGAGGAAACACATGTCATAGACGCAATTTGTAGAATTAAAATAAAAAAAAATAAAAATCGAATTAAAATCGAAATTAAAATCGAATTAAAATCGAAAAAAATAGTGTAAAATCGAGAAAAAATGCTATAATCCTTAAAAATGGAGATACAAGTATCAGACAAAATAAAATATAACGTTAGAATCTATGCTGTCAACGCGTACTACGTGTTCCCAAAGTGGAGTAAGCTGTATCGTCTGTCCGGACGGCGGGGCGGACGTCATCCTACGTCGCGGCTGATGACGATGACGACTGCCTCGTCGAGCCGACGAGCCATTGCCCTCTGACAACGGCCTGAGATCGTAGGTCGACGGCGGCACGGGGTCTTCCTGGGGCTGCAGGGGCCCCGCATCTGTCGATCCTGTCATAGATGATGACAAGCAACCGGACATATCCCCCTACGTCTCGTCTCTCAGGAACCACCGATTATCCTTCATCATCTCCCGCGATCGCGAATCCGACAATGCCTGATCGCTCATCGATGGTTCTAACGACATGAAAAACAAACTCCTGGAAATTGCATAAAGTTGCATAAAACTCTATTGATATATTTGTATAAATTTTTACCTTTGAACTTTCGACTTAATGTGTGGATATATTTTTACACTTGTGTAATATTAATATATTGCGAAAAAACGTCCAAGGTTTAAAATTGAATAGCAGTAATGATGATAAGTAATGCAAGGAAGGAAAGGATAGATCGATTCTCTCTACAAAGTTAATTAACTAAGATTGTAAAGACCGGATATGCTAACATAGGAGTATGCAATTTAACGATCGACACGTAATACCGAAGCGATGATTCTTATAATCTACCGTAATTCAAAAAATTACGGCAAATTGCTAAATATAAAAATGACTCATGTTTACTAAAGAATGAAATTAAGGACTTCGTTTGGTTTTTATAATCTATCGTGATTCAAAAAATTACGGTAAATGTAATTTTGCTCAACGTTGTACGAGATTTGCTTTCACGATTCGAACATATGTTCCGCAAAAAATTTAAAATTGCTAAATATAAAAATGACCCATGTTTGCTAAGCAAGAATGAAATTAACGACTTCGTGTTTGGTTCTTATAATCTATCGTGATTCAAAAAATTACGGTAAATGTAATTTTGCTCAACGTTATACGAAATTTGCTTTCACAATTCGAACATGTTTCGCAAAAAATGTAAAATTGCTAAATATAAAAATGACCCATGTTTGCTAAGCAAGAATGAAATTAAAGACTTTGTGTTTAATTCTTATAATCTACCGTGATTCAAAAAATTACGGCAAATGTAATTTTGCTCAACGTTGTACGAGATTTGCTTTCACGATTCGAACATATGTTCCGTAAAAAATTTAAAACTGCTAAATATAAAAATGACCCATGTTTGCTAAGCAAGAATGAAATTAACGACTTCGTGTTTGGTTCTTATAATCTATCGTGATTCAAAAAATTACGGTAAATGTAATTTTGCTCAACGTTATACGAAATTTGCTTTTACAATTCGAACATGTTTCGCAAAAAATTTAAACCTGCTAAATATAAAAATGACCTATGTTTGCTAAACAAGAATGAAATTAAAGGCTTCGTGTTTAGTTCTTATAATCTATCGTGATTCAAAAAACGGCAAATGTAATTTTGCTCAACGTTGTACGAGATTTGCTTTCACGATTCAAACATATATTCTGCAAAAAATTGCTAAATATAAAAATGACCCATGTCTGCTAAACAAGAATGAAATTAAAGGCTTCGTGTTTGCAGATATATCAGCTTATGACGTCAAAAGAGCGGGAAGCCACATGTCGGCGGAGAAACATGCAACTTGTGCCGCGTAAATCGCGTTACGTTTAATTTAAATATTACAGTACCCTCTCTCAGTACCCTCTCGATATTATTCGGCTGTGAGATGTCAAATCTCCTTCCTCCTAAACGTCCGTCGAAGCACGTTACACGATTCCTTATTCGCGACAATTTCCTTCCGGAATCGTGAATGATTGACGTTTGTTTTGCTTCCGGCATATCGAAAGATGTACGATGCTCATGATTGACATTAACATAAAGACAGCCAATCTCGTGTATCCGAGAGTCGAGATGCATATTTCACGAATGAATATCTCATAAATAAAAGGAAGACTGATCAAAACATGTCAAACACACAAGATGTCATTCGTTTCTTATGCACTCATTGTATACTCATATCCGCGAAAATATACGTATTTCGAACAAGTCTTGCAAGAGGAAAACCGCTAAGTTTATCATTAAATCTCTCACGACACGAACTCCATGTAAAAAAGTAGTACACACGAAATGCGATTGCATAATCCAGGGAAAGAACGTGCGTATTTTGTATTTCTTAAGGTATTATACATGCGATCATCGAAATTGTAGAATTGAGACCAATGAGATCCACTTGATAATTATTATATAAATTTTAATGTAATGCGAGCTTTAATAGAGAATTTTAAAAATAACGAAATATTTCTTGCGGCTTATTAATATTAATCAATATATATAACTTGGTATTTTAAATTCGCAAGAATCGACAAAACTTCATTTTGCAAGAATTTTTACGAATTTTTTAAATTTATCTCTTTGTGTATTTGATTAAAGATCGACTATATATATAATTAATTTTCTTTCTATTCTTTTTATCGCTATTCCTAATCATTTAAGTTAAGAAGTTATAATTTCAGAGAAACAAGGGAAAAAAAGTTTAAAAACTTTAAAGATATTCTTTAATTTTAAAAATTTGTATTAAATTAGGCAAAAATGATTTTTTTTTAATTTTCCCTTTTTATATCACACATATAGACAGATAAAATCTTCGCAAAATACTTAATATTGTAGAAACAAAATATTTCTTTATTATACAATATTTATGATATTTTAAATTGTTTTAAAAAATTTTTCATATAATGAGGAAACAGGACAATAAAAAAAAATCAAAATAGTTCTTATATCTATAATTCTTATAATTGCATATCAAGAAGGAAGGGGAAGGATATTAATCAAAAATATAACAATTTCTAATATGCATTTAAAAACTTTGTATGGAATTTTTGTGAAAATGTGACTGCTCTTCATTAATTCGACGACATCAATGAAAAATATTGTAACTTCAATTTAAAGAAAATTATATGTATATATCTCTGTAAAAAATTATAGGACCAAGTATATTTCAATATTTCGTACATCACTTGCAATTGTATAACAAGTAAAAAGTATTTACAAAAATAACTGATAAAACAACCTGATAAAATAATCTGTAAACGTTGTCGAAATATTACTTTTTTTTCTTGATATCGTCGAACCTTTGGCGAATTATTGTAATTAATACTTTTAATGTTTGGGAAGAAACGAAGCGCTTACTTTAGGTGAAGCAGCGGAGGGACACGCCAATACACAGCGGGTGTACTCGGTCGCGGCCGGCATGTGACTATTGCCACCGCGTTCTCCGCGAAGGAAGGTGCTTCGCGGTTAATATCGACCACCCCCGTCCATCCCCCTATCCCCCACTTTGGCGAGAATCGTCTTATACTTTACAACGAGCGATAGCGTCGCATATAACAAGCACCTTGAGACACAAGATATATATCGCAAAAATAAATCATTATCCTAAACTGTCTTCTTAATGACAGGACAAGTCTCGTAGAGGGAGAAAATTTGGCGCGTGCTTTCGCGATTGATTAATTATTTTTATACTTTAATACGTGTTAATGGATATATTAATAGTATATTAAAATCGATAAGAAAAAGGTACATGAACACGCGACATTGAAGCGATAATATTTTATTGTGATATTATTTGATGAATTTGAAAATTACGCTTGAATGTGTGCGTTTATTTCGCGTTTATTTTATAAATCCTTTCGTCTGTAAATGAAAATAAAGTACATAATCAAGTATACTCGCGAGGGTGAAGATTTGACGAGCTATATCCTTCTTGTCCAATATTTACAACGCGTCAATCTTGCTTTACAGACTCTGATTAATCGTTTCATTATTCAGTTTAAGTCAAGCTTCTTTCCTTCGGCGAATCAGGGAGAAATGTCTTTTACTTCTACAATTTCTCCCTATATAATGCATTTTAAACGACATCTTGACGCCATAACAGAACTGAGAAATATTTATCTTGGCGGACTATATGAGTCGTAAAGGTTTCTATGTGTTTACAGTAATAAAAGCTACGACTGTATGCCAATGAATGCCCGAGGCGGCACGCGATATTCATGAAATTGAGCGCCGACAATATCGAAATTCCGCTAGAGGAATATAGCTAACGTTAGGCATACACACATACAAACGCGATTATAGAGAAATGATTCGCATAAATGAGGTTTACGGCGAATGTAAAAACATTGGACCGTGACGTGGTTGATCGATTCCGCTTGAAATGCCCGGTTCGTATCGTGCGCGTCTTATCAGACATTTACTATTAGCGGTACACCCGCATACATCGCTGCATTTCAATCTGCCAATTTTTACCGTTTCCTTAGAGAAAAAATCATCATCTTATGTGACAGCAAAATGCAATTTCTTTCACGATTATTATAATTAGAGTTTTCGCATAATTTGAGTTAAATAAAAACAGATCATAAAAATTAAAAGCACAAAAACAGCTTAATATTAGGAAATTAAGACTGAGGAAATAAGAATATGTACATTTATAATAGAAAATCTTTTTAGTTAGTTTTTCACGTCTTTAAAAAGTCGCATTGAATGAAAATATACATACAGCTGTTGAAGAGAATAACTTACATTTCATTTCTTATTCGAAATGTAATAAATAAGCAATACTATACACATTTTAAAGACGAGAGAAAGAATATTTTCACGCAGGAAGCTTGGTTAATGCATCTGCATATTGAAATTCCAAACTGTTCTCATAATCGCACATGTCCAAAGCAATGATACAGCTTTCACGAACGACTCTTTTACTATCATTGAGATATTTGTTCAATATCTCATAACACTCAGATGTAGCGATGGAACCCAGGGCTTCCGCGCACTCGTGCCTCACCATCTCATTTTCCTCTGTATTTTCTAACGATGCTCGCAATCCTGGCACAGATACCTCTTCTTGAAGTTGTCCCAGGACGAACGCTATCTCATGCCTGAACAGGGCACTACCGGCTTTCAAACCTGCATCATATAAATTAATTATTACTCCATATTATCTTGTCCTATTAAAATAATGCCTATGTAAAATAATGTTACCTTCAGTAAGTGCAAGGATGCTTTCCTTGGTGCCTATATCTCTCAGCGAAAACATTGCTCTGTATCTATCAAATAGTGACTTGCTTTCATTCAGTAAAATTTCCTTTAAAATATCCACATTTGTTATATCCATTGGAGGTGCAGGGTCAATGGTCGAATACAGATTTTTTTGCAAATTCTCTGTATTATTGTTAGATTCCAACCATTTCAGCCGATCTAAGGCCAACTCACAGGTTTCTGCTACTTCCAATACAGGATCCTTACGATATTTTTCCAATAATGGAATTACACTTGGCTCACCAATAGCACCCAGTGCTTCTCCTGTTCAAATTATAAGCATAGAGATATACACATATATATATTTTCTTTATTTGTTTCAACAAATCACCAAAAATCAAATGAAAGATTTGTGTAAGCTAAACACATACCTGCTTCATGACGTACCATCGGTTCTTGCGATAGATCCTCCAAAACACTTGTTAAGATATTAATTGCTTTAGGATTTCCCATCTGACCCAGGCAATATGCAAGCTCATGCTTTAATAACGCCGACTGATCGTTAAAACATGTACTGATTTGATTTATTGCCATTGCATTACCAATGTTTTTCAGGGTGAATAGAGCTCGGAATCTTTCTTTTAAAGGTCTGGCAGAATCATTCAAGACTCCGCCTATACTTAAGATATCGCTTTCACTCGCTTGTACCATTTTCAGCTGATGTATATTAAATATTGAATATTAAGATTACCAATACAGGTAAACGAAAAATTTGTGTACAAATATCTTAAAGATTTAAATAATATATCTAATAATATATCTAAATCTGTAATCACACATAAAGATAAAATTATCAATATTAAATTGCATATAACAATACAAATATGTGTATGTAAAGATTTATCAGATTCATTACCATATCATCTAAAATTCGTTACTAAATGTTCATCAGTTTTAACGAGATAAATAAATGAGTAAAATATTGTAATTAAAAACTGTAGCTATTATAATACTTTTCATGAGTAATACATGTATAAATATTACTCATCCTAATTCAACACTGAATTTCTTTTTAGGTTATAACACGTGCAGAGACAACTAATTTAGCAGAGAAAACTGTTACGTCATATTCTTGTAATATTCGACGCTGATTTGTCGGATCTGAAAGTAGGAACCAATTACGTTCGATTGTTATTAAGCGGTTTTTTCAAAAGCTTGTTAAAAGCTAATGAAGGAAAAAGTAATTATATTAGAAAAATTTCAAGAAAGTTAGTAAAATTTTAATTTATTTCTTTATGATTATATATCTTTATATTATTTATTTTTGCTTATATTAAAAATTATATACTATATTTCTATTTATTTGTATCAAACTTTTCAAGGGAAAAATGAAGTCGCAGAGTAAAAATTTAAAAAGCTAAAAGATGTTTATTCAAAATTGAGAAAAGAACGTATTAGTTTGATTCGGAAGGTATTTATGTATTTAACACATTGATGACAATAAAAATTATCTATTTTATTTATAACACTAGGCGCGCGCTATTGAGCTATTACAACAAAATAAACTGTCAAACTGTCAAACGACACGAATGAAGCAAGTCGCTCAGCAAATTACTATTGACGACCAATAACCAATCATCATCGCGAAAAAGAGGACAAAGAATTGGGAGGACTGAAGGAAGCTGGCCAAACCGCTGCCCAAACCGAAAATTTGGTAAATAAAAATTTTTAATTATTGGCATTTCAACTCATATTAGTTCATCAACTTTTCTGCGTTTTCTAATTATTTTGTTTTCTTTTATGTTGTCAATTTTCCTTTTCTTTGATTCCTTCTTTTTTTGTTGTTTGGCCAATTTGCGCTTGGCGGCTACATCAGGAGCCACTATAGACTGTAATGAATATTACGTATATTACATTTTTGTAAAAAAAAAGTATGTTTATAAATATCCTCTATTTCAAAAATAATCACAAATATAAAAATATAAATAAGTTAATTTACCTGTTGTGTACGAGCTTTTTTCCTCTCTGTTTTCTTAATATCGAGTTTTTGTTGCACTTGATTTAATAATTTAATATACTGTTCATTTCCTAAAGCTTTTTTAATCAGAGAAATTACTTCTTTAGCAACTTGACATAATTCAACATTAGTTCCTTCTGTTATAGTTATCTCTCGTACCAATGGAGACATGATACTAAAAAGTATTGCGTTTAAATGTTCCATACGAATTTTAATTACTATTCCACCAATAAATTTAAACACTGCCTTTCTCTGAAAAGTATAATTCATATAATTTTTTTACACTGTGTATAAAAATGTTTTTCTAGTTAATAGTAAACAAAATATATTCTTACTACTGATATTGATTTAGGAGCTTGTGTTATTTCTACATTAATAGCTTTTCTCAAATTTCTGATAAGCCAAGATAGAGATAAATTATTGTCTTGCACATCAGATGTTTTAATCGACGTAAATATTTTTGCAATGATAATTAGACATTTCACAACTTGATCCGCAAATGGTTCAAATATCATATCTGGATAAAGTTGATCTAATAGATCTAAAACTAAATGATTTAAAGCTAGAGGATTTGAATACATATATCCTTGTGATGTATTCTCCGAACTATTTAAAATTTCCACAGTATTATCAAAAGTCCATTCCAAGACATATCCAATAAATTTTGTGGCATTTAATCGAACCCAATAATGTAGATGACCCAACAAAGACTGACAATGTTCTGTAATATAAAATAAAATATATATGTATACTTGCTGAAAAAATGTCTATTCATTTCAATAAAGATTTCTTACCAGTAAAAATATCGACCCAATTTTTGTATCTTTCATTCGTCAAAAATGACGTGTGTTCTGCTATCCTTACTAACACGAATGTGACTTGGATAATGTGTAAATCCCGTAATCTTTCCATAACATGTGGCTCTCTATTTTTTTCTCTAGAATTTTCTTCTAAATTATCATTATTTAATTTAACAAATTTGTCAGGTTCTTCATTGTCGGAAACGGGGAAATTTTCATGAAATTGCTTCACTAAAATCGGCAGAAATTGATCAAATCGTGAATCAAACTCTTTTTTTTCAGTAGTCACAAATATGCCGCATATTCTTGCCCCCATTTCTCGATATGCTATGTCAGAATCATTTAACCAATCCATGGTCCACCTGAATAGTTTATCTTTTTTGGTAGGTATCCGGATAAGCAATTCTTCTATACAGTTCACAGAAACTTCTCGACAGTTCAGATCTTCATCTACTACTAAGAAGCTTGCGTCCATAAATATCGCTTCGCATAATTTACTTAAAGGTTTTGATGGAAAATTCTTGATGATAGTGTGAATCATTTTTAATGCGCTCAATCGGCCTGATTGGCCCTCATGTTCGAATTGTGCTAGATACAAATCAATGTGATTGTGTAAATGTTTCTCTGTATGTGGATATTTCATCAAGTACGACAAGAATAAAGTACGTGCTTGCGATCTAACATCCTCCAATTGCGCAAGGATGCTCAGTTCAACGACTTTTTTCATAATAGTGTGCAGTATAGGGGAAAATATTTTCCGGTTAATTATGATCTTGAGTAATGCAAAAGCAGTAGCAGGTTTATCGTTGTTGTTCAGATCTGTTTCCACGTAATAGAAAAGACATTTCAATTGATCTTTATTGAGCTTGTATTTCTCAACAAACACAGACATGCATTTGAATGTGGCCTTCACGAGATCGAAGTTGTCTCCCTTGCTTAATTCCGCAGTAGCATATTTATGCAAGATTTTGAACATGGATGTACAAATTTCCGATATTAAAACGAATTTCAAAGTTAAGTCCATCTTCAACATCCAACTTAAGCACTTTAAAGCCACAGTACATAGCTTAACATGGTCAGAATTTAGACAACTGCTCAAAACTGGCACGAAACGTTCTAAGTGAGATTTGTATTCCATACAGGAGATTTTGTTTCGTTTCAGGAATATGTGAAACAGTGTCAAACCGAATTCTTTTATTACATGAACATTGGCATGTTTAGTAATTTTCGCTGTAGCTTTAATACCCATCCTGTTTTTGGGTTCGGGTGGTATAATGAAACAATCTGATTGCTGCTGTTCGAGATATCTCGAACTTTTCTCTTTCTCAAGATTTTTGTCATCTTTTTCTAGTGTTGAATCTGGTAAGCTTTGTGAGGTAATGCCATAGAGAAATTCGAGCATCCGTTTCAATGGTATGTAAGTGTTATCCACCAATCCTAAACTTACGTTTTGGAGACATTCCGTAATTTTATCTACCATTTTGTAAGAGTGCGTTTTCATTAACATTTCATTCAATGGCATGATTAAATCCAGTAAACAAGTTTCCGTTATATATTCTGCTAATATATGTAAAATGTCAAAGCTTTTGGTACTTTTTGCTTCTGATACATTTTTAACAATACCAGCTATCTCCTTTTCTTCTGCAGTTAATCCAAATAAATCGATTTTACATACCTATATAAAAATAATTACTTTAAGATACAAAAATCCGATCAAATTTTAAGTATACTAATTGCAGCGATAAAAATATATTACAAATATAGGATTATAAATGTTTTTTCAAAATTGAAAATTTTATATTAACAAAAATAGTTTTATATTTCAAAAATTCTGATAATTAAATAAATTTTGTTATAAGAATATAAATATTCAAATATTAAAATATTCGAAATTTTTTCGTACTTGAATAATTATATCGATATTATATCGATATATCTTTTCATATAATTTATAATTAATAGAATATATTGATATTAATAGAATATATTAATAGAATATATTTATGTATATAATTATAAATATTTTAGAAATATTATACATATGCAAGATTTTAGATGTAAAACACATAATATTTACAACTTGTAATTAAAATTGTACTTACAGATAAAATACTTTGTAGATTGCGATCAATGTCAAACTTTTGAAAAAAAGGCTTTAATGCATTTAATACAGACTGTACTGTATATGCGAGAACATGCACTTGGAAACCTTTTGTTAATAATGTATTCATTTCTTTCAAAAGATAATGAAGATATTTTGGTCCTAATGTTATCATAATTTCTTGAAGAGTCTTACGAGTCGTACGTCGAATAGATTCCATGCGTGATTTAAGAAATGTACACAGTTTCATAAAAATTCTGAAAAAGAAAAAAGTGTGTATAATTACCAATGTTAAACAATGAAACTTTGTCCTATTTATAGAAACATTGAATTATATTGAAATAAATTCTATTTCAAAGAAGTAATTTCGAAATACAATAAAAAAAAGAATATAAGAATCTCTATACAACTGAGAACAGATTGAACATAGGTATTGTCTGTTTCTAAATTAGACAAAAGTCATATTATCGTAAACACTTACCCCGGTAGGTTGGCATCCAAAAGATTCCCTGGCATCTTCTGTAATAATTTAACAAGCGCGATAGCGATGGGAACTCTCAGTAAATCATCTTCCTCCGTTTCGAACGCGAGTGTCTTCTTGTTAATCTTATGACTGTTGTCCTGCTGCGTCCTGGCTATAATGAATTGGTTCAGCTGGGGCAAGAAACTGTTTGATATACTGAACATTACTTTCCTCGCTCCGCTTTGCGAAAGTAACGTCTGTTTTTCGATTATCGGTAAATCTTCTTTAACTGCTTCGTTATCCTGTTCTACTTCGTCGACATTCTCGACGTTCTCATCATTTAATGCTTCCTCCAGTATTTCTTCAGTTTCTTTCTCGACATCTTCACCGATCGCTTCATTAACTTTATCTTCACCGATCAAAGTGGCATTATTCTCCAAAGTAACTTCGTTAGTTTCCAAAGTAACTTCGACCTGTGTAATTTGTTGGACTTCTTTATACTTTGAAAGATCATAATGGAACGAGTCTAATATCGCTACCACTATCCTAATAAGTTGTTTTTGAAACTCCACGGATCTCTTTAGTTTATTTAAATAATGCCTCAAGATAATCTCGTAATGATGCCATGGTAAAAATCTACACACAATTCCTATAGTATCAATGGCGGCATCGATAAGGCTGTTTTTATTAATGAAAGCCTCGTTACATAAATACATCGAGCAGAGGGGAAGAATGAATTGCGTCAAGGTTCGAGAATTGAATGGTTTCCGCAATGTCTTGGCTAGTGTACAAAACTTTAATAAGGCACGGGCCCTTCTGTACAACTGCAAATGCTGCATATTCTCGAAGAAATCGACCTCGCGATCGGTAGGATTGACGAGCAGTGACATGTCCCGCAAGATAGGATGCACATCCGCGCATTCCAAAGCCATGCATCCTAAAAGCGCTACCGATTGATGACGAACATTCTCGTTTTTGCTCATAATTCCTTTCCTTGTGAGCGCCAGAATAGTGTCGTCCATCAGATAACGTCGGTTCGAGGAATTATTACAGTGTTCCTTCGCTAATCTGCATCCCACGAGCTTCAAGCACTGACCGGCGCAATCCCTTATCGCCAAATCCGATGCAGTCTTCAAGAAGAAAAAGCAATTGTGGATCACCGTCACGCCGAATTCCAGGCTGATGGCGTTCCTCTCGGTCATTTTGCTGATCTCGTCAAAAGCGTCCAATCTTCTCTCAAAGTCCGGTTGATCAATCCATTTTCTATCCCACGCATTGAGCGCGAGCAGAACATCGCGATCATGCATCATCGTCTCGCGATATTCCTCCGAGGATCTTTCGACGATAGCACCGTATAGTTGCAGAAGAAGCTTGCGAGTAGGAACGTCTGATACAACGCTCATTAGCGGTGCGAGGTCACGCAGGTAGATCTCTGGCTTGTTTGCCATTTTTATAAGATTCATCACCGTCGTCAAAAGCTCTACGATGATTTCATTGTTGTTGCCAGATGCTTTCTTGACTAGGATAGGCAGTATCAGTTTCAACACTGTATCGCAAGTCTCAGCATCCGTGACATATTCAGATATTCGCGATAATATGAGCAATTCGGTCTTGTTTAGACCTCTATTGGATCTCTGGAGTTTATTTTTAAGAAATTCCAAAATGCGAGGAACGTGTGGTAGAAGAACAGCGGAACCATAATTGATTCCATTCGGGAGTACGCCCTTTTTCTCCACATCAAGAAGATTCGTCGGTATTGGTAAGAGCGGGACGTCCACTTGCATGCTATCCTCGTTGGATTGGTCATAATCCTGCAGCGTCAACAAATTTTCAATAATTAATAAAATAGCGTTAACAACAGATTGATGCGACTTGGAATTCAAGAGGAGTTCCACGATGTAAGGGAGAGGAGTGATCGACTCGTCGTCTTCTCGATGCTTCGCAAACAACGGATGATATCGCGGATTTTCACCCCATGCCATAAACAGCTTCAACAAGGCCGTGGGACTGTGTATACCCTCGACCGGTAATTTTTGTAGCCAAGGAAATATCGCGACATGACAGACTGCGTCAATCTCGTGTCGCTTCCAATTGTAATCCTCGAAGTGCTTGAAAAATCTGGTCAATATATCTATGCAACTCGTGCGCACATTCTTAATCGCTGGCAGGTATCCCGGGTAAACCTCGTCCGTTTTATGCAGAATTCCGGTCACCTCAGCCAAAATGCAGATTAACATCCTGAGCAAACACGGTAATAGTCTCGTTGACATCTTGCCGCCGAATTCCTCCATCATTATCGCCAACAATTTCACGGTGCTTTGCATGCGTTTAGGTGGAATAACGTTACTCAGGTCGATTGTGTCCATGATTTTTTCGATGTACCGCTTCAAGTCGAACGCCCCGTCCTCCATCTCTAGCGATATGTACGATTTGAAGGGTCGAAAGGCCATTTGAACGAATACGATCATCTCGTCCTCCTGCGTTCCGCTTAAGAAACGCAATATCATCTTCCGCCGTTCTGATCCACTGGCCTTCCCACCAGTTCTCATGCCGGTCTTCATAATCATTTTCGCATAAATAATTCTCAATATTATTGGCATGAGATTCTCGCGATGAGCCTCTTTGATTACGTTGCTCTCGCGATCCAGTTTAAAATGCGCGAGCTCGTTCTTCAGATTCTTCTCGCTTATCAGACTGTATAGCGATTCCTTGTATGGCAAAAGATATTCGTGCTTATACGCAAAGAGACAATTCAAGGCGGTTTTCTGTATGTTGGCATTTTTCGAAGAAAGTAGGTCCAAGTAAATCTGATACATTTCCGCTTCTCTATGCAACATTCTTGGATTTAGCACTTTTTCAAATACCTCTAGCTGAGCAAGCAAATATTCCACCTTGTCACTTCTACTCTTTATATCCGCATGAGCAATCTTTATCATTTCATTCCGTTCTTCTTCTTCTTCTTCGCTCTCGTTATTAGAGTTGTTATTTGCGTTTATTACATCCTTACGCTTCTCGATATTACAATACTTGCCATCCTCGGAGTTGGATTTAGAGAAATTTGTATTTACAAAATCGATAAACAGTCCGGTTAAATCTCTATTCTTCATCTCGGCGTAATGCGAGAAATGCGCTATACTTTTCCAGAGAAGTTTCTTATAATTTTCAAAATCAGGTTTGTCATCGTGCTTCTCTATCTGGCTTTCCAACGAGGAGATAACGTGGCAATCGAACGATGATGTCCATTCAATTTCTGGCACACTGTTAGACGTTAATTCGGCCAGGTAAGTTGGCCAAAACTGTGAACACTCTCTATTGCCGTAACTAGCTATAATTATACTTATAGGTTTCCAGAGTAGAGAGAAATTGACGTACAGATTACCAATCAAGCAACGTAATGGAAATTCGTAATATTTTGGATTTAAATTAACTATCGCGTGACTCTGGAATTCTAAAGCTTGTAAATGTAACAATTTAGTGCGATAGTTGTTTACCGTCGTGGGTTCACGTTCCACCAAGTAGACAAGTTCCATGGCAGTTTTGTTATTATCTTGTATCGAAGATCTTCTCAAATCTTCAACGTTTGAAAATAAAGAATAAAGATGTGCTACAATCAAGCGAATACTGCTGTACGGTGAATTCAGCTTCTTTACTATAGCGTTATTTAATGTGTCGAAAAATGCAGAATTGATATAATTCGCATGATATTCTGAAGTACTAAAATATGTTAAGCAAAGATCTATCGCATTCAAAATGTATTTATTATCGTTTTTGTTAACGAGATCAGCTATTGTTATATTAGATCTTACAAAAAACTCGTGAAGCTCACTTGGCTCTAATATATGTATTATTGATTCTAGTATTAATAAAAATATAAAACTAGTTCTATTGATACTTGCAATATCTTCTGTACTATCGTATTCCAACATCTTTTGATAGGTATATAACCATCCATTTTTTAATACAGTCTTAAATTCTTCATGCAAGGGTTTTAGGTGCGGCAAAATTATCAATAGCCTCATTGCATCGAGCGAAATATTATTAGTAGATAATGTTTTCAATTCCAATAAAAAATAATCGATATTCTCAGTTCCGATATTTCGCACGTCTAGAACGTATTTTTCCCACTTGGGCAAATTTATGCCATTGAGACAAGGTGATGCTTTCTTAAGAATTATTTTAGCAAAGAGAAGCAACGTCTTGCTGTCAAATCCAGTAGAGATACTGCGTCGCAATGCACGAGGTAAGACTAAGATCTCAAATGAAAAATTATACATTAATTTTTCAACAGCAGAGTATAGCAATTCTGTATTGTCCACTGCCATAATATTCAATAACAATTGACTCGAATTTTCGTGCGTTAATATTACTCTGGATGCTAAGAGGATAGCAATAGATGCATTAAAGACCTCTCGCAGGATATTATCCTCGTTCAATGTATTCATTATAATAATGAATCTCTTTATCAATGATACAGAATCAATTATAAACTTTCCATTTTTATAACTTATAATGATATTTACAAGACGCAAGACTAGAATTAATGCGTGCTCTCTATCAGATGACTCCAACAATTGCTTGGAACTTTCGATAAAATTATCTATCATTTTTAAAATAACATGCCACATAATATCACATTTTTGAGGGTGTATATTTTGCAGTATGCATATTACAATCTCTTTCAATACTTCATAAGCAATTCTTTGATTAACAGATTGGTCTTGCAAAGTATTAAAGTAAATCAATAACACTTGCTCGCCACGAGAATGGAATTGCCCTGCAACACCAAACACTACCTCAAAAAATAACTTTCCATAACCCGATATATCATCTGTATCTTTCAAAACATCTAGTATATTTTTAAAAAATTCATCTTTATCTGTGATTTTGCGAACTACAAATGCAAAACTTTCTGCAGCAAGTTTGTTTATGTAGTCTGGTTGTGTTTCAGATAATAATGGCAATAATAGAGGGATCACAGATTTTATGTCTCTTACTATAAATCGCCACAAATGTCTAAACAGATATGCCATAGTATTAAATGCATGCTCTATCTGTTCTGCATTTTTTGTTTGTAATAAATGAATTATTTCAGAGAAGAATGCCAAAAAATATCGTTCGTAAAAATCTCCTTGAAGATCTTTTGCCACGGCTACTACTAATCTATGAGAAACAACAAATCATACAAATGTAAAAACAATGAAATATATGGATACATATATCTATGTAATTTTCTATACTAATACTTACTCTAGAATAGGCTGCAGAAACAAGGGATCCCGTTTCTTCAGATACTCCATAAGCGTGTCGACTACATATTGCTCTTTGTAAACTAATTGAGGTAGTATAATGATGTCTCGCACTTGTTTCTGAAAAGTGCTATAACCATCAGTTAAGTTAAGAAAATTCCATTTCTCTAATGTTTGATGAAAATAAGTTCTGCTTTCCCTGCATTTCTCATTTTTATACCGCACGAAGTCAAAGATATCGATGTTGATTTCTGTTATCCTTTCGGAAAACGGTTTGAACTGTGCAAAAGAAAAAAATCATGTTTAATAGACGAATAAATATTTGTACATTTTTTTTTAAATATTTAATGTGTCTTCAACTATTTTAATAAATATTTGTACAATAAATATTTAGATTAATTTTCTTTTTTTCAATTTTAATACCTGAAAAGTGTTCGTTTTCTTATGACGAGTCGGTTTGGTCTTCATTTTTAACGGAGAGAAGAGAATCGAAAGAACTGCTTTCTTTTAATAAATTAATTTAAAAAAACATGTAGCACGTGTATGATAAAAGTATTCACTTTGCTGGGAGCGTTCCGTTTGGCCACGTTGCGATTGACCACAGTCAATTATATCGACCTGTGCCTAGGGTAACCAGCAACGATTAACCAATCAGAGAGTCCTATTTTGAATTGGCCAATTGGCGACGTGGTCAATCGGGTGCCACCCCATTACAAGTCTATTTCTGACTATTTTTGTTGTATTCGTCAGAAGAAATGTTTGTGATTGGTTAATGTTGCGGATTCGATTATGGTTGAAATTTTGTCCAATCAGGTTAGCCGGCCGGCAAATTGCTTTTCCCTGATTGGTCAATCCCAACTGCAAACAAACCTATAGTGTAATACGGGCTTTACGAATAAGATTTTTGAACACACTTTCACACTATCGCGCATGCGCGGAAAATCATTCACTTATTTTCCATTTTATGGCCGGTATTCATAGTTCGGTCTTACATTTAAGATCATCTTAAGAACTCATTCCACCAATCAATAGCTGCATTGCTATTTGAGAGAAATCAATTGGTGTAAAGAAAACATACAGTTGTTTTTAAGAAAAAATATGTAATTTGCAATTAATAATTCCATACAACTTTTGTCTAAAACATCTTTTTCTAAAATTAAAAATAAGAAAGTTATTTGGGGTGGGACATTAAAATGGGACACTCTATATATATATATATATATATATATATATATATATATATATATATATATGACGCATGCGCAAAAGTTCTAAAATAGACCAATTGTGCGAGAGAGAAAGTATCGTCTGCACCGTAATGTTTTCGCTCATTCCTACTACTGAACTGGCAATATAGAAGTACTATATATATGCTGCCAGTACTGAAAATCTATAATTTACGTGACATACGCTATAGATTTTCGGTACTGGCAGTGAATTTTAGAACACAGCCATAAAATGCTGTTGGAAGGGGAAGGGAAGCCGCACGAGTAGAGTGAGAGGCAGATAATATGAGGTCACGTTCCGGCTCTTTCTAATAAAGTCTGATTGGTTGGTAAAAAATCAGCAGTTTACCAACCAATCAGGCTTTATTAGAAAGAGACGGAACGTGACCTCATATTATCTGCCTCTCACTCTACTCGTGCGGCTCCTCTTCCCCTTCCATTAGCAGCCCATTCTATATATTGATGGACGTTATGGACTACAGGATATATTTTGTAATTTTTGCAACAATATAATCAAACAATACCTTTATATAAAAACAAGCAACAGCTGCAAAAATGTCTGTGTTTTTCCTAAATTCGTAAGTAAACTTCTATCATTTTTAAGTTAAGACGTTTTTGTACTTGATATATCTTAAAATTAACAGTTATGTATACCATGTGTACAAAAAAAAAATAATACAGTTGATAGATTAATAAATCTAATTCTGACTTAATTACATATATTTTTCTATTTTTCCTTATTTGTTTCTGAAATGGTAGAGCCAAAACAAACTTGCAAATCTTATATATTGTTGTTTTCAGAAATCAAGATAGTGAAATAGAAGGTGATTCAAATGGAGATCTACAAATTGCTTCGCCGGGCAATTCTGAAGCCCAACAAGCATTGACCCATTTCTGGCCAAAAGTTATGGAAGAAATAAAAAATATTACAACAGTTAGTAAATCTATAGTAAACTACAACAAAACTATAATAATCCAAAAAGTTGAATCCTTTTCAATACCTAATATATAAATATTTTTAGATGGACCTTAAAACACAATCTTTACCACTGGCGAGGATAAAAAAGATTATGAAATTAGATGGAGATGTTAAGATGATAAGTGCAGAAGCTCCCATGCTTTTTGCTAAAGCAGCAGAAATTTTTATACACGAATTAACTCTAAGAGCTTGGGTACATACAGAAGACAACAAAAGAAGAACTTTACAAAGGAATGATATTGCAATGGCAGTTACAAAATATGATCAGTTTGATTTTCTCATAGATATAGTGCCTAGAGATGAAATAAAACAAAGCAAAGCACAAAATGAGGCCACTGTACGTACATCTATGAACTCTGATCAAGTTCATTACTATTTTCAATTGGCGCAACAACAAGCTTCAGCAAATCAGGGTGTACAGAGTAGTAGTGGAACTACGCAACCTATACAGATTGTACAACCTTCTAGTGGACAAATTCAGACTATTAATATTGGTAGTCCAGTAGAACAGGTATATTGTTTCTTATTTTTATTAATTCATATAAATTTCATATATATTTTATTGATATGTGTATTTATAATTTTATCAATTTTAGGAGACTACTAATACAAGTACAACTCAAGCAGTTACGGTTCAAAGTCCACAGCAGTCGTCTGGCCAACAAATTATACAATTGCAGCAAGCACAGCAAACACCCACTACTCAGACTGGTGGGATACAAATCGTACAGCAAATTGTCACTCCTAGTGGTGAAATTCAACAGATACCTGTAAATATAAATTTTTTATAAAATATCTACCTAATTTTATGTTTTGCATGTTTTACATATTTTTCATCACTTTCTTTTTAGATTCAGTTGACTCCCCAGCAATTACAAATGATTCGTATGCAAGTACAAGGTGGGAGCAACCAACCAATTATAATACAAACGGCTCCTATACAAACTCAACCGCAATTGATACAAGTTGCACAGAGCGCCCAAACTCCAGTTTTCTTACAAACTTCTGGTGCAGATACTGAATAATGCATTAATATATTGACTATTAATAAGATTATTAAGATATAAATAATATGAGAAAAGTTTTAAATTATATATATATATGTGTGTATGTGTATATATATTGCTCTGTATTTGTAATTATTGGATGATTAATATTCAGTTTTAGATACATACATATATATACTTAGAATATACATATATATCTGTCTTTCTTTTTAAGCAAAATAATATTACAGAAATTGTTTGTAATTAATCTACAATAATTGATGTAATTAATTCATAATAATTTTATTTTAATCAAATATGCAAGAAGGATTTGAAAGAATATTAAATTTTTATTTGATAAGGTTTTTTTTTTTACTTTTTATGTATGTCAGTAATCTTCAATCTTTCATGTGTTTTGTGTATTCTGAATATATATTATATATATTCTGAATATATTGTATATTTCTAATATAAATTTTACAGAAAATTATATACTATATGTATTAATTTCTTTCCATCTTTCGTGATTAATCTAATTATCCTAAAATTATTTTAATTCTGAAAAATTTTACCAATATATGAAAATTTCAAGAATTTTTATTCACATAATCATGTTCGAACGCCATGTTATAAGATGCTAATCGAAGGGTTGGTCACTGAAGCGAAATGAGGTGAATCGAGGCGATGTAAGGTGAAGAATAAAGATAAGCAGTCAACGCAAGATGTAATCTGATTCGTACGTCGCGTTCCTTAGCTGCTGGCTGCCCGCTTCGCATGGCTGAGCTTAGGACTGGCTGGTGTAGCTTGTATTATATTTCACGTTACTGCGGTTGTTGTCCAGCGAGTTCTGAGTGAAACTCAGAATCTTTACAATAGCCTCGAAATGTCATGTAATGCGTTTATATGTATTCTCATTAATATGCTTGCGTTAAATTAAATACTATTTATGTTAAGAGTACGTTATGTTAAAAAAATAACTGTGCACTTATTAATTAATCGATATCGCATAATGTTTACTTTATATATAAACTTACTAGACATATAAAAATTTATGTTGCCATTATTTGCTAACAATAATCTTTTTCTCTCTTTGTATAATAAAACTCAATTATATCACATGCTCATAGCTATATAGTATTTATAATTGTTTAATAACAATGAGGGCATTACTTAATTATACAAGCATTGTGCTTTACATTAAACCAATTTGTATATAACATCTATTTTATGAGAAAAAGAATTTTATAAAAAAAAATAGTCACGTAATAAAATTATAAAGAAATTATACACACGATATGTACACATAGTTATAAACTATATATTGAGAAATTATATATTTATAAATTATACATAGATTATAAATTATAAATTTATAATCTATTTATACACACATATATATGTATATATACGTAATTGTCTTTTGATTTTTTTTTTTAAATTATGAAGGTTATCTGTACATTTTTTGCCGAAATTAAAATTTATTTAAAATAGGATGAGATGTAAAAAAGAATTTCAAAATTTTAAAACATTTTCCAATTTTGAAGATTCAAGCATTAATTTTCAATGTCTTAATAGGTCTTCTCTTACTACGTATTTGATTTTAATTCGTTTATTATTTACGAAGAACTAACTCTATGAATACAATACAAAAAAATGAACTGATTAAAAAAGATGATATCGGCAATTAATTATATTTTCCAATATATTAAAATTTGAATATTAATTCAGAATATTAATTTTACTACGAATAAACGGAATATATGTTCAAAAAAATACATAAATGAATTTTATCTATGAATATATTTTATCGACTTTAAATCACAACATTTTTTCTAGTAAAGATTTTATTAAATATCATCTTTTTTTTTTACATCTTAATTTTTCAGGTTTTCCACGACTGATAGTTAAACGTTACATTAAAATTTGTTTTCAAAGAAAATAAATGTACAAATTTGTTATTCATTTGCATTTATAAGGATTAATGCGTGAAAAACCGGACGCTCTTAATAATCCCGCGCGCGTAACATTTAAGGGAATTTTTTAATCTTATTTTTTAATAGAAAATCTTAGGTATATGTAATACACCTTAAAATACTCTAATAAAATCTTAAGTATATGTAATATTCCAATTCCTATGTCTAATTTTCGTTGAGCGATGTATTCTAAACTAGGACCGCTAGGACATTAGATGTCCACAAACGTGTCCTTTTTATTAGCACGGAACAAAGATGCGCTCTCCATTTAGTGACGCTGCCACTGACGATCCCGGTTGTCAGGGGAACCACATGCGTCGTCGCAACGCTGCGAGGACCCTCATCTTCGGGCATCAAAGATTATTATGCGATTGCGATAATTACGCATAAATGTCGGTAGTGAAAATGAATTTTTCGCGCCGCTCTAGAAAAAAATCGGATGCGTGCGAATAAGCACAGAGATGAGATATTGAGGCATTTAATTGGGGGTCGAAATTAAATTTTCGGGACGGATTTTCAATTTTAATTCTTTGCCTTCAGCGATAGATCCTTTCCACCCCGTGATCTACGCCACTGTCGGAATACTCGGATTTCACGACATGTTTACAAAGATCCTAGAGATAAGTTGAGAATGGCCGCCGCAGCCCCATGCCGCCGCCGCCACCACCTCCTCCTTCTCTATAGGTGTAAGGTGACAGCTGCCTGCGCCTGCGTTGCATGCACATACAGAGTGTCCTTGTCGAAAACCATTCGTTCGTTATCTTCTGCGGAATTCGAAGATGATTTTGCGACGAGAATGAGGCTCAATTTGTGTGCCCTAAAAATTATGATAATATTAATATCAAAATTATAATAGTGAATTAGATCTCGGAAAGAGAATTCTTATATATTTTTTATCTAGCAAATTTCAAAAGATGTCATAAATAAGCGTATATGTGCAATTTCTTTAAACTATATTTGACATATAAGATAAGAAGAAAATAACTGACTTTGTTCATCTTAAACAAAGTTCTTTTTTAACAAAACTTTGCTAGAATGAATTTTATCATGCATTCTCTTTCCTGACCATATGTAACGAATGTGCCATTCTTTGCCCTTCTCAGCGGACCACCCTGTATAACAAAGGGAGAACGCTCGTTGGTTCATACCTATCTACCTACTCACACACACAGAGATATTTCCTCGTTGTAGATGTATATCCGTCTCTTACACACACCCGCGTGTAAAACAGGGAGAGAGATATCTCCCGCGCTTACTTAGCTCTTGCCCGAAACTCACGCAGGATCTCTGTGCAGGACCACATGTGTGTGCGTCCACTTTTGCAGGACCGTACTGTAAGTATGTGTTGTGTGATTCCCTTGCGCGTTAATATTTTTTTCCAAAAAAAACTGTTCGCTTTGTAAACCTGCTTCTAACTGGAATCACCGATGGGACGTGATTACTGGCTTTAATCAATATGTTTAATATCAATATACGACAGCTCGTTAATCTTTTTCAGATTCTCTGATGATGAGTGCACCGATATATGTATATCCATTAACTCTTTGTGATCCTCCATCCAAAGATGAACTTGACATGATTCATGACAATCCTCCGCGCGGGCCTACAACAAACACTCGAAGCAATGAATGATTATGATCGATAAACCACATTCTAGGAATTTCCATAAAATTCTCATCAAATAACAAACGTTGATATATTACGTAATACTGACAATACATTAACACAAAAATAAAATGCTTGATTTATTAAAATCTCCAAATTAATTGATGAATTAATCTTTATTTTCACATAAGTCCAAGTTATTAATTTTTTCATATTATCACGACTTCTCTTTTTTAGAAGAACATAAAGAAAGGAAAATTAAAAAGAAAAGAGAAGATATATTTTTTCCACAATTAAACTGTTTTTAAAATACGAGGAATAAAAAAGTAATATATACATATAGAACTTGAATAATGATCTTGAAGAGAGAGATCGACGTTATATTCTCAAAATTAAATTAATAATACTTTACTAGTATTAACAATACCTTAGGGTCTATCTCGCAGATCCCACGACGACACCGAATACGTCTCTATGTCCCTGCATTTTTCCTGGAGCGCACAATGAGGTATATACATACACCTGGGTGGTCGTCACATACATACACTTACTTACTTACTACATTAATACATCTTGGAGATAAAGACCATAAGCCTCTTATAGAGATACTTTTCAAAAGAAATGTATATGCATGTCCTCTTTTTTCAACAGTTTGCAAAAAATTCCTTATTAAAAATATCGCCAAAATTATTCCGCCATTTCTCCACCAGCCGTGCGACCAACCCACTGCAGGATGATGTCGACGCCATGTCTATCTTTCTGACGCGTCTTCCTTTATTACCCGCTGTCTCTACGTTAGGTGACTCCTGGGAAACGCGATAATGTCCGTCGTATATCGAATCGATATTTCTTTCACGAAGCTGGTGTATCACACTTATCTCAAGGAGCACAGCAGAGATGCGAGAGTCGCGAGTTCCCTCGGGACAAAGATTGAAAATTTGATTCGTACGTCGAAAAGCGTTGAATTCTAGAGATGACGGAATGAAGAGACTCTTTGTCACGAAAATTTATTTAATCAGCATGCATTTAATCCCATTACTATTCCTAAAATAGAGAAAACGAGTTTAAACAAATATCCTTATACACACGAGAAAATTTGTAAACATCGAATAATCGAAAAAGTATTTTGTGCTAATTTTTTCCATTAATTTTTCGACGGAACATTATTTCTTATACAACGTCCTAAAATCATTATATTCTTATAAAAGCAATTTTTCTTTTAATGAACATGTCGATTACATCAATAATTTATAAATTATAAGCAATTGAAAATATTTTTACAAAACTTGTAAAATTAAAAGAGTAACTATATTGTTTAATTAATAGAATTTAATGAAACTTAAGTTTAATATATAAAAATATTCTATATGAAAAAAGGCATGTGACGCTGTTGCCGTTTTTCCGCGATGCTGATTGGTTCTTTTATTGTGCTCAATTCATGTTGTGAGCAGCTGTCATTTGCGATTATTACAAATTTTGAGAAATATATATATAATAAAAGGGAATAAATGGCGCGCGCTTTGCGTTGTCTAGTATAATAAAAAATGCATTCACACAAATGCATACATTTCCAAAAAAATTAGTATTTTCTTTTGACAGTTTCACTAACAAAAATATAGAGCTAGAGAATGGCTGCTAAAAGATATTCAAATTCTTATATGAAACTTATACATAGATAAATATATTATACACATAAAAATTATGTATACAATTTTTTTAAGATAGTTCAATATAAAATGATATATCTTTGAACGATAATTTTATTTATGCAATTATCGCATTTGTATTTATGCAATTATCTATTTGAAGCAAATCGATAGTATTGCAACAGACGGATTGATCGGTCAATTTCAATAAAGAGATGGTCAATCCCCCAGAAATGCGGAGATCCCTGTGTTTGATGTACTGTGAAAATACAAAACTGGAAGGATGGATTAGCCGTACTCATCCGACCCTCGTACGGTTACTCACCGTTATGTAAAAGCATTATTCTCCTTTGTCATTCATCACAAAGCCTTGATCAAGATGTCGATTGCCATACATTTCCAGAGAACATTTCCAGAGAACCGCTTCACATCTGGTTTTAGTTAAGATGATTTTTCTGAAAATTATTATATCAGTCAAGAATTGTATCCAGGAAATCTCACGAGATATCTGCACTATATCAAACAGCACTATAACAATCAAATATTGTCGATCGTAGGTATAAGAAAGCTTCGAACAATTGCAAACGAAGCGTGCGAAAGCAGAACGGAGCTTAAAAGTTTCTTGAGATGCTTTTATGGTAACATTAGCAAGAGACTTTTAACGAAATTTGAGAGTCCATCAAGCTGGTGGAAAACGTACAATGGATGTTGATATAGGATGTAGAAAATTATATTGCCGCCCATGTTATTCCTCATCTTCATCATGTCGTCCTTGAAAAATGCAGACTCATCCTCGCCGTTACAATTACATTAGCCATAAAGAGGTTTCTAGTCTGAAACATTAATGAAATGAAGTTTATCTCGAAAAAATAATGAATTTTTTTAAAACTAAATTAAAAAAAGTTAATAAAAATATATTCTGCACATTTTTAACTATTTGACTTTAAAAATTGTAAAGAGGGTTTATAGAATTCTCAAAAATGAGAATCTATATCTTGGTAAATGCACCAAATAAAATATATGCCTCATTCTCGTTTAAATTTTCGGGTACAATTAAAGAATTTTTAGGCATTACCATCCGCTGTGGCCCTTAATCGCTAGTTTCTTGTCGTATTGTTTAATACATATAGAGTCTAATTCCTTTCAATTTATTTAAAAATTGACTTTAAAAATTCCAGTTTTTTCAATTTTTATTATTCATAATTTTTATCACAAAATTAAATAACGCACCTTTAATAAGGAATTTAATAAAAGAAAAGATTTAATAAAAAAAAAGTCAAAATGTGTTACAAAAAATTTGTTCACATTTTACAAGCGAATATAAAATAAAAAAAGAAATAAAAAGGAAAAAAAATAAATGCGAAAATATTCTAAAAAACAATCTGTAATTAAAGATTGATAAAAGTTCTCGTCAGTTTATTTATTTTTCCGCCAAACGTGACTTTTCTTTAATTTTATGGGTTGAGAATAAAACTATACTTTTAATATCTCGCAGGCGGGCCGTTACTCGCCCTCCGTTATTTCACTCACGATGCGAGCCTTAATTTGTTTTGTCACACAGTGACAGAGGAAGCAGATATCTCGCAGCGCTTTTATCGCGCCGTAATCGATAAAGTGAGAAAAAAGGACACGAGAACATTCTCGCCTCTTCCAGGAACCCACCGAGTATGACGTATTGCCTTGATGGCGTGGACCTCCCGTCAAGAATTTTTATCTTTCCCGCTCTTGCCTGTCGAGAAAAAGAAGAAAAGACTGAAGAAAGATTGCGTCACGATTCGCGAATATAAAAAAAGAAACTGATAAATTTTTATTAATAAATTTTATTTTCGAAAATCTATATTTACCAATGTTGGAACAATTATTTTTCCAATTTATAATAAGCATTATATATACTCCAACAACACACATGTCCAAAAGACGTCCAGAGAATATCTAGAGGACGGTCAAAGGATATTTTATGTCTTTTGGACATGTGTGTTGTTAGGGTATTATTGCTTGTGTGCTAATTTATTAAAATCCGACAGTTGATGGGAATTTTTTAGCAAGCGACACAGAGGACACCATGCGTTACTTCGTCCTGCTGAATGTAGACAAGTATAAAATGATTCACTGTGTTACACTGTATCCTGCATCTCTTGCTGAAGAACGCCCGATAGTAGTTCTGATAACTACCACAAGAAAAAATAAAAAGGTACGGGATTAAATCAAAGAAGTATACATATTTTACATGTAAAACTGTGGTACACATTCAATGTGGAAATGCGAGTGACGCTTCTCTTTCTTTCTTCTTTTTCTTATCTTACACGCTAATTCGTGAGGTTTTAAAACACGTATTCTACGACTCTTATCTAAGATCGTCCATATAGATCCTTTTAATCGCTGTTCTTTCTGGAAAACCGGCCCCGGGCCAGAAAGGAGCGTCATTGCCGAGCGATTCGTACAAATAAATGGTGACAAGAGGTGACAATTATGTAGAGAGAATGTAGTAGGACCATTCTTCTCCTTCGTTAATTCAGGATTTTTCTTTCTCTCTTTCTTTTCTCATTTTTGTCTCCTCTTCGTCTCTTTCTCCTTCCTTATCTGTCGCACCATCACCTACCATGCGTGCGATTCGTTAGCTCCTCTCATTCTGATTAATAAGCGATCCGTGTGTGTCCGTTAGCGAGAGCATGTTGAGAAAAACAGAGAAAGAAATAGGGAACGGTTGAGTAACGGATGGACGATTTTATTATCTATCCTAAAACAAAAAAAAAACAGATGCATTATCTAGTAATCACATTGCATACAAATATGTTTAGCACATAAAAAATAAAAAATATAGAAGAAAGAGAAAAGGGATAGAGGAGAAATGATAAAAGGAAAGAACAATGCAGAAGAGGAACAAGGAGAAAGAAAGAGAGAGAGAGAGAGAGATCAGAAAACAAAACAATATAATGTATTATTTTAGATATTTCGTCAAGGTACACATGGCAAGCACTCGCAGCAATTTAGAGAATACAAAGATAAAGGGAAAAAATAGCAAGAGAAAAAAAAGAATCTAAAAAGTAGAGGTCGAAGGACAAAAGGAATACCGCGAGAGAACAAGCGCGGAACAAGGAGAGACGAAAGAAGCGAGATGAGCAAACGAGCGAGCGAATGAGCGAGCGAGAGAGAAGGGGAGAAAGGAAAGGTGCGACGAAGAAGAGCCGAACGAACCACGTGATCATCCGGGCGGGGGTGGCAGACGACATTTCGCATGCTCAGAACTCCACAGTCCGCGGCATATCGCACACGGCAGTGCCCGCGATATACGCACACCTCTACGCATTCTACGGCGCCGGTGAAACAATGGTAGCGAGTTCGTCGTGAAGGATCCACCGAATGCGAAAGAGCGTATCCGGGAAAGTATCGTAAGTGCGGAAAGATCCTTTCAATCTTCACAATCGCGACAAGTGGCAGATTCCCCGGGGGGTGCAACCCTCGACGCGAGCGGGCGGAACGGTGATCCTGCGGCAGGCAGGAGATCTGCCGTTTCACGGGCACGCAACATCCGCCCGCAATCTTGAGCGCAAACGGTGATTGACATCATCTCGATTCGACGACGGTGTTCCTCTGTGTTTCCTGCGTGCGTGTACGCACGTATGTGCCGGGCGGTGCGCGAAACGTAACGCACAGACAGGGTGACTCGTAGGCGAGCGACAACACAATGTTCCCGTGGTCGCGAAAAGTGCGAGAAAAGTGAGGCGAAATTACAAATCCCTGTACAACGCGTATACGCGCACCTAGGCACGCATGCACGCACGCACGCATTACGCAGCCCCAGGATAACGATGCTGCTTTCGGGAGGTAATCGCCGAAGGCTTCCTTGAACGTGCATCGGAGGATATCCTATTTCGAATCTGCGACGACACGCAAGGTTCGCTCAACTTTATTCAATTAGACTTATCATGAAGAGGTGGTTTTGCTTTCTCTCTCTCTCTCTCTCTCTTTCTCTCTCTCTTTCTTTTTTTTCTCTTTCCTTGTAGAAGAGTTTTGACGAGAATTGAATCAGGATTTCTTGTAGTGCCTTGCGAATTATGTTGCATATTTACCGAAAAACGGAAATAGAATTTAAATAAAAAAAAAAGAAAATAAAAATACAACATAAATCGTTTTTTCAAATAACATAATAATCTCACCTATATTTTCAGCTAAACGGTTATTAACCGTCAATTATTAACTTTGAATTCGAAAGATGCGATATCTATTCCTGCATAAAAAAAGTAAATAGTCGATTTGTTTAGATAAATTCTCAATAACAAGCATCGTCAATATTTAAATTTCCAGAATTGTAATTCGTATATAACTGGAAAAAAAACCAAAATATTTATCTTTTATATTAATAAATTTTAATAAATTTAAATTTTATAATTTTATATATATATATATTTATACACATCTATATATAGTTTGTTTATTAAAACATTAAGAATTATACCTTTTTCTTCTTTGATATTTTATAACATAACAGCGATAAGAAATAAATATTAGAGACTGAATGTCAGTCTGTCTTAGCGTGATAAGGTTTTACATGTAACGTTTTTCCTGTATTAGAATCAAGAGCCGCTGTTCGCACACACGCGTGAAACGTCATTATCAATTGAGCATGCGTAACTTATGCATCTCATTCGGCTCGTTATGGCAATAATGTATTTTAATTGGCCGTTACGTAGTATATCAGACAATACATTCTCTCCAAAAAGCCTGGTTAACGACAGTTTCTCTTTAAAATACGTTCGCAAAATTGATGTAATAAACTGTCATTCCAATATTAATTCTTGTATATATTATGTAATAACGAGAGATTGGAAAAACTGGAAATCAAAAGAAATGATTAAAAAGATTCAATCCAGATATTGTAGAAAAATATTAAGATTACGCTTTGAAAATTATCTAAAAGAAAATCAAATTTAATTAAAAAAATATATACAACAACATAAATATATGAATAAAATATATTATTTTAAAAAATTATTTCATATAATAAATTAATCATATCAATTAAAAAATTATTAGTAACTAGAAATTAAAATTATAAAAAAATTAGTATTAGTAAATTAAAAATTTAACATTAGAATATTATAATAATTTGAATGACACGAACCTGTCATGCAAACAAGAAGAACATGATTGTGGAAAGAGTAGTATTTTTTTGTTCAGTTATAACAATGGTCTAAAGTGTCTCGTGGGAAAATATCAAACTGTGAAAGCGTTTAATAGTTAACGTAACTTTGTTCTTTGTTTGACTAATAATGAACCCAAGCTATTATGGGAGCCCAGCGAGAAAAACAATATTTTTGAGAGGTGCAGTCTCCGAAAAACTTTGTTTCTTCTACGCGGCTAGGGCTTCAGACAAAAAGCTTTTGTCTTATGAACTGTAGCCATCCTTATAGTAACGCTTTATTTTTCCTTTTCCTTCCTATAATCGACGTAAACCGACCCAAGACTGAAAAGTCCTGCGGCCGAGAAAGAGAAAGAGCGAACCGGCATTCCTCTCGTTTCGTTGCATTTCGTTTCCCTGACGGTTGACGGACAGACAGCCAGCTAGACAGCAAGCTAAGCAACTCGTCCGCGATAAACACTTCGGCACAAGCTTTTTGTTTAGATAAGCAGAGTGCCTTTCATCTCGCTTCATTGTACATTATATGCGTGGAGCGATGATCAGTGACGATATAGAGTAGCGACAAATTCGTATCGTAGCACATAATAATGATGTATCCTTCGATTAATATGCAGGCAATTTCATATGGAATTTCATATGGAATTTCATATGGAAATATCGACCTGAAAAATTGTGATTTAGAATGAATGTTCAAATTTAATCTAATGAAAAAAAAAATCTTGCTTTCTTTAACATTTCTATGCGTATTATTCAACAATATAAACTCCCACATAGCATGCATATCCAAAAGATGTCCAGAAGGTATCCAGAAGATATCTTTGGGCGATTAGACATCTTCAGAATGTCCTGTTAATGTCTTTAGGATGCTATATGGGCTGAATCACCTTGATTCAAAACAAATATAAGTAAATTGCATATTATATTAAAACGTTTCTTTTCAATTTTAATAATATTTCAAACGATTGCACTTTAATGCGATTCCACAAGTGAAAGATACTTTAATTAAAATCTTGAAAATAGTAATAAAATGAAAAATAAATGAGAATAGTAATAAAAAAACGATCAAGTCAATATCTATTTACATTCTGCCTCTCCTCTAGAATGTTAAACTTACATATAAACTATCATTTAGAAGAAATTTGTTATCGAGATTTTTATCCAATTCTAAATATCGAAAAAATTATGACAAGACATATGAGATGCACTTATATTCTTATTTAAAAAAAAAACTTCTTAAATTACATCTGCGTGGTTACACCTTGACATAAAGGAGCTCTCGTGTAGAAGGTGCTTTCCATATATATGGCACAAGATATATAACATATACACACGCACAACAGGGCGGAGTGCAGATAGATAGTGACTTGGCAACATAAAGAATACATAATGTAAAGCGTTGTGAGAGGTTCCATTGGTTGCTTTCGGTGCCTCACGGTGTACGCCTACCCGACCAGTCACTCCTCTTCGACACGCAATTGGCAGACAATAATGAAGTTCACACGCGAGCGAAGTTCCCCTGCGACCTCGCAGGTGCAAACGTTTTTCACCTGTAGAATCGCTTTAAAGTGCAATTGTTTTTAATATACCATTAAATTATGAAGTATATAAAAAGCATTATATTATACATTATTATTTAATAATATTATTAAATAATATTAATTAATATATGTATACCATATAATTTATATAAATTATTATTTATTACTATACAGGATTTTTGTGTGACTTTTCTACGATTCTTTTTATTCACAGATTACTTCAAATTCTTTCCGTAACAAAGATATATTGAGGTGCTAAGATGTCAATAATTTTTGAAACATGATTTGACTTATTGTTCCACTAAATTTTCGTAAATTACCTCTTCTTTTTTTTTCTCAGGCGTAAAAGTGAAAAGGTGACTTATGTCAAACAGATAGAGTGATATGTTAACCGAGGACAATGATCCGACAAAACCAGCAGGGGTTTTAGACAATGCTGGCAACGTGTCTTCCTCGACAGAAGCCTCGATACAGCATCCTCGTGCTGCAAACAATGGTGAACAGGAAGATCTCTAACTGCGTTGACGTAAAATAAACGTGCATCGATCAAATGACCGCATACATTCAGCAGACAGATCCAGCAGAGAAATTAAATATTATCGAACGCTTATCTTTATACAAGCAGGAGAAGATGTTTTATCTAGAAATAAAAATTGAATTGAAATTAATAATCGCTCATGCTAAATAATCGTTCATTTATTGGTGCACTTGTACTTTATTATTTTTCTTCATGACATTTACTGTAAATTTCTACTTCTCGAAAACAATCTCAAAAATTCGGAAAAATTGCAATTAATGTTATAATTAATTTCATCGTTAAGCGCATAGATATTTTGAAGGAAATATTAATATTATTAAATGAGAGAGAGAGAGAGATGACTTACTTCTTTATTTTTATATAAGAAACCGAAGTTAAAAACGAGGTGCAGGACTGTCCCGAAAACGACAGCGTCCCTGGTGGTGAACTCTACATCGATGAGAATGCCGAGGAGAAGGAGCAGGAATATCCGGATTCGATGGAAAAGGCGGATTACGGATCCCTATACGATGCCAATCAATATTACAACAGGTATTTAATTCGCGCGATAAATATATAATCTACTAATTAATGATTTTATTTAAAAAAAATGATTACGATAAAAGATATTTTACACTTGCTGAAGGAATTTACCGTTAGATAAAACATGAAATTTTTCAAGTAAAATTAATATCATTATTCAATCATTGGGCTGCAATTACAATTTATTTATGTAATTAATTTGATTCGCACATAGATAACTTTTCATCGAACTGAAAACTCATCTTTCTATTCTTTTTATTGTTTTTTTTTATTTTGTAGTCTATACAATCCGCCGCCTTACGGATCGACGACAGTTTCGAAAAATGCGAGCTTGCAGAGCACGTACCTAAACTCTTATACATCGTCGAGCTCAATGTCGCAGTATACACCTTACGCTGGTTATAATAGCGGAACAACGACATTCCCGAACGTCGCGCAAAATATATCATCGGCCACCCAGGTGACATTTTATTTCCGCAATTTCCTCCGACGCAAATGTAACATTTTCTTTTTTCATTTCTCTTTCCTAAATTAGATGTTCTTTCTTTCAGAAATTAGACTATAGCGCTTACAGTAGTAGCTTATACGGAAACGACAGGGTACCGCTTCAGTATTCCGGATATTATCCTGTGCCCGGTTATCACGCGCCGCCGGCCTCCTTCAACATCGGCAATATCAACTTTGCTGGTAAGTGCTTTTACTAAATTTTTCTTCACGCACTCTCTTTTTCTATCTCTCGTAAATGGAATTTCCTGTAAGGAATAAATGAGATATATTTACAAACTATTATTGAAAAATTGTATAAATCGGTAAAAATAAAATTTTCATAAGTTTATTCTCAAGAGATAAATTCACGCTTTTGAAGATCCATGTTCACGTGTCTGATTAGTTTTGTAATATTTCGAATCTGTATATTACATTTTTTAAACAAGCAAAATTATCCGCGTATGTTCGACTTCTTATGTTGAACAGTTGCAATTAACTATAATCATTTTGCAAGAAGATTCAACAAAATCCGCGCTCACGGTAGACCCGACGACGCACGATGCGAGTGATCTGACCGCACGGGAAACAGCAAACATCGAAGGTAACATCACCGATTTGTTTTTTTTTCTCTTACTTTGTATAGGTTTTCAAAACATTTTAGTCACGGATTTAGCCATTTCAACTAAGCTTGAATTTTTGTCTAAAGAAAAAAAAATTGCTACAATATTTTTGAAAGAATATTGTGTGTGTGTGTATGAGATGACATTTGTTTGACATTCGTGTTTATATTTAGAGAAAGAAAATAATAAAATAATATTTTATTCTCGTATAATCAGATTAAAGGATATTTATTGATGAACGAACGACATTTTCGACGAATATTCTCGCTTTTTTAGTGGCGACGACGAAGCCGTGCAGACGCGGAAGGAGACAGAGCGGAAGCGGGAACAGTATCGGTTCCGCGGACACGACGGAAGCCGGCCCCGAGCGTATATTCATTTGGGACTTGGACGAAACCATAGTTGTGTTTCATTCTCTGCTGACCGGGCAGTTCGCCACGAAGCATCGTAAAGATCCGGCCCTTCTAGCCCAAGTGGCATACAGAATGGAGGAGATGATATTCAATTTGGCAGATACACACTTTTTTTTCAATGATGTCGAGGTGATTAAATCTTTCTGTAACAAATATAAGTTTTATATACACATACACATAATATATAATCTATGAAAAATAAAAAATACTCGAGAAGTTTTAGATATATATGTAAGAAGATATATAAAAAATTCTTCCATATGAATATTTAATTAATATGAGTATTTAACTGTAATTGTATATAATGTGTGTGTATGCATTTCCTAAAAAATGTTTTCTCGACATATGTAGTATAAAAGCTCTCTAGCATCTATATTTTCTTATCATAGGACTGCGATCAAGTGCACATAGACGATGTTTCGTCGGATGATAACGGGCAGGACTTGTCGTCTTACAATTTCGCGACCGATGGCTTCCAGTGCGCGACCGCAAACAACGGGATATGTCTGGCGTCCGGTGTACGAGGTGGCGTCGACTGGATGAGGAAGCTTGCATTTCGTTATCGCGTAATTAAAGAGATCTATTCCAAATATCGCAATAATGTGGGTGGTTTATTGGGCACAGCCAAGCGCGAACAGTGGCTGCAGCTGCGTTCCGAGATCGAAGTGCTGACTGATAAATGGTTGACGTCGGCAGTCGAGTGTCTCAACATCATCAATAAGAGAGATCACTGCATCAACATCCTGGTAACGACTACGCAACTAGTGCCCGCGCTGTCCAAGGTCTTGCTCTTCGGTATCGGCGGGATATTCCCCGTGGAAAATATATATTCAGCTTCTAAAATCGGTAATTATATATCAAACAAAGAAATAATTAAATACTATATGTATATATTTTTTCATTGTAATTTTGGTTTTTCATTATAATTTCATCGTTATACGTTTTTGTAGAATAATATTAAAGTTATTTTTTACCGTTTTAGGAAAAGAGAGCTGTTTCGGTAGAGTGGTCGCTCGATTTGGACGTAGATGTACGTACGTAGTGATAGGAGACGACTCAGATGAGGAAACAGCAGCGCGCGCGCATAACTTTCCTTTCTGGAGAATAAATAGCCATTCGGATACTCAAGCCCTGTACAATGCCTTAAAAATGGGGTTCCTTTAATCAAAACAAAAATACATATATACGAAAAAAGAGAGTATAAGACCAGGAAGCATTTCGATTATACGGAAGAGTGCAATTAAGATTGCATCTAAATCAGAAAAAATCATGCTTATTGTATTTCTCCTTCTCCATTTTCTCGTGAAAGAGATCTTATCATTTCTATAACTTATCGTGTGTAATATATACGTAAAAGGAGACTCTACGCCTCCATGTCATGGCTATATTCGCCGATATTGAAATATTTCATGAGCTCGATAGGACGTCGACATGTTCGCAAGTGATATAGAATGAAAGTACGATTTTTAGTGATAATGAAAAATTTCGGAGCGAAAAGTTCGGATATATAAAAATTTATGTACAAGATTCTTTCGAACTTTTAGCTTCATCCATTCTGTAGTCGCACATGTACTGTATAAACTAAAACGAAATCTGCGAAAAGTATACATATACCCTTCTTTCATGTACTTAATTACACTAATTTGTATTCTTTCACTTCTACGGTAACGATGAAATCAAACAGTTTTTACTAATGTACAATGAGTAGGTTTCATCAAAGAGCAACGAATTTTCATTAGGATTTTGCCACCGATATTTTTCATGTGAATTAATATTTTAATTATTTGCTTATATTACTTTTTAGTAATTTGCTTATGATGCTTTTACGCACTTTTTGTAATAAGTTAATTTAACATTCGATACATTTCCATTTTTACCTTTATAAATGTGTTCTTTGTATCACGCTCATAATTTCTACATTCCTTTAGTCTGTATACAAATATAACTATAGGCAACATTATTTATGTATAGTTTGAAAGTATCCATATCAATTAAACATTACTACATGCTCTTACTGGACATATGCAACATGCTCTTACTGGACAATGCACACATGCTCTAGGAAAAGTATTTATATATTTGTAAAAATATATAGTTATATCATCGCGTATTTTGAACTTGTACAAGCCTATTTGACAAACAAAAATTAATTAATATAATAAAAGAAGAAACGAATTAATATAGTTGCTAATTATGGTTGACATCGTTATGTGTAAAAACAGTTTATAAAAATTTCTGAACATATATCGTATTATTCGTTAACAAAGCTATTAATAAAAATATAATTGAAAAATATAGCGTTTGTGTTTCAAAAAATGCAAAATTAAAGTTTATTTAAAAATTACTTATTTGTAAATTTAAGAAATTATATCTTGCAAATCCATATTAAATTACAGTATTAATATAATATCAACTCTCTATTCTGGAGATGAATATAGGATTCTCTGCTTGAAGCATATATGTGATTTAAAAAATCCTCTGATGCTCTTTCTTTAAAAATATTTTATTCCCCCTATATTATATATAATTTTTATATCATCATCTAATATATATAATAAGTGAAATTTTCAACAATTTATTATAGCTTATGTTCGTTATGAAACATGTAGCTAACCAACTAAATATATTTTATGTAGCCTCTCCTAATTTTTCTCTTACTTATACTTGTATTTTTTACTCATTAAAGACCCTAGAGAGCATTCTATATAATGTTTCAATTCTTAAAAATAAAAATAAAGACGTTTTTTTATAAAGAGATAGATATTTTTACATAGTAACATATGTAGGAGCAAGAAGAACTCCGCAATTGTCGTCTTGTTGAGCCATTAGAATATATCCATCATTGCCCCAGTAATTCGACCAGGAGTTCTTTATCAGCCAATAACCCTTTCCATTCATAGTGCCGTATCCAACGGCCAAAACAGCGTGATCTAATGTATCTTCTGTATTGCCTTTTGAAAACCCAAAAACATAATAATTTAGTAAAGTTGTAAAAAATTTTTTAGAAGTAATAAAAATGTTAAAATCTCATACCACAAGTTGGATCGTAATACACTCCGTGAGAATAAAAAGAGAATGTCTTGTGAGAGGCATCGATAGCAACGGAAATAGGACCATGCTTAGCAATGGCGATCTTCAAAGCATCTACGTTACGTGGAGTAACATTGACGAATCCCTTGATCTTAGCAGTCAATGTTACATTATTTACATGACAGAATCCATCCTAAAAAGAATCATTTTCACAATATTTTCTGTTTTGTATGTCCAAATTATAATCAGATAAATTTCAATCTGCACACAATAAATATAATCGAATAATTTACCTGTCCCAAGTAACTACCATAATCGTCTTCGGTAGGTAAACCACCATGTTTCATGATCCATTGATATGAACGGAAATCTTCTCCACCGTCGCATCCGTTATTACCATAGCCCCACGAACAATCAATAAGAGCCTAACATTTATACTTCAATATTATTATCTATATAGCATATATTAGCATTAAAAATTTACTAAATAAAATAAAGGTCGCGCACATAACAAAATAATAACAATTTTTCAATTCTGATAATGATTATGAATTGCTTACCTGTTGGGACAGACGTACTAACTTATTATACTTCAGATAGTATGCACCTTCTATTGTTCCAGTGGTACCAAAACTCCAACAAGAACCACAAACTGATTGATCTGTTTAAATAAAATACATTAGACACGTACATATAATGTTAAAGCGCAATATTGTTCATGAACAAACCTTTGACTGGTGTCACAGCACCATACAATCGCCAATCTATACTGTCGGGAACATCTGCAATTTCTTTTTCAATATCATGTGGGAATGATGCACCACCATTGTAACCCGGAGTGTATTGCTTGCCTCGTAAAGCTTTTAATTCAAGATCATTGCGATCTGCCAAATAATTTACTTCTAACTGATAGCCTAAATTGGCGCGATTTATAGAATGAATATATCTAAAAAATTTTACATAAAATAACAGTTTTTGCAATTGTACACAATGTATATGTATATTCTCTATGTGGCAGAACTATACCTTATATTTTGTCTAAATAGTTCTTTGCGATATATATGATCCAAGTCATTCTTGTAATATTTCTTATGAGTTTTTTTGAATGTATCAAAAGCTTCATGCAAATGATCCTCATAGTTATGAACAAATTCACGCATTGGATTAAAAGTATATATGTGTTTTTCACCTGGTCCTGGGAAGCTAATGCATGTTGCATCTGCAAATAATAAGTAATATCCATTATAATTAAATTTGATATAAAAAATATTACTGATATTACAAAAAAAATTTTTATATCAAGACAGACATCTATAAAAATTAATATAAGAATTATTTTACATACTTTCTGTGATTTGAAAAACGTCGTCAGAAGGTTTATCAAAAGAATACCAATCATACTCCAAATAATAATGATCATAATGCGAGCCTAAGAGACTATTAAATCCTCTCATTTCATATCTAACAGGAATAGGTTCTTTAACTTGCGGTAAAGATGGTGATTTCTGTAAAGGCCATTTTTCTTTTTATATATACTGCAGATATTATTTTATAGATATACAAATAATTCATTTCCTACTTTATAACGAATCCAGAGTGTATATTTGTTCGTTTTTCCTCCAATTTCTTGTACAAGCCGCCATTTCTCGCACGACAATCCATTGATCATCTCTTCACCAATGCACTACATATAAATTTTATTTTATTAAGTTTTACTATCATTATATTAATTATATTAAAAACATGTTAAATACATATATTTTTCATAAACATATTTATAAAATCAGATTTACAAATATGTCTTTTACCTCCATTTCAGAAGCATCTGGAACAATAGATTGAGGCTGTATCTTGAGATTGATAGTGCCATTTACTTGAAGACATGTTTCTTTATTATTAACAGTTTCAGTGGTAACAGGGGCTATTTTTATGCTGGCACCAAATTCCCCTTTATGTGACAATTGAAAAGTCTTGACCATTCCTGTCAAATAAAGAACAATAGATTTATGTGCATTTATATGCATCATACATTATATATGTTGTGTGTTTGTGTATATGTATACATACATATAAAATATAGTCTATATCTAAATCAAAAATAGATAAATAATGAATAAAAATATGTAAGTTGGTTTCCAAAATACCTCCATAGTAATCAATTCGACTAGATCCACTGCTGCCATCATACCATGCATAAAAAGGCTCTCGAATTTCTGCATATGGTATATACAAAGTTCCTTTTACCGTGTATGTTTTGCTGAATGTTGGTGCTAAAATTGGTGTTTTTGTGGAAAGCGCTGCTGCACAACATATCCCTATATAAAATTTAAAAATATATTAAAATAAAAAAAAATATATTAATTGAAAAAATAAATTAAGAATATTAGATATGTATTACCTACCACAAAATATTAAAAATATGCTACTCCTAAAGTTAGACATTTTCCTTGTATTTCTGAAATTTACAATGAATATATTTTCTTATCCATTTATATATATTTATAGATATATGCATTTATCATTCTGATAACACAGTTGAGATTAATAAGACATTGATTGATGAATGGATATATATAGTATACACTAATAAAATTAATATGTATATTATTGCATTTTTTTATGTAATAAAAAAAGATAATAAAAAAAGGCACATTATTGCAACAATGGATATTATCGCAATAGCAGATAATATTTATCAGGAAAAAAAATTGTAATCCACAAGTTTATATTGTACATAGATATATAATATAAAATTGAAATATATACATTGAAAATTGAAATATATACATGTATTATGTGTTAGTTTATGAAATCCAGATAAGCCTATTAATCATATTGTTGTCATGTGACTAATATAATTAACTCTAAAAGTGACTTATCAGAAGGCTTATAAGCCACTTTTAGAGGCACTTTTATCGATAAAAGAGAATTCAGAATATGGACCATTGTTGCCATATTGCCAACAATTGTATTGTCAATGTTATTGTCAATAATTATTGGCAATGACAGCAACTTTTTAGACAATTGCTATTTCTCTAACAATTGCTATGCCTTATAGACAATTGCCTATCTGGGAATAAATTTATATTGTGAATGTAAAAGTAGAAAAAAATGAAAATATCAAAGAATTACATAGGTTGAAATTATTTTTTCTTTTTAAAATTATCATTACTGTTAAAGAGATATAACTGTTAAATATAATAACATTATTCGAGTTATATTTTTTTTATATTCTATTTATCAGATTTTAATATCTTTATATCCAAAGGCAATTTTCGATTTTCATAAATAATTGTTTCACTTGAGAAATATTCAAATTTCAAACTAGAATACATTTTGTGAAATATGCATATGCAAAATTGGAAATACGTCTAGCGATTAGATTAATAATAAAGAAAAAAAATCAGTGAAAAGATTACACTTATTATATATCTCATTCAAAAATGCATAGCATAATGATAAAAATAATACAATTAAAAAGTAATGTCACTTAAATTAAAAACATATGTGTCGTAAGATTTACCTCAATTGCCACGCAATAAGATTCGCCTTTCGTTGAGAAGACAAGAACAATGGAAAAATACGATAGAATATGATGCTTTATTATCTGCTCGCATTCGCAGAACTTCGAATGACTTCGAAGAAATCTAGAAAAAAAACTCTCGCTTTGTATATAAACATGAGAGACTATTTGTTACTAGACTAGTGATTCGTGAATAATTTAGAAAGAGACAAGCATGCTTTCTTTCACTCTAACTAATTGCACTAGTGCAGCAGTGCAGCTGAAAAGACAGACCCAATGACATCCATATGTTCCACTAGCATTGCATGTTGTATTTTGTATAAAGCATAGTTCATACACTATCAATTAATTTTTGCCATACGTTTCCAATGGAAATAATCAAAATTAATAATTATAATAATCGGTTGTCACAATTGATTTTTGCCTAGAGTGTTTATCTAAGTTCAACTTGGAGATTTATCATGTGCCATGTCACAGCGTATTAAAGTTATTCAATTATACAAAACGGTAATATAATAATATTGTTATAAAATTAATACTATATTAAATGAGATATATTGACCATATATGTATTATTAAATTGTATAACTGTGTATATTATATATTTTAATAATACATATGTTCAATGCATAATACCTCAGTTTAATGAGCAATATATTTTAATATTAATTTTGTAACAATAACACAATTTTAGAACTTAATTTCTGTATTAGTTTTGTTTATAATTTCTTCTCTTATTGCATTTTTTTCTTTTTTTTCAGCTATTATATATGGGCAGAGATTATCCAAAGGGATATGAATATTTCAGGACTAAATTGAGGAGAGCCTTTGATAAGAACAAAACAGAAACTGATCCTGAAAAAATAGATAAAATGATAGGACATGGTAATTTTGTAATAAAAGAATTAGAAGCTTTATACATGTTGCGCAAATACAGAACTTTGAAGAGAAGATATTATGACTAATAACAGAGAAAGAAGAAACTTAGATAATATTGTATAAATATTGTATTAATCGTATAAACATTGTATAATCAATGCATTATCATTTTTATAAATTAGAATTATTGAATTGTAATATATGTATATACATATACAAATTTTTTATATATACATATTTGTATACCATGTTACAGTAATGTATATAAATAAACCTTAATATTTACCTTTTATATTTTTTATTATAATTTCTCCATAAAAAAATAGCAATTATTTATTTAAATGATTACATGCATACATTAATGCAGTCACTCTAACCTAGTATCGTTACAATCTATGGAATGTTTACGTCCGCAATTATTTTCATCTAAAAATATATTCGACAGAAAATGTGTGACATATTAGAATAAATTTTTTTTATTGCAATTTCCTAGAATCTCCTAAAATGGCCGCTTGCGTAGCTGTAATCGGCAAAGATGCAAGTATACGTTTTTCTCGAATTTACAGGTTACGATTAATTAAGATAAGCAAAATTTCTTTTTCAATTTAGTGTAAAATGTGTACATATTCAAATATATCTTTATAATCGTGTGTTCCTCTTCTAGCTTTACAAATTATGCGATTAATTTATAAATATTTTGCAGAACTCTCCAAAATACATCAAGTGTGCAGATGAAGCCTCTGCCCTGCAATTTCATTATAAAGTGCACACATCAATTGATATTATAGAAGAGAAATTAAATGTAGGAAATAAAACGACAGTTGATATACGCGACTTATACTTGGGCTTGTTGTTTGCAACTGAGGAATATAAAATGTACGTAATATCGCACATACAAACAGTATCATTCTTTATGAGAGATGCAAATTAATATTACATATTAACATTTGTTTTTAGATATGGTTATGCGACTAATACAAAAATTAAGTTTGTAATAGTATTACAATCATCCAATGTATCGTTAAGGGATAATGAAGTGAAAATGGTAATGCTCCATTTCTTTCTTTCATATTTCATGAGTTTAGATATAGTAAGATAATTTATAAATCATATTTGTGTAATCTACTTAATAACTTCTGATAAACAGATTTTCAAGAAGTTACATGCTGCATATTCCAATGCTGTTTGCAACCCATTTTACATTCCAGGTGATCAAATAACTTCTAAGTAAGTATACTTGCATTTTTCGGTCTATCATATATATGTTATAAATAAGATGAGATATATTATATAATATATACTTGTTTTTTTTTTAGATCATTCAATACGTCAGTGCTGGAAATAATGGGTGTTATATAATCTCCTGTAGAGATATTAAAAAAATAACCCAATAAAAACACAAGCTGCAATTAAACAAAACAGCTGCATTATATGAGAATACTCTATAATAAATAACTTTGTATAATTCTATAAAATGTTCGGGACACTTAACTATTTCTTAAATTTCCATATTTATTTAGCTTTATCATGCAACTGAAAAGATACAAAAAATGAATACTACTGCATAAATACTCCAATTTTAAAAAATTTTTTATATACATGTCTGCCCCTTAATAAATATATATTTATAATTGAATTATAATTTTTATTATTGTTACTAAAATTTAGTATTCATATATGGCAAACAATTTTGATATAGTTTGACGTAATAATTACATAAAATTTTTCCCTTTCTTCTGATCTTTTATAAGTAATATATCTTGATCAATTATAGTAATTTTTAGACACGAAATTTCTATCTACATGATTTTTATTATTGATACCATGTTTCTGTTTCTTATTTGCCTTCTTACCTGCACTTAATTATCTCTTTCTGTTAGACGCATATCGTTTCAATTCACCTGATTTACCCGTGTTCAAATCGCCATAAAAGGAATTAAATTCAGAATTTGATTGTGTGTGACGCGCTAAAAAGCAAATCACGCCTTTATACGATCGAATACACAAGAGCTCTCAAGATCCTTTCCGATTGGTCTATTTCTCCCTCCGTCATTTTATTCGTGTTTCTAATTCGTTCTTACGTCTTGACGTCCGCGTGCCAGCGAATCATCGGCAAGAAGAATAAATCGAACGTTTCATAGAAATGGGTCGAAGGTGCAGGTCGCGTGGCGGTAGCTGTCTGAATTGTGAATGATTACATTTGTCGCCATTGCCTCTGTTCATTCGAGGAACGTACGACGATCGTTTTCATTTCTCTACGAAATTTGCGTGATTCTCTTGCAGAAAAATATAAAACGTTCCTCATATTAATTTACAATGGTAAGTAACATGCGCGGTCTCGTAATCTTTCTCTCTTTAAAATTGGAGTAAATGATAGGTTCCTCAATGGGTGAGGAACCCGGTCTCCTGGAAGCATGACGAATGGCGCATGTATTTCGTCGAAATAGCAGGAGAAAAACTTGTGCGATAATTTAAATTACATTATAACACTACACGATGTGATATTCAAGAATTAAGATTTTCAATTTTTTTTTTTAATCAATTGTCAATAAATAAATTATTTACCAAATTGTTCCAAGGTCTCCTTGAATCCAGTGCGGATCCTTAAACATGAAGCTGGAGAAGAAAAGGCAGAGATTGCTAGATTAAGCTCGTTTGTTGGAGCCATAGCTATTGGAGATCTAGTGAAATCCACCCTGGGTCCTAAGGGTATGGATAAAATACTTGTATCTCATGGAAGATCCGCAGGGCAAGTACAAGTTACTAACGATGGTGCTACCATCCTTAAGAGTATCGGCGTTGATAATCCTGCTGCTAAAATTTTGGTAGACATGTCTCGTGTTCAAGATGATGAAGTAGGAGATGGCACTACTTCGGTCACTGTTCTTGGTACATACAATATTATTTATTTGAATTTATTAATATTAATCTTAAACATTACTTGATTTTGCGCCTTTTTGCAGCTGCTGAACTCTTACGAGAAGCAGAAAAATTGATTGAAAACCAAAAGATTCACCCGCAGACTATTATCAGTGGGTGGAGAAACGCTACCAATGTAGCAATGGAAGCTCTAACTAATGCATCAGCAAACAATTCGGCGGACCCTGAACGTTTCCGTGAGGATTTACTGAGCATCGCACGTACAACATTGAGCTCCAAGATCTTATCGCAACATAAGGAACATTTTAGCAAACTCTCAGTTGACGCGGTGTTACGACTTAAGGGTTCCGGTAATTTGTCTGCTATTCAAATTATAAAGAAACGTGGCGCGACACTCGCTGATTCGTTCTTGGATGAAGGCTTCTTATTGGATAAAAAGCCTGGCGTTCATCAACCACAAAAAGTTAGCGACGCAAAAATACTTATCGCTAATACACCTATGGACACAGACAAAATTAAGGTATACACTTCTATTATACGGAGTGTCCGGAAAATCGCCCGCGGTACTTCGGCGAGTGATTCGGGACTCAAAAAGAAGGGAAAAAATTTAAATTTTAAATGTAAATTTTTTTCCTATATTTTTTTTCTCAATTACCTAAATGACTAACATTGTATGCATATTTGTTTGCAGGTATTTGGTTCCAGAGTTCGCGTGGATTCGATGGCAAAAATTGCAGAATTAGAAGCTGCGGAGAAAGAAAAGATGAAGGTAAAATTTGCATCAATTTTTTTCATGCATATTCCTAAATTTATAATCAATAATCTCTATATTTGATTTTAGGATAAGGTCGACAAGATCTTGAAGCATGGATGCAACGTTTTCATCAATAGACAATTGATTTACAATTATCCAGAACAATTGTTTGCCGATGCTGGAATTATGGCTATCGAGCATGCAGATTTCGACGGTATCGAGAGACTAGCACTCGTTACCGGCGGCGAAATAGTCAGTACTTTTGACAATCCAGATTTAGTCAAGCTTGGAAAGTGCGATCTTATCGAGCAGGTAAGCTATCCACTTATTTTTCTTTTTTTCTTACAACTCAATATTTGATATGTATTTACATTAATAAGCATTATATAACTAACATATTAACACAAAACACACATACAAATTATATATATTATATATTTAATTGATACATATATTCTTTATGTTACATAGGTCATGATAGGAGAAGATACACTTCTGAGATTCTCCGGAGTTTCATTAGGTGAAGCATGCACCATTGTTATTCGTGGTGCGACCCAGCAGATCATCGATGAAGCTGAGAGGTCGTTACACGACGCACTCTGCGTCTTGACCGCTACAGTGCGCGAGTCGAGGATAGTCTATGGCGGCGGATGCAGCGAGATGATCATGGCTTGTGCCGTTATGCGCGCGGCCGCTTCCACGCCAGGTAAGGAAGCTGTTGCAATGGAAGCATTCGCACGGGCGTTGCAGCAATTGCCAACCGTTATCGCTGACAATGCTGGCTATGACTCTGCGCAACTAATTAGTGAACTGAGAGCTGCGCATAATTCCGGTAACAACACCATGGGATTAGGCAAGTTTTTAACTATTTCCATTACTATGTTTATCAATTATGATATATAATATATCGTATGTGTGTGTATGTAGGAATAATTTTCATGACTAAATTGAATTTATTGCATCTTGCAGATATGGAATTGGGTAAAATTGGTTGCATGAAGCGTCTAGGAATCACCGAATCTTGGGTAGTAAAAAGACAAGTTCTCGTGAGCGCAGCCGAAGCAGCGGAAATGATATTGCGTGTAGATAATATTTTGCGCGCGGCTCCTAGAAAACGCACTCAAGATAGAGGACGTTGTTAATCGTTATTTAAAAATAAAGAATTTTTATTTTTCGCTTCGGTTTGCGATACTTTCACATGCTATTACCATTGCCATTACTTATTCATGCAATCTCTAAAATTAACATGTTTAAATAAAAAGATCTTTAATACTATTAAATTACTATTATTAAAGTATTATTTCATTGCACATTAGTTTCTCTTTTCATGATGCTATATGATATTTGATACTAATGTACTAATTATCACAGTAAGCAGAATATATCATCCATATTGCTTTAAATATGTGTTATATTTCTATAACAATGATATTTTATTTCTCCCGATTTCTCAAACAAGATATACAATAAGTAAAACTTTTCTATATTGAGACTTTATAACAATACAATAGATTCAACATGAATAAATGCTTTACATTAAAAAATATTTATATAATATTTTGTATCAATATATACTATAATGATATACTTTAGTCACATATTTTTTTATACATCTTTTTATAATAAAAAATACAGGATTAAATGAATTATTTTTTAGTCATAAAAAAATTATTTATTCTATGTAAATTTAATTTTTCACTGTTTTAAAATCGTATCTTTAAAATCGGATTTCGTTTGCCACTTTTGTGAATAAAAAAAAAAAAAATAAAAAGTTTTTGATATTTTTTTTTCTAAAATTATAAGGAGACATCTTTTCCCTCCTTATATAGCATAGTTACATTTTGATATATTTTTAACGCTTAGTTACACTAGTTATGCAATACTGTTTGAGTTGTCTTCACAGATAAATTTTAATGGAAAGTTAGCAGATAAATCTTTGATTGGCATCAAATCATTCAATATCTATCATAATTAATGTAAAGCGGATTATATACATTCAGCCAAACGTACTTACCCCTGACTTTATTGAGGTACTAAAAGCAAAGCAAATCTTTGCCAGATGTAAGTTTTCTACAATGATCTGCATGACAAATCAATTAATATGCGAATCGTAATTTACTATCATAACCAAGTTTATCGAGATTCGGAGTGCAAGCAAAATTGATCATCGGAGGTGGACCACACATCAGTACAATGGTATCTGATGATGGTGGAAACATATGTTTCTCTATCATATCAGCGCTAATATATCCTGTGCTATAAGACCATCCTTCGCTACTTGTGTCTAATGTGTACCAAAGTTTCAATTTATTCGGGTATTTTTTGGCGATATCGTCTAATTCGTCTTGTAACAGGATATCTTTCTCAGTTTGATTGGCAAACAACAAGGAAGTTTGAGTTTCGTCTGTAGGGTCCTTTATTATCGCACGGATTAACTGTAACATCGGTGTAATGCCTGTACCACCAGCGATCATGACAATCTATACAGAAAAAAAAATGTAGATTTATTATACATTCCTTTAAAAAATACATAAAATTGCTTTTAATGATAATAAGAATACAAATTTATATAGCAATAATCGTGTTTAATATATGAGATATATTTGCCTTTTTAACATTATATTCCACAGGTGGTTCTTTCCTAAGAAGTTTTATGGAGACCTTTCCATTTCCTTTGTAAATCAGTCTACCAGATGGACCTCTAAAATCAATGGCATCTCCTATTTCCATGTTTTCCAAATATTGAGACAATTTTCCCCCTTCTGGGAATTTTGGATGTACATTCTTAAAATATACCTAAAAAATATGATTATATGTATGAATAAAAATATATTATTATTTTTTTAGATTATAACTAATTTAACAATTCAATTATTTACTTTGATGACAAGATCCACATAGCCATGATCATCATCACTTGAAACAGGTGTGTATGATCGTATCACAACCTCTTCTCCGATTCTTGCTGTTAAATGTACATGCTGACCAATAGGTAGACCCAGAACATGATCCGGTGTTGGTAATCCGAATCTAAACCTTCTTGTATCATGACTTATTATATCTTTTTGGATTAAAGGTAAACTATACTTGACTACTGGATCAACCAGTAGTATTGGAGATTTTTTCCTTTTTTCACTCCAAGATTTATATATTTTAAATGCGACTCCTATAACAATTATTGTTCCTACTGCAGCCAAGACTGGGAGCACCTAGAAATATAAATTTTCATTTGAATATATACACAATATCTTTACAATTTTGACTCATAGAACTTGTGTGTGACTTTTACAACATAAATTTGTCTACTTTAAATTTTAGATGTAGATTCTAATGAAAGTTTTCAGATTAATAGTTTCAAGAATGTGAATGAATAAACGCTTTACATATTTTCTAGAATTAATATAAAAATAAATAAAATTTTCACAGATATATAATATCTACAAACTAGATAAAAAAAAATCCTTCTTTTTTACATATCAATAAATTGCTATAAATCCGAACTTATCGTCATAAAAAAGATTATCACGCTAAGATATAAAATATCGCTCGATGTTCTTCAGGATGTTCGCGAGATCACAAGCGAGTCCTCGGTTTCGATCGAAATCGACCACTTACCAACGCTCGTACGTTTTGCATCGCGATGGACCCGGCGAACCACGTGGACCCGAAGCGCGCGAGCGAAAGAGAGGTTAAAGAGCAAGGGACGCAAGGACGCGAATTACAAAATTTCGGCGATGAGGTGATCTCGCGAGATCGGAGAGCCTATGACTATTTGCGAATAGATAGTTGATGCTCGACGCTAGTCTCGCCGTCTAAGACTGGTTTAGGCGGCCATAGGGTCAATGGGACACGCGGACCCACTCCAATCCGTTAAAATAGACTCGGCTTCTCGCGTTTTCGGAATAGAATCATTAGGCACGTGTATTTATAGTCGCGTCACAAGAAGCATTATGTATTACGTTAAGGGACGTGTCTTTCTGTCATCGACCGATCCGTCGTACTCCGGCAGATCGTGTCGCATATCAGACATATCTTTCGCACTTTTGCGCAGTCAGCGAAGTAACGTAAAGAATTCGGCCTTCGCTCGTTTACAGTCGTGCCTCGTTTCGTCTCTCTTTCCTATATTCCGATTGTATGCTTATTTCGACATGTACTTCTTCATATGAATAAACAACAAATTCAATGGCACGGAACAAATAACAGTTTGATATAATTAATGTATAATTATGATGTAGAAAGTACGACTTTTGATTTCGTATTAGTAAAGAACGATATCTCGATTAGCATATCAATTATATGTTAAGTGCTCTTGTATATTGCCTACGGATGTATAGAAACAAGAATTTTTATTTTTACTCCAACATAATTAATTCATCATTTTTTTATATCATATGCATATCAAGATATTTATCTCAAATGTGCTTCAGTGCGTCAAGATTTAACGATATGCGAACGCAAAATATATAGAATATAGAATATAATATATATAGAATATATAGAATATAATATATAGAATATTCAACATCGATTTCATTTTTAACAATTGTTGCTTAATTTTTAATAACTATCAAAAAATTGGAGCAGTAAGCGATTATTATAGAATTTGAATCAAGTTTCAGAGAGATGCAAATATATCGCGATATTTTTTATATCCTTCAATTATTTCTTAATCTCAAGAGATTAATAGAATATTGATATGAAACTTACTTGCCAGAAAAAGGAAGATTAAGAATTGAAATTTTAAAGTAAAAAACGATTTCTATTTTAATTTCTAAGACAAGTAATTTCGAGATTTAAACAAATGATGTTACTCTCTCTGTCTGTTCAAGTATCATTCAAATATATTGCATATATCCAAAACGCGATTATTTATTTAAGATTTATTTTGTCATGTTTCTATGACATTGAAAATGAAAATCACTGAAAGTCACATTTGAGTGATTCTTATCTTATCTATTAGATATAAAATATATATATACATACTTCAGAATCTGTTGTCATGTTTATATTCTTAATCACAATTCTTCTTCACACATGAGAAAATACGCGCACAACTTTTACAAACTTCCAAACGTGGAGCTGCTTCATGTGTTGTATCGTTTCAATTAATTAGTAAACCGCTTATTTAAACCGCAGATTTACAAAGGACAAGTAATCGAGATGAATAAGAAGTAAAGAATCGACGTATCCTCAAATAAGTTGAGAGATGAACGAGACGTCGCATATATAGATTGATTGTTGCATGCCAGTAGCGTAAACACGTTAAATTTGCCCGCTTTTTTCTGGAAAAAAAAAAAAAAAAAAAATAGAAATAATAATAAAGTGAGTTCTTTTAGATGCAATCTCCATCTCAAATTATTTTATCTCTTATATTGAACAAATAGTTATATGTACGTGTGATCTTAATAATATTAAATTAATTGTATTAAAAGACATACGTTAAAAATGTAAAAAAAATTGCAGGAACGATATATTAATGCGAATAAAAAAATCTATTTTCTTTATTTTATACTTTCTTTCCTTTTTTTTATTCTTCCTTTATTTTGGGCTTTTCAGCAAGTGACACAGAGAACAGTGCATCACTTTATCTTTGTTGGTTGCCGAAAGAATGAAATGACTTATTGTGTTACCACTGTGTCCTCTGTGTCGTTTGCTGAAAACCCTTTGTCCTTATATTGATGTTTTCCTTTTTTTCGTTATTCGATTTCTTTTTTCCAGAGAATCAATGTCACGTGCACGGTGTTTGCGAGATACGAGACTGTCATCCGATAACATCAGACGTTCGTCATACACGAGATTTCATTGGTCGTCGATAATCGGCGCCTTCGCTACTCGGTGCCTTCTTTTCCATCACACTGTTCAAGGATCACTTATAATTGTTGATGTCCCGGGAAGAGGCGTATATCGCGATCTTTATCGCAATGACACGAGAAATACGTAACAGGTCATTGTAAATCGCTGAATAATGCAATATTACAAAATTTTTACGTTTACTTTTTGGTATCAAATACCTTCCCAGACAGCACACATGTCCAAAAGACATCTAAAAGACTACTTAAAGACGTCTTTTGGCCTTTTTGTGCTGTATGGGTTATTGGAGAATTATTCTAATTGCTATAGTATTATTTAAAACATGTACCTTGTAAAAAGTGAATCAGATATAGTATTATTATTAAAGAAAAACTAAAGTTTTTTTTTACTAAAATTTTTTTACTAAAGTTTTCTTTACTAAAGAAATCTTTGATAATCCTTTCCAAAGATTAACATATTAAATTTTATTTTCTTCTTTTCTCGTTGTATTTTTCATTTTCATGCTGATGTTTTCTATTCCTTTTTTTTCTCTTCGAAGTTTCAATACATATTTTTTATCCAAAATGTAAACAATGGCCGGTATTCATAGTCCGATCTTATATTTGAGATCGTCTTAAGTTCGAGCTTGAAATGCTACGCAGCTGTTTGATTGGTTAAATGAGGTCTTAGATCAACCTCGGACCAGACTTAAGACAATCTTAAATATAAGATCGGACTATGAATACCGGCCAATATAAATAAAAAATTTAATTTTTCTTTTTTTTGTAGACGTACACTGCGCGACAACGATTCATTCCTTGGCCCCTCTCTCGCGGGGCAAGGGGAACGTAGAAGTGACCAATCAAATGGCAGCGTGGCAATGGCTGATTGGTTAGAAGCTACGCTCCCCTTGCCTCGCGAGAGGGACCGTGGAACGAATCGTTGTCGCGCAGTGTACACATTTTAGTTTCGAAAATTATCGAACCTGCAGTGTCATCTTACGGTGTTCTAAAACATTGTAAAGACAAAATCTAAAACTATATCGATAAAATAGAGAGTGATCGAAAATAACATGATCCACCAACATGTAAATATGTTATTGTCATTTCGTTGGCTGTAAAAAATTAGAAACTGTCAAATATCGATTATGCATAAATGCATCTTTTCGAAATTTTGCACTATTAATTGTCTTCCATGGCGGTTTTGCATCGTGCCTTGTTTACGTGGTTCAATTTGCTCATATTTTTGATCCTGCTGGTTCTGAGGCTTGATCAAAGAATACAATGGAATTGGTTTATTGTTTTCATTCCAATGTGGCTGTACGACAACATTCTTCTTATTTACATCGTTTTCAACATGATCTCACACTGCAAGAATGGACGTGTCAATAGTTTGCACAGAGAGGCAAGTATTTTCATACTAATTTTCAAGTCGCAGTTTAGCAAGATGTACAATTCTTTTGTACAGTCAAAAACTATAATTTGTTTTTAACATACAGTTTACAAAAACAGATTGTTTTACAGAAATATAAAGATGTGATACAACGTGATAATGTTATAAAGAACACAGAAATTTAATAAATTTAGTTTTACTTAAAAAAAGAAAATATGTCTCAGTAATATTATTGTTTCAGGCATGGTATATGACAGCTGTGCTTCTGAAACTATGTGCTCAGATTCTGATTTGTTTGAAATCGGAGGCACCTCACTGGTCTCTACCAGCCAAAGTAGTATTGGCGCCCTTCTGGCTACTCCTTCCAGCACTAGCAACCGATGTTTTTATCCATTTGATACATCAATCTAGATATTGATAATGGACAAATTCCAGTTTGCTTCAAGTTACCCAAGGACTTGTGCATATAATTATACTAACAAAGTATTAGCTTATCAATATTATTATTATTTGCTGTATAAAATCAAATATACAATTACATATATGCTTATTGCTTTTATAAATGATTTAATTTTTATTCCAACACTTTACTGGATAATAAAGCACTATGTGTTATCACAAATATTAATTTATATTGATTATATCGAAATATATAAACTATTTAATTTAAATAAAATATTTAATTCTAGTTTTTTTCTGCAAAGAATCAGTAGTGGCTTTATAGCAAGATCTGAGAACAAGATGTAATAGTCACAATGAACAAGATATAATAGTTGCAAGGTATAAATCTAGTCTACTATAAATACTTGAGTATTACAAGGCCAAATAGGACAGAGTTATAAATAAGCAACTCTATGGCAGTGCTTGTCGTAGCAATCCTCTCATCAGTAACTGAAAAAGCATCTTTTGATTTAAAATCACAAATTTATGCTGGTGCTGTAACTAGTGAGTCCATTTACGTAGAAAAAAATTAAGAGCAGTAAACAAGTACATATAACAATTGCTGTTATGATTACGCAACATCGTTAACTTCGTTAAGAAAAGCCTTTTGCCTCTTGAATTGTGTATTGAATGATCATTGTGACAAACATCTGTGAAGAATAGACTGGTTTCACGGTATTAACAGCTGTAAGAGAAAAAAACGATCAATGTAATTAGACTATAATTATGGAATTAATGAGGAAAAGACAGCAACATCTGACAGTCTGCTAATATTAGTCTTGGCAAAATACAGCAATTTTATATACTTCTATAAGTTTGACATTTTTTGTTTTTTTTTGCATATATAATTTATATAAAAATATATATTTTTTTTGTATGATTCTTTTCATAATTATCAATCTCGAAATAAAATAAAGATATATATTAAATAGCCATTATTATAAGGAGAAATATATCTTTAATCTATAAAATCTCAGCATTATTTTGTGTGTAATTGATAGAATAAACTACTATTTTTTTATTGATTTCTAGATAACAATGTGGTTTTTTATACTTTTTTATTTATCATTCATATTACGAAAATCTGAAACTGCAAGTGATGTAATAGTGAAAGAAGTATCAGCTGGACACTTGGCTGAGCTTCCATGCTCAAGTATTGACGAATATCATCGTTTTATGATGTGGCAATTTGGAAATAATGACCAGATCATTAGTCCAGGAAATCCTTTCAATGAAAAGAAATATAATTATGAAGTGTTGACTGGCACACTCCTGATAAGGGTAAGTTTTCAGATATTTTCAGTTATTTCAGATTTTCTTTTTTTCGAAAATATTTTTATATTATGTTTATAGGGTGTTTCAACTGCAGAATCTGGCTTTTATAAATGTATTTCAAGAGGTTTAAATGATGAGTCTAAATTAAAAATTGGTTCTATTGAATTAATAGTCAAAAATGATTGGGAGAAACTTTGGGAAAACGATTTTGAGGTACCTTAAAATATGAAATGTGTAAAAGTGCAAAATAATTTTATCTAATTCTATACTTAAATTTTATTTAAATTTATTTTGTCTAGACAAATCTGTTACGAGGAATGACTGCTGTTATGGTATTTGTGGTTGCTATAGCTGTCATACTTTTAATTATTATTGTTAAGAGAAAGAGAAGTCAAAGATTCTTTGGTAAATTTTTTTATAAATATCAATATACCTGAAAAGGAAGGATACATTTTCTTATACATAATTATCTTTCAATTATGTTTTCAGATCTAGAAGAGTCGAGAGAAAATTCTCCAACACGATATACGCCAAATAACACACCTGGTGTTTCATCAAGTACTGGAAATGTTGGAGTCGATAATGTTGCTGTTGAAATTGATTTCCCTAAAGTATTTAAACAAATGCAGAAAGAACAAGCAATGCCATAATGATTATAAAATAGGAATTATATTAGAAAATTTCCAGAGAACTTAGCCAAGTGTATCTTTAGTCTTGAACGTGCAATTTTCAACAGATTTTTCAATACTATATTATTGTACAAATAATATTTAGTTTATTTTTGCAATAAATTATAGAAATATATATGTATATCTCTGATAATATATAATTCTATACGTTATATTCTATGAGATATATATTTCTATAATTCTACATTATAATCTAAAATAAGTTTATAAATCAAGATTAGGAATAAATAAAGATTCTAAAATAAGAATTATAAATCAAGATTTTTTCAGTTGTTTAAACATTTATGTTTATATTTAATATCTAGAGTATTCATAATATATTATTTTTACATATTCTTTTGGATGTATAAATTCATCATATCTTAAATGCAAATCTTAATAATACTCTTATATAGAGATCAATACCTGTTACTTCTAGGATGATTTCATGTGGAATATTTCATGCTGAAGATAATGTGTATCCAATCTTCTAAGAGATATTTTTTATTTTCATAAACGTTACATGATCCAAATTGAAAAGTTTGAGTCTCTGAGCTTTTTCTAAAAGAAGAAAAGAGAGAAATAAGATAAATTTAACTATATCTCGTATTGAACAAGTACATTTTTTTTAAAAGCCGACTTCTAAAGACTAACTTTTCACATTATTAATTGCTAAAAAATTCATTTCTAGTGATCATAACATCGTCATCACTTCTGCGGGAAGCTAATGCTCCTCCACTTGTCTCACAATTAGCCATAACTTTAAATTTATCTTTTAATTACAGCAGTTAATTAATCAGTCATTGTACGTCTTGACTTTAATATATTTACAAGCACTTTATCATCACTATCGGTAATATTTCGCCCAACAGTTATCAACAGTTTACAATCTCTTTCTTCCTATATCCGCGGATAATTTCTTGATATGTGAAAACATTTTTTCAATAGAGATGGCGCTATCACAAAAATTGACGCGCTGGCATCGTTTTGAATTTAGCGCCAATATATCGGTACCTTTTCTTGAATTCATCGAGGTGTCGTCACGTCTTCGTGTTGCGTTAATTGTGCGTGTTATTTTCGTATTAAAGTAAATCAAAAAACGCAAATCATCGATAAATTACTGACAGAAACTTCGAGGAAGGTATCAATTTTCGAGCAAATGAACACAATTTATTATTTGTGATGTGCGACCGTTACTTCCATTTTGCAAAGGTAAGCTCATTTTAAAACGCATGGAAAATCCAAATTGAAAAGTTTGAGTTTCTGATCATTTTCTAAAAAAAAAAAAAGAGAGAAATAAGATAAATTTAACTATATCTCATATTGAACAGGTACATTTTTGTTAAAGCCGACTTTAGAAGAACCTTTCATATTACAAATTGCTAATAAATCCATTTCTAATGATCATAGCATTATCATCGTCACTTCTTCGGGAAGCTAATGTTCCTCCAGTTGTCTCGCAGACTTCCTCAAAGTTAGCCCCCACTTTGACTATTGGGAATTTTTTTTCAATTGTTTGGTGAAGATTTAAAATTGTTTACGATTTTCTGAAAAAAAAGGGAGATTATCAAAAATTTTGAATATTATACCAAATATTACTAATCAATCACCAAACGATTGGTGAAAAAAAAATTCCCAATAGTCAAAGTGGGGGGCTAACATTGAGCAGGTTATACTAATCATACGTACACTTCATGTGGATGTGTAACGTTAGGATCAATCGGCGGTAAATAATGACAATACACGCTCTTGAATTAAATTTCTCGCAAATTATCGCGATATTGATCCTATGGACGCGATGTATGCAGATTTGCAGAGGAATCGAGGCCGAAATTGATCTCGATGTGGAAGGAAGCGGATTTCATAGGTTAGAAAGATTGGATGGTGTATAAATGAACAATATTTGAGAATATTGTTGAAGTCTAGTATTTTTCGATTTTTTGCAGAACATTAATTTATCACGTATATTTCAAGGATCTTATCAATGACGACTGTCACACTGCCATTTACATGGAATTACCATCAGCATTGTATGTCAATGTCGATGAAGTAGCAGAATTGAGAAGAAGGGGCATGGTATGTACCTTAATTATACTAAATAATTGATAAATAATTTTGAAAAAATTATAATTTTACATCTTAATATATTGATTCATTTATATAAATTTAAAATTGCCGCACATTAAATGTTAAATATTATACTTTGAGACTGCAGTGACTATTAATAAAATTAAAGAGTATGTACAATATTGTTTCTGATTATTGTAAATCTTATGGAAATCTATATATTAGTTACATTAATTTTTTGTACAATTTACAATTTTTATATTTTTTTGTACAGTTTTTTTTACAGTTTTTATAAGTTTTATACAATTTTTTTACAATGTACATTAAAAATTATCTTTCTACATATTTCTTTTATTTACATTTAACAAATTAAAGATTGCTATTTGATGGCCTAATTAATGATACTAATTGTATATGTAATGATATTGCAGAGTACAATCTGTTCCGTAGGTGAGACTGATGTTGAATTATTCGCTGAGAAGGCTGGTCAGCAAAACGTGACGACTTGTTCATTCGTAAGTTCGTCATCGTCCAATTTAATGATTCCACTTCATCAGCGTTATCGATACGCCCATGAGTCCAATGGCTATGTCGACGCGATTGTACCCGAGCCAAAGCTGCTTCTGGGATGCCGGAAGAGGATCAGAGATCATAGAGTGTCCAAGATGGATTTATGTGAGCCATGCGTCAATCTGGCAATTAAATGGCGTGAAATTCCGTATCGTATGTTAAATGATCGTACATACGTGTGGTCGATACCAGTCGGAGATTCATCTCTCTCGACGTTCGTCACTTATGTCACATTATTGGCAACGATTATCGGCGCGATATTTATCGTACGTGCCATCCGGACCAATGTATCAAAGAATCATTCAAAGAAACAAGAGTGAGATAATTTGAGATTTAATATATAAATAGTTTTGTAATTCTAGAAATTTTGTTACTAGTTGTTCGAGATAAATTAAATATCCATCGTTTTTGTATGAAAATTTAAAAAGACTTTTTATATTATATAGTCTTATCCATATTTTTCAATTGTGATGTTAAATAATTTCGAGATTAAATTCGTTATTATCGATTAAGTTTATTTAAATTAAATTCTAAATTCAATTTAAATTGAATCTATTTGAATTGCAGCAAAATCTTGTTGCAAAGTCTACTGCAAGATTTCTATATACATTTGTCTCGATCAACATTCTCTTTATATCTACATTTTTATATATTTATATATTTATATATTTGAGCTTAATATGATAGCATTTATACGCAGCCTCTAGTCAAACTTTGACATAATGATATAATGAATAAGATAGAAGATTTAATCGACTATCACATGCATGATGATATATTCTAAGTCATTTAGAAGTTAGCGCGCAAATCACATATATCCACACATTTAAAATGAACACAGTTTTTAAAAAATAAAAATTAAAAGGCAAACAAGTGTTGTGTATGTTGCATAATTTCACGCTTTTCTATTTTGATTGTCAAGGAATTTTTTCGATGTTTCTTTCCTCCTGTATTGTCGCGACAGTCACTGGTGTCATCGATACTTTATGCACGATACTATCTCGTTTGCTTTTAATATCATCATTCCACTTTTGCACTTTGCTGGTGCCGAATAGGACAAAGATTAAATTGCCCACTATGTATATTCCAGCCGACAGGAAGAACACGCTTCGCCATTGCAAAATGTTAGTCTAAATAGAAGGAAACATGATTAAATTCATTATGATTTCACGAAGCAGGAAAATGCAATGAACAACGAAATCGAACATAAAATAAAACTTATTTTTGATATATAAATAAAGATTATGTAAAATATAAAAGAAATTATTCGGAGTATATTGCCAAAATAATTTTCATATTTGCATTTGAGTCAATCATTTTAGAAGTAACGTAATAAAATGCAGAAATATATAAAATATCGAGTGAAAATGTAATCATAAATAATTAAATTCATTTTTATACTTTTATAATAATAATAAGCTATAATGAATTCTAAGAAAAAGGATAAATTTATAACAACTTTAAATTGCCAAGAGAGAGTTCATCCGTTTAATATTATTTAATTTTTTAAATGTATAATCATAAAAATAAAAATACGAATGAGAGATTTTACGAACCGGATCTGTGACAATCACGCCGGCGATCAGCGGTGCGAGAATGCCGCAAGCAGCCGCTATGGCATTCGTGAATCCCATAAGCGGACCGGCAAAATTCGGACTGAGATCCATATGATTGACATTGTGGCCGCAGTAAGCAGCGATATTGCTGGCCACGGCGATGACGAGGATGCTCACGGCTAATTCCGGCTGATCCTGTCTCGTGTAACCCAGTCCGATCAACGCGATCGCCGGCGTCCACTGGCCAAGCGTGTTGCAGATCTTCCGTGACATTTGGGTCGACACAATGTTCCTCCGGATGCATATATCGGACACATAACTGATGGGGAAACTGACGATCCACGCTGTCAAGTATGGCAGTGCAGTCATCAAACCGTTCTATGCAATTATCACATAAGAAAAAAGAGGAATATTGATCAAAATTAATATTATACAAATTGAATTAACAGCAATTAACTCTAGTTTCATTAGTTTTGATTTTTGAATGTCGTATTATTTAATGTTTCTATTTTTTAATTTAATTTAAATTGTATTGACAAATATTAATGTTATTTTTTTTTAATAGCGAAAGAGGATTTTTTACAACATCAAAATTGAAGAGAAATTGAAAAATATTACCTTATGAAAATTTATGTATAAAGATATATTCACGATAATTTAGATATAAAAATATAATTATATACTCAAAGAACGCGCAATTAATATCACTGAATTCGATAGATAGATTAATTCTTTAATTTTTAAAATTTTATTTCTCATTCTTGCAGTCGTCATTGACTTGTTCATTGACAACACTAAGCTAATGTCCATGACATCCGTGACAATCCATTGACAAAAGCCTCGAGTTAGGTACATTAATAATTCTTGTATCGTCGACATAAACATTGAACTATTAATTAATATTCCAAATGCATCGTTCGCGATTTTCGCAGTCGAAACACGCGCGCGACTCGACCGAATTTCACAGTCTAAGGTTTATTCCGAAATTTTGCAAAAACACAACAGAAAAGACAGACTTAAATTCTATCTGAGATTACAAGAAACTCACTTTCTTGATGTCGAAATGCATGACCGAAGCCATATAGGACGGGATTTCCGTCAGCAGCATCCAGAATCCCCAGGATTGCGCGCATTGCGTCGCTAATAGTGCCCAAACTGGAAGACTCTTCAATATGGATATCCATGGAGTGGAAGGTTTCTAAAAATGAAAAAAGTTGTAGAGGACGAAATTTATCCCGCAAAATTCTCCTGAGCTTGAAAATTTTAATTTAAAAACTTAGAATTAGATTTTTCGCTTTTCCTTAAATGAAATCAAAGATTCTTAGTATTTTTGTATTAATTTATGTTAAGTTACTCATAAATATACGCAACATTGATTCATAATTTATATATTTAAAACTTTTCTTTTAATTATAAGATTTTTAAAATTGGACTAATTAAAAATTAATAAGTTTATATTGATCTTCAGAGTATGATGAATTTAACTGATGTGAATTTATTTCTTATTAATACATTGAAGGAATATGTTACCTCATCGACCTCTGTTGCTCCCAGGCTCATCTCGATATACTCCTTTTCATCGGAAGGTATACTGGCATGTTCAGAGGGCGAGTCCTTGCCAAATTTGTAAAAACTGATACCGCACAAGATGCTGCAGCTTCCCCAAACGTAAAAACAGCTGGGCCAGCCAATTGATGATGCTGAGAGGAAACCAGTACTCAACAAACATATTACGTTTCCAATCCAGCCACCGGAATAAACGAATGTTGCTAAAAAAGTGGAAAATATATTGCAAATATGATCTCTCAAAACAGATTTTTAATTTTTTCTTTGAGTCTTGTTTAAATTTTGAATACATTTCTTTTGAAATTTTCAAAAATTATCTTTGTCGTGAAAACTTTTTGATAGAAAAAAATTAAGAAAGAGACATTATATATCGAAAACCTTATAAAATAACGTATAAAATTTACTTGAGTTAAAAAAATATCTTTACCACGCGAACATATTAATTATAAAAAAAGTTCTTTTTTGTAAAACTTTTGTACTGAACGTGCAATCTTGACGTGCTTAATCGATTCGACAGATAAGAATTGTTTCTCTATTTATCTGTGTCAAACGTGCCTGGCAATTAAAAACAATGCATTATTATTCGAAAAATGTTAAACTAAAATTATTAACTTTACTTCATACAATTGATTAAAAAAAATTAATTCAGAAGAAATGAATCACAAATTAAGAATGAAAAAAACATAATGTGTCACAACGAAGTAAAATAAAATAAAAAATTAAGAGCCTTCGACTTTCATGAATCTTAGCATAAAGTAATTTAGAATACCAAAAAATTATTAGAAAAATATAACAAAATCGTAGGATTCGAGTAATTTGCTAGAATGCCATTCACCAAAGCCTTACTTTAATGTGCGACAATATTCTAAGAAATTTCTAATTTCTATTATATTTTATTAAAGGATTTTATTTTTAAAAATATGGAATGTTTTTGAGAAATGTAAATAAAATTAATCAAGTACATTCTAGTGGATTTTCAAAAATATTGAGAATATTTGACATTGAATACTTGTATACTTGAACTTGAATTAGAATGAAAATATACTTACGCATTCGTCACGCATTATTAAGTAAAAAAATCACGTACATAGTCTTCCACGTTCCTCGGGTGGCGACCACTTGGATAACAAGGTATGAAGACACGGTAGAGCGGCACCTTGAGCGAGGCCGCAAATTATTCTGGCAGCGATCATCGCCTGCCAGCCACCATAATGAGCGGCGAACGGACTGCCGAGGGTCAGCAGACCGGCGATGATAAGGGTCACCGAGAACAGTCCCTGGGCGCTCCATCGCTGGGTGATGATGCTCGCGGGTATTTGCGTGCAGGTGTAGCCCCAGAAGAAGGAACTGAGGATCATATGTTTGACCGATTCGCTCCAGGCAAACTCCTTTGGCAAGAGAGGGAATCGCTTTGATTAGAATCCGAGCAAAAGGCAATCTTAATTATTATACGTACTTCGAAATCGGGATTAGCGCTGTTTGCATTAGTCATCGCCTCCAGGGTCACCGAGGTCGTCACTCGGACAGCGTAACAGCAAAAGAAGCTCAAGCCCATGAGCATCACCTGCGTGTGTCTGCATCCGAATCGCGCTGCAAGGATTAATGTTAACATTATGGTATATAATAGATAATAGATAATAATTATACATTCTAATTATTTGAACCAGAGCACCCGAAAAACATTAATTTATTTTTATTAAAAAGTATTTATAAATTATTAATTTGTTGTCTAAAAATTATATGGAGATAAAAATATTAGGAATGGGTGGCGCAGAATAATAAATATAAAAACAAATACACAAAAAGGCAAGTAAGGCCACCGGTGTTAGAAATTGACGCAAAAAAAGGAAAATGAATTGTAAATACGTGTTAAATTACAATCATGTTAATAATTACGAAATACATTAATTAATGCAAACGTTTCGATCCTCTCCGGATCCTTTTCAATGCATATAATAATAATATAGAATAATCCGTTATGTAACGCACGTGAAAGAACATGTAATAATAATGTCAAATAATCCGTTAAGTAACGCCCGTGAAAGTTATGTCAAAATCGTCAACTACACTTTTTGAAATCTAAAAACAAATATGGTCATAGCGTAAACAGACAAAATTAATAAAATCAAATAATAATAAAATCAAAATTTCGCACAAAGAAAGACGAAAACAACGGTACGACACACGCAACATCGCTAAGGAATACGCAATAAAATATGTTGTCACAGAAAATTATATTTTTGAAAAATGTAACATACAACAATATAACATACAATATATCTAATGATATTCTTGATACTACCACGCTTAAAAATCTCTATATATTTTATTTAAAAAATGTTTTCTTAAAACTCTTGTTGCATTTTATTTTAATATATTACATTTTTAACATAAAATAATAACAAATTTAAAAATTAATAATAATAGTAATAGCACACATAAAAATTTTTGAATTTTTTAAAATTTCTAATTAACTTAATACATGTATAAATAAGATTTATACTTATCAATTATACGTGATTGTAATTTCTTTCTTGATTTTTAATTTTGTTTAATGACCAGTTTGTTGTAATGCCAATGATTATGTTTACATGAACATCACGTATAAACGCAAAATTGAATACAAATTATGTCATTGTCATTAAGATCGCGTTGCGTCAGTGATCGCACGCTCGGTGTTTGTAACGATTCATATAATGGAATCCAGCAACAATTACCTATTACGTCAGAAAATTCTGGTATGCGATCGATAAAATCTTAGTAAATCGTATTTATCCCACGATTTTTTTACTATTTTACTTCACGTTTAATCGCTTATAACCACGCGCAGAATGTGAATTAATTCTAATCGAATGTGAATTAATTTTAATTGCATAATATACTTCTTTTATTTGTAAAATGTGTCTTTTCTCCGGGTCATCTTGAAATATTCGGATTAGGAGAAAGCTGATGAAGGGTGGATTAAAAGAAAGAAATGAAAATGGCCCCTTGGAAAATTCTAATTGTTCTAATAATGCAAGAAAGAGTAAGATTTTTTTTACTGTTAAATTTTGTAAAATCACACAAATGCTTAACAATGGAATGCAACATGCTACTATTATCTACTATTATCATTACTACTATTAAGTTTGATTAATTTTATTTAATAATCATAATTTGTTCTTCTTATCACTTATTATGATCTTGATACTAATCATTAATGATATATTGATAATATTTTTTTATTATTCTTTATTATTATGTTATAAAAATCTTAAATATTGATACAAAATACTGCCAAAAAATCAATATATTAAATAAATATTGAAACTTTTTATATAGAGATGTAATTTGTATGAATGTGATACCCTGATAAAACATGTGCTTCAATGTTAATACGAGATACGCGTTGTACTTTAACATACTTCATACATGATGATGTGTAATCGAATATTATTTGCAATTTGACTGTCAAATGATGATTATGAATTTTTTTTCTCGATAATCCTATCTAACGTTATCGAATGTATTTCATTCGATCATTATCCAATATTCAGCTACATATTTGTACAAATCGATTGTGATAATCGAAATAAATCATATCAATTGGATATAGTTGATTATATTTTCCATATCGAAAGGAAAAAAAATATTTATTTTAAATTTACTAATTTACAATTTTAATTGTGACAGATTTAAAAGTCGAAAGAAAATATCTAGGAAAAAGGATAGCATTTATTGCAATCTTCTTATTGTAATATTACAAATTTTTGTAACTAACACTCAAATTAAAATTGCACTAAAATCTATTTGAAATTATAATTAAAAACATGATTTTGATATCTGTGTATATTTTTGAAACTGAGTAATTCTTTTTTCTATATTCGCTTTATAACTCAAGAATTATTGATGTTTCAATATATTCTTCTTCAAGAAAAACTTTCCAAGTTTATAAATTTGATTAAATTTAAAGAAGAAAATTTATTTACTATCTATATTTTATAACAATAACTTTTACTTTTTATATAAACTTACTTTTACTTTTTATATGTTTTATATAAAAAATTCTTTCATGAAAAATATCTTTAATTATACGAACATTAATAAATTTTTTTTAAAACTCTGAGTTCAATTAAAGCAATTTTTTTTGACAGATTTATTTGCGAAATATTTATTTGTTTTTTTCCAAAAATATATTTTTTTAATATAAATATAATTAATAATCTGAATATATTATTAATTATATGGATGCAACAAATTACCTTTAGGTTTATTTGATGGAATCTTCATCTTCTCTGAGAGAGAGACGATGGAGACTCTCTTCTTTCGCACAGACGACGCCATAGCGATAAATCTCTCGTCGTGAAGCAGACACGGGAACAAAGTACAGAAACGAACTACGATCCATCGATCGTACCCACCTAGTTTTATACTGCATCACCGAAAACAGATTCTCCCACTCTTTTGTGCGTTCAAATGCACGCTTAAACGGCACTGAACACGCTGTTGCATTATTCTCGAGCATTGGAATCTCTACGATATAGCAGGATGTAATTAATTTGCATTATTAATTATATGTCTGCTCTATGTTCTCTTCTTCAGTCTATATTTCTTCGACTCATATAGAAAGAAATTAACATTTAATTACGGCATAATTATTGTATAATTGAAGGAAATCAATATACTGATTACTTCAAGTTACAAATTAATTTATCTTTATACAATATAAATACATATATATAATATTAAAAATAATATTAATTATATAAAACAAAAAAGAGAAAATAAATATTTTAAAGGGTAAAAGAAATTCTCAATATTTAGAAGATATAACTTAGCTGCATTATATTACTATCTATATGTATATTGATATACTGCAATATACATATATCATTGAAGAATTCACTTAATATGAATTATCTTAAAGTATGAATACATTTCTTTAAAAATAATTGAAGATTCGTTGAAAGAAAGGCGATTTAAGATTTAGTAATATTTATAATTGTGTATCCTAATTACAATTTTTTGTTTATCTGACAATGAGAATTGATGAGTATCGGAATAGATCGTACTTCGATAAATAATCATTTCTTGTCCTACAAAGATAACGCGTTTAATGCGAACATTTGCGATTCTTGAGTACGCATTTTGTCAGATAAAGATTCGCATTTATATAAGTATTTGAAGCGAATAGCTTTGTCAAAATAATTATATCTATTATTGTTATCTATTATCTATTATCTACTACCGTGTATTAGTATCGTTATATATCTATTAATCATGAATAACGTGAGGTAAGAAAAAGAGTCAATGTGGACAATAAAATTTAAATAATTGCGAAATGAAGATATAAATAATTAATTATTTTTTATATCTATTTTACATACACATTTTGATCATGTATATTAAATGTATATTAAATTATTATTAAATGTAAATCAAAAATTTGTATTTTATAATAAATATTCTTATATTCAATATAGATATCTATTTCGTGATAAATTTGCAGACATTTTTCTTTTTGCAACATATTTACACACACAATTCAAAGATTCAAAAAATTTTATTCCATTTATTTGGAGACAAATTTATCTTATTTATACGGAAAATAATCTTATTATATGGAAATTTATCTTATTTATACGGAAAATGATCTTATTAAATGGAAAAAATATATGTATGCTGTTCAAAATTGCATGTATATTGCACATGTAGCATGCATGCAACGGTATTTAAAAAAACCGACTTAAATAGAAAATAAAAATTCATTGTTGTATAATAATGTAATTAAAAATGCATTTTAATCTTACAGATTAGAGCGATTAACGATTATAGCGTTGTAAATAAAAAAAAGTAGATAACGAGTGCGCCAGCAACAGAAAGTTGAAAGGTCATGATCACATTTTATGTATGTGATGGTATAATGATGTATATAACACACTCTTACGATAACAAATTGCGATTTCGTAATCGATCGCAATTTCACTCTTTCTCTCTCTCTTTCTCTCTCTCTCTCTCTCTCTCTCTCTCTCTCTCTCTCTATCTATCTATCTATCTATCTCTATCTCAGAAGATTCATATTTAAAGTCAAATTGAACATAACTGAGTTCCGTTGATTCTATGTAACTTCAAACTTACAGTCTGATTTACGTCATAAATTAATCTTGGTAAGTTTGAAAAAACCTAAAAGCGTATCACAATCAACATAAATTTCAAGTTAGTCTCTTATATATAGTCTTCTACATCTTTATCTTTTTTTTTTCGTAGAGCTTGGACTTCCTCAAAATTGTTCCACCATTGTATTTCACCCTTGCCGAATATCACAAATATCAGATTGCCGAGAAAAAAGATTGCCGCTGCGATATAAAACACGATATTCCACTGATACACGTTGCTCTGAAAAACGAAAAATCTCTCGATAACGATCTTATCGTTTGCGGAAGAAGTAACTAATGCATTTCATTTTAGAATTTAAATGTCGTTTTTCATTTTCATTTTAAGAAAAATTCCAAATTACAAAGGGTAAAAGATGAACTTATAAACTGTAAAATAAAAGAAAATATCGAAAAATAAATAAAAAAGTAGAATCTGTTCTCTATGCACATGTGTGTAGAGTGTTTCGAAATATAATCTTTTCACATTAGACACACTAAACTAAATAAATTTAAAAAATTCATTATTTAATTTCTTTGTATCTAATTTTATATTGATTAAAAGAATTGAAAGATTTTGAAGAATTTTGTCAGAGATGCGCACGTATCTCAAACTAAGTTTTAAGACTAAAAGCTCACATTTATGTACGAAACTTGCTATTGCATATCTTGAATGTAGAAATGAAAAATTACCTCATCGGTGACGATAATACCGACAATCAATGGCGCGATAATGGCTGTAATGGTCGCGACGCAATTGGTGACGGACATCATTGTACCAGCAAAGTTCGGACTGAGATCGATATGATTGATTTGATAGCCGCAAAGAGATCCAGCATTCAGACCCACCGCTATAGTAAAAATGACGATAGCCCAAATGTAATCGTCAGTGGGTACGAGGCTCATAAACGCTAGGGCAACAGCCGGACCCCAAAAAGCCACTGTGTTGCTGGTCTTTCTGACCGTGCCCTTGGACATACCCTTCTTCAACGCGTAGTCGGAGAACCAACTCATGGGAAAGCTGAGGAGCCACATGACCAAGTATGGCAGCGCGGAGTATACACCGCTCTATGGAAAAGAAAAGGTATGCATTAATAAATAAATAAACTAATTAACTTTTTTTAATAAAAGAAATTTAAAAAATCAGTATTCCGTATGATTATTGCAGAACCTGTTCTATTTATGTGTAAATAAATGAGACAAATATTATTTTTAAGAACGAAGTATCTTAAAATATAAATCAACTGACTTTGAAAGAAAACTCGTCTCGAAAATTTTTGTGAGAAAACTCGCATCAAAACTTGAAATTAACGTAAAACAACGAAAATTTTAACAGAAATTTTTATTCTAAATGTGATTGTTTCACAGAGTGACACAAGTATTTTTTTATCAAATTTGGCTAAATTAACATATACATGAGAAAAATTAGCATTAGAATACTGTGTCTTCGACAAAGCACAGCTTATTCGATTGAATTTAATTTAATATTAAAATATATGATGTAATCGTGATAAATAAATTCCGAAAATTAACAAAATTAAAATATATGATACAATACATAATTTTTAAAATAGAAGGTAGATGTTTTCCTTCTTTTTTAATTTCTTTGTTTTATAAAATGTTATTATTAACCATCTCTATGTTTTTCATTACGCTCGTCATATAGCTAGGCATTTCAGTCAATAGAGTCCAATACCCCCAATTTTGACTGCAATGGGCTACCCCAAGAGCCAGGACGGGTGCTGAGGTGAACATCTCTCTCCATGGTGTACGCAGTTTCTAGTAAAAGACATGAAATCACATCATAAACATGTTATATATTATGCTTCCTGTATGTGCGACTTATTAATGAATTATTACAAAATCTAAAAAATTTATAGCAAAAATAATTATTACTATGCAATGATGATAATAATAATAATAATAATAATAATAATAAATTTTAAAATAATAAATTCCTCTTTATTTCACGATAATTCAGAATAATTGAGGAGGAAAACAGTTAAGATGCATTTCAATTACTTATGTTACTGAGATTTATATTATAAGAATAGACTACTTTTTTACCTTGGATTTATTTTCATCATTCGTTTCTATAGTTTTCAAACTGTCCTCTATATACTTCCTTTCTTTGGGAGAAATGCTACGATGTTCGGCTGGTGAGTTCGCTCCAAAATAAAAGAAAACTATACTCCACACGATCGCTAATGTACCGAATATATAGAAAATGCTGGGCCAACCCAGACTCGATGCAGCGAGAAATCCAGAAACTGGCATAGCGATCAATGTACCAAACTGGGCGCCCGCATAAGCAAAAGTTCCTGACGATCAAAAAATAAATAATAAATGTATATTGTAAAAATATATAATTACGATTTACTGTAAGCAAAACAATTAATTATTGTGTACTTTCTATCAAATTTGTCGATCATTTTTTGATTGGTTTTTAAAAAATTCTAATAATATAAAAAGAAAAATACAAAATTAAATATAAATTTTAATAAATTAAATAGAACTATATAACATAAATTTTATATATTTCAAAAGAATATTATATATATTTGTAACACCTCAAAACATTTCTTACACTGAGCAATGGCTAACTTTTCTAAATTTTTAAAAAAATTCTTTATGCATTATTTTACTCAATCATTGTTTTTAAAATTTAAAAGAAAGGACATTTAATAATTTATATATATATATATATATATATATATATATATATATATTTACCATTTTTTACAAAAAAACAACTTATATATCAACCTGCAATTGTTTTCAAAATATCTCAGACGCAAGTTTTGGATATATTCTCACCTAATCGTGCTCTTTCAGAGGGTGGCGCCCATTTGGAGAGAAGGGTATGAATGCAAGGTAACAGGCAAGCTTGTGTAAGACCCATGCCCACCCTGCAAACCAGCACGGCCGGCAAAGCCCACTTGCTAGCGACAAATGGCATCACAACATTTAAGACGCCGCACAGCAGCATCCCGATAGCGAGGAGCTTTTGGCCACTCCAGACGTTGGCGATGTAACCGCTCGGCACTTGTGTTACCACGTAGCCCCAGAAGAACGAGCTGAGCACCAAGTTCTTCTGCGCTTGGTCCCAACCGAAATCCTGATGGCAGCAATCAATATGATTTTCTAACAATCACAAAATCCCTTAATATGAAAATTTAATAGGCATGAAATTATTTTAAATGCCAGTTTCTAGCTCATTCTAGCTATATAATTAAAATAACGTATAATTATAATTATGTAATAATATTGTAACATGAACTGGAAACGAGATTATTGTGACGTTGCAATCTTATATTTCCGTTGACAATCTGATAAATCATTATTTATCGATTAACTTATTTTCATTAATAACCTTGTAAAGACAATGATAAGAGTTATCTATACTCGAGATTATTATACATTTATTCTTAGAAAATCGCAGATTAAATTAACATATTTTAGCTTTATGCTAGATTCAGGCAAGACAATGGAACAAATGCTCTCGCAAATCGTCAGCTGGCTGATTTATCTGGCACACGATGAGGAAATCTCATCGAGTGTCGAAACACGACCTTACGCACTTTAACTCCCCCCGGATTCCTTCCGCAAACACGAGGAAAATTCCTTTCTTCTGACATAAATTCCAGATTTTTTGATAACACGAGTTTCGCAAGCAGTTTCACTCGAATCGATAATTAAATCGATAATTCAGTGGTTTTAAATATCTTCAAATGTACAATACAATATTATACCATGTACAATGTGTAAAATTTTACAGCAATATTAATAATATATATATATATATATATATATATATATATATAAAGTTGAATATAAGAAGTTCGACATATATTAAATTTAATATAACTTAATATCTCACATAATTTAATCGTTAAAAATGTGCAAGTGCTATACCAATTGTTACAAGTGCGTCTATTCACATAGAATTCGAATAACACCGAAACAATAATATTAATTAATAGAGATTGAATAAAACTGAACAATTTCTATACGCAAAAACATAAATCAATAATGTAAGACCGAATATTAAAGGCAAGAATATCGTAATTCTTATCATATATAAACCATATTTCGTAAATGCAAAAGAAATTATGATATTGCATGCGCAGATTTTTATTTTTACGGAAGGCCAATAATGAATGCAACATATTGTTATTATATAACGAATACTCGATACGCTTATCTGACGCTTAATTAAGCAAGAAATAGTCTCGAGTGTTTCGAATGGTGCTTGAGCGTATAATTATTTAAGCTATGCTCATAAAAGAATTATATAATATAACCTCGATATCTGGGTTCGCTGTTTTCGCGTTTGCCATTGGCACTATGGCCATCGACATCGCGATCCTGAGACTGTATCCAATAGTCATGCCCAGGAACATTAATAGCACCTGTAAGTGTCTGTCCCCGAGGATACCTGCGGAAAAATAGTCCTTTTATCTCAGTAACAAACGAATCGCATCGATTATTCGTCTTGAGAATATCGTATTTTTAATTATCTATATTTGCTAAAATTATTATCATTATTACAAGTTATAAGAATACATTGAAGAATATTTTTATTATATGGCTGTCCCCTGATTTAAGAATATCACTCTCTTTTTTATTTTTTAAATTTTAAGTAAAGGGATCAATAAAGTTTTGATTAAATCATATAAAAAATTTTGCGCGCTAATCTATGCACCGCGGCATTTTAAATTTTTGGATCTATTAAGCGATAACACGCTGTTATTAAATCGAAATGCGTAATAAAAAATGAAAATAATGAAAATATTTCTTGATAATAGACTCACAAATTAATAGACATAAAAATAAAATAAAGGTTGACAAAGTTTTCTCTTGATAGAAAAAAATTTTTAAATATACAATTTGCATAAGATTTCTAAATAAATCTTATTAAATAAAATAGTATACTAGTCACCCAAAAATGTTACAATTTTTACTATTTTTTATATTAAGTTATGCATATTATTAATAAAAAAGTTACAGCTTCTTTATTCTTTAAAGATTTTTTTTAAAGATAATTCTTACGACAGAGCTCAATTAAGTTTAAGCTTTTTACTTAACTTTTTATTTTAATTTAAGAAATAAGAAAGTAGAACATATTAATTATTCGTAGGACATTTAAATTATTCGTAGGACATATATATTACATTATTATAGAGTATTACAATTTACAAATATTTTTATATAATTGTTTATATTTCACAAATTTATATAAAATTTCTAATGTTTAATTTCTTAAATTTAAAAACATACACGAAAATTATTATTTATAGATTTTATTAATTGCTTGAGTATGTTGAAATATCGATGAAGCCGATCGAACGAGATTTAATCTAATCGAAAACGAATGTTTTATATAATGTTAACATGTTCAATAATATTATACCAAGATAAAGATAACTATAATGTTTATATGTGTATCGGGATTAATTCTAAATAATACTAAGAGATAGTTGAAAAACCGAGTTAAGCATAAGTGACAAGAAGTATGAGTGAATGTAAAATTATGACCTTGGAGATTTGTAAGCAACACAATAAATGTTAATTGTAATAGTGAGTGAAGATAATAATTTGTGAACATGATATATTTTGTTTATATATTGTTAAGGGATAATGATACAACAATAATAATTAAGAGCTATTTATCCATATTTCTCTCAAGCTAAGCAATTTCCAATTTTCAACATTTCGAGGGACTGATTAGAACTTTTCCAGAGACGCTTTTAGATTTAAAAGAAGAACACTCATTAAATTATGGTACATAAGTCACATTTTACATGTTCAGTTATCTATATCGCGCGATTATGTAAGACTGACGAAATTTGATTAGCGTAATTAAAAAATCATGGAACTTCGAAGGCGAGTTTCACTTTAAATCATAGGAGTCTCACTGACAAAAGAAGATATAGGACATAGAAAAGGATACATGTATATTGGAAGGGCAAGAAGAATGCTGATTATCGAAAAAAGGATTATAGATCGGTTTAACATGGTATCACTTGGCTCGCAGTTATTTATTTTTTCCTATATGTGTATATAACTATCAATATTATGATATACTTTATATACAGAAAAACAAATAACTCTAAGCTGAATGATACCGAGTCAAATCGAATGGATAGAAGTAATAACTCTTTGTACACACAAGATTCTGTTTATATTATTAATTCTAAAATTGATGGAAGGGTTTATATTATTAATTTTAAGGTTGAAGGGGAATCATGTTTTCGACGTAAATCGCTAACATATATATTTAGAAGAGACTTTCTCTGATAAAACAAAAACAATTAACAATATTGCATATCGTTTGATCTCCTCCATCGAAGAAATATATATATCGAGAGATTAATGTTATCAACATTAATATTTTAATATATCATTAAAAAAGTATCAGTTTATATAATTTATTTTTTTTTAATCAAAGAAGAAGAATATAAATATTTTTATTTTGTATCATCTTTAGATTTCTCTTATGAGTGTCACCACTTCGATTAAAATTAAAATTCTCACATGCTAATTTATCGTAACCAAGTTGTTAATCGTTGTATAATTGCACCGGATACGTATAATCACGCGAATACCGATGGCATGTGAGATGATAAAATAGCAAAGCGAAAAAAAATACAAAAAAAATGCGAAAAAAAATATATTAATATTTTTCTTGAAAAAAGATTGTCTTAAGATTTATTATAAATCTTATATAATTTGTATTAATTGTAAAGATTTGATTTAATTATATAATTCGCGTTTATTCACCTCTCATTATAAATTTCAAATAAAATATTAAGCAAGTGTTATAAAGAATACAAAGAAATAAATATACGAAGTTTTATAAAAAAAATCTTAAGAGAGACGTTGCACAACTGTATCTAATAATTGCAAAGATAATATTATCGACACGAATAATTGCTTTAGATTTGTTAGAAACAAATGATATACACCGTAAGTACAAGGATATTGAGAAATAAATATACGAAGAATTTTATTAAAAAATCTTAAGAGAAACGTTACACAACTGTATCCAACAATTGCACAAAGAAGACGTTATCAATATGAATAATTGCTTTATATTTATTACATAAATAATGCCGTATAAAATATGTGAAGCATCTCATACTCGATCGATAGATATTGAATTTTTAGCAAAAGTAGATTAAAAAAATGATGTTGATACATTGACGCTCAAGTATTCAAAAATTGTGATTCGATAAGATATAAAGATAATTGAATGGAGATAAGCGATGAGATCAATGCGATTAATAGAGATTTATACAAGATATGAGATATATATAAGGAAAATCTCATACAACCATCAATCATTTATTAATGATTACAATCATCAATCATTTATTAATGATTACATTATATGAGATTTTTCTTTGTGTATTTACAAAATAATATATGTATATACAGCGATCGCGCGCGCTTCTAAATCGATCGCGAAAGGTAGCTCGCTTCGCGCATCGTGATTCGGTCGTTTTTTATTGTAATAGACGAAGTGAAGTTGCAAGTTACGCGCGCGATAAAATCTCAGATAAAATGATTGACGATAAACAGAAGTTATCGAATAGCTTGTCAATATCATGCGATGATTTACAATTACAGATCATATTATCCGAAATAATCGTATCAATTATAGAGAACTTCGAAAACTGTATGTTGAGAAAAAAATCAAACTTAGTTCTTTTTTATTTTATCAAATGTCATTTCTCGTTTAATTCTCGTCTAATTTTAAAAAAATTAATTTAAAAAAAATAATACATTAAATTAAATATCTTAATCGTTATTCTTGAGATTATTATTAATAAAGCATTATTGTTATGATTATTATCACTAATTTATTTTTCCTTATTGTTTTTTGTAGTGCACTATTTTACTGTAAACACTATATGATAAATGATAATTTATTTCACCTCTTTTCCTATCCAAACATATAATTCTTTTGTACAATTCTTTTATACTTCTCAAAAGCAAGCATAAATGTCATGCTCGCATTATCTCCAAGGTAGTTATCAATAATATATTCCGCGTGACAAATGTTTCCGTGCCTTGCTTAAAACAGCTGACAGCTAATCTAGACAAAATTACAAAAAGAACAAATTTTCAATTTTTTTCTCCGACAATTACAGTAAAATTTATTTAATATGAATGTATCTTTAATAATTTCGTCATAAACAACTCAATACGCGATATATCTCCGGCTAGATTTTTCAATTTTTTTCTATCCGACAATTACAGTAAAATTTATTACATATGAATGTATCTTTAATAATTCCGTCATAAACAACTCAATACGCGATATTTTTCCGGCTAGATTTTTCTAAATCTCTTTATTAATGCACTTCGAACATGTTACGTAAAAAAACAGAGATAATTTTCGTATATTCTTTTACTTCAATTCTTCACTTCTTCACTAACTTGACATTAGAAATTATAATCGTTCGATCTATAGATCATTAATCGCGATCTTCGATGTTCACCGACCGATTCCCTAACATATTTAATGATACACTCTCATCAATTCCAATTACTATTGATATTGTTGTGTTAAATCACAATTTGCAAGCTTATTCCATACAGTTATTAAGTTAAAAAACTGAAACTTTAGAAATCGCCGAATTAATACTAATGACACAAAGCTGAAAATATTATTCTTAATGGAAAATTTTGATCGAAGTTTCTAATCCATTCAAAAATCGAAGATGGTCTAAATCTGTAATTCTTAATAACTTAATTTTGAATTCTTATTTAATAATAAATAATCATGAATCTGCATCGCTCTTATTCAAACTTTCATTGAAATTTCTTTCGATATTTACGTTTTAATAAAAGAAAATATATTTCTTTCTCGCGATATAAATTATATATTTTATAAAAATACTAGTTTTTCATATATGTCCTAAAGAAAATTCTCTCTTGTAACTAAACACGTGCATATTTTTTCCACTTTTCCCAAATTTCGCAGGAAAATTGCGTACAGTTGGAAAATTCTCAAAATATCCGACAATTCTTAAAATAAACTCCTTGATTACAAATCCTTCCGTCGATTAAATCCTCGTTCAAATATGAAATTTGAAGTTATCGCACAATCACATTGACAATTCTCTTACAGCTCTGTTGTAGAGTCGGAGACACGGTGGCGGACATCTTCGGTGACGTTTTTTCCATGACGTCAACGGCGTCGTCTTTTTTGACAGCCGTCATTTCGCGCGTCGCGTCTTCTCTTCGTACTCTATTAAAATCTTAATCTCACATGTAACGATACTTATATTACGCCCCCCTTTCCTCTTCCGTCCCGTTTCTTCTCCCTCTCCTCGCCATCATTGTCATCGTTGTTGTCTGGCAGGGCAGATTTATTTATCTAATTTTTCCTTTCATCAGCCGCAAATCGAGATACTTTGTTATCTGGAGTCGCGGATTATATCTTTCTTGGGAGAAACTACGAAAAGTACAAGATAAATCTAAAGAATCGAGGCCGTTTCGCGGTGAAACAAATACAATCAGCCTTGAAGACACTTTACCGGTCTTTTTTTTTTTTTTTTTTTTTTTTTTTTTTTTTTTTTTTTTTTTTTTTATTTTTTTTTTTTTTTTTTTTTTTTTTTTTTTTTCTTTTTTTTTTTTTTTTTTTTTTTCCTTTTTTGTTTTTTTTTTTTTTTTTTTTATTTTTTTTTTTTTTTTTTTTTTTTTTTTTTTTTTTTTTTTTTTTTTTTTTTTTTTTTTTTTTTTTTTTTTTTTTTTTTTTTTTTTTTTTTTTTTTTTTTTTTTTTTTTTTTTTTTTTTTTTTTTTTTTTTTTATTTTTTTCTTTTTTTTTTTTTTTTTTTTTTTTTTTTTTTTTTTCTTTTTTTTTTTTTTTTTTTTTTTTTTTTTTTTTTTTTTTTTTTTTTTTTTTTTTTTTTTTTTTTTTTTTATTTTTTTTTTTTTTTGTTTTTTTTTTTTTTTTTTTTTTTTTTCTTTTTTTTTTTTTTTTTTTTTTTTTTTTTTTTTTATTTTTTTTTTTTTTTTTTTTTTTTTTTTTTTTTTTTTTTTTTTTTTTTTTTTTATTTTTTTTTTTTTTTTTTTTTTTTTTTCCTTTTTTTTTTTTTTTTTTTTTTTTTTTTTTTTTTTTTTTTTTCTTTTTTTTTTTTTTTTTTTTTTTTTTTTTTTTTTTTTTTTTTTTTTTTTTTTTTTTTTTTTTTTTTTTTTTTTTTTTTTTTTTTTTTTTTTTTTTTTTTTTTTTTTTTTACAGTCGGTTATGTTATATTTTTTCTTTTAATATTTGTTTTATACAATTATTTAAAATTGAAACTAATTTCCTCAATACATTGAACTTCATCCCACTGCATGCATCATCTCTTCTTTTTATAATACTAAATTTATATTTTCAGAATACGTCCATCCATAATTCATTATTACAAAGACTTTTTATTATTTTCTGCAGACATATTGGGTTTATACTTTAATGCTGTTTGCGAACGACTTAGAGATTAAAGGATGGTCATTTTTTTTGACAAAATACTCTCAGTAGATTGCCATTATTGCCTTTCGAGAATTGGCAATCGAATAGATTCAATGTTTAGCTGGATTTGAATCCAGATTCATTGGCATAGACGCATAACTCTCTGCGACACGATCGCACGTATAATTTTATAAATAAAATTTAATATATTTAGGGACGGCGAAATCATTTGTAAAATTGTTCAGTCACTTCAATTTTCGCCTCTTATTGATTGGTTCTTTGTTAATACTTGTTGTTTCTTGTATCTCCTCGCTTTTCCTTGCAAGTCTACTGGAACGCCGAGTTGGTCTTTGTTGTGGTGTCATACACACTTCTAAATCTGGAAGACTGCAAACAAACAATTAACATCCAGTAAATTTCAAAATACAGAAGTAAATAATTAATGTATTTTGCAAAATACAGAAGTAAATAATTAAACCGCTTTAGTCTTTCATTGCTACATGAAATTTTAGCATTTCATATAATTGAGTAAACATTTGTACTTTTTTGACTCTAGACAAATCCTAAAAATCTAATATTTTTACTTTTAATCAGTATGTTAATATTGTATGTAGTGTGTGTAGAATGTTTTAATATTTATTTTATTATCTATTTTAAAACATCTTAATTTTATCGTGCAATATTATTTTAATTACAATCTCTATCCTGGAAAAAATTCGCATCTATTATATAAAATAAGTATAAAATAGTTAAACAATTGTACATGTAATATCATGTAGTGAAATAAAGTGAAATCAAATAAGAGAAATTTATAATATGTGTGACAAGTTCAATACAATTTATATATAATAAATTATTCGATATAATTCATATATAATCTCGCGTTTCATTGTAAAAAAAATATATTTTTTATTTTATTAACTCGAGTAATTTAGCATATTAATAGAAGATATAACGATCGACACTAATTACTAATTTACTAGAATGTACATATTATAATATGGAAAGCTATAACTATGAAATTTTTGACATATTTATGTTACCAATAATCGAAAATATAATATAATATAATCATTGAAGTTAATTAATTTCTACATATAATGTAAGAAAAATATATTATGTAAATTTTCGTTTTCCAGAATATAATATGGCAATTGTTATAAATTTTAAGAAACATTTAATCTTTCAATCTCGTTCAATTTCTCAAATTCGATCTCTCAATATTTACCTCAATTGATCGACTTCCGGTTGTTCCTTTTGTTGCGTCTTCTTTGCGTTATTACTCTTCATAACTGGTGACTTTTCTGCGTTTAACACCGTTTCTTTCGCTTTATTGTTCGTCTTTTGTGGCGTCTTTTCTCCATTTTGCATCACTTCCTTCGTGTTATTATCTTTCGCAGACAGCACCCTCTCCTCGTTTGACTGTGTTTCTTTCGCATTATTATTATTCAATACAGACGCAGTGTTCTCCTTACGTGAACCAGCTTGGACGCGTTGCGATAAGATTGCTTGCGTTCTTTGCGAAGCTTGCGTCGCGTAGCTCTTGGAAGTGAGTTGCGTGGGCGGTAAGATGCCGTTGTTTTCATAGTAACGGCCCAAATTGAGAGTCACACTCTTGGAACAGTTATATGTTTTATAGATACCCACTAGATAATCCGCCAATTCAAACATGTTTGAGCGTAGTGAGATGACGATGAATTGCGCGTTCTTCGTGCGCTCTTTGATATAGTTACCGACGATTGAGACATTTTTGAAGTCGAGCGCCGCATCAATCTCATCCATAAAATATAGCGGCGTAGGTTTATAGTGATGAAGGGCAAAAACTAGCGCCAGCGAACTCAAGGTTTTTTCACCGCCGCTGAGATTGCTGATGCTCTTCCATGATTTCTTCGGTGGACGCACACTGAATGCAATACCCTCGCTAAACGGATCCAACGAGTCCACTAGCTCCAATTCCGCATCGCCGCCCAATGTGATCATCTGATACATTTCTTTTAATTTCATGGTAATCAGGCTAAAGCCATCCTGGAATTCTTGAATTCTACGTCGCCGAGCGGTTTCATAGATATCGCGCATCTTATTGCGCATCAACGTCATTTCCTCCAAATCAGCAGCACGACGTATGTACAATGCGTCCTTTTCCTGATAATCCGCAATAATCTGCATATTAGGTATCTGCTCGGGTAGCTTCTTTTTAGCCTTCTGTAGATTCTGTGCCACCATTTTTACATCCAATTGATCGATCTCTTCCTCCGTCAAGTCTTTAAGCGGCTCCAAAGTCTCGCAGGGAATCGCTCGTAATTTTAAATCCGCTATCTTTCGATTATATTCGGGGATTACTTGTTCAAGTTCCTTCAGTAATTTTCTGCTCTCGTGTAATTTTTGATCCAAGTCGATCTTCATCGCTTTCATCCTGTCTTCGCGCGCCTGCAACTCGTTCAACTCATCTCTTAAGGACGATAAAGCGTCATCTCGTTCTGTCAATGCCTCATTAATCTCCTTCAATTCATCAATCATTACCTTGGCGTGTTCCTCGAGTTCAGATTGCTCTTTCTGAATGTTTCTTAATCTTTCCTCGCAAGCGTGTACGTCGCTCTCCAGTGTTTCAATGTATTTCTCCGTCTTCTTGACGTTCCTTTCAGCAGTCTTGATGGCCACTTGCAGACGGCATACCTCCGCCTTGGCCTGGTCTATCGATTTGGTTAATTGCGCGATTTTCTTCTGCTGATTCCGTACCCGATTGCCAGAGATATCATCTATTTTGCTATTGATACACTCTACCTCTCTTTCTACCGAAGCGGAATTCTCCTTAACCTCATCCAAGTGAAAGTTTGCCGCGTCTAACGCTTGTTGCAGTTGAGCAACCTTCTTTGGATCCGATATCGAATTAATGGCTTTCTTTTCCTGTGCTTTAAGCTGTGCTTGCAACGATGGTTCTTGTTCTTTTAACGTTTGTACCTCGATGCTGAATTTTTGCCTATCGATTTTCATGTCTTGCAGAGCGGTCGTTAACACATGAATTTGCTGCTCTAGTGGCTGCTGCTTTGCTCTCAGATTATTGCACTCTTCAAATATGATATCTAGTTGTGATTGCAATTTCTCAATATCGGCATTCGACGGCTCGCTTCTCACCACCTTTTGGCCCATTCGACCTCGCAGTACTGTACGTCCACCGCCACTCATTGTACCAGATAGTTCGATTAACTCGCCTTTCAACGTTACTACGCGATAACGTGTCCTGCCATAGGCAATACGCGTCGCTTGATCCAAATCTTGCGCCACCAGAGTATCGTGTAAAGCGTAGTAGAACGCCGGCAGCACCCGTTCATCCTCTACCTTTATTAAATCGAACAATCGATGCACATTTTCAGGCGTTTGGATTTTACTGTGGCACTTGGACAGGAATCGCTGTTGCTTTTCCAATGGTATAAATGTTGCACGTCCTATGTTATGTTGCCGCAGATATCTAATACATTCTTGCGCCGTGGCCAACGTATCTACAACGATGTTGTCCAGTGGACCGCATGCTGTCGATATAGCAACATCATATTTGGCGTCAATAGCACCCAAATCGCCCTGTATACAGGAAAATTTGAGTAAAAACATACTTTGAAGCGTAAGTAAAAAAATGTAATAAAGTATAATATTATATAATTAATGTTGCAATATATTATTCGCGAAATCGAAGCATTTTATATCTAATTATATCTACTTATACCTAATTATAGTAAAAAATACACTGATTATTATATATCTATATTATACAATCTGAGATTTGGAAACAAATAAAATTTCAATTATGTTTAATTAAAAGGCGGTTTTATCTCGATAATCAATTAGATTTTATTATGTCACAAAAGGTTGGAAAGGCTTCTATGATATTTACCAGTCTTCCGAATATTCCAGGCATCCGTCCCTCTCGCTTCTCTCTCATTAATGCATCCAGGATACGGTTCCGCGATGTGCTGGCTTGCATAGCAGAGCGCTGTTCCTCGAAAGTGATTCTCAGCTTTTTTAGCTGAGCGGTTTTTTCGATTTCGCATCTTTTTGCCTCATTCAATTCATCTTGTGCCTGTTTCAAGCTAGTTTTGGTTAGCGGAATTTTCCGCTCGAATAACGCCAGCTGCTTCTGTCGTTCCTTAAGAGTGCTTGTTGTTTCCTCCACAGCTTCTCGAAGATTTTCTAGCGTTTCTTTTTCAACCTTTTCCACCGATGTATAAAGCTCTAGCTCGGACTTTGCAATATCATATGCCGCTTTCGCTTGATCCACGTTTTTCCTAAGAGATATAAGTTCCTTTTCCAAATTGGATCGTTCAATCAACAACGGCTCCGTTTGTGTTCGTAGACTCGCCATCAATGTCGTTAACGCGATCTCTTCTTTTTCTTTATTGATCGTGTGTGTTTCAATCAACTTCTCGCATTCTTTGATATCTTTTGTATTCTTTTTTGGTACAGTCAGCAATTCTTCCATTTTGTTTTTTTCCTATTCACCATCATACCAATTGTCAAATATATAATTTAATATAAACAAAAATATATAGCCTTATAAAATATTTATTTGTAATTTATAAATTATAAATTCAACGTAATTTTTCGTTTCAATAGAGAGAGATAATATGAAAAATTACCGTCTTGATAGATGCTGTGTTAGCTTTCCTCCGTTTATTCGTTTCGACTAGTTCGGCATGTAACGACTCATCCCGCTTGCGTAATTTGTCGTACTTTGCTGTAGCCTCATCCTTCTGTCGCTGTAAAGTATCCCATTTCTTACTTTTCTTCTTAATAATTATAGTCTTTTCTTCTTTCTGTTCACGAACAGTCTTCATCTCATCCATCAACGCGGTTTGTTCCTTATCTAGAGTATCGTTTTTCGCCACATGCTCCGCAAGTTCCTTTACTGCTTCGGATCTGAAAAAAATATTCGCAACTTTCAACATCTAAACTGTCATAATATTCCAAGGAATTTTTCTGATAATAAAATATAAAGCTTTACTTTCATATTCTCACCTCTTACAATGATAAAGTTGATGTTTTAATCTGATTATTGTGTTTTCTGTCTTTAGGTATTGCACTGCTTCTTGCATAGGCTCCTTCAAATTCTCCTTTTCTTTCTGCACAACTCTGAGACGATGTAACTTCTCTATCCTACGCTCTGTTAACATTTCAACTTTATCTGCTAACTTTGTCAGAGGTTCCTTATAACGAGATGTGCCAATAATGTCTTCCAGAAATTCCAACATTCCGATATCATTTTCATTTTCTCCCTTGGGTTTCATCATTGCAATTTGTTCTACTTCACCCTATACAAAATATTTTTTACATTTTTTACTAATATAAAATATAATCTAATTAATGTTATATTAATTATAAATACATAATTAGTGAGTAGAAATTTAATAAACAAAAAAAAATATGTATGATTTTATTTTACTTGTAATATTAAAAACCGATTATGATCCAAGTCGACTCCATGAAACCGGAGAACCTTAGCAATTTCCTTAAATTGCACTTTCTTCTTATCAAGCTCATAATATGATGAACTATCTTTAAACGCAGTCCTAGATATAACAAACTCACTATTTGGGACGACTTCATAGTCTCCTTCAAGATTCTTGAAAATAATTTAAATATGAATTAATGAATATAATTTTATACTTTATCAATAACATTATGTATATACTTTTACAACTTATATTTCGAAACAAAATTATGTCTTACTTTATCAACGATTCTCTGAAAGTGTACAGAGACAGTGCAGCTATTCAAATTCGAATGCTCGTTGGAATTGTGTATTAAGACAGAGATCTTTTTTGATCTAATCTTGCTAGCACGATAACCAAACACAAACAACATAGAATCTATTACATTACTCTTGCCGCTACCATTGGGACCAACTATTGCTGAGAAACTCTGTAAAAGAAAATTAGCTTAAACATCGCATTTAATATAACCAGATAATAATATAAATACATTATATTAAAATTTACTTTGTGGAAAGGACCAATGGTAATTGTGCCAGCGTAGCTTTTGAAATTCTCATTGATGATCTTAGTAATCATGAGTCTTGGACCAGTCGTATCGGCCTCACTGAAAGTTCTCAGTGGCGGTGGGATGTATATCTCGTCATCGACTCTCAAGCCACTCTCTTCGTATTCGGTGTTTTGTTCGTCAACCTCCATGTCATCACTAGGAGTTATTCTCTTCTGAGAGTCACTATTCATTATGAAATAAGTTCAGCCAATAACTCTCACTTTACGATTCGAGGTTACCTTGCCAATAATATTATCAGCAAGAATCATCATATCATCAATATTCTTTCATTGAGTTAAGTTGACTAACTTAAACGTAGTGTTATACAAACATACTGAGTATTCACATATTCACACACGATCTTTCACGGTAAACGACAAAAAACAGTGGTATAAGGTTATACCCGATGGATATAAATATTATTATTATTATTTATTATTATTACGCTTTATTGTATCAATTAAATTCTCATACCTAATATACCACTGTAATAATTCTGAATGAAGAGAGTATCTGTTATCAAATATACGTACGCAATAAAATTTAATCACACTGTCTTTCGATATTTTCCAATCTCCGCCATTTATGCCGAGCCGAAGCGAATTCAAAATCCCGCCCGAATAACGAATTTTATCCGCATTAATAACCGGCAATAATCACAAATTGCGCGATAATTTGAAATCATTTCGAAGATCGAATTGTCGCATTTCGAGCTTTCATCGCTATAGAATTGTTACCTTTCGAAAATTTCTCGATCCTTCCAGGGCGATATAAAATAATTCAAATATCGAGCTTAGAAAAAACGTTGAAAATTGAAATGAGAATTGAACGTACAAAATGGCGGTAAAATGAATAGATTGGATATTACGGACATAAAAGTTTATAACAAGATAGTTTTTCTTTGATATCTTTCCGAAGAACTCATGAAGAATTTCTCCATTTGACTTTTGGAAATATCGACAAATGTTACCTCATATTCTCGCTCTATTATTTCCTATTTTCGCATTTTCTCGTCTCGTATTTCGCCTTATTGGAGACGAAACTTACCTAATCTGAATTGTACTACGACTGAAGTGAACGCAATTGGACTGTGAAAGTCGTATGACTCCGTGGCGCAACGGTAGCGCGTCTGACTCCAGATCAGAAGGTTGCGTGTTCAAATCACGTCGGGGTCAATTTCTTTCTTTTTTTTTTTTACTTTATTTTTTTCAATTTTATTTAATGCTGTAATTATTTGTTATTACTTTTGTAATAGAAAATTAATTTTCCAATATCAAATATTATGAATTTATTTTTTGAGATCCGTCTCGTGCACTTTCTGCACTTGAATGAATCAATGAATAGATGTAAACACAAAAGATAGGAGATTAGCGTGTCTCTTGTGCTCTTGCATTCTTTGAATTCTTCTTTCTTGGATTTTTACTCGAATTGGAACGAAATAATGCAATATCATATAGCCATAATATCTTCAATACATTCAAAATATTCAGGTATGAGAAAATTGAAATAAAAAAAATGTAATTTTTGATACAATATATTAAGCAAGTCAAATAGGTTAAAATAGAAAATTTTAACAGTTTAAAAATATTCAATTAATTATTTATTATTAATTGTTTATTATTATTTATTTATTTATCTTAGATCATTTAGACATCTAGTATGGTTCTTTTAATTCTTTGACATTCTTAATTAATTTCTATCCATTAAGATTTCAGATTGCACTAGATTCAGTCAATACATTGGAGACTTCAAAAATAATTAACTTATTAATCACAATTTGGAAATTGATATAAAACATCACTATATTATCTATCATAAAAAATTATAGCATTAAAATTTTTCAAACATACAACATGAAAGTGTAAGTTGTTAATAAAATTCATTAAATCTTTCGTTTCAAGAAAAATAATCTTTATATTTTTTAGTATAAAAGGAAATTGGAATACTCTTTTAAGTAATTATGAGGTTCTGGATATTTTGCGAAATACAAAATCCTATAAAAAGCAGAAACCGAACCAATTAGCGACCATCACTTATCAAACAACCAAATATTTGGAGACTATGCCATGCAAGACACAGAATCCAGAAAAAATTAAAGAGTTTTTGAAAGCAATGGAGCCCTTCAAATTAACTAAAGCTGAGAAGCTTGCTCTTTTGAATCTCTGCCCTACTAGACCAATTGAAATACAATTGGTATGATATTCTCTTTTATTTATTTTTTCTTCTTTAAGCATCAGAAAAGTTTTTAATCTATCGGTTTGATTAGCAATTAAATATTTTGAAATTACCAATCATTTTATATCTTTAAATATAGTTGATAGAAGAAAGTGAGGAACGTTTATCAGAGGAAGAATTGGAAACTGTGCTGCAGATAGTCGCGAATGTGCGAGGAGATTACGAATATAAAGAAGAAGAGACTTAATCTACATCTTAACATAACTTATTTAAATATATTTTATATGTACATTTTATTTTATAATAAAACATGACTGGAAATAGTATATTAAATACAATTGTGCATGTATAATATCTGCCTTATCTCTTTTGATCCCCAAGATCGTCTATAGAATCTTCATCAATCTAAAAAAAAAATATTATTTTTCATTTAAGAATTTTTGCAGTTAATCTTTTTCTTTTCTCTTCTCTCTTATAACTTACTTGTGGCCATTTTTCCGGTATGACTTCAAAAAGATCATCCTTAACATCACCTTGTATGACAATTTCATCATCCCCAGTCACACTGGATCCACAAGCAAATTTACTGCCAAAGAATTTTGCTGCTATCTTTAAATCTATATCTATAAAATAAAAATATTTTTATTATAAGCATTGTATTTATTCATTTTATAGTTAATAAATTGATCGTATTACCAAAAGTGCTAAGGCCAGTTACAACTGTGACAGATTTCTTTTTTCCTCTAGGTGCTCTAGAAACTGTTATTAACCGTGGTATGTCTTCCTTCTTCTTGGTCTTCAACATACCCTTACCACCTCGCTTCTGCCGCTTCTTCTCATCCTCTCCTCCGCCAGCTTCAGCAGAACCATCTTCTGTAGCTGATTAAAGCATAATCCTTCAGTTAGAAGCACAAAGCTGTCCTACCTAAGATTCTAAGATTTTCCAATTCTCTATAATTACCTAATTTAATTCTTTCAAATTCAGTAGGCAGATTCCTTTCAAGCCATTGCTTACACTTGTCATACTCGGGATAGTATTCGCAATACTGTAAATCAATAATTCAACTAAGGTTAAACTTTAAGGTTTTCAATATGAATTTTTTTTTTGTACAATATATGTGTATCGTGGAAAATAAAATTTCAACTTTAAAAATTTAAATAATTCTTCATAAATTTTGCTGTAATAAGAGTTCTAAAGCAAAATTCAATTATAATGAATTTTAATTATTAACTAAAGTATCTATTTCTATATCTTCATTTAATTATTATATACATTAATTAATGTTAAAAATTGCTCGTAATTTACCTCGATAGGTAGCGAACAATTTCCGCAATATTGGACCTGAATAGGATAAGTAATGTTAGGGTCGGGTCCTAATCGAAAATCCGGCTGTTTTTCTACTGACATTCTAGACGTCTAATCTCAGATGACGATCAAGTCAGGACGATTCCTTCAAGGATCGCTATTGAAGTCTTCCGTTTTATCTCGCCGAAGGTGTTTCTGGAAAAATGACGCTTTGATCTCCACAATCCGCTGTCAACTACCGTCGAATAAATCGCACCGCGCGCGCTCTTAGGTTAGGAATCGCCGAGAAGATAGCAACTTTAAGAGTGATTTCTGAAGCCTGGTAACATGAATAGTGATTTTCGATCTCCCCTTGTTTTATTGATCCATAATATCTTTGAAAGATAATTCGATCATATTTGTCACTTTTAGAGATCTGTCTATTTTGTTCGCGCTTTTTATCATTTTTTACATTTAACATTTAGCGAAGCGAGGCGAATATTATATATCCAAGAAATTGGCGAAAGACAGAGACAGAAAAGAACCCGAAATTGAAGGGAATTGAATTAATAATTATCTATTATTACAATCAATTACTAATTATAATTATTTTCTTATAATTCGTTAGCATAAAACAAATCTCAATTCTCATTGGTTACGCCATATTGTTTCCCTTCGCTCTAGAGAGTCAGATTTCGCTCGTATTGTTCGCCTACGTCAAACAACTAATCCGCGCTCCAGCCCGGAACATCCAATGAGCAATAGAGCTGCCCGCGGGTAACCGGCCGCGGCGGGCCAATCGCGGCTTACCGTGACGGGCCAATCGCGGCTCGCCGCGACAGGCCAATCGCGTGCGCGCCTTGTACTCCGTTCGAAACGCACGTGCGGACCGCGGGACCGCGCGCGCTCGAGTAGTGCGTCGCCCCGTGAAAAAGTTGGACGTCGTCGTCGCTCTCCGTCTCGGTCGGCACCGAACGGACAATTCAAAAGGGTGTGCGTGCGCGTGGTCGAATATAATAAATCGCAACGAGGGAGAGTCAGGGAGAGAGCGAAGAGACGGTGGTGAAGAAGGGGAGTTTCGCGTCGACCGGAGAAGCGACATCGGAAGATACAGAAAACCCTCGTTACATATACATATATATACACACATAGATATATATATATATATACACCCCATCGTCGTCCTCGACGTTTTCTTCCTCCTCGTCGTCGTCATCATAATCATCATCATCATCTTCGTCGTCTGAATGGTCGCGGAAATGGCAGTCGGCGCGCAGATCGACACGTCCGAGCGGGACCCCGGCAACTCGACGATCCCCTTATTGAACGGCGACCAGAAACACGAGGCCGTAAAGACGACCGGTGAGTAGAGATAACGCGCCTCCTCGTGCGCGCGATAACGAGCTGGCACGAGGCTGGCCGTGAGCGCTCTTTAAGGTTAATCGTCGCGCGAGGGGATCGGGTCGCTTTTTCCATTTGGTTATGTAATCCCGGACGGGGACGACGTCTCGCATCTCGCCGACCGTGTCCCACGGCGGGATTCTCTCGTTTTCGTCGCTCATCGCTCTCGTCGTGCCCCTTGAGCGCGAAGCCGGCCTCGATCGAGCGAGCGAGAGGGCGAGGAAGGGGGCGAGATGGAGCGCGTTATGTAACCTCGAATTGCGCGAATCTCAGCGCACGGGGTCATGTGAGTCGCCATCGTTGGAGGGGCGGGAAAAAGAGGGAGGGAGAAGGGTTTAGCAGAAGACGCGTCGCGGCGCCAACGGACGAATCTCCTCTCCGGGGTTGGCGCTCGAGGATCCGTTCGATTAATTGATCGGAATAGTCCTTGCTCCTTGACCGATCGATCCACTTCGTCGAGTAAGATTCTCGAGTCAACCACCGGTCCTTCCGGTTTATCCCCCTGGAATATATGCCTCTGGATCTTGGCTTCTTCCTTTGATGAAGCTGAGATACTTTTCGGAGAAGATTCTCCTCGATGCTTCTCGAAATAGTCGGAGGTACTAATGGAAGGACAAACACGTCTGGCTAATTCGTGAAAGTATCCAATGTCGAGGAAATGATCACCAAGACCCAAGTGAGGAGAATCTTCGAAATCTTCGAATATTATCGTATTTAAAAAAATTGAAATCTCTCGGCGAAGGACGTTACGTTCTTCCAAGGTACCAAAGATTTTCCAAGTTAACTTAAACAAATAAAATGGCAGGAAATTAAACAAAGTAGAGATGCTATGATTAATCAGTGATAAGTAATATAAATCGTTATATTAATCGATACAACTTTTGAAATATTGACAAGAAATGTTTTTTCAGGGAGAGTATCAGGGATTTCGTAATTAATTGCAGTGCTTATTGAAGTCTTAATTCGCCTAAATGAGAACAATAATATTCTTCGAGCTTTCGTTGATCCTTTAGGAAAGGACCAGTAGTTATCCAGGCATGGCATTCCACGAGATCAAGCACACGTGCTGTATCGCGTGTAATCGCGTTTACGTAACACGCTTCCAGTTGTGCTCGCATCTCGATTGAGACATAATTCGCATCGCTTTTTTCCCCTTCTTTTTAGTCGATGTAAAACCGTTGTGTAACGTGGATATTTACGATGAATTTCGATCTCGAGGACGAAGAGGCGATCGTATGACGCAACAATGATGTTTAGAACAGACGAGAATGTCAACGTGAACATCGACGTGAAGTTTAATGTCGTCGAGACTCGTGATAAGAATCTCAGCATAATACTTCGGGATGTAACGTTCTAGGATAAACAACGACGTATGATGCAATATCGCTGCTTGCGAGTGACGTCAATGTATAGTCGAGACGCAAGTAAGAGATATTCTAACAAGAGAGCCAGCTGATGCATACATTTCAATAGCGTAAGATCGATCTTTGAAACGAATAGAACGAATGTTCATGAATAGAATTTGAAGGTGTGTTTGAACGAATTTTCTCTGGAAACTGCGACTATTTTTCTCTCATTTTTCTATCTCAATTTTTTCCTTCTTCTTGACTAATCCATGTGTAAATATAGGAAATTAAAAAGAAAACGAATGAGACACACACGAAAGGTTCCCTTCTACGAATTGACTTTGATTGACGGGAATGTGCATTTTCGAAGGCTAACAGATCTGAGGATAGACTTTCTCTCCGCCAAGACATGTCTTTTCTCAGCAGATATGGAACAGATGAAAAGCACGTGTTTGCTAACGATCGACTTGAAAATTTGTCGCTTGCATTGCTTTAAATATCTAGAGATAGATCCAATATATCTTCTCAATCTTGTAAATTTTCTATCTTATACATTTCATGAAAATTAAATATTTCCTTAAAAAATTATAAAATTTTAAGAGTTGCATCAGAAGACCTGGAAGGTTCTGGAGAAACTTGACTAGACGAAGAAGCGATCGATCTGTCTAGCCGTTCGTATATTTCCGCAAGTTCAATGCGAAGAACGAGAGAGGAAAGAAGCTTCGTTTGAGCGCATTCTCATTCATCAGTAATCGAACAATTGCGGTGCGGAATCGCAATTGTTGAAGAAGCACCTACTGATAACGGGGGTTATCGGCGCCGGCTATTATAGCGTTTTACGGTATTCTGCGTCAAACATACATCCCTCGATTAAGTCAATTGAGTCGAGTAAACCGATGCAATTATACGATTTAAGCTCGTACTTTCACCTTTGAACTCGCGTGTTTAAATCGATCCTCTTCACGTGTCTCCGATGCGTCGTCGTGAACCTACATAACTCTCGTACGGTAAACCCGTCCTTTGCGATCTATATTTAGCTGTAAATACTATATAGCTATGTAGTTCATTTATCTATCGTTCATATATCTTTGAGATCTCTTTATATTCACATCCATTCTTTCCTCGTTATTTGAATTATAAACAGATATATGTCTATAAAGTCCCAAAACTCGTGAAGAATGTCTTCTTAGTAAAATTAAATAGAGCTTTTAAATTTCTATATATAAATTTTTGGTTTTATATATTATATCCAATATAAATGTACATGTATTCTTAATTTATTTTATATTTTTAAAAAATCTTCAATTATATATATGTACATATATATAATTTAATTAGAGATTTAATAGAATATGTATAATATTTATATATATTTATATATAAATAATAAATAATATTTATATGTATATATTTATATAATATTAAATATATATATTTGATAATAAATAATAATACATTCTATAATATATATAATAAATATATATAATTTAATTAAAGATTTTTAATATAGAATAAATTAAGAATAAATAAATATATATTTTTTAATTTAATTTTTTAAGTTTTATTTTGTAATATAAATATATGATTACTATATTTTTTATATTTTTAAATTTTTGCTTCAAGTTTATCGAAAAATCTTCAAAGTATCGTCTACTGATATTTTCACAGCACATTGCATATTTGTTATTAATTCAGATAATTATTCAGAAATTATTGATAAAAATGATCAGATCGCATCATATATCATTTAGGACGCGAATAATCGATCGCTTCCTCACTCCTGCCGGGGTCAACGAATGATACGATGCCATCGATGCGGTTCAGGTCCGAATTAAATTGATAGCGAAAAGAAAAGCGATTCGACGAGCATTGACAATCTTTCAACCGTGAACGTTTTGATGTTAAAACCCGTTTTCGCGCTATCGTGTGAATGAAACCGACGATGCCATTCGTCGACATGCTCCGCTTTAGCGGTAGGTGTATAAAAAATCGCGCTCGTGATAATTAATAATAATAATAATAATAATAACAACAACATTGTGTGGTCCTGGTAGATCTTATCTAATAGAACATTGATTTTTTTAAATTATTTCACTTGTCATTACGACCCAAATTGTTTACGATTATTGCATTCTTTATCTTAATAACTTTTCGTTTCGAGACTCATTGTCAGTACTACGATAACTAGTAGTATAGATAAGCGTAATAACTTATTTCGCTTTTTAGATATTTATAATAAAAAAGCATTAGCGCTGGCTTACAAAAGTTTCTACGAAAATACTTTTTTACTTTTATTCAGCAAATATTGTACTTAATATTACCTATTTGCAGAAAAATTATAATTATTTTAAAAAATAAATATTTAAAAAAACAAGATATATTTTAATAAAATATTACATGTTATTTTAATAAAAACTTAATATTATATATTTTAATAAAAATAAAAAGATTTATATACAGGATGTTTCATAAGTGGTGGGAAAAATTTCAGGAGTGGATTCCTCATGCTTAGAGAAGAAAAAATCAACATAGGTCCGGAAATGATTAGTTTTTGAGTTATTAAGATTTTTGTAATACAAAATTTTGTTTCATTTTTCGTCTTAGAAGTCCTTTTACAGGCATCAACAATGTTGCCAAACTTGAAAAACTCTAATCTTAACTATAACTCAAAAACTATTCATTTTCGGACTTATGTTGATTAACTTTTTTTTCTTCTCTAAGCATAAGGAATCCTGAAATTTTGCCCACCACTTATGAAATACCCTGTATATGAAGCATTATATCTCAAAATTTATTTTTTTACATAAATTCTTCTACATTTGTTTCTATAATACTCTACATATGTTATTTCCACTGTAACACGTAATCACACATCGCAGTCCTTTCCCCATATTTACAGACCTTTTTCTCACATTATTTCGTGATAAGATGCCTTATCTACATCCAATTACACACTCGTATTGTAACAAGAGTACAATAATTCTACATAAAGTGATAGTGGAAGGATACACCGATAACGGAGTGATAAGGCAGCGAAATAGACGACATAGCGAAAGAAAAGTGAAAAGAAAAAGGAATTTTTTTTTTGCGAGTATTCCAATATTTGAAATTTCAAAATTTTATTGTCCAATTATCGAACATAGTTTTTTGTTTTTGAGATATATAATTATATGTTTAATTTATATTTTATGTAGATCTATTTTATTTATACACATATAAAGAGTTATTGAGAGAGAAGATCAGTATTCGCTAAATTATATAATTTTTCAATTTTTTTTTATTCTCTTACACAGCAAATTTCTCTACCTCAAACTCTAATTCGTGGCACTTGAATTATGGAACAGTTCTCTTATCAGTCGCGTCAGTTATCACCCATCATCGATAATTATACCAGGTCTTCGATATTCGCAAAATAGTGTATAATGTAGCTTATTTAAACATGTGTAAAAAAATTTTAACAGTCTGCATAAAATTTTTCCTTTTGTTACACGCTAGTTGAACGTTAATTTAGGAACTTCTTTTGAAATTTAAACAGGAAGCATTTCGATCAGTGGAATAATCATGAAAAAGACATATTTTCTCGTTATTATAAACAAAAATATTTTTTATTGGCAAAGAAATCAATATTGTTTAAATTAATAGAAATTAATATTACTAAGTTTTACTTACCAAGGATTACTAAGTTCAATAAAAAATGATGTAATAAAAAATAAACGTAATATGAGAAATATTGCATATAAAAGAAAAGAATTATATATTATTATAATTATAAGAATCACGTTTAGATCGATGTGAATGAATTAAATAAGAATTAGCCTTCTAAGTATCCATAATATGGATTAAATTAAAGGATACTAGATAAAAAAAATCGAACCGAAAAAATTAAATATTTTTGTAGTAATAAAAAAAGGAATGAGTTCAATGATTGTTGTTCTTAATGGTGCAATGACCATTTTTCTCACCTTTTTTGCTGCTCCAAAATGGATGCATAAAGTAAACACATGTTTCGACATAAATAGAACGACGACATTTTGGTCGCGTACTATTTATTTTGTAAACGCATCGGTGAATGTGAGTGCCGAGAGAGTGCATTTGAAAGCGCATCCGACAACACGAGACCACTTGGAGACTACGATGTATTTATATCTTTCTCGTGAATGCATCGCAAATACCTTTCAGTGTCAGGGCAAGAACGAATTTACGCATTATTCTGTAATTTATTCTCAATTTGAATTTATAATCAGTGATATCGTGCAATTAAACACCATGTTTTTTGTATTTACAGAGTATGATTCCTTATTATGAAATATATTGAAGAAAAGTTTTCATTCACGAATTCATACATGTTATATTTTAAATCGATTTAAGGAGAAATTAGAAAATTAACGCGAAAATTTGAATTTAACGCGATTTTTTTATTATCATGTAATTTTCTGATAACTTTTAGACTCTATAAAGATACAAGCTTCACATAAAATCACATGTGCATGTGTAAATTGATACATTAATTTAATTGTGGGATTTTTATATAAAATATATAAATTTGTAATTTACAAAATTGTTTCTTATAGAGAATGAATTATATTTTCAGAGGTGAAACAGGAAGCAAAATTATTTCTTATAGAGAATGAATTATATTTTCAGAGGTGAAACAGGAAGCAGAGGAGAGTGGAAGCACGAGTTCTACTACTGAAAATGTTGTCGAAAAGGGAGAAGTCGAGGCAACGAAGGAAAGCGAGAAGGAAAAGGACAATAAGAATAATGACGGGAACGAGAAGGAAACGGATGTCGCTGATAAGGAGAAAGATCCCGCAAATGAGCAGGAGGTCGTCTTCATTCAGGACATGGGCTTTACCGTCAAGATTGTTAGCCCGGGTTCTGAACCTTTCGATATACAAGTCTCCAGTATGGAACTTGTGCAGGTAATTGTTCACTTCTCGATGATGAAACATTGTCCATATCTGATGTAGAAGGTCTCTTTTATTTTAGTTAATAATAAATTATTTTACTTTATATCTTATATTTATACTGTAATTGAATCGAATGTAATATTATGCTTTATGTTCTAATTGGCATCGAATTTAAAACAATTTTTTAATTGAAATTTATTATATATCTTTCTTATTTTTTTTAGGAAATCCATCAGCTACTCATGGATCGCGAAGACACGTGTCACCGCACATGCTTTTCACTGCAGTTGGATGGCAACACATTGGATAATTTCGCCGAGTTGAAGAATATCGAGGGCTTGAAGGACGGTTCGATCATCAAGGTAGTAGAAGAGCCGTATACGATGCGGGAGGCGCGCATACACGTACGACACGTGCGCGATCTCCTCAAGTCCGTAGATCCTGCGGATGCATACAACGGCGTCGAGTGCAGCAGTCTGTCCTTTCTCAATGCCGTTACGAACGGCGATATTTTAGAGAAAAAGAAGACCCGAGCGGATTCGGTCGATTGCACGCCGCCTGATTACATCATACCTGGATGTAAGGACAGGCCCTTGTTACCTCTCCAGCCGCAGATGAAGGAGCAAAAGTGCCCGCCGTGTCTAAAGGTTAATAACTTGTAATTAATAATCTAATTATTGGGAGTTAAAAGAAGGAATGACTAAATTGACTATATTAGATTGTAGTTAATGGCATTTTTCTGATACATACAGATTCTAATTTATTTTACTTAAAGTAGCGTAAAAATATTGCTCCAAGAAAAAATCGTTCAAAGATAATTGAACTATAAATTCTTATGTTTACATTATTCAAAATTGGATTGTATATTTTTATTTGAAGGAAGAAAAGAGAGAAACAAACTAAACTTTTAAAATTTTTTAATTTCTAGGTTTTAACAACGTCAGGATGGAATCCACCGCCCGGCCACAGAAAGCTTCATGGCGATCTGATATATTTGCATGTAGTGACATTGGAAGATAAACAGTATTATTTGACTGCATGCGCTAGAGGTTTCTTTGTTAATCAATCGACCAAAGAAGTGTTCAATCCTAAACCGGCCACGCCTAGTCACTTATGTCACAGCTTGATCGAGCTGCTCAATCAACTTAGTCCGGCCTTTAAACGAGGATTCGCCGCTATGCAACGACGCAGGACTCAAAGGCATCCTTTCGAACGAGTGGCGACACCTTATCAATTGTATGCTTGGAGTGCACCGCCAATCGAGCACACCATCGACGCTATTCGTGCGGAAGATAGTAAGTTCTAGAATAAAAAGAACTTCTAAGATTCATTTCAGCAATAAAAAGAAAAGATCTACAATCAGAATATGCCTGAATTTGGTGGAGATAGTATTAGTTTTATAAAAAATTTCAATAAGAGTCATGTTCATATTTAAAATAAAAAACACATATACTTACAAAATAATTAATCACTTGGAGATGTTGATGGATACAAATATTTATATGAAACATGACAGATTAAATAAATGAGATAATCAATTATTTTTTACTTATCCTAGCTTTCTCCTCCAAGTTGGGATATGAAGAACATATCCCGGGTCAAACTCGCGATTGGAACGAAGAATTGCAAACTACAAGGGAATTACCACGTAAAAACCTTCCTGAAAGATTATTACGGGAACGGGCCATTTTCAAGGTAGATAGTGTCTCTCATATACATTAATGTTATACAAAATAGTATAATAATACAAAATTAAAATAATAGCATTAATGATAATTGATCAAAATTAGTTTTTATTTTTAATAATTTAAACAGTAAATAATAATTTTTATAATTAAATTTTTCCTTTTCTTAATTATTTTATGGTTTAGGTTCACAGCGATTTTGTGGCCGCTGCGACTCGCGGAGCGATGGCGGTGATAGATGGCAATGTAATGGCTATTAATCCCGGCGAGGAAGCTAAAATGCAGATGTTTATCTGGAATAACATTTTCTTTTCGCTCGGCTTTGACGTGCGGGATCATTACAAAGAGTTGGGCGGCGACGCCGCAGCTTTTGTCGCGCCCCGTAACGATCTACAAGGTGTCCGGGTATATGCTGCCGTGGATTTGCCCGGCCTTTATACTCTTGGCACCGTTGTCATCGATTATAGGTACGTTTTTCGTATAATATTTGTTATTTGTATTGATTCTTTAAGTTAATAGTTGGTATCTCGTGACCTTTGTCTCGTAGAGGCTATCGCGTCACTGCACAATCTATCATACCTGGTATACTGGAACGTGAGCAAGAACAATCGGTAGTCTATGGATCCATCGACTTTGGCAAGACAGTTCTCACACATCCTAAGTACCTTGAATTGGTAAGCAAACAGGATATATGAGCAGAATCTCTGTATAATGTAAATCAGTATAAAGTCTACATATACTTTAATGAGATAAATCAAGAAAAAAATAAATAAATTCTTGTCTTTTTCTGTTAATAATGTAAAAAATGTAAAGGAATTATTAATTAATTTTTCTAATTTTTATTTAATGTTATACTTAATTGAAACATAGAAATCTAATTAATTTTGTATTAAATTTTGTAAAAAAATTATTTTGATCGATTTTTGTTGTTATAATCGTTTTGTTATGTATTATCACTCCATTGTAGCTTTGACACAAGTATTTTTTATGCTCATGTTTAGCTGAATAAAGCTGGTCAACAGCTAAAGATCCTTCCTCATAAAGTAATCAATGATGCCGGTGAGGAAATCGAACTTTGCAGCAGTGTGGAGTGCAAGGGTATTATTGGTAACGATTCGCGGCATTATGTGCTAGATCTGTTGAGAACTTTTCCGCCCGATGTGAATTTCTTGAAATGTGAGTCGAAAAACTATGATTCTACGATAGTTCTAAAGGAACTGTGTATATGTGTATATATATGTTTTAATTAATAATAACTTTTAAAAAATTTTCTTCTTATTCAGTGGAAGGTGTGGAGCTAAGCAAGGAAGCGCGAGCCTTGGGCTTTCCGGTAGAGCATAAACACAGATTAGCCTGTCTACGTCAGGAGCTTATAGATTCGTTTGTTGAGGCTAGATACGTTCAGTTCATCAAACACGCAGCTGTCCATCTCCAACAACTCACATCAGCTAGAAGATCTCAAAAAGAAAAAGAGACAACTACCAAAGTAAACAGACACTTCTCTCCCTATCATATTTTACATTTTTATTATTTAAAATATTGCGAACAATTTGAAATAATGATTATGGAAGATGATGAAAATTAATAATTCTGATTTTAGGAGGATAAAAAGGAGGATTCCAGTGCCATTGTAGCAGTGGATAGTAACAAGGAAGATTGCGCCTCATCGTTGATAGAAGCCGATGAAGCCAAGAAGATCGTCGAGAGCATCACCGACTCGATCACAGGCGGTGAGAAACAGGAACGTATGTAATCAAATATACGAAATGGTCTTTAGTGTCAATATCAATATTTATTTTTATTTATTTAATAGTAAATATACAAATATTAGGGGAAAACGAAAGATAATATAAATTATAAAGAAATTCGTTTTAAAAGAAAGAACTGTTTTATAAAGAATCTTATCTTTGAATGATAGTGGAGGAAAGTACCAAGGAGATAGTGCGAAGAGCCGCGGCGGCGGTAGGCAGTCTACGAGACGCCGAATTTGACGTGAGATTCAATCCGGATGTGTTCTCGCCCGGCGTTAAACATCCGGATTTCAATGGCGTCGACCTGAAGAAACAGAAGCAACTGGTAAAAGACGCCGCGGATTTCTTACTTACTGTGCAGCTACCGACGTTCGTGAGTTCGTTGTAAAATTATAATTAAATTTCTGCAATTGGAATCCGAGATATATTATAATATTATATTTTTCTTTCTTAATTAAATTCTTATTCTTTAGATACGAGAGTGCTTAGACCACACAGCAGCTGCGATGGATGGCAGCACGTTGGTGGAGGCTCTCCACGGTAGAGGCATCAATGTTCGTTATCTCGGTAAATTGGCAGCTATGTTAGCCGCAGTGCCCCAGCTGCAATATCTTAATCGCATCGCTGTATCCGAACTGATTCTTCGATCGGCCAAACACATTTTCACCTCTTATATGCAGGTATGTGTGCAACATTAAATTGTTCAAATCTAAAATTCTTTATTTTGTCTATATCATAAAATTACCTATTTTATTAAAAAATAAGATAAAATTATAGCATCATTTTATCAATAAGTATCATAAGGCAAAATTGTATACATATCCATTTTGCAGGGTACAGAATTGATGGGTCTGTCCGCAGCCGTCAGCCACTTCTTGAATTGTTTGCTGTCTTCGGCACAAATTATACACCCGCAACAAAATCTGGAAGAGGTTGGTCATATGGCGATTAAGTTACCGCACATTAGTTATATATAATTAATTAATTAAAATCAATTCTCTCACGATACAATAATTTTACACTGATAGAGTCAAAATTTTATTTATTTATTTAATTACGACAAATAGTTAAGAGCACAGAAATAATTATTCTAGAGAAGATTACATTTTCTATTAAATTAGAATAGTATATAGTCAATGTAATTTTCTGTGTCAGCTTCAGAGCAAAACTGCAAAACGTCGCAATAAACGTAAAGGTAGGAATAACGGACCGCAACAATCAGAAGTAGAATGGGCATCATTAACGCCTAAATCATTGTGGCAGCAAATTAAAGGTGATTTGAAGGCCTATTATGACTGGGAAACACCAAGTCCGGAGTCTTTGGACGCCACGATAGAGCATTTTCATTTGCAAAAGATTTCACTGCTGCGTGGCTTCTGCATCAAGACCGGAATTCAGATATTGCTGCGCGAATACAACTTTGAAAATAAGAATCGGGCGTCGTTTTTCGAGGATGATATACTAAATATTTTTCCCGTCGTCAAGCATATCAATCCTAGAGTAAGTTGTTCATTTTGAGTGAATAAAAATGAGACATATTAATAATCTAATAACTTGAAATTTTAGAAAAAGTAATCAATTTATGGAGAAATAATTCACATAGCTAAAAAATATTAATCCTCGAAAAAAGGTTTTTTAATTTCAAAATAATATTCAAACTAATTTCAAACTAATATTTGGCTGAATCTCTCTAAAGAGATTAAAGAATAATTTTCAAATTAAAATTATGGTATTGCATAAAATAAATTCATCTTAACTCGATTTCTTTCAGGCTAGCGATGCGTACAATTTTTACACAACTGGCCAAAACAAGATTCAGCAAGGATACTTAAAAGACGGATATGAATTAATTAGCGAGGCACTGAATTTATTGAATAATGTTTATGGCGCGATGCATCCTGAGATCGCACAATGTCTCAGAATGCTGGCGAGACTGAATTACATAATGGGCGATCACGCAGAGGCACTCGCTACTCAGCAAAAAGCAGTTCTTATGTCGGAGAGAGTCAACGGCATTGATCATCCTTATACTATCACAGAATATGTAAGTTGTATCAGTTATTATAAAAGAAACGTAATTTTATAATTCCAATGATAATTGCATAAAATAATCATATTCTTTGGGTATTTTATGCACATTATGTTATAAAAAATTTTATGTAAATATATAAGAAAAAGATAATTTATAAATAAGATATATAAGAAAAAGATAATTTATAAAGACTAATATTAATAAGTAAATCATGATATAACGGTTATTTAACTATTCTTTATTAACAATGTATGATTAATAATTTATTATATTTTGTCTTTTATACAGATACATCTCGCCTTATATTCTTTTGCCAATGGTCAAGTATCTGTATCATTAAGATTATTGTACAGAGCACGGTATTTGGCTTTATTAGTCTGCGGCGAAGATCATCCAGAAGTGGCCTTGCTCGATGTAAGTTTAAAAATTGGTGATATTTTCACTTTAAGAACATATAATTTTTATAAATTTTTATAAAATTAATTTTAAATTGCAATGTGTCTGATTTTTTCAGAGCAATATCTCATTGATCTTACATGCGGTCGGCGAATATGAGTTGTCACTGCGTTTTCTGGAACATGCGTTAGCTCTTAATTTACGTTATCATGGTCCGCGTTCGCTCAAGGTTGCAGTGTCATATCATCTGGTAGCGCGTACGCAGTCGTGTATGGGCGATTTCCGAGCAGCACTGAATAATGAAAAAGAGACGTACGCAATCTACAAACAACAGCTGGGCGAGGAGCATGAGAAGACGAAAGAAAGCAGCGATTGTTTACGTCACTTGACCCAGCAGGCGGTCGTGTTGCAAAAGAAAATGAACGAGATCTACACTGGCAAGTCTGGCGTGAGCTTGCCGCCGATTCAGGTGCAACCGCCCAGCATGGGCTCGGTACTAGATATGCTCAATGTCATCAACGGTATTCTCTTCGTACAAATTAGTCAGCAAGATATCGATAATTTCAAGGCGGAAATCGAAAAACGGCAGAAGGAACAATCGCAGTTGGATGGCATTGAGACTGTCAAAATCGAAAAAGACATAAAAAAAGATGACAAGGAGATCAAGAAAGTATCCACGACAGTGGAGAAGAAAATCGAGAATGTCGAACAAAAGGCGGAAACAAAAAAATTAGAAACTAGCAAAGATGCCACCTTAGAGCCAGTTGTGGCAGCGGAGAGCTGAGCTCTTCACTTGTTGACGATGAATACCGGTAGTCTTTCCTTTCTTTTTTTCTGAGCCGTAGTCTCTTCTCGTGAAAACTATTTCGCGCGAGAATTGTCGTGTGCATGGTATTATATATATATATATAATGTATATATATGTATTTTATATATATACATATATACATATAATACATATCACATACTTGATACTTGCACTGTTTTGTTATATCGTCTGAATATAATTGAAGACTCTCGAAAAAGAAACGAGATGCAAAATAATATCGTTGTCATAGTGTGTTTGCGAAAAAAAGAAAGAATAATACGTAACACATTCGCGCGAAAGATTGAATTTTCACGCGAAAAACGCGCACACTTATTTGTTATACCAAATGTATATAACAAGGAGATAAGTGCCATGTCGCTTAAAAAGCAATCTTCGATGCGAGCGTTTTAAATGTAAGAGGTACTGTGTCCTCTTCGCATCACGAAATCAAAGTGAGCAAGCAATGTGATTTCTTCACTTGTACGCATATATTTTTTCTTTTTTAAGGACCAGCTGTTATTTCGTCAAAACAATTTAATAGCGTTGGAAAATCGATCGAATTCGTAGTAACTTCTGAAAATCGCCTTTTTTCCCTCTATTATGTATATCATGTATTTTATTAGACTTTTTTGTGAGATCGCCATATGCTGTTTTGGCCTTTGTCGTTACTAGTCGCCATCAATAAAAGAAAGCACCATAATATACCTAAATCCACCATCATTTATTACAGCAGTCGCATGAAAGAGCTTCCTCTTATATAAATATTATTGAATTATATATTTAGAATTTTATTTTCCTATAATATAAAATTCTTTATATTTTCATTATATCTTCACACTCTTGCGATAATGAAGATAAAAAATACGAATAGCATTGTTACCTCTACGTTCGTTATAAGGACACAATAATAATTGATTGTTAATCGAATCACCGTGATCGTATAGTAATCAATTTCAAATTTCGCGAGTAGAACCATAAGTAAACGAGATACAATGATTACTGTGCTGTTAATATTAATTTTTGTTCATCTCGTCTCTTCCATGGCCCAAATCAAAATCTTTCGCCGCAGTTTGATCGATAAACGATGATAAACGGTTGATAATTTAGTACACAATAGTAATAATAGGGATAAACGCGAGGTTTTTAATGACCGAAAAAACGCCGATCTTGTTTCACCTCGTAGATTTTAAGCGAAACATTTTAGGCCTGAGGTAAAAGCACCAACATTTTTGTTGCAAACAGTAAAAATACATTGATCAATTGTCAACGAAGCGATATCATCGCGTCGATCACTATTTCCTCGGACGAATCCATTTTCGCATTGCAATAATAATCATAATAATGAATTAGTATACTACATTTGTTAGCGAAATTGTATTATAAAGAGGACTTATAACAGAATATAATTATAATAATTATAAGGTCTATTATATATTATATATAAATAAAAAGGTTACGAATTTGATTTACATATACCATCCTGTTATAGCAGACTTAAACATATTGCATGAATAAATCGTTTTATATGAATAACAACATCGATCTAATTTAAGAATTTTCGAGATTTTCTACAAAATTTTTTTATTGTCTGACTATAAATGTTCCAATGGAATATTAACATCTTTATCAGAAATTTTCCTTTTTTTTCCTTTCCTTTTTTTAATAGATTTTGATGGATTAACAATTTTTTCCTTTACGTCCAATTTATTTATTAAATACTGTCGTAGTGATTGTAATGCATCTAAACCGCCGCTTCCATTTTCAAATATCATCCATATCCTAAATACATCATCTTGAACAATTGCCTCCTCACAGCTTGCAATCTCTACCAAGAGCTTACAAGTAAGTATGGGAACGCATTCAAGTATTTTTTTATCAGAACTTTTTTCATGTTCAATCTTAATTATGGATGTTTTATCTGAAGAATTTTTATTAACTTGCCCGATATCATTAAATTCTTTTATGACAATAGAGTTTGAATATTCTCCAGTTTCTACATTTGTTTTGATATGTTCTTCGCCTTCATTTTCAACTTTTCTTAACGCAATCTGTCGTTGCGCTAAACGTCGTTTTCTGCGCGCGTGTTCCCATGATCTTTCTTTAGCAGTTATTCGACCTGACCAGTCGTCCAAACTATCTTCAGGAATAGACAGATCTTGTAACTTAATCTGTTAAAAATAATAAATTTAATTAGAGCTAATTAAATTTAATAAGTTCCTTAAATAATATATAATATTCAATTAGTGATAATTAAATTTAACATTAAGAAAATAATGTGTTACATTTAATTCTTCTGCCATTGTTCTTAAAAAATTTATTATATCGTTTATGCAAGCAAATTTATCATTCATAGGAAATGTTATCAAAGTTTTATAATCTTTTTTTAAGGACTGTACAATTGATTTTCCACTTTTTCTGATAACAGGTGCACTACTCAGATCTATAATATTTTCTGGTAAGAAGCTCCAAGCCAAACCCCACCTGTTAATAAACATAATTTTTAATCTCTGAAATCAATATTTCATTTATTAAATAATTTAATAAACAATAATTAATACTATAATTAAGTAAGAAATTAATTTGTTTAAATTTGTGCTAACAATTCATGCATCAAAACAGGGAATTTTAATAATAAAACTGAACAAGCAAATTTTAATAACATTAATTTATATAATATTTATTTACCGTGTTGTGTAACCTTGACAAAACTCCGTCCATGTCATATTCTTTATATTTTTCGATCTTATTAATTTTTTAAGACTGAACAAATCAGTTTTTCTGCCTATCATTGTAGTGTAAATCTTTATTTGATTTCCCAAATCAACACTTTCCTCAATCATTCTCGTTACAAAAGCTATTTCGCCACCCGTTGTTTTTAGCTCGTTATCGTTTCCACTAGGCGCGTTTCTTGGTGGCAAAACTTTTGCAATTCTCTCATCGCTATCGTTCTCGAAAAACGGTGGATTACACATCGAGAAGTCATAAATTTTATCATCTTCCACCGCATCCTTAAAAATTCTATCGGAATTTACTGTAACTACTACATTAAAAAAATATTATGTAGATTTGTTTTTTAATTTTAATACCGTAAACATCTCTATCTTTTTTTTTACATTTTCAGAAAAAGTATCTTTAATAATTCTTACCTTTAATTAAATTTTCCAAGTTATTTTTTATTATGCATTTCTCTGCATACTCTATGCTTTTTTTATCTACTTCTGTGCCAATCATATGATATCCATAGATTTTTGCCAGTAACAGAGCATATATACAAATTGCTCCTGTCCCTATTTAAGAAAAAATGTATTTAAAAATCTTGAGCAATTCCGAACATATTTTAAATTGCAAGAATATAGAAGTCTATTAAAAAATACCATTAGTATATTTAAAAAAAAAAAGATTTTGAAGAGTTATTCTTATCATTGCTATGATTGATTTTGTGAGACTTATTACTTTTATATTAATAATTTCTTACTCTTTCTCTTTAAAAGCTTGAATTATGTTTGTAGAAGTACATTAAAGAGGCTTTTATATATACCAATATCGATGCCTGTGATCTTATTCATATCTAATTTGAAATACTTCATCAAATCTTCAATCCACAAAACATAATTCATGCGTAGAGTGATTGCTGGATTTAGATTATCCGGAGGAATGTTTATGTGCAGATCAAAATCATGCTTCAAAAGTGTTTCTGTAAGTACCCGTAGGCTCTTTTTGTCTTGAAAGTTGATTCTGATCTTGCCCGCAATGTCCTAAATAACAAATGTGAATAGAATACTATTATTACAAGTATTATATTCTATCCCATATCTAAAAACATTAGGTTCATATTTAAATGTAAAAGATATAAAAAAAAGGAATAAGAAAAAAATTTTTTAAACATACAAATTTTTTCCTATATTTTTGTCATTTAGGTGGACATACACTTTTCATTGCTTCTTCTTTTTTTATTAAGTCACGTGCATTATATTTGCTAATATTATATTAGATTCAATTTGCATAATATTAATATTCTTGTAAAAACTACAAAAGATAGCATACCATAATTGCAATTTCGCGAAACTCCGGATATAAGACCGCGAGTTGCTTGTAATCCGGTGGTTTCTTGTATTTATTCCTTGGATGAATATATCTTTTCACGTTCATCCTGATATCAATCTAAAAAAGCTTTGTCGAATACAATCAATTACATATGTCAATCGATCATAATTGAAATTAATTGTCTTTTTCGACGAATAGTCACATGTGAGAGACCTTTAAAATACATCATCATACTTGTTCTTGTTCGTTCTTTGCTGCGATTTGTCATTCCGCTGTGTCTGTCATTTTCAGAATAGAAGAGAACTGATTGGTTACTGTGTTATTCTATCTAGCAATGTTCATATTATATGCATCATCATTATCAATGGCCACAGCCAATTATATCGATCTGTGCCTAGAGTAATCAGCAACGATTGACCAATCAGAGAGTTCTATTTTGAATTGGCCAATTGGCGACGTGATCTAATCGAGTGTTACCCAAAGGTCACATTCCGCGAACTCTACTGCTAAATAACAATCAAACATGATTGGTTTCTACTATCAGATCCGACCAATCAACGTCGAATTATATCGGAAAATCTAGCAGAGAGAAGACTGAAAGGTGTCATGGCCTGTTTTTAGGTGATCCCTAAACGCAATACTCCCTCTATGGACATTGAAAACGTGACATGCACTACAAAACCAATGTCCATGAATGTTCTCGGAGGGTAATATATAATGTGCACAATTTCTTCCGATTTTGTTCAGTGCTATGGGCACGAAATGCTAGTAGCATCAGTGCTGTAATAATAATAAGATACTTATGTATGTAAATTGATAGTAAATAAATTATTCAATCGCGAAAAATACTGTAATATTCAAAAATGAAATAAATATCTTTCTATATTTATTCCCATATTTATATCTTTTTATTTACAAAATACAAAATGCCTGCTGTGGGATGAAAACATTTTTAACCGTATTTCTATAAATCTTCTTAATTAGAAGTAAACTTTTCGGATCTTTGATATTTATCAATCATTTTCTTAATTATTTAAAAATTTAATTATTAATACATGTATAGAATTTGTCAAATTAATTACTAATTCTTTTAAAATTTTTATAATTAAAATTTGAAAAATATAGATGTTGCAAAATAATTCTCTTCCTTTATATAAAATATAAGGAATTCATATGTTCCAATTTTAATACAGCTAACATTATTTTTATATATTTTTATTATAATTTTCATACCAACATAATATTTTTATGCTTAATATAATATTTTTATGTATAATATTTTTCTGCTAAATACATATTACAAAATATATGACAAAATATAATACAATAAATTTAATATAAAATATAATTCGAAATTTAATTATACAAAATAATTTATTACACGAAAATGTCAAAAATATATGTATATAATATAAAATTTACTAAAAATTTTTACATAGTCCAGACGAGACTGATCAGCGAAGATTAATTACGTGACATTTATTATTAATAATAGATATGCAATAATAGAATTTAAGTTTTATATAACGTAAATAATCGTGATCAAAAGAGTCACTAATAAAATATTATTGATCGTTTCTTCGATTGTAAAAGAAAGTATTTACATTACTGACGCATTTTGTGTAGATTATCAAAGGAAATATTCAAAATGAAAAGATAGAATAAACTTAAACTATGAATTCGAAACTTTTATTTATGTAAATAAATATTCATATATACACCTCGCTTCCAAATATTTAATTTGTATTAATTACTGAAATCCCTGTACTGAATTTCCTGTTTTTTATTAACTTCTGTATTAATTAACATCTGTTTCCGCTCTACATTTACATTCTTTTTCTTATCGCCATTATCTGAAGTTAAGCTGTGCATACAGATATTGTAAATTCAATAAATGAATAATAATGAGAAATTAATGTAAATTAATAATGAGAATTTTCGATATCTCCTAAAAAATGCATATGTCGCAATAAATAAACAAAAACGAGTATTAATTTTCTATTTGTTTCCGTTTTAATTTATTCATGCGGTAATACGTTGTAAGAAAAGATTTAAAAGATTTTATATCGCATAATAAAAATTGTAAAAATATTAGTAATAATAATAAAAACACGTTAAAATATAATTTTTTAAATACATTAATAATTTGAATATTTATATAACATATACCAGCTTATTTAATATGTAATAATTTTTATTAATGATTTACGTTATATATGTATGTTATAATTTTTATATTTTACAAATCTCATTTTCATATTATTTAAGTTACAACTGTTTATATTCTGAATATTTAAAATATATCCATTTAACATACACTCACACACACACATCCACGCGTATATATACAATTGTAACTATTAATCATTCCTATGAGCAATTTGATTTTATAAAAAATTCCTACATCACACGTATACTTGACACGTATACTTAACTCTTTATATTATTACAATTATTTATTATTGAATATGTCTGTTCTATAATGTATTATTATTGAATATTACATCTCATAATATCGTATGTAACTTTTATAGATTTCAGTTGCTCTTTAAAAATTTTAAATTTATATTTTTTAGGAATATACTATATAAATATTGAATAATTTTCTTCTTATTGTATCTGATAAAATTGATAACTCATTGTTTCTACAACAATAAGTTTTCTCCATAACAAATAAAATAGTATATGTAATATAAATAATCATTAATATTACTATTTTTGATTTGTTAATATTTTTACTACACTAACAAATATTTTTAACAAAAATAATTTATTAAAAATATTTGTTAGTGGAGAAAATAAACTCAGAAAAAATTTTGAAAATGCGAGAACATATAAAGAAAATGTGAAAATGATAATATTGATGAAACCGAATATTGTAAACAGAATATTCTAAAATTTATAACGATCGATTCGAAAAAGTTCGGAGACTATTCTTAGACTATTCTTATTACTTCATTCCAATTTCACGATTTCGATGCTATGAAAGAAGTGATTCTTTCTATTCTTCCTCACAGTACACTTTTTGCAATGATTTTTAAGCTTCACAAAAATAAATTATAATAAAATTTTTAGTTAATTTATATTAGTGTTCCTAAATTAATAGAAATAGAGATAGAGATTTTCATTATAAATAATTCGATTTTTTCTTTTTTCATATATATGTATTTCTTGATGATTTATCAATTTGGAATGTACATTGCAAGATCATAATTATTACGTCTACATTACGTCTTACGTCTTACATTATGTTAGCCAAGTATTTCGCATTGCTTTATTTGCTTTAGTATTGTTTAAACAAGTGAAAAAATATAATGCATTTAACAACTTTTAAAAAATATTTGCATAACTTTTTTGTAAAAGTAACTTTTTCATAAATTTTTGTTTAATAAATAATCTTTCTTATGTGCCTTGTGTTTAATTATGAAAATGAGATACTGATATGATTATAATAAATAAATGCAGGAAGTTCCGTATCTATCAAAGAAAACAGATATATATCTGGCGTATAACAAGCACTGAATTTAATCGAGCTACGATATTCTGAGATACACTTCAATATATATATATATATATGTATTTTCTATTATAATATATATATGTTACATTGAATTTATATTCTCTAAATTGTTACAAGTTTTTATATTAACATACAGTGATATTGTGTATTATGTATACTGTGTACTATATTGTACAGGAAACTTATTATTGTTTACGAAGTTGTTATTTTTTGCCGTGATGATTTTTATAAGTGTTATACTTATTATTTTAATCGTTGTGAGTTATTTTATCTTAAATCATCAATCGTCCATGGTTAAAGCCGCTAAGTATTTGCCAGGTCCGAAACCACTTCCGTTAATTGGAAATGCCTGCTATCTTCTCAGGACAAACTTTGAGGGTAAAAAATAATGCTTATTTTTATTAAAAACAAAATAATTTATACTATTAATGTTATTATCTATATGTTTTTATTATATTTGATTACGATAAATTTTTTTCCACATTCTTATTCTAACTTCACAAAAAATTTTAGAATTTTTGAACAGTATGTTGAGTCTTATGGATTCTTATGGTTATTCATCTCCTGCTCGATTTTGGTTCGGTAATAAATTATACATTGCCGTATATGAACCGGAACAACTAAAGGTGTGTATAATAAATTATAATATAATATTGCAAGATAACATTAATACAAGTTTGTCAGCTGATATTTTACTACGTGCATAAATAAATGGGTCAAAATTGTAAAAAAAATTATTTTATAAATAATATCATCGCACAGATTATTTTGAGAATTTATCGAGCTAATGGAATAATTCTATTTAAAAATATGTATCGTAGCAAATACGAATGCAATATTATATTATTAATTTATATTGAATTTATTTTACTATAAAAATATAAAGCAAACAAAATTTTTATTTATAAAATTATACAGATTGTTCTACAAAGCTCCAATTGTTTGGATAAAGGAAAAGTGTATAAATATGCTGAGTCCTGGCTAGGTACGGGATTGCTTACAGCTCCTGGTAAGTCACGCTTTTTAAAATTCGATTAATTCTCTTTACATAATTTCTGATATATTCTCGATAAATTTCCACTTCTTCCTGTATAAACTTTCAGCGTCCAAATGGATACATACTCGAAAAATGATAGCTCCGTGTTTTAACGCATGCATATTGAAGTATTTTTTCGATACATTTGCTGAACAATCATTGACATTGGTGGACGAGTTGGAAAAACTTGCATCGCATGAGAAAGAAGTCGATCTTTTTCATCATATATGGCTTTGTACCTTAGATATCATATACGGTAAAACTAAATATATAATTCAATTCTAAATTATTTGCATAAAATTCGATAGAAATTTATTTGTTGGACAATTTTTCTAAATCGATCTTTTAATGAATTAGACCCAGTTGCACCAACATTATTTTAGTTTTAAGCGAAACTTAAATATATGTCTGTCTTTATTTATTTAGAAAGAAAGATAAAGATAGACATATATTTAAGTCTCGCTTAAAGCTAAAATAACGTTGGTGCAACCTGTCTTAGTGACATAAATTATATTATTATTTGTATATTTTAAGTATAATCAAACGTCAAAATTAAATATTTATGTTCTAAATCATTTAGATATATTAGAAATGATAATTTCTATCAATGGCATGTTTTAACCATTTTTTTAATGTAATTTTTTTATTCTCTCTCTCTAAAAAGAATCTACAATGGGGATGAAACTGGAATCACAATCAAATAGAGACAATCGTTATGTAAAAGCAATTACAAGGTATAATTCTTATTTATCTTAATTATATTTATCTTAATTGATAAAAAGATATATTTATTTTTTTACTATATAAATAATTTCAAATGGAAAGTGTCCTTTCATTAAGTTAATTTTTTTTTAAAATAGCTATTTAATAGATATTTAATAAATATTTATTTATCATGCATAGTTCGGATAAAAATTAATATTATCAAAATAACAAAATTGTTCAAACGCTGCATTTGTTTTTCTACAGTCAATCAATCAAATTAAAAATCGATTTAAGATTTTTTTATTTAAGTTGAAAGAATTGGAATAAGCTATAAAAATATTTACAAGCATTTTTTATGAGAGAATTTGAAAAGAAGATTACATTTGTTTTAGAGTAAAAGAGATAGTGGCACACAGAATGCGAAATATATTTCTGTTTCCTAATATCTTATTTAATTTGACTCACCTAAGTCATGAGCAACAAAAAAATATAACTTTGATTCATTCTTATGCCGATAAGGTATGTAAATATATTTATATTAATAATATATTTTTATATATATTTTTGTAATATGTAATTTATTCTCGCACATACAGGCAATACAGGTATCAAATAAATTGAACCATATGAGTAGAACTGAAAAGTTGTGTAACTGTAAGTTGATTTATCAAACTTAGTGAACTTTATAAATAATTATAAATAATTTTATAAATAAAATTACGAAATTTTATTAATAAATTTTTTATTAATAAAAAGCGAGAGAAAATTTATTAAAGTTCATCTGTTCTTTTTAAATAATATAGCTAAAAAAACATTTATAAAAATCTTAATGGAAGCATCACACGAGGGAAAAATATTTACTGAACAAAATATTCGCGACGAAATTAACACGATATTAGTAGCAGTAAGTATCATATAAAGTACATTTTCTTGAAACGGGCACAGTCAACAATTATTGCCTACTTATCAATATTATTGTTAATACAATATTTATAGGGGAGCGATACAACTGCTGTAACAGTGAATTTTGTCATCTTCGTATTAGCGAATTTCCCAGAAATACAAGTATGTATTCTATTTGATTCATTCAAAATTAGTCAAATTTATATCATTTACTGATATTAATAATTAAATATAATAATATAATTATTTAATAATAATTACTATAATAATAATTACTTATAATAATTATTTAAATAATTCTAAAAATATGTTTACATTTTATAAAAGGAGAAAGTATATGAAGAATTATTGGAAATTTATGGCAATGAAAATCTAAATTCTGCGCCAATCAAATATGAAGATTTGCAACATATGGAGTATTTGAGTCGTGTAATCAAGGAAACGATGAGAATCTTTCCTATTGTCGCTTGTGTCGTACGGCATTTAAAAGAAGATTTAAAAATAGGTTTGTTTATAATCATGAATTTAGATAATTTTTTGCTTGAAGTATATATACTTATGTATGCACAATGTTTAGAAGCAAATAAAGTTTTCAATAGAGAGAGATCCTTAAATTATATATTTAAAAAAAAATACATTTAAATCAAATATACAACATAATTACACTGAAATTTCCTTCAAAATAATCTTAATTAAACAATCCAAGCTTTTTTGACTGTTGAGAGAACAGCTTATGCATAATGACAATATGCAAAAAATAAATTCAATCTGTATATTTTTTGATATATAATTCCGAAAATTTTTGTGTACTCAATATTTGTATTTATATTTAATTTTCTAGGAGAATATGTATTACCGAAAGGCGCTGAAATTTTCTTGCCATTTATAAAAGTACATCGAGATAAAAAATATTGGAAGAATCCATTACTATTTGATCCTGACAGGTTTCTTCCATGTAATGTGGCTGATCATCATCCATATTCCTATTTACCTTTCAGTAATGGACCAAGAAATTGCATAGGTATATATAAAAGTTATTATAAATGTAATGAAATAAATATTAATGTATTAATGTATTAATGATATCGGTATAATAATACAATAAATTGATATATTATTATAATATTATTATTGATATATTATTATTGATATATTATTAATCAAATTGCAGGATGGAAATATGGAATGATTTCCATGAAAGTTATGCTAGCTACTTTGATACGAACGTTCATATTCAAAGTGGACAAAAAGATTGAACTAGATGAGATAAAATTGAATGTAACTCCATTATTAACTCCTATTAATCCTTTAAAAGTTAAGATTAAAAAAAGAAATATGTAATACAAAATAAACATAGATAATAATAATTAATAAAGTTTTATAACACGTAATTCGAATATTTGATTTGCTTATTTGAATTAATGATTGATTAATCTTATAGACAGTTTATTATATGACCCCGACATCGCTTACTGTCACGATGCAGAATGATTTTTCATCTGATCTTAGATCTTTCCAAACAGTAATCCTTCGAGTTTCGCCATGCTGTCTTATTATCAATAATCTCGTGACTGGCACCCTCGCCCAATATCTTCCTAATGCCGGTGTTATGGCGGCAGGATCTATTTGATCGGACGAATTCCATCGAGTAACTGAGTTTACTGTGATCACGATTGCTTCGCATTCTCTCGTGAGGAATCGGCACGCCTCGGCCAAATCGTCGAGCTCGTAAGTCGTTTCAAGATCACACTGATGTGCTTCTCGCGTTACCTTGAGAAAAATAAAAAAAGCTGATTGTTAAAAACTGAAGGCTTACATAATTTCTAATTCTATATATTATTTAATTTGATATTAACTATAAGTCAATTATAAAAATTGCAAGAAATGTTATTTGTTAATAATAAGTGTGATATTCTTTAATTATATGTTGCATTAATATATATATAAAATGTAATCAAAATATTTAAAAAATCAGCACCAATAGAGATTTATCCATCAATACCTTAAAGATAACTGCTGGTAAAGAATCGATAATCACGAGAGGGAATCTTCTTCCTCCAAACGACACACTGTTCTGCTCTGTTTTATAAAAAGTTACTAATTCACGTAAAACTCGTATTAAGTCACGGGGCGAACGTATATGACAGACCTTTGTACGTTGCAGTGTATCTTTTATAACCTGGAAGAAAACATATAGGATTTATAGTTTTAGAATATAATAATAACCGCTAATAAGAATTGATTAGACAAATTTCATTTGTACAATATAATATAAAAGTATATATAAATTTTAAAGATAATAAACAATTATATTAAAAATCTTTCTCATCCTATACAAATATAATCTTATTCTTTTTCTAAAAAATTGTATTTTTTTCTCTTTATTTATATTGACATATTTATGATAATTAATTTATGATATACTATATAATATTATCTAATTCTTTATATCTATATAAATAATTTGTGTTAGAATTTATTATATAATCATTAATTCAATTTATTAAGCATCCAATATTTTAATATTTAAAGTTATTACTTCCTGCCTGAAATTTTTTGCCTTCAAGATCTCTTCATATCGAAATCTAGAGAAATCTCTTTTCGTGTCAAAGTACCACACTATAATGTCTGATTGAACAGCAACATTAGCAGCTATTGTCAAACATAATTGAGTCTTTCCAGAAGATGATGGACCACATAATTCGCACAATTGTCCAGGATACAGGCCACCTTTCAGTAATTCATCCAAACTGTTCTAATGAAAATCAGATTATCTATATTAAATATTAGATATCTATATCTCCTAAGCAATCAAGATGCATCTCATGACATTATTGTTTATTGAAATCTTTTCAATTAAAAGCTAATATGTATTTCAAACATACCACTTTACATTAATTGGAATATATCTGCGCTCTATTGCAAGGAGCTCAATCGCATTTCTTTTTATACCACTGTGATTTTTCAATATGTGCCTTTTTACTTGCAAAATATCCTGCAAATATTATATTGATTGTAAATATTAAGCGAATCTAGCTATTTTCTGTCAAGCAAATAAAAAATAAATAAATAAATTGGATTAATATATATTTTTAAAAAATCTTTATAATTGAATTAATATATTTTGAAAAAAATTTTTACTTGATTTATGGAATTATCATTGAATCAAATAATTTTAAAAGAGCATCATTGATAAATGTCATTAATAATTTTAAAAGAGTATCATTGATAAATGTCATTAAAAATATTAGAAATTAATTCAGATAAATGAAAATGTTTTCCTATATTTTTTTATTCATTTATTTTGATTTTAAATGTTTAAATTATGAGACACATGATATATATATGTGACATACAACATGTTTTATTAATTCCTTTTATTTATCTTATTCCTCTATAGTAAATATACACACCATATGTGAAAGACCGGTGGAGGTTGCCAATTTAATCGGATCCATAGTGACAAAATCCACAATTGTATTTACATTTTTGCGACGTAATTTCTCTGTCACTACTTCCGATAAACTAGGGTGAATGCTCGCATTCAATTTAATCATCCTTCAATCTCATGTGTTCTAAATATATGCTAAATACCTGAAAAACAAAAAAATGTAAAAGTTTGAAAGGTCTTGCAATTTAAAAAATATCAATAAAGAATTTATGATATGTTACGCATGTGTATGTGTACATATATGTGTGTATATGATGTATGAATTTTCGAAACATCAATTACATAAATAAATGTGAACAAACGTATTGTTTGAGCCGATTAAGAAGTTTACACGAAATGACATAAGTTTTTAACAAACAAGAAAGAAACAACTCGTACCTTTGTTTTACAATGTTTACATAAAAAATGAAATGTAAGATTAACAGATAAAGAAACACAATTCTTGCAATAGACAATGTTATCAATCACACAAAAAATTATGTATGTTTTTAAATTATTTAAACTTTGACAGAGTTTCACACATGATGTACGAATATCTATATACGATACGTCCGAGCGAAAATCCTAGTGACTTTAAAATCCCCGAAACGTAAAGAGAGGTATTGTTCGTGCTGCTTGCATCTAAAAATTTCTGCATTCGAGAGTGTGTTCTGAATTAGCTTTCCATAATTATTTTTCTTATAAAGTTGGTTTTTAATTCCTTTTGTTCCGATCGGTTAATTTGCAATTTTTAAAATAGATTTAAAGCCCTTAAGATAACGCATTAAAGATTAAAAATTGAAATTTGACTAAAAAAACTGACCGGAAAAAAACTAATAGCGTTTTCGGGTTCAATCGCTCCGGGGACCAATTGCTGCATTCAGCGGATTCAACCGCTAAATAGCAATGGAACATCATTGGTTCTGCTTTCAGGTCCGACCAATCAGCGTCAAATTACATCGAAAATCTAGTAATGTTGTCCATCTGTTGAGTTTACTAAATGCGGCCAATCACAGTAATTCTTCTGAAGAATATGATTACATTCTTCAAAAGAATGGCTGTGATTGGTCAATAACGTCTAGTAAACTACCCCGGAGCGATTGAACAAGTCGAAAACGCTAATAAAATTTCTTCCGGTCAATTTTCAATATTAATTTTTAATGTATGCGCACAGTTTGGGGCTTAAGGTTATCGGCAAGATATATTAGGGCGCCTTTACATCCGCGAAATATATCGATATTTTGTCCCCGGAAGACGAACTCTTCCATTGGATATCGAACGCAGGCATCTCTCATCGACACAAATCCGGTGCAGATTTTTCTCGCGCGCCGTTTCAAAAAGCGCGCACTGCGTGGGCTGATTCCGGAGGCTCTTCCGGCGATATCGGCGATAACCGGGACGACGCGCGGAGCGTCGGAGTCGCTCACTTCGTCGAACGCGCGACGCGCACGCGGTTGTCGGGCCGCGAACCGGTCGACAGAGACGTCGACGGAGGGGGAGATTCAAGGAGACCAAGGAGACGACCCGCGACGGAGGTTCCGTCCCGGAGATCCCGGTCGCGCTCGGCCGAGATGGCGATCGTTACCGCGGCGACGGCAGCGAGGGTGTCCGCGCGCAAAAGTGCCGCCCGGCGGCGGCACGCGTCTCCCCGCGGGAGACGCACGTGCGCGCACTCGACGATCGAACGGCGCTCCCGAAGCGGCGCTCGTCGGCACCGACAACGCATAGGAGCCCCGAGGAGCCGAGCGACGCCGGCGACGATAGACTCGATAGAGTGATCTCCCTCCGGGAGATCGATGCGCAGGTACGTATCGTAGGTCCGCGCGAAATAAGCGAGATTACGTAGCGAGAGGCGCCCGAGGCTTCTTCGACGCGCGCCACGTGGCTGGTACGTACTCTGGGTCGGCCCGATTATCGATCGTCTCCCATGTGTGGGACCATGTCGAGGTCTGTTCCTTCCTTGGCTCTCTTGGTCATTTGCATTTTCAAGTTTGTCCTTTCTTTCCTTTTCTCCTTTTCTCAGATATGCTTGAGCATGTGTTCTTTTTTTTTTCAAGATGTCTAAAAACATGTTTTTTCCCCAGTATTTCCTGTAAAAGAGGAAATCAGAAAGAATGAATATACTCTCTTTTTTTCTAACGCATGTTTTTCATTTTGAATGCAAAAAAAGTGAAATTTGGTGTAAACGAAAAGGACAATTAATTATTGGATTATACAGGATACAAGATTGAAGATGAGAATTTGATCAATTAGGATAATGAAATCTTTATCATGATTACATTCAAATTTTATGCAATTTGTTTTGAATGAATTTTACACAAGTCATAGCATATGTATGCATATAAATTTACTTTTCCGATTAGATCGCATATTATCTAGTAAATTATCAGAAGTATTCTATAAGATTGCATGCGAAAATCTATTAATCAAGTAGCGTTCGATCAATCAGGATAAAAGAAGCAAAGTTTATCGAACGCAATCTTGCATGTAATATTTTTAATAATTTATTTTTTAATAATTTATTTAATAAATTACTAGAAAATCCACTGTAGTTGACTGCACGTATTAGTTTACAAGTTAGCACGAGAACTCGTGTTAACCATGTGCCGCGAGTTTTAATTTCATAATTGACTTAATTAATAATTGAGATATACGTATATAATATCTATATATTTAAAAGAGAGAGAGGAGAGACAAAACAAAAAGTGCGAGAAGTTCAATTTCGAAGAAACTTATAAAATATCAGGGATTAAAGATCGCAATTTGATCAGCCGGGGCAAAGAAATTTTAGCTCCTTTTATTCCGATTAATCAAATTCCAATCGTCAATCTTGAATTTTCAACGTAAGTAATCTCCGATACGGGCTTACGAGGCTCGAGCGCTGTTGAACTCGGTATGGATTCGAACGTACGAGCGGGCCGGCCAATCACGCGCGCCCGTCGATGCCACGTTGTCGCGCGCAGCGGCCGCGGCCGGCCAATGGGGAGACGCGCGCCGCCATCTCTGCGCGACTGGCGCAACCAGCGCGGCTCCGAGTGGGGGTAGCTGGCTGGCTCGTTTCGGCCGCGGCCGAAATTTGTCTCGCTGCCGTCGCCATGTTTAGAAGTGCGTACGCGTCCTTGGGCGTGCGGTGTGACAATGTATCGTAAAATATTAGATATAGCTCATGCGTCGTATGTTACGTGAAGTACCCAATTGCGAGTTGGCCCACGCGGATCGCGAACGTGACGTTCATTCCCGTGGATGGCGCACCTACGTCGCGGAAATTTGTGATTACATTATGGTAAGTCCGCGGCCGTCCCGAAGCCAACGCCAACATGGCGGACGGGAAATTTCCTTTGTATCACGTCGCGCCGCGCGATGTTGCGTCGGACGGCTTCCCCACCCGCCGTTCGACGCCGTTCGTCGTGTCCGGCGCGGTCGCCTCCTCGCGCGTCGTCTCGACGTCGTCGCGACGTGACGCGACGCGACTTCCGTTCTCGCGTTCGTCCACTCCCGTCACCGGCACCCGTCTCGGTCCCACAAAGCACACCTCGATCCGAGACGCTCTCGGATAGCAACCGGATCTCGGCCTATCGTCTGGTTTGCCGGTCCGGGACACTCGCGATGACACATTTCCCGTTCCGATATTCATCGATCCCCGATGTCCCGTCGTCGCGTACGGCATCGAATTTCGCGTATGTACTCGTCGCATTCTACGCAACATTTACCCTTATTTATTATTATTTTTTTTTAAAGAATTCGTGTTTGTTTCCTTCAAATTCACCGGTTTCTTTCTTTTTTTTTTTTTCCTTTTTACTTTTTTTTTCTTTTGATTTACAAACAATCGAGATACTTCCGTTTGTCTACAAACTAATGAGCGGCATTAATAGTTATTGTTACTAGTATTTTTTTTGTATATTTACTTGCTTGGAATATTTCTATATTTATTTTTTTCTAAACAGTTTTTTAGAATTTCGAATAACAGTTATCTATATATTCACTTATTTGAAGAAGAATCAAAATTTTTGTAAATCTGTTTGTTAACATATTTTTTTATGCATTTTCTAGTATATATTTTGTGAGACCTTAATATTTTATACACACTATTTCTTCGCAATATATAAATATTTTTATCTATAATGTCGTATTAATAATTGAATATATTAAATGATTGAAGATATATATATTTAAGATAGTGTGTTTATTCGACTATACTTTTCATTGTTAAATTATTCTTAATAATGTTATTGTGAAATCATTGTTATTATTACTTGTTTTGATTTATTAAATTATTAATCCCTTTTTTATGTTAAATATAATTTTTATATACTTTCAAAATATATCCTTTCAAATATATCTGATAAAAAAAAGAACTTTACATATATATGTATGTATGTAAGCATTTATACATACACAAGTAGATTGTTTTTTCATTAAAATATACTAATCTTATATATTTAGGAATTTTAATAGCACAGCATTTGGTATCTTTAAATTTTATTTTTTTTAATTGATTTTATACATTAAGTTTTTCTAAGCTTAATTTTGAAAATATTCTTCCATTAAGAATACATAAAGATACAAAAAGATTATAATATTAATCCTCTAAAAACATATAACATTAGTAAGATTTTTGGTAGAAAAATGTCAAGAACTGTTAAAGTTATAGGAATATAATGAAGATTTAATGCATATAAATTTTAATAGATATTTAAAGAGATATATATAAAAAAAAAACCTTTAATTTCTATTAAAAATAAATTAAAAGTTTACATTAAAAACAAAAAATATATATATATATATATATATATATATATTTTTTAATGAATTCTACTACTAACTATTAAAGTACACATATTGATATTGTATTTTTTTAAAATCCAGTTTTTAAAGGATTAATATTTCAATATAGACTTATATACTTTATATACTGTAACAAAACATATTTATGTGGTGCAAGTCATTATGAATCATTGTACAATGTAATACTTTATCTTTTCAGCATAACGTGCAATGAGTGATAAGCAAGGTGCACCTATTTTACCACCCCTTAATCGGGGTGCGGCTAATAATGGAGGAAATAATGGAGGTGCAGCTCAACAGACTGTCAGTCTGCAGCAAGTTCTCGCTACTCAAGGCCTCAATGTGCTCTCTACTAGTAGCGGGCAACAGTTTGTCATTACGAATCAAGTTCCTGGCCTTACGCAGGTGAGTCTCCATATTTCCACAGTGTTGTTCAAGTGAAAATGTGTTGCACGAAACAAATATATAGTTTATATTTGTTTGAAATGAAAAAAAAGAAAAAAAATGAATGGTTTTCATGAAATACAGAATGTTTTATCTAATGTAATTATTTAATTCGATAAAATATTTTATATTAATAATTAATCAAGTAATTACAATTGATGATTATGTAAACTGCTATATATTATTTCTACATTATTTATTAATTATTTTATTACTGCTTGTTCAATAAAATATGTGTAATAACTAATCATTAAATTAGTTAGAAAATAATTAATATATTTGTGTAGTGATTATTAAGGATTACTTCAATTTTGATTATATATCTCTATTATTCATTAAAACCATTGCTGATTATTTAATTACAGATTATTCTGTAATCCGTAATTAAATCCGTATTAAGTAATTAATTTGTTAACACACTTGTATTTTAATACAATTTTGTGCTAAAGTTTTCTCTATATTGAACAATTAACTTACTTGTGTATTTTTATTAATAGGTCATACCGAATAACATCACAACTAATGCAAGCGGAACGCAACAAGTCGGCGTCACGAGGATCGTCAATATTGCAGGCACACCACCGCGTAACGCGGCGGGAGTGGTGGCCGGAAGTGTCAATGTTGGCGGTACATCGCCGTCGATGGCGTCGCGACCACAGAACTCCACCAAGGTAGTGTTGGCGACGTCGCCGAAGCTTGTACGCACCTCAATAGGCAACATGTTCGTGACGCCGATGTCGTCACAGACATCGTCATCGCAGACACGGGGGCAATCGCCATCGCCACCGGCAAGAAAACGATTAAAATTATCAGAGACAACGGAGAAAGCTATCCCATTCGATAACAGCGGCTATCGTAGACGGATATTGGAGCATAAGATGCGGCGGATGCGCATCGTACGTGAAAAGTACGCCGAGCTTGCGTCGGAGCTCTTCTTTTTGCACGTCGGTGGCAACATGATGGACTATGCCAATTGGCAGAAACGGCCTCCGACGGCGCAATATTTGCACTTTTTACGTCAGCATCAGCTCGATCCGGACGATGACGATGAGGATCTGACAGCACCGTTGTCATCGGATTTCTCGCAGATATCTGCTGTTACCACCGTTGCTGCTGCCACCGTCGCTGCTGCTATTACTACTACTACCACCGCTGCTATCACGGCTACCGTTGCAAGTGTCAGCGCCGGTTCCACGGTAGTACAAATCCCGAATCAAAGCGCGGAAGTTAAGATCTCCGGCGCGGGCGTCACGCCAATAGCGCTCTCCACAACTCTGCCTGCTGCGGCTTTAGCACAGCTCACTCAGCAAGGTAAATATCATCTAACAATTTAAGACAGTAAGAAAATCTAGTTTCACTATTATTTCGAGCATATTGACTCGATATTTTTTTCAATTTATAATAATCCATCAAGAGTAATATATTCGCGAATTAAACTACGTCTCATCATTTTTTTTAGAATTGTTGTTTATGACGGATACGTTTGAAACTGTGTGGAATTTTCCTTTAAAGTTAAAAATTGTGCTATTGTTCAATTAACAATTTTAATTGAAACCATTGCATTTAATTTCTAAAAATCAGATGTAGATCAATTTTGTTATTAGTTTATTTTTAAATTTATTATTAATTTATTATTAAATAGATAAATAATTTCTTAGATACGACATAATTTTCATATTAGATACGATGAATTTGCTAAAGATAATTTTCTTCACTATGTTTAGAGAAATTGAGCATTTTTGATAATTTAAAGAGGGAAATTATTATTAAAATTATTTTTTTTTATTTTTTAGAAAAATTCCAGTTATTTTTATTTATAAAATACCATTTAAAAAAAATAGAGTAGAGAAACATGAAAGAGAAATATTATAATATATTTCATTAATTATATTAGGTATTGCATATTATCATAGATCTTATGAACAAATCATCCAAATGTGAATCAAACTCTATGAATATTTTATGATTACTAAATATAGCATGCACATATGCCATATATTTTATAATGAAAACTCGCATTTGTTGCGTTTTTCACTCTTTCTCTCAATATCAATTTAAGTTTATTTGAACTCAAATATTGAAATGAATCGAATATTGTTGCAGGTCCTTAACTTTCTTTTTTACATAAATTCTACATTTTTTTCTATCTTTTTTAAGTTGAATTAAATTATTAACTTATGTCGAATTAAATTATAATAAAGGAAAATAACAATTTACGAAGATAAGATATATAGTGCAACGTAAACTAAGGATTAACTCTCTCAGGCAATGTGTGTTTTGATAATTTTAATGCTAATATAAAGTATATTCAACATTTTAATAATTATATTAAATATTAAGGTCATATATATATATGCAAAGAATATACATATACATGTAAAAAAAATATTTGTTTTCACTGTAGCTCTTTTTCATTAATATTTAAGGTATTTTATATTTTGAATATTAATGAAGAATTTTTGTTATAATATTGTTCAAATTTTAAAAATCTCACTTGTAAATTGTTATGTTAATATTCTGCTATGCATTAAATGTTAATTAGATATTGACTTTAATTTATGACCAGAAAACAAATTGATTTAAAGTTCATATGAATATATATTCTTCATAATCAACTTTTTTATTTATTTTTTTTAAATATCTTTGAAATGAATGACATTCTTGAATTTTCATTATTATATTTTCTATAGTATTTATATTTGTTTCATAATAATAAAAAATATAAATGAATTATTGCTTTTAAAATAATAAATTAATTATTGTTAGCTTCTTTTCATCATTTTTTTAAAAATTTCATTATATATATAATTCAAGCAAGTTGTAACTTGTTCCATCAACAGTTAACATGTCCCATCAATTTCTTTCTGGAATATAAAAGTTTATTTAGAAATTTAATACTTATACGTATTTCAATGACAGATAAATTGATTAGATCTATATCTACATAAGTTGAATTTTAAAGTTTAATCGATTTAAGCCAACCGAGATATAGTTTTGATGATTAAGATGTAATTAAATAAATGTTGTAAACGTTATTAAATAATATAATATATAAATGTTATTAAATAATATAATATATAATAAGTACTTAACATATAAAATAAATATATTAATATACTTGAAATAAATATTAATATGATGTAAATCAAATTTAGTATCACGAGATTTAGATTTCAATGGTCTTTAAAGAATCGACAGAAGATCTTTATTTTTAATATGTATAATCAGATATGTTAGGTAGTTTTGTTTACAGAGTCTTCTTCTCCTTCTGTGTTAGGGAAAATCTCGCATCATCTGAGAAAAATACCTTTTTAAAACGTTAATTATTTAAAAGGTCAGGTTTCTTCATTGGTGTTATACTTTAGTTATTCATTATCATGAATAAAAAAAATCCGGTTATTGTATAAATGATCATTTCCGCACCAGGACAAGTACCAGGTAGGCCTCAAGGGGGCCGCCATGGCATGGTATTTGCTTTCCGAGCGGCAATCCAGTCTTCACCGTCAGTCACCGTTCATCCTCCATCTGCTTCTACTCTAGCACCTACGCTCATTATAGGTGATTACCGCAGGTCGCCTGCCGTGTTCGTTTCTTCGTGTCTTTAAGTCGCTCCGAATATTGATTTCGCTTTCGAGCAATCCGTTAGTTGCTCCAAGTCTCTGAGTTCTCATCGAAAATCAATTATTTTCATGCGTTATATTTCTTCATATTTTTTATTTGATTGTTTAAATGATGATTGGGAGACACTCGCCATAAAACATGTAGAGACTTATCTTTTCTTATATTCTCTATTTTTCGAAGAAATTAGCTACATAAAATATATTAAAATTGGCACAAAGTAATTATATACATAAACTTTTTTATGTATATAAAATGACAAATAATTTTTCTCAACTCAGATTCTTTTCTTAGAACTTTTTAGTATTGCAATCGTTTTTATCATAATTTTTTTACATTTGACTTTCAATAAATTTGTTACAGATTTCATAAGAGATGTATATTTAAAAGTAAAATATAAAAAAATAAAAAATGGATCGGATTAAGAGATCACCTTATAAATATTTATTCATTAAGATATAAATATTTATATCTTAATGAATTACTTTGAGATAGTGTATTCTCTTTACCAAACTATATATATTCGTCTAATATTCAAACTAAATTTATGAATTTTAATTGAAAACATTTATATCACAATTATATATTATATGTTTTTTCACTGTATGCTTACTTTATGTCAATTTTGCAGAACGATTTAGACAAGAATAAATAATATGTCATACTAATAATATCATGTCATGTAATTATACAACAGTATTCTATGTAATCGACCTGATTGTTATCAAACGTAAACGCATGTTTTTAAATTATTATTTGAAGCTTAGTAAGAACAATGTACACACATCTATTCCTTGCCATCTTTATGTCACAGACATACACATATATGCTCTCAGATGCAAATAGGAGCGATTAGTTTATTTTATCTTAATTGGCATATTTCATGATAGTTTCATTTCTCGCTTTTGATAGTTATTGTCAACCTTGTAGATATATATGATTTTATGCTTGTCCTGTGGAATCTTCGATGTCGTTCAAGATTTATTATTATTTTTATCGCTATTACATGCATAAAATGTACAATACTTTCGATATTTCAGAGAGTACTGTGAGATTTAGAGATATTATAAATTTATATTTTATTTTTTTAATGAAAATGTGATTTCAAAAATAATCAAGTTATTATTTTCTCTTTCTCTCTCATTTTATTCATTATTATAAATTATAAATATCTTAATGTCGCTAGTCAAATAATCAAAGGATTATTGAAAAAAGTGTAGTCGACCAAACTAGCCAGAAAATTTGTTTATTAATACGACGTTTCGACCATATGATTGTAGTTCTTATCAAGTATATACTAAAAGATTTATAAACTAATTAATTAATTAACGGTTTGAATATATAGTACGCTCAACGAATTAAAGTGTAACAATTTTTTATATACCGATGTAATAAAAATCAGGAGACAGGCATAGACGATAATCTTGTAAATTGCACAAGTCCCATTAACAAAAAACGTTATTTAACTAGATTTGAATTTGAGAGAAATTGATGCGTCCGTGAGAGACTTCGTCAAGACTTCATCGAAACGTCGTATTAATAAACAAATTTTCTGGCTAGTTTGGTCGACTACACTTTTTTCAATGATCCTTTCATTATTATAAGTTATTTTACTATTGTCAATCTTTATAAATTATTCAAAATATCTCAAAATCTCTCTCATTGCTTCAAGTTTGTATTGCAATATTTTATGAAAAAAAAAAGAAAAGTTATTATGTAAGAATATTATATTATTATTCACATTTTTAAAACCTATTTTTATCTAGATGATTTATAAAAGTTCAATTTTGAATTATGTAACAAGATATATCTATCATAAATATCTGTTTTTGCTTACAGCATATATATTTAGCAATAGTTACTTAATTAAAAAAATTAGAAATAAAAATGTATCATATTGGGAATTGCTTGGGAATATTATGCTAGTAAATGCGTGAAAAAGAAAGAGTGATGAACGTTGGATTAAAATAATTTATAATTGATTGATATAATTTTGCAAATAAGTAGAAAAACGTGGATATTTAAGGGAAAAATTTTAGTCGCTAAAAAGACTATTTTACTTGAAATTTTTTAGCAAAAAATGATACATTAACCGTTAAAATTAATTGTTTGTGAACCAATGATTCATTTCCCTTCTTCAGCAACTAAATTACTATTTATCGATGTTATATATGCTACTATTTATCGCATTTGCAAACTTTTTGATTTATTTTATTTTATATATATATAATTTACATCTTATATGTTATAACAATCTTTTTAATTATGTTTAATCGTTTTAGGCGGAACACCAGTGGTTACAGAACCGTCGAAGCCGACGGTCACGATCACCGCTCCGAGTCCGGTGGTGGAAAAACCAGTGTCGTCGATTGCCACCACCGTCGCCCCGAAAACGCCTACGACAACCACTGCGCTCAATAACCCCCAACCTGTCGTTAAGCTTGTTAAATTGTCTACACCCACTACCGTAATTACTTCCTGTGATACAGCGAACAATCAGGAGCAAATTGTGGAAAAGGCTAAACAGGTAATTATATCCTTGATAATTGGTTCTGAATACCATCTTTTCACGAAAAAAGCATGTATAACACAACATTGGCATCTCATTGAATAAACATTTGAATTATTATTTTGAATTATATTTATTATTAATCATTTGTTATTTAATTATTTGTGATATGTTTAAAAAAACCGAATTTATTATTTTTATATTTAAAATTAAATATTTTATACTAACGATCACGATTGAAATGCAGGAGGCATACGTGATGCAGAGAATCGTTGAGTTGCAACGTGAAGGATTATGGTCAGAGCGACGATTGCCCAAAGTGCAGGAACCAGCTCGAACGAAAGCCCATTGGGATTATTTGTTGGAAGAGATGGTCTGGTTGGCTGCCGATTTTGCCCAGGAGCGTAAATGGAAGAAAGCTGCGGCGAAGAAATGTGCGCGAATGGTGCAAAAGTACTTTCAGGAGAAGGCGATTCAGGCGCAAAAGGCCGAAAAGTCGCAAGAACTCCGATTGAAAAAGATCGCTAGCTTCGCCGCCAAGGAAATTAAAACTTTTTGGACAAATGTCGAGAAGGTGAGTTTGAAAAAAGCTATAATGTATATTTAGAAATTTTAAATGATCAGTATTGATTTATTAATTTATATCTATAATTTAACTCAAAAGAATTGCTTCAATTAGTTTTTATTATTATATTATATCACATTCTTTTTCTTTTATAAAAATAGATTGATTTAATTCTGCTCTTTGTTATTACCCCACACTAATTAAGCCGACCTTCTCGATGTATCGTTATCAGAAGCGTGTGCTCGTTGTGGGAACAGCAAAGTCTGCGCATTGTGTATGGTTGCTTGGTTTTCTAAATTCAACCAAAGAATTTAGCGCAGGATATTTATTATTAAATTATACTCATTGATTATATAACTACGAAATCTTTTGGACTTGATCAAATAAAATTCTCATTAATAATTTTAACAATATTTAATAGGCAGAATATGCAAAATATTTAAATATAAATTTAAAACTTATAATATTCTTTGTAATTTGTTGACAGTTGGTAGAATATAAACAGCAAACAAGACTAGAAGAAAAACGAAAGAAGGCATTGGATCAGCATTTGAACTTTATTGTGGGTCAAACAGAAAAATATTCTACATGGCTAACAGAGGGTCTCAACAAGACAGATGGTCCACAAAGTATTCCAGCTTCCATAAATAGTTCACGCATCTCTTCACCAGTTCCGCAGGGAAAATGTCATTCGGATGGTATGTTAGTTCATAATACAAAAAATAATTTTATTAATTTATATAAAGACGCATCATTAATAAAATGCATTAATTGTAATATTAATGTTATATATAACATGATGTTAATAATATCAATATATCAAATATTAACAAAATCAAATATTAACATTATCAATATAACGTAACGTTTATTTGAATGTAATTGTTGGTTAATAAAGCTATATTTTATAATACAATAAAATTTAAATAATTAAATTATAATATTGTAATTACTATAGAATTATATTGTATAAAATTCGTAATCTAATGATCTTTATTATTATAATCTATGAAAAACATATATATACTCCAGAACTTTTAAACTTTATGTGTTGTATTAACATAATTAAATTATGCACAAAGTTGCATATAAATTAATTTTAATTTCTCCTGAATAGATTGTATAAATATTACTTTGATTATATAATGTTTAATAGATTATATAAATTATTTTATTTGTATAATGGATTTTATTTTTAATTATGTTATATGTATGTTATATGTTTTTAAATCGTGTACTATTTACTAAATTAAATTCCTATTTAGTTTAACTTTATTATAAATTTGCTGTGGTTTTACTTTTTATTATATAAATTACATTAGAGTATATAATATATGCATTGCACATTACAGAGGAGTTTCAGCCAAATCAGAGTTCAGATGATGATGAAGAGACTATAGCTAAAGCCGAAGAAGAAATGAAACTAACGACCAATCACAAGGAAGAAGTAGAATTATTGAAGAGAGAATCGGAAATACCTTTGGAGGATCTTCTGAAGGACTTGCCGCCAGACTATTTGGAGGATCGCAATAAAAGCCTATCGCCGCAAAACGCAACAAACGAAGAGGAACAAAATGTATGTTTATGGATATGAATAACAAAAATATTTGTGCATGCTTTATTTTTTTAAACTGACTTTTTACATAAAGAAGAAAGATGTTGACGCAAACTTCTCTATCTAATATACACTAATAAAAATAATTGATATAGAGACTTTGCAATAATATAATCTTCTTTCTTGTTTAAAATTACTGTAAAAAAGATAGATTTTAAAAATTGTTTTAAATTACTTTACTGGAAAATCTATTAATTTTTAGTAAATATTAAATACTTTATAAAATCGCAATTTTTAAAGCTTTTAATCTGTTGTAAAAAGAATTAAGCAAGTTTGATTTTTATTATAGGACAACAAGGAAGCAGCTGATGCGGATGTAGATTTCGTCGCGGCATCTGGTGAATCTTCGGACGAAGAAGACACTATTATGGAAGAGGAGAGACTCGAGGGAGAGATCGATCATAAACGCGAACTCGATGAACTTAAGGTATATAATTTTTCATTTATAATCATTACATTAATTATTTTAATATTGAAAAATAAAAGGACGAATGTAATTCTTTTTTTTGCCAGATTGTATAGATGTAGAATAATATACTCGTCTTCATTTAGGCTGACAACGAAATGTCTATTGAAGAACTTGCGGCCAAGTATGCAAACATGTCGGACATGTTGATGGACGTGGATGTGGACGTGGAGGCTGAAGGTAATTATTATATTTACAATAAATAATACAAGTAAATAATACAATAGTATAATACTAGTATGTAAAACCTTTATAATTATATAAAGATTTTTTTATTTAATTATATAAATTGTTACGGTGATGATAACTACCAATCCTGATGGTGTGAGATATTTGGTTTTCACTTATCTCAATTACCTTCTATGCTGTGAAATGAGGCATTTGTCTGAGAAATTTTAAAAATTAATATATAGAATTATCGCTAAAAAACACGAAGCAGGTCGAATTTAATCAAATACTACTTTTTCATTCTTCTTTAGGTACGGATAAAGAAAACAGTGATAAGGAAGCGGCACCAGAAACTGAAGACCAAATGAGCAGTAGCGAGAATGAAAGTGAAGAAAGTGATCGCGAGAGTGATGAGGAAGAAGTTCGGACTCAGAGTGATGCCGACGCAGATGTGGGACTTCAATCTCTTCTTGAAGATCCATCTGAGAAACAATCAGATAGCAGAGTAAGTTACAGATTTTTGTTGCACACATAAGCACACATATGACTTTAGTTTTCTTAGTTATATCATCAAATTCATTCTTACAAGTAGTAGATTTGTAGTGAATTATTTCTTACTTTTGAATCAATTTCTTCTATTATATATATATATATATATATATATATATATATATATATATATATGCTTTCTTGTAGTTCTTTTGCATAGCATGTAATTAATTATTTTTTGTTATAGATTTCAGACGATCACTCGGACGCTCGTAATGAGATGGATAACGTTGCCGCATTAGCCGAAAGCATCCAGCCTAAGGGGAACACATTACTCACTACTAGCGTAAGTCGTGTTACACGTTTATGTTCTTAATTTCTTAATTTCTTTTCATTAAATCTTATTCAAATCATAAAGTTTAATAAATTTATCAATTTTTCACAATTGATTAACATTCAACATTTTTAATGAATGAAGAATCTAAAACTAAACTAAAATTTTGCTACAATGTAATTTACTTAAAATTAGATGAAAAATAAAATTTTATTTTCTACATATATTTTTAAAATTCAATTTACATTAAAACAATTTACTTTAAAACTCAAATATTTTATTTTTAATTGTTTATAAAAATTGTTAATGTCGCAATAATTTTTAATAAAATGAATCTAATTCTAAGAATTTTTAACATATCTTATGTAAATTTTTGTTTCATATTATAGTATTTTATTCATTATTTTAACTTATGTCAAGAGATTTAAGTAATGTTTAGTAAATAATCCTTTCGATCCAAGGTAATGAAGTAATAATTTTGCTCATTATCATTTACGAAAGGAATATTAAAGTGATAGTTTTCTTATGAATAAATTTATATATATCTTATTCTAGAAAATAATCACTACAAGATTATTAATAAATTTCATAGAGATTACATTCCATAGAAATTATCTCATTATATTATATTAATTCTCAAAGTCATACATTTGATAAATTTTGAGTGATTTGTTTTTTACATAGAAGCATTAATAATATCCAAATTATAATTCATTGAGAAGTTACAGAACTTCAAATTATTGATTAGAATACAAATAGATAATAATAAATTAAAACATATTTATATAAATGACAAATTCTGTTAACATAGTTCAGAGAATATTAATAAAATTAAATTCATGACTTATAATGACATCTTGCATAGAATCTAATTTTTATCTATCATGTTCATTAATATTATATCATTATTTATTTTTTCAGGTTGTCACTAAAATACCCTTCCTTTTGAAACACTCCCTTCGCGAGTATCAGCATATAGGATTGGACTGGCTTGTCACTATGTATGAGAGGAAGTTAAATGGCATTTTAGCAGATGAAATGGGTTTAGGTAAAACTATACAAACCATCGCACTATTAGCACATTTAGCCTGCGAAAAAGGAAACTGGGGGCCGCATCTTATAATTGTACCAACCTCCGTAATGCTCAATTGGGAAATGGAATGCAAAAAGTGGTGTCCTGGATTCAAGATATTGACATATTATGGGACACAAAAGGAGAGGAAACAAAAGAGAACAGGTAATAATATATGACGAATTAAATATAATTATATCGCGCTAAAATATTAAATATAAGATTTTTCTTTTTCAAAATCTTTATTATATTTTTCTTTTTATCTTTGATTTACTAATATTACTCGCTGCCGACCCAGACATTAGTTCAACATAACTGATGTCTGTATTATATAACACAGCGAGATAATAAAAAATTCTCTATAAAAACTCGCGTGTCAAAGGTCAGCCTGACATTCTGACATACGAATCCTGTCGGGAGAAACAAATATTTAATTCAATATTTAATTTAAGATTTATTAATCATATTTATATAATAATTTGAAGCATAATTTGTATTTTTCAACGTATGTTTATAGGTTGGACGAAACCGAACGCTTTCCATATATGCATTACGTCCTACAAATTAGTGATACAAGATCATCAAAGTTTTAGACGGAAAAAGTGGAAATATCTCATCTTAGATGAGGCACAGAATATTAAGAACTTCAAATCGCAAAGATGGCAATTGCTCTTAAACTTCCAAACACAACGGTAACTAATCTATTATTAAAATTATTTCCTATTTTATTAAGTGATAGATTAGTGATTAATTCATAATCTGTAATCATATATATAGTTGAAAGATATAGATAAAATTTAGAAACATATTTGAATTAAGTTTAATTGAAAAATTCAGTATTTATATAACAAGCTGATCTATTTTTAGAAAAATTATTTTTATTACTTTTTCCCAATGTTTAATAAAATAATTGTTAGGACATTATATGTTATAAAATTTTTATCTTGATTTCAAAAATTTGATATAAATAGTAATCTATCTTTTAATTTAAAAAATTAAAAAGAAAATGGCATAAGACCCAACGCGGGATAGTTGGAGCGCAAAGAAGCAACATTTCTTTCTTTTTTCAATAATAGTTTATTAAAAAATTCATATTACAATAACAAAAAGCTTTTTGTTAATGTAATATGAGTTTTTTAATCAACTACTAATATTGAAAAAAGAAAGAAATGTTGTTGCTTCTTTGCGCTCCAACTATCGCGCGTTGGTTCTTATGCCATTTTCTTTTTAATTTTTTGATTACTTGAACCAAATCTCTAATTATTAAACTCTTAACTTAAATTTTTTTTGTGACATTAAAATTAATTTTAAAATTGGAAGAATTAAATTTACACCATAGATAAATTAAAAAAAATTAATTTTACTTTAATTTTCTTAAGATTTAAAATAATAAATTAGACCATTTTTACACTAATTCATTTAATTGAAAGTAATAGATTGTTTTATTTAAAACATTATTTCATTGTCTTTTGTTGTTTGTTGCAGGAGGTTACTTCTTACTGGCACACCTCTTCAAAACAATTTAATGGAATTGTGGTCTCTCATGCACTTTCTTATGCCTAATGTATTTCAATCTCATCGTGAATTTAAGGAATGGTTTAGCAATCCTGTTACAGGCATGATCGAAGGCAATAGTGAATACAACGAGAATATTATACGTCGTCTACATAAGGTCTGTACGTAGTTTTTTAACTTTTCTTCTTTTTTTCTCTTTTCTCTTAATTTGTAATATTATTAAAGAAATTTGAGTTTTTATCCAATAAAAATATATCATACATTAAATTTTTTACAATAATATTTAATATAAACAACATTCTCCGTAGGTGTTGCGGCCATTTCTCTTACGAAGATTGAAAACCGAAGTGGAAAAACAATTGCCAAAAAAATATGAACATGTAGTCATGTGTCGTTTGTCAAAGCGCCAGAGATTTTTGTATGATGACTTTATGTCGAGAGCAAAGTAAGTTAATTCTTTAGTGTCACATCAATGATCACAAAAACGAGAAATAATTTATCTTTCTCTAATTAAAAGTACAATAATATTTCTTTAATTTTCTTTATGCGCGTGCATAAAATATGTATTCTATTTTTAATCCAGTTAAAATGTGAATATAAATTTCCATCCATAAAATGTAATATTTATATATTAAGAAATATAAAAATTATTTGTTTTTGTATACTAGAAAATAATTTGTTTTACGCAAAAATTAAGTTTTGTTATATAAATATTTTAGAATTGTTATATAATTTATCATATATATAATTAATAGTTAATAATTAAAATTGTTATGTATATAACAATTTTAAAAATACTTATATAACAAAATTAATTTTTATGTAAAACAGATTATTTATATAATAAAGATTATATTAGCAGATTATATATATAATAAAGATTAGACTTATTTAAGGATATTAGAATAATTACTAATTGTGTTTGTGTTATTTTTTTTTCAACAATTTCGTATTTTGTTAAAGAACGAAAGAAACACTCGCTAGCGGAAATTTATTGAGTGTGATTAACGTGTTAATGCAATTACGAAAAGTATGCAACCATCCGAACTTGTTCGAAGTGCGACCGACCGTTTCCCCGTTTCAAATGGAGGCACTCGAATTTCTGACCGCTTCGTTGGTTTGGAGTGTATTCGATTATGATCCTTTCAAGGTAAAACAATGACCGTTTCACACTATTGTTTGTTTTATTCTTGATATTCAAACAATCAATTATTCGATCTTTGCGAATTGTGATTTAACTTTTGCAGCACATCCAACTGTCTAGCTTGAACCTTTTGCTGTTAGATCTGGAATTGACTCTCAGTGCATTCGTTGCGCACAGAATGAAACGACTGCAAACGCCTAGAAAACTTATAGAAGAAATAGATAACCAGCCAGAACCGACGCCGAGATGTCCGTCCGGTCGGATTAAAATCAATGTTAGATTGTCAAATCAGACAAAACCACAGTCGAATACACAACAGCAGCAACAGCAGCAGCAAACGCCAACTAGGCTGAAGAATCTTGCTGGAGTACTACCCACTCCAAGAGTGGGTACATCTCTTTCAATAAAATCATTAAATACTAGCCAGACTGGTTCAGGACGAGGTAGGTCCAGGACAATGCTGCCACATTTTATTACATTAATATTTTAGTAAGCCAAAATTAATGCAAATTAATGTCAAAACATGATGAAAAATGAAAACAATTGAAATATCAAAGAAATAATATTTAAAATAATAACTGTGCATTAGTATCATAAAAATAATATAATGGTATTTTTTATATATCTGTAAACTATTGTTTTTACTACTATTTTTAAAATTTTTTAAGTACTTGATGTGTGTGTGTGCATGTTTAAACTGTAATATATATATAATAGCTATAATACACACACACATACATATTATATTAATCTTTCTTGAAACATAAAATGCAATAATTTTATTCTTAGGTGTTACACTGAGAGTTGCGAGTGGTCAACAATTGCAAGGATATTCCGTGCAACTGGTACCACATCAAGCTGGTGTGAAAGGTAAGCATCTTTTTTTCCACTTATTTTTCCCTTACTCTAATAATTTATCTTTCAATGGTGTTTTTATTTATATGGTTTTTTCCAAATTTTGCAATCTAAATATTATGTATATTGATTTTGTAAATAATGTAAAACATTTCTTCATGAAAAATATTTAATTTTTATTCAATTATTTACTCGAAACATTGATTGAATATTGTATAAAATAATTTGCAAACAAACTTTTAATTTCTTATAACGTAATAAACCTAACCTAACCTAACTTGAGAGAATCTTTGTATCTTTGAATCTCTAATATATTTTCAAAATTTGTACTTTAATTTTGTATTCCACGTATCTCTGAATTTAATTTTGTTTTATAAAATATTTTATATAATTATGTATATGTAGCATGAAATAAATATAGCATTATTATATCAGTGCATCATTCATCAGTGATTGTTTCTCACTAAGCAGTCATTTTTGCAGTGATGCTAGATCAGTTGTTCCTTGAACCAGCTTGTTTATAATCTTACCATTTATAAGCATTCTAAAGCTAAGGATACAACTTTTCGAAATTAGCATTTCTTGTAGCTAAAATCGAAACATCAAATCTAAATATTTCCACCTTTTCCATTATATTTATATTTTTATTATATTTTCTTATATATTTTGTTGAAAATATGTTTGAAAAATTGGAAAAATAGTCATATTAATTTTAATGTAAACAGCAAATTTATCCATTGTGATATACATACATACAAATGATATACATACATATATTTATTTTATACATAATTTACAATATAATAAATTAAATATAAATTTTTGTAAAACAGCTATCCCCGTGGCAACGCTAGGACATAATCCGCAAAGTACTACCGTGACGTCAACTACGACAGGAACAAACGCGCAAAGAATCACAGTAGGAAACGCTAGTCTCAGAGATGGCATTCAACGACTAACAACGCAAACCGTCACGGTTAAGCAAGGCGATTCCGTCCAGAGAATAGCAGTGCCTGGTTTCGCACAGTTGGTTCAAACCTCTACCGGTAGACATATCCTTTTGACTTCGAATCAACAGAATACTAACACAGGTTTATCTTAGCGATTTTTATTAAACCATTTTGCAATGAATAAAAAAGGAAAAAAGAATAATATGTTTTGTATCAACAGTTTCGTTTCCAGTCATGACCTCTAGCGGATCGCGTCTCACAGTACTATCCAAATCGCTGATGGGTTTGTCCACCTCGGCTGCTACGACGGTGAATAAGGTCGTCAGCGGTGTGGTAACGACGCCGAGCGGGCGACCCGTTATGAGAGTGCCTCCTCTGAATGTTACCGCCTCGCCATCACCATCGAGCGGAAATAGCCAACAGCAATCCAGTCAACAACAATCGCCATCGATACGCAGCATCGTCACCAGACAGGCTCAGAAGGAAGCCAGTAAAGCGCAGAGTAAATCCGAACAACCCAAATCCGAATTTCACTTGGTAAGTAAACATAGATATCTTATAAAATGTTGAGCCTTTTTGAAAACAATAATTGAAAAATAGAAAATCAATTATTTATCTTTCGAATACTTATTCGAGTCAATTTTATTCGAATTATTTTTGTTTAGTTGTTTTTCCCAAGAATATATGAGATTTTTATTTAATTGTTGTTCCATTCTTAATTATTTTCCTTTAGATGTTTCAATATCTAGATAATAAATAATAAAGTTATTAATTATTTTATAGCCGCAGTTGGAGGAGGAAAAACGGCAGAGAAGACAAGCCAAACTGCATCTCACGGCAGATATCAATGAGCGGAGATGCGCGGCGTGTCCGCTTTATGGCGAAGATGTTTTTATGGCCTTGAGAATTGGCAAGCCTACGACGGCTTGTCGCTGGCATAACGGTTGGGTGCATTGTGCGACTGCCAAGGAGAATATTCGTACTCGCAAGCAGTTCTTTTCACACACGGAGGCGCTCGCTGAAGCTATCAAAAGCACAGAGCAGATTGTTGAAGAGTTAAAGGAAGTTTTCGAAAGGTTGATATGCGATATATATTATATTATTAATGAATTCTCTTTAATTACATATTATAATATTTATGAGATTTTCTTTAATTTTTATATCAATGTTTTTGTAGTAAAAAAAATTAAGTATTTTTTTTCAAAGTTTTTGAATTTTATTAAATTCAATTTTAGTAATTAATTTCGCAAACTAAAATTCTCGTCTTCATGACTATTGGAAATTGATCGAGGAATATATTTTTCTTTGTTTATTTTATCTTGATATCATTTCTGACATCACAAGATAAATTCTTCTGATATATCCGTAGATTTGTGGTCCACGTACCCGCCGTACGCGCGCCAATGCCTCGATTCCACGTATCTCATCCACCGCCTCACAAATTGTGGGGTGAACGTCATCTGCAGACCGAATTGCAAAGACAACTGTCACCAAAAGTGACAGTGTTTCATCCGATTTCGAGTCTCATGCTCACACAATTCCCCGATCCTAGACTCATCCAATATGATTGTGGCAAGCTACAATCATTGGATCGTCTGTTGAGGAAGTTGAAGTCCGAAAATCATCGAGTTCTAATATTCACGCAAATGACTAGAATGTTGGATGTGCTGGAAGCTTTTCTAAATTTCCACGGACACATATATCTACGACTGGATGGCACTACTAGAGTGGATCAACGTCAGGTAGTGATCAATTTATTACATCATTAACGAGATATTATAATAGTGATACATTATGCGCAATATTATCTAAATTTTTGAAGTGCTTTATTTTATTTGAGATTTTAAGTGTGAATAATGGTTATTAAGAATATATTCATCTTTCATATAAATTTTAAAAGGAAATGTACATATATAATAAATGATAATTAAAATATACAAATTTCATACGTGTGAGATATAATCGAAAAATATAGTGAATAGAATTGTTAACGATGCTTAATGATTCGACATACAGATTCTGATGGAGAGATTCAACGGTGATAAGCGAATCTTTTGCTTTATTCTGTCAACGAGATCTGGAGGTGTCGGAGTGAATCTTACGGGGGCGGACACGGTAATATTTTATGACAGCGACTGGAATCCCACGATGGACGCCCAGGCGCAGGATAGATGTCACAGGATCGGACAAACGCGGGATGTACATATTTACAGGTACATATACAAATTAATAACGAAGAAATAATTTTAATAACTCAATAATTCGTATTGTTTCTGATATAAGAATATATATATATATATATATATATATATATATATATATTAATTATATTATTAATATTGTTGAATAATTAATTAGAATAAAAATTTTTTTAAAAAAACGACCTTTCAATCCTAATTAACAATCTGATAGCGAATATAGTGTAATATTTATATTCTCTCTTCAGATTAGTCAGTGAGAAAACTGTAGAAGAGAATATACTAAAGAAGGCAAATCAGAAAAGATTGTTAGGCGATCTCGCAATTGAAGGCGGAAACTTCACTACGGCATACTTCAAAAGCGTAAGTACTTCAATAATAATTTGCATCGTGCAAATTATTGTTTATATTGTTTCTTTGTATTTATTAATCAAAAAACTTCGCAATTTTGATATTTTTAGAATAAATAAATTTTAAGGAAAAATTTATATCTTATTTTTTCATTGTAAAAGTTTAAAACTTTTTTAAATTACGATATTTAAAGTTTCACAAAATTTATGAAAAATTAAGACTATATATATTGACTTGTATTTCGTGAAATATCTGGCAATGTTAAAGGCGATATATCTCGAGTACATAATAAGAAAATACTTATAATCGCCATTTATCTTTGATAAAATTATTTTCAGTCCACCATTCAAGATTTGTTCAATATCGATCAAACGGAGAATGATGCATCGATGCGAATGGCCGAGGTGCTGGAGCAGAATCGAGAACGAGAAAAAGCTTGGAGCAAAGAATCGACAGCAGCAGCAGGACCCTTTCAGAGCGGCACTTCGAATCAACATACGGAAGAAAAAGCGGCGATTGGTGCTCTGGAAAATGCTCTTGCTGCTGCTGAAGAGGATCTCGATGTTCAAGCTGCGAGAACCGCAAAAGCAGAAGCTGTTGCCGATCTTGCCGAGTTTGACGAGAACATTCCGCTGGAGGATGCAGACAAAGATGAAACGCAGGTCAGCAAGGCGGAGCAGGAAGTTCAGAATCTAGTTGCTCAGGTAGGACAAACGTTTTTCATCGACTCGCTAAATCGGTCGAGTCATTTTCATTCTAATTTATTTTATTGATTATTGTCATAATGTTTGTGTATTAATTCTATAACTATAATATTTTATTTAGCTTACTCCGATCGAGAGATATGCCATGAAATTCGTCGAGGAATCAGAGGGTGCATTCTCAGCGGCACAACTAGCCGCGGCGGAACGGGAACTCGAGGAACAGAAGAAGGAATGGGAATTGGACCGTCTGCGAGCGCTGCGAGAGGAGGAAGAGCGACGGATGCGGTTAGCCGACGACGACGAGAAGCCGCTCACGTTTGGTCGCGAGGATGCGCAGAATCAGGTTAATAGCACTGTCGCGAAAAGCGGTTCTAAGCGATTAGTCAGTAAGAGGCTAGCGGTACCGAGTAGAAGGAGTTCGCGTAGACGTGGCGGTAATAGGGTAGGACGTCCGCGTATTGAATCTCCATCGGAAAGCGAAAACGAGACTACGAGTACCGAATCAGATTCAGAGTCTCAGGAAGAGGATATAGTCGAGGACAGTCTTGACGAGGAATCGAGTCATACAGAGAGTCAGAGTCAGGGGGACGAGGAAGAGGAGGGAGAGGGAGGTGGGGAAAAGGGAGAGGGAGACGATGATGAGGAAGAGGAAGCCGGCGAGGAAAGCGAAGACGGGAGAGCGAACGATCGCGATTATTCCGAGCGAGGGGGAGGTTTCTCAAGACGAAAGGGTCGTTTAGCGGGATCCGGCTCCTGTAGTCGAAATCATTTCGATCTGAATAGTCCTCGCACTAGGTCTCGCGGAAATGTACAAATCAACTTATGGACTCTAGACGTGAGTCCCATTCTGCCTGGTGTAAAGCCAAATCGTCGGCAGCGTAAGAAATTTCATCGCGCTAAATCTGAGGAAACTGTGTTCTCATCGTCGGATACGTATTCTAAGAGAAGCGTACGTATTAATATGAGCGCTAAAGTTCAGTCTACTAATTCTCATCAGAACGCAAAGACCTCCGAAATTGCGGAAATTGAACAAGATTCAACGAGAAATGATGTAGATTCGATCAACTTGAATAGTGTTCAGCAACGAGTTGCTAATCCCAACGTGGAGCGACCCACTGATGATCACGCAGATTCGTCAGTTGCTAAAGCGCAATCGGAACAAACAAGAGCGTCGGAATCGAATTTGGATAATACAGAAGGAAGTGTTAGAGAAAAAAATGACGAGAAAATTGTAAACGGCACTAATTTAATCACTGTCTGCTCTGTTCATGTAACACGGTGCTCGCAAAAAATGTTGTCCGCGACGTATAGAAAATTCGAGTCCGAAGTGAATCGCAATGAAGATGCCGAGAATCTTGACGTAAATGTCAGCGCGAGAAATTCTCGATCATCTCCAAGCGCGATCCAACCGGATGCGTCTCTGAAGCGTTCAAAAGAGCCGACAGGCAAATCCAAATCCGAATTTGGCGTGTCAACCAATTCTTTGTGCAACAATGCACGGGGAAAATTGTCTGCCGCGACATCGAGAGAGTCGGGAAGCGTCGAATCATCCTCGAGCCGTTCGGTTCCGCTCTTACGATCGAAAACGTTACGAAACGCAAGTCCCGACGCGGTTGATAAAATTTCCAAACCGCTTGCGATATCTCGCGTTTCAATCGCGCAACGAAATTCTAAAACGAATGCCGACGATACTCGTAGTAACATGGTCGAGAATGAAAATAAAGATTACGTATGTGATAATGATAACGACAATGCCGAATCGATAGTGTCCTCTACGCGAAAGTATACTAGTCAGAGATACAATTCGAAGAGCGATACACGCGAAAATTTAAACTTAAACGTTGCATCGTTGCAAGCATCAGAAAAGGGAACGGATGATTCGGTATCGAACGTGTCTGATTCTCTAATCGCGCCTTCGGTAAAGAGCGAAAGCAATTCAAACGAGTCCAAATATAACATACGAAGATTAGAAGTCGCACTTGCGCGAAGCGTGACAACTCGTAGTTCAAAAATTCCTTCGGTTATCAACAATCACTCCGACGAAAGTAATTGCCGATTGATAGATGACAAAGTCGAATCGTTACCAGAAACTAAGAGCAGAACGCGCAGAACTGATTTAACGGGCTCGCAACACTCAAACGCTGAACAGAGCAGAATTACGCGATCGATAGTTCCTCCGTTGACGTCTCCACCTTTAACTGGCGGTGACGAGATGACAAATTCGAAATTGACGTCGAGACGACGACCGGACACTCCCCTTCCACGGCCGGTCACGAGATCCGCGGTAATTATGAACACTTCTGCAAGAGTTTCGCCTAGTCGAAGTGAGAAATACGCGACGCGGAATTCGAAGCAGTGTCAGGACAATGGCCTGGTGAGCCCGGCGAGTCCGGTGTTATTCGGACGTAGCAAATCGATACCGCCAATGAAACCGGACCCCAAGGAGACGTCGGTGACGGCGGTAAAACGCCGTCCAGATACTCCACGACCTAACATACCGCCCAATTACAACGAACAAGTTTCTAGAGTGACACGCTCGGGATTGACTTTAAATTCCTCGGCCTCCTCGGCAAAATCAGCGTCGTCACCATTGTTATCTCCCCCTACTTCCACGCTTAAAACGAGCATCAAACAGCCGCGAATTTCACCGACAAGCAGCGAGAATGAAACTCCTACAAGTTTGGTATCATCATCTTATGAGAAGCCTCAGAGAACCGCCAAGGTTGTGGCTATTCTTAGTCTGGACACGAGAAATCATCATAATAGCAACAAGACTTTCTCAACTCAGCCCAAGTCTATCGCCAATTGTGAGACAAAGGGCCAGGACAAGGAACTTCTGCCGCGACTGTCGCCGAAGGATCAGGAGGCTGATCGCGAAGAATGCGACTCGTCCGATACCAAATCTAGGAGGCTGCGCAGGGAAATGAAACGCATTAAAAATGCTGTATCGTGCTCGATGGAAGACGAGAGGGCTAATTCTGACGACAGTAGCGACAGGGAGCCGTTACAGAAGAGGTCCTTTCGTTCGCATCTCTCTCTCTCGTCCTCTTCCTCTTCTACGGTCGTGACGACGCGCTCTGACAAACTGAGGAACGCCACGATATCTTGAGTCTCGCTAAAGTATCATCGCGGTGTAGTAGTAGTCGTCGAAGGCCTGTGTTTCTTCGTCGGGAATACTATCGCTATTCGACTACTCGATCATGTAGTCGATTGCTACTACTGTCTACTATTCAGTCCGCTTATTGCGCGTGCGATGCCGATTTCGCACTCAATATTTGTCGCATGATATTTTCTCCTTTTAATGTTTCTGTTATTTATATTTTTCTCTCTATTGTATATGATATATGTGAGGAATTGGCAGCATCTTTTGCGATATATATAACTTTGAGATTCCAGGTAAAATTAAAAGTGCATTTCTTCTGTAAATTTGGATGGATATGTTTTATTATTTATTTTTCTTACAAGAAAGAAATGATGATGTGAAGTAAAAAATTAAAAAAAAAAACAAAAAAGAGTAAAAAAATCGTAATTTGTGATAGTTGAGAAATCTAATATATTATATAATATATTTCGATTTTATCAAATTCTTAGATCACTTTTGTTACCTAATCGAATTAATCGGAGCTCCTTTTTTTATAAAGATGTAAAATAATAAAAATAAAAGTAATAAAGTAAAAATAGAAAAATAAATTATTATTATTTGCAATAAAATAATGATTTATTTTTAAGATTATATTATGAGAAAACATTAATAAGATATAAAATATCATGGGATAAAAATCTGATGGAAATTTTGATCTAGCGTTTAGGAACGCTTGGCGATCGCACTCATGTTATACGCGCAACTTGATTGCACGTCTTTTGCCCGTACTTATCTCATATTTAGCGCTTAGTGATTGTTTGATTTTCTTAGATTTCTTTGACTTAGAAATAACATGACAATTTCTAGCGGAAAGAACAAAAACTCTATATAAGAATCATATATACACGAGAGAAAAGTTATAAATGTATCAAATAATTATTAAATTCCACAAATATATAAAATTTAAAATGAGAACAAAATTTCGAATAAAGAAAATTATATGAAAAGAATAATCGAGAGACAACATTTATATAAAGATTCATAATTAAATTCGCTAGAGAGAAACTTTATACAATAAGAGATGCATAGAGAGAGAAAATTCTTATACGAGGAAAATGAAAGAAAAATCAAATAGACACATTTAGCGCTAACATGAGACACGAGTACGCATCTGTACATAATCATAATTACGATAAAGAATGCGTTTTCTTTATGGGTTGTACCGCAGGTACACGTGTAATATTTGTAGCATTGTAAGTTGTGTATCTCCGGTCCCGCCTTCCCACTCTCTTATCTCATTTTATTTTTTTTCGTTGTAAAGGTAGGATCTGTTTCTTCTGACTGCACTTTCCTATAATCTTTGATCTGTCTTGCGCTCGCCTCTTATTTCTGCCGAATATATCATAATGAATTTTTAAAAAATATAGGAAAGTGCAGACGGCAAAGGCGGATTTTTAGGCGCGCGTGAATGATGATTTATATAAAACAGTGTGACGAGCGAAATGAACGTGTGTATTATATTAGGGAAGAATGAACCAGTGTAAAACATTAGTCAAACAATTCTCTAGTGCGCCATCCGAAACTATTCATACATACACACATACACATATATAGACGAAAAACGAGAAAGGGATATAAAAATGTGTACGGGGTAAAATGCGTGATTCGATTCCACCCTAATAATTTGTTTTGACGATTAAGTCTGAATTTATAATTAAATATGAAGGACAGGATTGATATCTGACGAGGATTTAATTAATAATGATTAGGGTGATGAAGAGTTACGTGGTTTAGCCGGTTTATTCGCGAGAAAAGATTTCAATCGTGCCGTCTTGAACTACGTAAGTGACAGAACAAGGACCTGATTATTATATTATGTATTATCGTACGCGAGATATAAGGATATCCTTCCTCCGCTCTTTTCCACTTGCCTCCCTCTTCCTCCTCCTGACACACACACACATGCACATACTGTAATATTTAAGTTGCGTGCCTGTATTTTGTATGATCGAGCGAGAGTTCGAAGAAGAAAAAAAAATAAACGAGATATTCCTTGCTATATATATATGTATATATATATTGTATATAGAAATGTGTTCTCCCTTATTTCTTGATGCGTTTCCAAGTCTGTGTCGATCAAAGGTTCAGTTCCGTTTTGGTGTCAAATCATTCTCAGCTCAGTGTGCTTGTTTATATATTTATCGCGATTTAATAGAACTTTTTCTCTCTCGATATCGGTTTGGTGTGGCAAGGCTATCATGACCGCACTTTTTTTCGAGAAAAAAATATGTCTTAGTACATGCGTAGAGAAAGAAAAGAAAAGAGCTCCAATAAAATTGTTCATAAAATGGCACCAAAACACTGCCTTTGCCATTCCAAACTTGGAGTCCGCAGCAAGATATAAGCAGGCACATGAGTGAGATACGTTATTTATACGTTACGTCACACACGTATCTCATCCTATATATATATGATGATAATATAATAGATAAAGGAATATATCGTGAAGAATAAGAACTCTTTCTCTTAAAATATTTAGGATGAGAGGAACGAGAACCTTTGAGCGTCTATAGGCTATCCCATAATCTTATCGTCCTACACATAATTTTTTTATTATGAATTTTCTAGTTAAATTCGAAGTTGATTTCTCCTTGAAAAAAATTTCAAAATTTATTATGTTTCTTGTTGCGGTTTCTCCAAAAAAGAAATATTTAACATTAAATTTTTTTTCGTTTTTTGAAAGGAGACTAAAGCTCAGAATTTTAAATAAGATAAATTTTTAATAGTAAAGATTCTTCATAAGAGATTATAATTATAACACGTGGAAACTTTTATACCTTGAAATTATAATCATAGAGAATTATAATCTCAAATCTGAAAACTAATGGAAATATGGGAAAGAGTAGCCCTTTTGCGCGCTCTCTTTTTTCTCTCTTCCTTTTTATTTTTATTATTATTTATTGGAAATTTGCTCATCGCGTCCGTCCTATAGTGTCTCACAGAACTATTATTTATTTTATACTATTTATTATATTATTACATTTTTTTCTATATAATATTATTTATATTTATTAATTGTTAGAAATTCAGCCTTTGAAATTCAGCTTCGTTCATGATTTAAACAAAGGCAAAATTTCTAAGCGACTTTATTAATGACTAAAAGAATTAGAGATTCTTAAAAAAGATTTCGATAGTGTGAAAAGGTATATCGCAAGTTTAGTGAGCACAGGAACAGACTATATGGGAGCAAGAAATTCTCGTAGGTCTCAGGATCTAACTCATATCTAACTTTAATATCTTGCAGATTTGGTTATCGGAACATACCATGGAGCAAATGCCGGTAAGTCCAAAACAATTCGGTTTTACCTTTTATTATATAAATTTGTGATAAAAATTAAGCAAAATGCGAGGGATTATTATTTATTAAATATTGTATTTACTCTAACTTTTTTTTTATTATAATATTGATAGTATTTTATTATCAAGTTTTACTAAATTTTTTTTTGTATTAAGATTGAGAAAGAAAAAATTTTGTGATTTTGCAAAGACAAAAAATACAAGAAATTAATTTATTCGTTAAAAAAGTTACTAAATAAATACAATACACGTACATTTAAAATTAAAAAAAAGAACATACGATTATGGAGATGCTTAGAGAAAATTAAATTCTCTATCTCCAGTTGTACAAAAAATAACAAATGAAGTACAATGTTCTTGAATTCTCTTTTGGAAGAATACAATTAAGCTAAATTTTCTTTTCTTTTTTTAGATGTGGTGTCCACCCACTCCTCCTACAACGGATAATGATGTATATATCGATTACGCTATGAGTTTTCTTTATGAAGATGTACCCATGACAGAGGCTCAGCTACCTCCAATTTACGTGAAGAAAGAGCGAAGCAGGAATAGAATCGAAGCCGTTCTCACTGATGATGGTGAGTAAATTTTACTCATAAAGATATCAAATATTAAGTATTATTTATTTTCTAGAAACATATTTTAGAATGGAAAATTATCCTTATTATTACGTATTATATAAATCTTTGTATCTATTTGTTATTGAAAATAAAACATTAAAAATATAAACAAATTCGGTGACAAGATGCAAATTTCACGAGCTTAACTTGATCAAAAAATTGTCGCTTTTTTAAATCAACAAAAGTTGTAATTAATAACTGCTAATTGTTTTTCTAATTGCAGGTTGTCGACCTGTCAAGATAATGCGACACAAAGAGGAATCCGTGTTCGCACCGAGATCCCTCTTTGATCGACCGTCTCCGGCGTTGATGAAAATGCGTCGCGACATGAAATTGCATAAGTATCGTGCGATGGTACGCCCACCGATGACAGTGTTGAAGAACTCCTCTCATGTCACGAAGAGTTCACCGGAGCCAGATCACGTGATAGATTGGTTGATCTATGAGGAGTGGGCTCTACTACATTCTATCCAAAGCTATCAGGGCTTACCCTTAAACATGATAATCCTCTCGCCGGGTCATACGCCTAACTGGGACATGGTAGCCGATTGTGTTAACAGCGGTACGCGATTACATAGATCGCCCAAACACTGCAGAGGCAGATATGAATCTGTGATAATACCAAGGGAAGAGGGTAAGCTGCTGTACGACACTCCTCCGAAGAAGCAGAAGAAACAAAAGGGAAGCGTTTATAAAACACCGCAAGTCTCTGAGGTAGATTATTCACTTTATTCACCGATGAATTCGATGATAAGGAAAATATCGTAATTGCAAAACAAATCTCATAGAAAGATTTATCTATAATTTAGCTTTTCTGTCTCTTCTATCTGAAAATTCTTCAATTATACGATGATAAGGAAAATAATATTAAATAAAAACCTATGGGGATTATAATTCTCGGCATTTTTTCACTACTTTCAGCAACAGAATAAGAGCAACAGACCAATGAGAACATCGCAATTGCACAATCAAGACAGAAATAACTCGTTCACATTAATGGGCACTCAAAGATATGAAATCATAAAATCTGTGTCTAATAAACGAACACCTACCGTGAAACCGCCGTTGCTTATGAGTCCGTTGATGAGGAATCCTACCATAACGGCTGTCCTAGTTGAATGCGGCATACAAATCGATAATCCGATGGTGCCAGTGGACGTTGCTGCGCGACGCGCAGATAGAATAGCTAAGGAAAAGATGAAGCATACGGTTAGTAATGTAAGATATATAAGAACAACTTGCATTTGCGCTTAGTAGTGTAAATTTTTTTCAAATTTGTTTAAACTTGAACTACATAGAATCAATATAACATCTTTTATTTGCTATACTAACACGTCCAAGGAGATATTCGTTAATTAAATTCGTAGGTTTTTACTCCGGAACAGCAACAACAGGTTGC